AGGAGATTGAGCCGCGTAATGCGGGGACAAAGAACTTGGTGTCATGCTTTTTATTCTTTTACTCATGTAAAAGAACATTAAGTGAAAATAAATCAAATAGAATAGTTTTTTTTTATGTATATCTTTAAATAAATAAATAAAGTCTTTTTTAACTAGTATCTTCTCCAATAAAAAAAACGCGCTTTTAATTATTTTTTGTTTGCTTGAAGAGTTCAATGTTGTAATTAGGAGGGCTCATTTATAAGAAAGAATTAATATAATTGAATGAATATGAAAATAAATATAATAAAATAAAGATATAACATGTATGATTTTGTAATTATGTTGATCACTGCGTTTAATTGTGCAGGCTGTTTATGTCTATAAAGTCTATAAAGAAAATTCAGAGTGATTGTTGAAAATGCCGATGGCGCAAAATGTTTAGTTGAATTTAACTAATCCGGATGAACATTGTAAAGAAGATGCATTGGAATGGGAGAAAGGAAAAATATGAAAAAATGGAGAAATGAGAGATGAGAAGAAATAAAGAAATATACGTTTGAAAGAGAGACAGAAAAGGTGCAGTGGACTGAATACGCAAGTGAATGTCCTCTGTATTTACACAGACTGTGCACAAGATGTTTAATATGGACATAATATGAAACAGGTATCATTATCTACAAACGATTTTGTACTTTGGTTATCAATTAATTCTTGTCACCCTCCATTCGTTATTCTATATACACATGGGCAATTATATTTACAGTGCAAAAATAATTTGAATTCAAATAAAAAGAGTGAACAAGTATTGTTACATTACAAAATTTATCCTTCAATATTCTGTATAAGAGTAGTCTACCAAAAATGTAGAGGCGGTTGTTATATTACAATCCTTAAAGATAAGTTGACATACATAAAGTTTATCGAGTAAGCAAGACATAGATATAATAACATAGGTACATTTGCAGCTTGAATTACATGAAGTGGAGTGGAATTTTGATACATGCCGGCCATTATAGCTAGTTCGTTGTCATAGTTACTTTGTATTTCAGTTTCTTTTTTGTGTATGTGCAAGTGTAGGGTATGTATGCCTGGTATGTAACAGTTCCGGAGATTGCTATCTTGCCAGGTTCATTAACAAGAAGGAACCAGTGTTTGGTTGTGGAGTCTGTTCTTCACTAAATTGTGGTGTGTATACCACAGTGTTCAAAAGACAGGGTGTTTGAATTATAAATGTTTTTTGTTCTCGACTAAGCTGATATTAAATTTTTGGCTCATTGCTTGGAGTGTAACTTGGTTGCACATCTTGACATATGGGTTATCTTGAATAGTGATGCTTTGAGCAATGCGTTTCCATACTTTGGACCTATAATAATCTTATTAGAAGATATGTTCTTGTACAGATTATCTGCTTCAAGGCATATACCTATTGCAAAATTAACTTTTGATCCCAAAATATCTCCATCCTGACATTTAAGAATAGCGCGCTGGATGTAAGCCTAAAATTTTAAGAAATAAAGTGAAAATGAAACTCTATGAATAAAGTATGGAATTTTTAATACCTTCAGAGTACCTTAGATTGTTCTTCTTCCAGTGAAACTACTTTGTTGACATCATGTATAGCCTCAATATTTTCGTGAAGCATACGATATAGCTTTACCCTTGGTTTGTGTCAATAAGTTTCCATTATGGTTATGTTTGTGTTTGTGAGTATACATGTTATTATAAGCTGATCCATAGGTTGTTCCCATCTCAATACATCGATTTAGTAATTCAAGTGCATCCTCTATTCCATTTTGTTCGACCAATTTGATTGCATCCTTTTTGATATGCTTTAATTCGTATAGTCAATCAGGACTTAAGATGCATACTATCACCAAAGCATATATATGTATATATATATATTTAAACACCCCCGTTTGTTTTGTAGGAACTTGACTTTTTTTTACGCCTTTTTATTTATTACTTGATTGCTTGAACCCAAAAGAGGTTCTTGGGAATCTGTGGCACGAAGTTAGAATTGGATATATGTTCAAGTCATCGACCGCACTTCTCTAGAGTAAATATAAGCTCAAGAACAGCATCATTCAAGATGTACATATTGTAATTTTTTTATTACAACACTTAGTAATAAAATAGTAGAAACCGAAAGAAAGGCGTGGTGTACAATTACCGTGAGAAAATACAAATGTTTATTGAACACTCTTTGCGTACATAACCAAAACCTGCTACAGTATACAAAAGAAAAATGCGGATTCTTGTTAATCACCTTTCATTGTTAGAATCCATTAAAACATACATTTAAGTAAAACTGACAGTTATTATGATGTGATTTAATAAATTTTGCTTTCCCTAAATATAATCACAACAATTATAGGGTATTATCTGTTTCTTCTTCTCTATTTCTTTAAAAAGTTGGAATACAAGCTTGTCACTTAGACTCTTCCTTTAGATTCTCTGTAAATCTTCTTATCATTTTACAGTCCCATCACTTAAAGTCTACTACCCATTCGATAAACTAATTAACTCATTTTTTACACATTAATTGTAATATATAGTAACTAGAATTTTTATAGCTAAGAGTTATATAAAACTTGAGGGGAGGGGTGGGGAGCTCTACTTTCAAAAAGTATGCTAATTTATTAATTTATTCTTTATATAGGTCTATGAATTCATCACAAAAAAAAATTGTGTGTGTGTCCGAATGAATGTATGTGTGTGTGGGTAGATTTTGAGCACCAGACGTGGCACAGTGGAGGTACGAATGTTAAGAGAGGCAGATTGAATAGGAAGAAAAAGAAAGTCTTTATCGATTGATATATATAAACGTATTATTCTATCTTTAATAAATAACACTCTCACAGTATCTACTTTTTCTACTATTAATATACTAACCAAAAATTAGTTCCGAGCATCTCGAATATTATTTTAACTTTCATTAATAAATAACACTCTCAGAGTACCTACCTTTTCTAATATTGAGATACTAATCCAAAATCAATCACAACTACCTTAATTGCAATGCAGTATAATATTTAAATAAAATTATAATTGGAATAAGAGGGTCAACTACTTGTTATCAAATAATAATAAAAAATTAAAGACTAATTGAAAACGTGTAAAAAAGCAAAAATAAAAATAAAATAAAATAAAATAATTAATTTAAATTTAAAATGCCCAGTCTTTTTGGTAGATTGCATGGTATTTTTAGAACTCAAACGGTCTAAGCTGTTTTTAGTAATTTAAAAACACCTGGGAACGTAGCAATTTCGTGAGGCTAGAAGTTCTCGTACACAAAAACAAATGCGACGGTGCTTGAATATGTTGTTTCTCCTAATGTCGTATAATAAAAAAAGCAAAATTTCCTCACTTCGGAAGTAGAAGCGTACTTTAGAAAAAATCTTACTAAACGGTCTATTTTTTATGTGCTACAAATAAAGTAGCAAAAAAAGGTCGGCAAGTGAAAATTAAATAATTGGATTTCACATATAATATTGCACTTTGATATATGTGTGTGTGTGTGTGTTTTTTTTTTTTTAAAAAAAAAAGAACTAAATCATTCTAACTGTGTTTTGTACTATATATGGTGTAGAACTCTAGTTTTTTTAAATATATATATATATATATCATAAAATACTAGCAATATTATCTATTTTTATCATTAAACAGCAAGTGAATGTGTATGTATATAATCATTTTCAAGTAAAGCTGATAGAACAAAGAACCGTTTTTATACCACACGCACAAATATATAGATACGGCATTATCAACGTTAATACCAGTAATTTCATTTGCTACTGAATATACAAAGATAAGACCTCTAGTTCATTAACCGCTTCAGATACAAAAGAAGTAAAAGATTCCCTTCCATATACACCCACCCACAGATTCGCTCGCTAGAGTCTCTATAGCAGATAATATCTCTATACTAGAGTCTTCAATAAACCCTGATAAATTTGCTTATATCAAGCAAATTTTTCACTTATTTTATCTTATTTATAAAAAATAAATTGTATTTTCTTGTTTCTTTTTTTTCTTTTTTCTTTTTTTTACCCACGCCTGAACCCCACCTTCTTATACTATTATATATTTAATCTAATGTTGAAATATATAGACTTACATATACATGTATATTTGTAGTTGAGTAACTGAACATTTACTATCTCAGCCTGAGTTCAGGTCTGACACATTATTATAATATAAATGATATCGAAAACATGAATCTAGTTTAACCGTTGTACCTTTCTTTTTTCCTCTTATTAATTACAAATGTCTTTACCTATCTGGCTCGACTGTGACCCAGGTAATGATAATAATAAATAAACATATAAGAACATATATCTTATATATATATATATATATATTATGAAAATTGATAAAAAATGAAAACTAATGATGGTGATGATGATGCTCAAACTCGGTCATTACAATGTAGGTCATGATGATGCTATGGCCATTGTATTAGCAGGTAAAAAAAAAAGGAGAAAGAAATAAAATTAATTCAATTCAATTCAATTCGATTCGATTCAATTTAAATTCAAAGAAAAACAATAGTAAACAATCAAATATTTTTTATTAGGATATAATTCGAAGCTTAATCTTTTGGGTATCTCTACTGTGAGTATTTTGTGTGCCTGTGCTTGTGCCTGTGCATATCATATAATTGCAAGAGCAAATTAAAATAAAATAAAACAGCTTTTAGAATTTTGAAGCAACTGCATCAAATCAACAAATTATTTTAGGGTTTCTAATATCTGTTATATACATAATGATAATTCAAAGTGTCATGGTAATCAGTCTCACGACAAGACACTTCGAAATGCAGCCTTGTTTGTAAAGGCTGCTGGTCTAACGAATATCCGTATTATACCCGGTCAAGACAAGGTAAATTAAAGAAAGAAGCTTTGATAATATATATATATATATCATTTATGATTGTGTGTGTTTATTTATTTGTTTATTTGTTTGCTTGTTTGTATTTTTTCTGTGTATTTTTTCTAAAGCCTATTATGCGTAAATCTTTGGCTGCTCCTGATATCCACGGTGAATCTGGATTGGATGGTACACACGAAATGCCGGTCTTTGATCCCAGATTTATCAATGACTCGGAGAAGGCAGTCCCGTATCTTTCCCGCCTTCTCCTCCAGGCACCCACTCCGGTCACCTTAGTTGCCACTGGACCCCTGACAAATTATGGATTACTGCTCACCCTGTATCCAGAAGTCATACCAAAGATCAAGAAAATTGTATTTATGGGCGGATCTATTGGCCCAGGAAATTATTCTGCTGCAGCAGAGTTTAATATTCTGGTAAATGTTACATAATGGATACATGTACATCATATTATTATTAACCTTTTTTCTTTCTTTATTTCTTATTGCTATTATTTAATCAACACAATAACAAAACAAAGGTTGATCCAGAAGCTGCTCATATTGTATTCAATTCAGGTGTTCATGTGTGCATGGTACCTTTGGAAGTATCACATACTGCCATTGTAACTGACAGGGTTCTTGAACAACTTGACACTCGATGCAAATCATCACCTTTCAGTCGGCTGGTTATTGAGCTGCTATTGTTTTTCAAAAAGACATATGAAGAGGTGTTCCAATTCAACCAGGGACCTCCACTTCACGACCCATGCACGATTGCGTATCTGATTGCACCTGAGATATTTACAGTCAAGACTATGGGTGTTGATGTTGTTACAGATAATGGTCCCTGTCTTGGCCAGACGGTAAGTGTTGTGGCTTGTTTCTTTTTCTTCTTCTTCTTCTTCTTCTTTGGTTGATGTAGAAGCTGTGATCGTTTACTGATACATATTATGACTTGACAACCATAGGTGTGTGATATCTATGGACGGACATCCTACCCAAAAATCGATGTAACAATGACGATGGATCCAGACGCATTCTTTAGATTGATGTTGGATGCCTGGGTGAAAGCCGATGGACAGTCTCCGATGAATCAGTCGTGTCACCTCAAGACAGTCTAAAATGTCAAACACACAGCACATAAAAAATCCCCCCCCACTTTCTCCCTAACACTGGGATCAAAAAGTATATAATGTAAATGGACGGTAAACCACTGAAATATACAGAGAGAAATATATATTTATATATAATATATATATAATATATGTATATGAAGACAGGCAGAGATATACACATAAGATAAAGAGAGAGAGAGAACCATGTCCCAGATTTTTTTTGATAATCACGAACAGATAAAACGTAGATCTTTATAATCTACTATATCTATTAAATATATAAATGTAAATATATACAAATATACTTCTTTTCTTCTTTCTTTCGCTCTTTCGCTCTTTCGCTCTTTCTTTCTCTCTTTTCTTTTCTTTCCAAAATCTACATATATATATATAAAATATTTTAATAATAATGCCAGAGTTTATCGGTGCTGTAGACCAAGGAACCACTTCTTCACGATTTTTGATATTTGATAAACAAGGCAACTTAATAACACACCATCAAATTGAATTAGAGCAAGAATATCCTCGTCCAGGGTAAAGATATATATATATATATATATTATAAGAGTCAATATAAATTATTTGTTAATTGATTATTTATTGATACATAGATGGGTAGAACATGACCCTTACAAAATACTTGAGTCAGTATTGACCTGTATAGAAAATACCATTGCCAGGTTTGAATTGATGGGGCACAAGATTAGCGACATTAAAGGTAGGCTTAAATGGATTACTAGAAGAGAAATAAAAGCTAATGTGGATTGTGTACAATTAGCAATTGGAATCACTAATCAACGCGAGACAACATTAATGTGGGATCGAAAGACCGGAAAGCCATTACACAATGCAATTGTCTGGAGTGATGTCAGAACTGACGAACTCGTGCACCAACTAAAGAAACGACCGGATTCTGATATAGTTGTCGATCGTTGTGGACTAGAAATCACATCCTATTTTTCGGCTGTCAAGCTAGCCTGGTTATTAAAAAACGACAAAAATGTTGCCGAGGCTGCAAAGGAAAAGAGGGCAGCATTTGGTACTGTCGACAGCTGGCTGCTCTACAACCTTTCGGGTGGTGCAGACGGTGGCTCTCACTGCACTGATGTGACCAATGCTAGCCGGACCTTGCTGATGAATCTCAAGAGTCTAAAGTGGGATCCTGAGCTCCTAAAGTTCTTTGACATCCCTGATCATGTACTGCCATCCCTGGTGTCCTCTTCAGAAAAGTACGGCGAGGTTCATAAAGGAGTCCTCAAGGGTGTTCCGATCACCAGCTGTATGGGAGATCAGCAGGCAGCTTTGTTGGGCCAAAAGTGTTTTGACAAAGGAGATGCCAAGAGCACGTTTGGAACAGGTGCTTTTATGCTTTTTAACACCGGAACGACGGCAGTCAAATCTTCACATGGGCTTATTACGACGGTTGCCTTTCAACTGGGAAGGAATGCAAAACCCAATTATGCACTAGAGGGATCTGTGGCTGTTGCAGGCTCGTCATTACGATGGCTACGAGACAATTTGCGTTTGATTGATTCCATGGAACAAGTTAGTGAATTAGGTATGTTCTTTTCAGGTCTTTTATTTGGTTTTCTGGTTTATTATTTATGGGAATGTGATTGTGTTGATATTCAAAGATTGATCGATTAATTAGCCGAATTGACTTGACTTTGATTGATGCATCATTTATTTTCATTTTAATTTTCATTTAACAATTATTTAAATATTTTTTTCAGCATCCCGTGTACAGGATACTGGAGGAGTGTACTTTGTAACTGCATTTTCTGGGCTGTTCGCTCCTTACTGGCGAGATGATGCGAGGGGCACTATGGTTGGACTGACTAGTTATACGAACAAATATCACCTGGCGCGTGCAACGTTTGAGTCAATGTCATTCCAGACCCGGGCTATTCTGGAGAGTATGAATCTCGATGCAACTGTGCCTCTCAAGGTACTCAAGGTTGATGGCGGAGTCTCCAACTCAGACGTTGCTATGCAGATCCAGGCCGATTTGCTTGGGATTGAGGTCCACCGACCTGCCATGCGAGAGACGACTGCACTAGGAGTAGCAATTGCGGCTGGATTGGCAGTCGGTGTCTGGAAAGGTGTTCATGAATTGGATCAAGTCAATCAAAAGGGAACAACGGTCTTTGTGCCTCACTTGGACAAGGAAGCCAGAGAAGAGAAATACCAAGCCTGGAGAAGAGCTGTAGAAGCGTCTTATAACTGGACAGATGTAGAATGTTGAAATATAAATATATATGAAAAAGAAGAAGAAATATATATATACATACAAGCTGTATGTAATGTGTATGTAATGTATATGTGTATGTGTGTGTGTGTTTTTTTTTAGATATTTTCTTATATTTTATATATATATATTTGTTATTATTGATATTATTTACAGTCTTTCTTTAACTACTCGTGTCTGTTCTATCATCCACAGACCATCTTTGTATCTTTCTTCTTCTTTGGAAGCAATAATGTGTTTCCAGCCAATTGTGGCGTGGCACACACAGCAATAAATATCCGCTATAATATGAGGTCCCGAAGGCAGTACTCGTTCCTCTCTTTCTCCCATTCCGACATTCACCACTTCGTCTACGAGGTAGCCAGGTCCATGCTACTTTGATTGTATTTGGTGATTAGTTATAAGCATTCTTGGACAAAACAAACAAAATATAAAAAAAAAATTAGTCTGGAATGAATGCTGAATTACCTTGCCCGAGGATACTTTTGATATAATTGAATCATGACATGCGACATGGGAATGGCAGGTACTGCAACTGTAGATACACTCGTCCGGCAGATAAACTTGAGGTCGCTTTGTCATCTTTCAATAGAGCTTTCCAGCTAAAGTGCTCAATTCGATGGTTGGACAGATAAGCAATAAATATTGCATTCAAAAAAGAAGAAGAAAGAAAGAAAGAAAGAAAGATAAAACCAGTAAAATAATTGTTTAAAAAAAAAGAAAAAAAAAAAGAAAAAAAAGTAGGAAATGAAATGATATTAAATGAAATGAAATGAAAGAATACAAACACACATTTACACCTGTACATCTGTATGTACGTTACATGTAAATGTTGTATACATAAATACACGGAATTTTTATAGTTATTTTATGCTCTTTTAATAATAAGCCCTTGATATTCTTATTTCTGTATTAATATCTACCTTTGTATTCAAATTGTTCATTCATTCATTCATATATATATATAAAAAGCTTACAACTTACATCTGTATGTTATGATTAATTAGTTAATTGGTTAGTTAATTGGTTAGTTGGCTAGGGGTAAACAAAGTAAGACTTTATTATAGTCGATATAAAGCTTGAAAAGAAGCATATAAGAAAAAGGGGGGAATCACATGAATAACGGCACAAGATTTGATCAACACATACACCACTGTGGAATTGTGGTTCTAATACACATAAGAAAAAAGAAAAAGGGAATAAAAGAAAATATACAAAGCTAAGCTTAAGTCAAGGCCAGAATTGTATTGACAAATTTCTCAATCTTGTCAGCATCCTGTCTGGCCATCTCAATAACCATCAGCAGCTTCTTTATTCCAATAGCTAGCCTCTTGTCAGCACCAGAATCAGCCAGAATAGACAAGGTTCTTTCCCGCTCTTGATTAGTAAACAGCTCCAATTGCTACACAGAAAAGAAGAAGAAATTAATACAGACACATACACGATAAAGATTATATAAAGTAGGCAATCTTACCTGAAGAACAATATCTACACCCTCAAGGTTGGTGATGGTTGGAACATATATGTCAGAATCAAAGCTATCTGTCATGTTCATCTGCTCAAGGATAGATCGCTCGGTAGTCGTGCCGAGGATCAACAGTCGGCGATCCTTTGGAGGCTTACGCTTAAGAAGTACAAGCAATGCCTGGAGCACGGCGTTTGAGAAACGAGGACCAATGGGAACCCAGTCTATGGGATGGGAATAACGTCAACATTTTATCCGCTTTTGATATTCTTCTTCTTCTTTGTTATTATTTTCCTTACCTAAAAGACGCTCGATACTATCAATCACAATCACACTCATAGGAGATTTGTAAGAGTCATTAAAGACCTACAATGAAATAATATTGATATTAATATTAAGGATATTAAGGCTCTCATTAAAATTATATATTAAGGTTAATACACACATGTATGTATGTGTGTGTGTGTATAAACATTACCTTGTTAATTTCGGCAATCTTGGCTGTCTCATTAAGTCCAACCATTGTCTCGGGAGAGATAAGCTTGATAAACGGAAACTCACTTTCCATAGCCATTGTGGCTGCCAAGGCTGTCTTTCCACTACCTGCAGGACCGTGAAGCAAGACACTAACCAAAGGAGTTCTGGATGATTGGCGTACTTGATCCACATACAATTTACCGTCTGCCAATATTTGCTAAAATTTATATAAAGTTAGCATATATATATATATATAAAGCTCCCGCGCATCTCCCTCTAATCCTTTCCCCTTCCCCCCTTTTTATTTTGTCTGTGTATATTATATATATATATATATTACCTCAATGTGGGGTGCAAATGGAATAACCTGGTTCTGGACACATTGTTTCAACTCGGTCTCGGAAACACCAAAAGCAGGAGGTACTTCTTGAAGCGCAGCCATAAAATCATCCATATTGACCTTCATTGTTTCTACATCTGGTGCAACTCCTGCTACAGTACCCACCTACAAGGCATTAAAGAAAATTGAATTAGTTTAATATTTTTTATTATTATTCTAATCATTGATTTGATTATATATAATTAATTAAAACAAACCTTAATGTGTCTACTAAAGGCATAAGAGGATGCAGCTTTGACTACACCAGCAATTTCAGCACCACTGTAATTCTTTGTCATATCAGCTAATTCTTCCAAAGACACATCATTATCCAAAATATCATTGTCTCTCATCTGTCAAAAGAAAATAAAAATCCAATAAATAAGTTTTATTAGAAATTGACCGGCAATAACCCATATTTGCAACATTCCTTGAACTGATCCCCCCCCCCCCCCAAAAAAAAAAAAAAAAAAGAATATATACATATAGACAGACAACTAAAAAACTAACTAACTAATTTTACTTAGTATTTACCTTTGCTGTGTGAATCTTGAGGATCTGAGCACGACCTTTTTCATCAGGTAACCCAACTTCCATATGTACTTCCAAACGACCAGGACGCAACAGAGCCTCATCAATCATATCCTTTCGGTTGGTCATACCAATAATAAGGATGTTGTTCAATTGTTCTACACCATCCATCTATTGAATTATATATATATATACGGATGTGTTTGTCAGTTATCAAGGTCGACATATATACATATAATCATAATAACCTTTGCTAGCAACTGATTGACTACAGAGTCTCCAACTCCGGTACTGTCACCACGGCTACCACGCTGTTTACAGATAGCATCCAGCTCATCGAAAATGATGATGTGCAGACTAGAATCCTCGCCCTTGGACTTGTACTCTGTCTCGGCATCCGCGAAAAGCTTTCGAACATTCTCTTCACTCTGACCAACAAACTTACTCAGGACCTCGGGACCACTCACGATCTTGGGTTCCTGTGCATTCAACATCTTTCCGATCTGACGAGCCATCAGGGTCTTTCCTGTTCCCGGAGGTCCATAAAGCAAAATACCCTTGACATGCTGAACACCCAACTTTTCAACAATCGAAGGCGGGAAGATACGAGATGCAAAAGCACGTCTGAAAATCGCACTGAACTCAGTGTCCAGACCACCAATACCAAGGTCCTCAAACTTGAAATCAGCTCTAATCAAAGGCTTTGCAGCAGACCTTTTTTTTTATTATTATTAGGTTTGTTTTGTTTTTGTCTTTTTTTTCTTCTTATTCTTCTTCTTAAGCAGAAAAGAATAGCAATACTAAAAGTCCTTTTATGATTATGATCATTATTATTTTTATTACTTACGAACGCTTGGCTCCCTTGAGACGAATAGTCGAGTCGGCAGATTTTGTAAATTGAATCAAGGTTTGGTGCATCAACAGACCCCGGGTGGCCTTTCTTCCAGAACCGTGGGACTCGGCTTCGTTCTTGGACCCGGCCTTGAGGGTTTCGAGTTCGACTACATCCAGATCACTGATCTTGCAAGTCAACTTGATACCCTGGAACTCAAATACTAGCGGTTGGCCAATTGTGAAGATTTGATTATGAAACGTCTATATATGCAAAACAGCATATATATATAAAGGGGTGAACAATTTGGTAAGTATAACACACGCGCGCGTATATAAAATTAATTAATTAATTAATAAATAAATAAATAAAGTAATACCAATGAAAAGGCCTTGGCCATCTCTTCTGTGTCAAAATCATCGCTAACTTGCATACTCTTGCGGAAAAATCCAGTTTCGATTTTGAGAGTAGCAAGATAAATGTCAGTTCCACCAGAAAATGGATCGTAAGGTGTCGCGACCACTTCCTGGTTGAGCGAGAATTGAGCCCAACGACGTTGCATAGCGTTGGTACCAATCAATCCCTTTTGCATAGTATTATCGACTCTATATATATATATATATTCACCATCCTAGTTAGCATTCCAGATGTTTCGCAGTGCTTTTATTATTATTATTATTATTAGTAGTATTAGTATTTTTTTTTGGTTACTAACCTCATCGTAAACACGAATTCACCATTGAGAATAATGTAATGGTCTTGAGAGTTGAATTGACCTGGGGCAATGTATACATTGTTCGATAGGGCAAGTGTATCTACCGGACACATTGCGACCTTCATTGTCAATTCTTCGGGACCAGTTCGGTTGTTGTAAGGAGCAGTAGGGCGGATGCCATGAACACCTCTACTGGTGTAATTCTCATCCATTCTGTATTAACAAGTTAAAGAAGATGAAGTTTCAAAAAAACTAAAGGAGAAAAAAGAAAAAAAAAAAAAGACTATTTTAGCCTAAAGCCAAGAAATACTATATAAAATAAAATAAAGTAAAATAAAGTAAAATGGTTGGCTGGATATATTTATAAATATAATATTTTCCACCTCTTTCTCACTTCCTCTTTCTTCTTTTTTGCATTTTTATTTTATTTTTTTGGTCTGACCTTCCGCTATTTCTATTTTGGTGCAATCCAGTATATGCTTGGGTTGAATGTAGTACTTTTACAATAAGAATTGTAGTGTGTGCCTTGGTAAGCAAAGGCTTTGACACAGGTTTACGGCAAAAAAAAAGAAGAAGAAAAGAAAAGAAAAGTCCATGGTGTGTAAAGCTTTACGCACGGTAAACCTTACTGACATTCTTTCGCGTGTCAGCATTAGCATCATCGACAGGCTCAGATTTTGTCCACCTGTATTTTATGTAGATACACTTTTGCTATTTTTGTAATCAAATGAATTTGTATTATTTTGAGAATAAGAAAATTGTGAATTTGCTGACGTATGTGATGTGTGGGTTATTAGATTTAAACTAATAGACATTCAGTTTGAATACTTGAATAACTGTTTAATCTAATTGTCTATAGTCTGATATGACTGACACTCATTCATATGCCAGTAGTTTGCATCAATCCAATACTCTGTACAAAGAATCCACTGAAACATTACAAACAAACAATAGTAATAGTAATTGTGGTGATGATGATGACCGTTCAGCTTTTGATAGTAGAGTTAAGGATACAATATAATAATATTGTGCACAAAAGAAAATTAAATGATGTCTGGATTAAAAGGAAACAACTATGGCTATTCAATGGAAGAATGGGAAGCTTGGGTGTGTGTACTACGACCATTTGTTCCAAACACTCTATCTGATGGAAGACACGCCTGAATCGACTAGATTTGAGTTTGTTCGCCAATGTAATTCAAATAAGCCAAGCTTTGACCTTTAAATTCTGATCTTTGATCTTGTTATTGGCTCTTTCTGGTAGTGATTGATCAAATACAGCCTTGCATCTTACTACTGACACACGATACATTTGGTTCATTCGAAACCTTACTAGAATTATGCAAGTATTCTTTATTTCGTATCTTGAAGAAGAAAAGAAAAGAATACTTTAGATTTTAAATATATTTTTGCAGACGAGTGTATTCGTGTGGAAAAGAGATCTTTCAAGGAATTCGATTCTAGAAAAGGAAGAATCAGTCTATTGAACTGGTATATCCATCAATCGACTAGCCAAGATTTCCATAGTAGATCCCAAGCTGCAGAAGATTATAGTAACAACAACAATAACGATGATGACGACGATGATGATAGCAAGAGAACACAAGCTATGATTAGACTAACTGGCCTTATTAATCCCCAGAGTCATATTACAGTAAATTTTCTTTTCTGTTTAAGACGATAATAATAATACATCATTATTATTGGGTCAGCAGATAAACTTTCTATATATAAAAATTATAGATTGGATGTGCAGGTGCTCTTTTAAGCTACTTGCAGCAAATAGAGGACTGTGCTTATTCAACAACATCGAGCGGATCCAGGCTGTATCCTCTGTCCTTGAAGACCTTTACAAAGTATTAACTAATCTAATCGGTTGGCAAGCATGTGTGTGTGTGTTTGGTTTTGTCTATTTAATAAGTATTTCAATGATTCTTAGCAAATTATGTGTACAAATCAATGCTGAAACATCAAAGTATGCAATATCTATATATATCTATATATATATATATTAAAGAAATATATTAATAGAAAAGTGTAATTTTTATCTTTATTTTAGATCCTTGAGCCTATTTGAAAAGGATACTCACCCGAACATGCACCAAAAGAGAGGCAAAGAAGGCTTCTCTCTGTTTGGTAACCTTTTGTGTTTTATTCTTTTCTTGATCGAATAAAACGATAATTGATATCAACGTATCAATATATGTAAAATGACAAAATATAGGTGTTCTTGATCAAACAGTTACCCCACTGGGCCACCATCTTTTGCGCCAATGGTTACAAAGACCAAGCCTAGACATCAGCCTTATCAACACAAGACATTTGTCTGTAGAATATTTCTCGGGTCACGGAAGAGCCGAAATGGTAAAAGAGCTGGTTGGATATCTTGGAAACATCAAGAATGTGGCTCGTCTCTTGGCAAACATTAGGGAACATCGCGCAACTCACAACGAATGGAACCAATTACTCAACGTAAATAAATAAATAAATAAATAAATACCAACATTAAAGATATTATAATTTATTTATTTATTTTTATTCTTATGATTCTTATTATGATTATAGTTTGCCTATTATGGTATTCGTATCAATGGTCTGTTTAAGCATTCTCCACAATTACCTATTATTTCCAAGGTAATGTTAAATACACAATCTACACATATGCACACATACGTAAATCCTTGCTTCTAGATACAAGCCATAGATAAACACCTGTTGAGAACTCTTGGTACAGATATAAATGATACAGTAAGTCCATTAATATATATTTATTTATTTATTAATTACACCCAGACTTAATGAATACAAAAATCATCTTTGGCTTATTATTGCCACACGCATAAAAAGATTGACTTTGGACAGAGCTCGACTGAGAATAGAGTGGTAGTGAACACCAGAATCAACAAGGTAATTTAATGTCGAATATATATATATATATATATATATATATATTTTACTTGTATTTGTTATAACAAGGATCTCGATCTATTAAAAAAGAAATACGAAGCCCTCGATGATTATCTGGTACGAAGAACATGCTTGTGTTATATAAGCATTTATTTCTTGTCGATCATTTTTATTTATTTAATTATTTATTTACAGCTCAGTATTACACAAGATATGAGTGCTGATATGCCCATTGGCATTGGTGCCATGTTGAATGTGGTGTACTTTCCACAGCTTGGCTTTCTTGTCACACTACCGTACACTATTACATCCTACCCAAAAGACTTTGAGCTACAAGTAACTAAAGATCATATATATATATATATTATTGTAAGATATTATAGATGAACTGAAAATAATAACAATAATATTCTTTCTTGTTTAGTTTACAACAGGGGAAAATCTTTATTTCAAGAACCCAAAGACAAAAGGTAAGATCTTGTCATTTGTTTAAAGAAGTAAATTTATTTATTTGTCTATTGTGTAGAGCTGGATCAAGATATTGGTGATGTACATGCTATGATGATAGGCAAGTTTAAACAGACCAAAGTATACAAAATTTATATATATATATAGACAAAGAAGTGGAGATTATTCAGGCCCTGTCTGAGCGTACAATTGAAGCCAAACAAATGCTTTTGGAAACAGCAGAAATATTGGCTGAATTAGACTGGTAACAAAACAAAAAACAAAATTGGTTTTAATGTATATCTAATCATCATCTTCAAAGCCTCGTTTCACTTGGACTTGTGGCTAGACAGAACAACTATGTAAAGCCGGAGATGACTAACGAAGATAAACTTTGTATTATCCAAGGAAGGAAAGTATAGGCGAGATGGTACAAAAGAAAAGAAAAAAAAAGTTTATTATTATTATTATTATTATAATAATTGTATTATATTAATATACGGTATTATTATTGGTATTTGCTGATATTCCCGATATACTTTGTGACACATAGACACCCTATTCAGGAATTGTGGGTTGATCGATTTATTCCAAACGACACCCGTCTTCGTCAGGCTTCCTTTAGTGCCGAACAGCAGTCAACAATTGACCAAGACGGGGTTGGGCCAGGGAAGGTGATGGTCTTGAGTGGAGCAAATTATTCTGGGAAAAGCGTATATTTAAAACAGGTTAGAAATACCAAGAAAATTAAAAGAAGAGGGATATAATTGTTTTGTGTTTAAGACGTACAAATATTTTGAGATTCAAAATACCAAAGCAAAATAAGAGCAATGACTATTATTATTTGCACACACCTGTAGGTTGCGTTGATCACTTTTATGGCTCATATTGGCAGGTAAGTGTCTAATTTGTACCAAAAGGAAATAATAATTAAAAAAAAAAGGTTGAATTAGTTTCGTACCTGCTTCACATGCAACTATTGGTTTGACGGATAGAATATTTACACGCATCCAGACATCAGAGACGATTTCACAAGCAAGATTACAAGTCTATTTTCGAATATCAATATTAATATCATTAACAATCTATAGGTTCAAAGTGCATTTTCATATGATCTACAGCAACTTCTTCAAGCAATAACTTACTCTACCAGCCATAGTCTGGTCATTATTGATGAGTTTGGCAAGGTATTAAAACTAAAGACCATTATCAGTCATATAATATAAAATCACATAGGGAACATCATCTTCGGATGGTATTGGACTATTCTGTGCAGTATTGGAAGAGTTTCTATCCAAAAAAGCCCGGTGCCCAAAAGTGATTGCGAGTACTCACTTTCATGGTAAATATTTATTTATTTATTTATTTTATTTTATTTTATTTTATTTTATTTTGGTTATAGAGATCATATCTAGGCAACTACTGCGCCCTGATGGATCGATTGGCTTCTACACCACACAGATCATCATAAATCAGCAAACCAATGGTTCTGAATCTGAACCTTGTGAAACAGATAGAGTCAAAGACATTGTGTTTCTGTACCAGATAGTTCCTGGTGTAGGGTTGAGTGGCTCATACGGTGCTTGGTGTGCATCACTTGCAGGAATACCACCTAAAACTGTCAACAGAGGTAAGATTGTTTTATTGTTTTTTTTATAAACCAAGACAAGAAAGAAAGTAAAGGAGATAATCTAATATTTACAGGTGTAGCGTTGTACTTGTCAGACAGGTTTGGTAGTCAACAGCCAATCGAACCGCTTGAGAGTGAACGGGAGTTTGGTATATTTAAACAGCTGGAAGACTACAGTGAGGAGTTCCTGATGATCCCTGTGAGGAAGGACAGCCAGGGTCTTACACAACACCGAGATTTGATCAAATCTATAAGTGATTTGTTCTCAATAAACCAAGAATAAAGAAGAAATGAAAGTATACGGAATTCAAGCAGTCTTATTCGCCCTGAGCTTGGTTTTTATTATTAGGGCAGTTCTGGTCGGTCAGACGGTTGTTTAAAGAATATAAGAAAGAAAGATCATTTTCTTTTAATAAACTGCTGCTGCTTTAATGGCTTGCGAGTATTCTACAGACATTCACAGTCTAGATCTTGACGATTGCTTGGAACAAAACAAAAAAAAAAGATTCTTTTGTATTGTGTATAGTGGCATTTGGTACAATTTTATTTGGGCTGTGCACCAATATTATTTTTATTTTATTTTTTTATTTTTGCACCAACAATTTCCGGAAAGAGTGTATAAGCACCATATAAAAATAATAGTAGTTAGCTTATTGTGTGACAATTTTTTATATTTTTATTTTAAAATTTCTTTCCTTTTCTGATCTCTTCCTATATGTATGTACAAATATACATCTTTTATAATAAATAATCCTTTTTTTTTTATATTAATATTATATATTTGATTAGCAATTGATTCCAACATCTTTATCCCCCTCACTTCCTGCCTAGCCTTTTTGCTTTTTTCTTTTTTCTTTTATATTTTATATATAATATATAAATCCCTCTCTCTCTCTCTTTCTCTTGTTTCTTCCCTCTCTTTTTCCCTCTTTTTCTTCCTTCCTTCCTTCCTCCCTCTCTTTCTTTCTTTAATACCTATTGTTACCAATACAGTATACAATATTGTCTTTCAAGCACACTCTTTATTTCTATAATATAAATCACTATTATTTTATTATTTTATTTTTTGTAAGCCTACAGAAAAACAAAAAATTCAAAAAAGAAAATCAAAGGAACACACAAAAAAAACAGAAAGAAAGAAAAAAAAAAGGTACTCTAGGATGCCACGAATCTATCATAAGCACACCAACAGTGGAACAGAGGTAGTCGAGCAACTCAAAGTAATGGACTACCTTTCCCATCATCGTCACCAGGATCGACGCCTTGTCCAAACCAAGACCAACAATCGTCAACTAGCCGAGCCTAATGATCACCTTCATCTCTCGGCCAGACCTCGTAACCGACACACAGCCCACAATCATACAAATGTCCATCCAAATGCCCATGAACACACCGACCATGGTTCATCATGCACAATCCCCTCTTGTAAAAAACTGCTGAATGAGATGGAGGTTATTATGCGCCAAAAATATGTGCTTGTAACCGGAGGAGCAGGTTATATTGGAAGCCACACTGTATTAGAATTATTACAGACAGGCTACAAGATTGTAGTGATGGACAATTTGTCAAATTCAAACCTGGGTAAGCTTAATTTTATTTATATATAATTTTTTTTGTTACCCCCTTTTTATATATATATATATATATGTATCTGTTTTGGAGGCTGGATAAAAGTTCTTCCTCAGTCTCCCTTCCCTTTTTGTGTATATATGAAGAATCTAATAACATTTATTAATTTCTTTAACTTTCTTTCTTTGCTTGCTTGTATTGAACATAATTAGAGGCTCTTCGTAGAGTAGAAATCTTGGCTGGAAGACCAGTCCATTTCTTCAAGGGAGATATCACTTCAACTGCAGATCTGGAAAGAGTCTTTTCACAATATGCCTTTTGGGCAGTCATTCATTTTGCTGCCATAAAGGTAACAAAAAAAACTATAAAATTTATGCAATTACGATTAATCCTTGTGTTTTATTGATCGATTAACCTAATTTATTCCAATTATTGCTATTTTGTAGGCAGTCGGTGAATCTGCGCAGATCCCTCTCGATTACTACCACAACAACGTGACCGGATCACTCAATTTGATGCGAGTCATGAACCAGTTCAAGGTCAAGAACCTCGTGTTCTCATCTAGTGCGACTGTTTATGGTGAACCAGAGATCGTTCCCGTCAATGAAACTGCCCGATTAGGTCCGGTCACAAACCCTTACGGCCGAACCAAATTGTTTGTAGAGGAAATGGTTCGCGATCTTTGCAAATCCGACCCAGAGTGGAACGTCTGTCTCTTGAGATTCTTCAATCCTGTCGGTGCACATGTATCAGGCATGATCGGCGAACATCCCCAGGGTATTCCAAACAACCTGCTCCCATATGTCATCCAGGTCCTCCAGGGCAGACTTCCTCACGTCTGCATCTATGGAGACGACTATGACACCCCAGACGGCACAGGTGTACGAGACTATATCCATGTCTCGGACCTAGCTACCGGCCATGTAGCTGCCCTCAGAAAACTAGAGAAGAGACCAGGCTGTGTTGCCTACAATCTCGGAACCGGAACCGGGTACTCGGTCAAGCAGATCGTCAATGCAATGGAAAAGGCCACCAAGAAAAAAATTCCATACAAGGTAAAATTGCTCTATTTCTTTTTAAAGATATATATATATTTATATGTTCATTTTATTTAATCACAATAATGTATTATTATTATATATAAAAAGGTTGTCGATCGTCGCCCGGGAGATGTTGCAACCTGTACAGCAGACGCCAGTTTAGCAAACCGCGAGTTGGGATGGTCTCCTATCAGATCTATGGATGAAATGTGTCAAGACATGTGGCGTTGGACACACTTGAACCCCCAGGGTTACGATGGACCACTAAAAGCAACAGCAGCAGCAGTAGCAGGAGACCACAAATCCTCATAGACAAATCAATGATTACAATATGATACAACATCATCCATAACTCATCAATCATCATTACACACCGAACGAAACCACATCCCCATATATCACCACACCACACCACACCACACGAACACGAACACGAACACGAACACACAAACAAACATACATACATACATACACTTTCTCTCTACACCTACCTACCTACCTACCAATTTGTTTACTTATTTACTCGCTTATTTACTTACTTAATTACCTACTTACCTACTTACCTACTTACTTACTTACTTACTTATTTGCACACGCACAAAAGGGAACAAAATAATAAGAAGAAGAGCTAGAACTAGAAGAACAAAATAATGAAGTATTTAGCAGGTCGATTCTGTTTATTTGTCTTCTCTTTTCTTTTAATTTTAATTCTAATTTTCTACTTCGACTTCTATTGTTCTAGACATATAATTTCTTTACCTTTACCTCTATACATTTTAATTCATCTAGTGCATTTATAATATCGTTCTTCTTCTAATTTATAGCCATATTATTACTACCAAATATAAATAATACATTCAATGTACCAAATATTACTTATTTAAATTTGCCTACTCGCCTATAAAATATTGTGAATGTGGCGAATATATGAATGTTATGTATGTCTCAAGAACACCAAAAAAAGTCTATAAATACTATTATGTTAAGAGTATTTATATTTTCATATTGGTGCTTCTTTGGATACCTTTTACTTTGTAATCAAGTATTAATTCACTCGGCAATTAATTAAGGCTTTTTTTTTTATATATTTTATTTCATTATTTATACAATCTTAACCAAATTACACAAGATATCCTCAACTGCATCCGTGTATCCCAGATGTCCATCCAGATCCAATTCAATATTCTCAATTCGATTGATTTGTACAGGTTCCAGTCCAGCAACACTAGTATCTAGAGAATGAAGGCGATACACAAATGCTAATACATATATACGTATGGTTTTACAAAAAAAAACTCGTTAATATACACATAATGTATATATATAACAGTCTTTACCTAGTACCCAGTCCTTGGAAGTATAACAATTTACAAATCTACCAGATACTGTAGATACAATTTCGTTCCATGTCTGTTGTTCATGACATGAAATAGGAGCACCCATCAATACCACGTTGTCTACTATTCCTTCACAACCTCGATCGAACAACTCTTTTAGACAGTGCCAGATCACAATAGTTCCACAGCTATATCCAATCTATAAATCCAATATATATGTTTCATTCTTTATTAATATATGCATTTATCTGCTTGTCTTTAGAGTATATATCCTTGAAAACAGATAAATAGACTTACCAGATTGCATGGTCTGTTACCCTGAACACGTTCCTGCAATACATCCGCTAAAACTGTAGATAGCGAATATTATTATTATCATTATTGTTAGCTCAGAGATAAAGAAATATAAAATGTATTTGTAAACTTACTTAGACCTGCTTTACGAGATCTGTCAGAAGCAATTTGCCATGGATTATCAATTACATCTGCAATTGATAGTAAAGTGGCTGGCAAAGCAACAGCAGCTATATATATATATATAGAGAGAGAGAGAGCCACACAAATATACACGCACGAACCAAAACAAAAAACAAAAACAAAGGTAAGTATTCGAGTAATTGGTTGTCAGGCACACTTTACCAAATACAGCACGAAGAACAGTTTGTTTGGCAACTTCCACACCAGCGTATTTTGCTGCCTGGCTAGTAACAAATCGTCTAAAAGAATGGCCTAGCGTGAGGAGGGCTTCAGTCTCATAGGAAAGACAGTAAATATCACTATTGATTCCTTTTCGAGAAAACGCATCTGCCCATGGTGCCTTGTTTTTTTTGTTATAAATCAATTATAAGAACATGTCATTAATTCAATATATCTATAATAATAATAATACTATTATTATTATTATTACCTCGACTTCTTCTTTACTTTCTGCCAAGAATCCAGTAATACATATAGTACACTATAAAATGAAATCCAACAGAGGCAAGCAAACAGTGATCATTAGTATTATAGCTACCAAAACCCGGAATTTGGTATTCATGTATAGAAAGCGACCTACACTGAGTGCTGGAATAGGCGGTAAATCTGAGTCATTAAGAATCTGAACAAATTCGAATTCTTCTAGACCCCTTGTTCGTCTGTGCATTTTCCACCCTATTATTATGTATTATATGTATTTTTTCAATTAAAGTTAATTCCTTTATCCCGGCTTCTTGTTTTATTGCATAAAGTATATATATATATATATATATATATATATGTATTGTGTGCGTATTGAATTATATGTTTGCTTACCTGCCAATCCACCACCTTTATTGTTGGTAAAGAGTTACATGCACGGTTTAATATTAAGTATGGCACACGGAATTTTATTTGTGTGTGTGTGTGTGTGTGTAAAAGTAATATGGGTGACTATTAGTATACCAATGTTTTTACTATACTTTTTGGTCTCGCAAATTACCTGTCAGTCCAAATAGACTTGTGATAAGAGCTACTCCACCAGCAGTAGCAAAGAAAGTAGCACCTGTCAACCCTATTTGATATATTTGTTAATTATTTGATGATTTGTTTAACTAAACAGACAGCTATAGAAAGCATGGCATGTCATGCGATGGCATATACGTTTTATATCTTTTTATTTTACCTGCTACAAGTGGTGCTACGAGTGGTGCTGCCAATCCTCCAGTCAAAGCTATATATATATATATATATGCAATGCAAATTTATATTCATATAAAATTAAGATATTCAAACAACGCATTTTCCTTATTTTAATCTTACCAATTACGGCACCACCACCAATAATGCCAGCTCCAGTAGCTAACCAACGAAATGCCTTTTTCTTGTTATTAGTTTCATCCATAGCCTTTTGTGCCTGCCGTCCCATGCCAGCAACACGATCAGAATCTGAGTCTGCTTTAGAAGCTTCTTGAAGAGCAAAGTACATCTGTTGACCGATACTTCTTTCGACTGCGCACATATCACCCGTATCAAGACCCAAAAGTCGGGTCAAGGCAAAAAAGAAGCATCGAGAACGAGCATCATATATAATTCCACTCTTTCTAGATAAATAAATAAATTGATATATGAATACCCCCTTCTCTCTCTCCTTTTTGTTGTTACTGTAGTTGCTGTTATCGTTTGCTTACTCATAATCAACTTTGTCCAGTTGCAAGGCTATTGCCAATAAATCTGTCAAGATATCAATTCGAATGTCGGAATCTTGCCTTGACAAAAGAGATAATGCGTCTTCGAAAGCATATGGTGTTGATTCTGGTAATCAAGGAATTGTAAATGATCAATATCATTATCTGTTAGAATAACTAGACTTTGTATTTTCTTCTCTCTTTATATATATATATATATATGCGTGTGTGTGTGTGTGTGTGTGTGTGTTTATACCAGTTTCTAGCTGCGACAAGTCAAGGTGATCGAGTAAAAGGTCCCACCATGTCATTCCCCAGGAACGATGAACAATAGGATCGACAAGGCTGAGGGCCTGCCCTGAAACCCGGGCAATCGCAAGTCTTTGTTGGTGATTCCAATTATCAATGGACATTTGAATGGGATTAGTTGGTTTATGATTCGACCCGGTCATTTTCAGCAAGTTAGTGGGTATTTATATTTATATATATTTATATATTTTAAAATATAAAATAAGGTATTTTAAGGGATATATATAAAAGGGGGGAAGAGAAGATTGGAGGAACAAGCCTAGAATTTATTTAGAATTATGACGTCGAGAACACGAATGAAATAAGAAACCAAAAAAAAGAGAGAATAAGACCAAGACCAAGACCAATATATATATATTAGTTCCAAAAGATAATAAAGAATAAGAAACCTCTTTCAAGAACACACACACGCATATATATATATATCTTTATAATTGCTCATCTAATTTATAGTTATTCTCACAAGAAGTACATAGTAATAAATAAAAAGTCAAGTACCAGAAGATAGAATGCTATACTTTTGTTTTTGTAAACAGCATTTAAATTTAAAGTATTTTAACATTTTTACTTTTATCCCAATGTTATCTTGTGTAATATTACACCTTTACTTATCTATAGATATCTCTTTAGAATCTCAAATGTTCTGCTAGTGTGTATGTGTGTATGCAAGGTATTTCAATGGCATTAGAAATATCTTTTTGATAACCAAGATTTGATATCAAGTAGTAGCTATTTTAGCTTGGATAAATCTATCAGCCTTTCGATAATTACGCTCCAAATAAGGAAGTAACAGAAAAGTCATTGATGTTGCATAAAACAAAAGTTTGTCCAACATATTCTTTACTTAATTCTTTAGTAATTGTTTTTTTTGTTATTTTATATTTAATTATTATTCATTTAACTCGGCCTTCCATGACAGCCTTGTTTTTCATGCAATCCCAAGTTTAACTCACTCAAACCTCCAACCACCAGACCTTGACTGTATGATAATAAAAGTCATATCCTTTTTATTTTTTTCGTGTGGCTCTCTTACTTATCAGCTCACATCCATAAACCTGGGCTGAATCTTCCAATAATGGCTTTGGACCTGGTATAATGCAAGCTACCGTATAAATAAATAAAAAATCACACACACACATTCTAAAAAATATATATATATACTTCGCTCGCCCAACTATAAAAAAAATAGGGACATTGGTGAGGCTTTATAATTTGTTAAAGTCCGATATACTAAATATGGATGCTTATAAAACATTTTTTGTCGGAGAGATATTTACTATTTATGGTCTACATTTGGTAAGCAATGCTTGCAGGAGAACTATTAGTACTAAACTCACAAACAATTACCATAAAATCTAGTTAATCAAAGGTTCGTTGGTTTATTATTATTATTAAAAAAATAGCTGTATTTCCTGTAGGCTTTTAGGTGTTGACAAATTAATGAAATTATTAACTAATACGATATAAAATAAGTAGTTAAATAATAAGTATAAATATATATAAAAAAAAAAGGATATTAATACTTTTACAAGCATACATTCAAAACACATATTGCCATTTTTTAGGATAGCAATATAGTGAGGTTGGTATAAAAATAAAGGGAAATTATTGGCTGATAGTGTTTATAAATTTTTAAGAAAATATAGAAATTTCGTGTTTTTCAAAGTCAATGTTTCTTTATATGGATAATGTTATCGTCTCTAGAATATATATATATATATATATATGTAATGTTTCACCAAGGTCTTTACTTGTTATTTATTTATTTAATTAATTTAATTATTTCTGTTTCTCAAATCTCAAATCTCTTCTCTTCTTCCCTTCTCTACAATGCCTCCCAAAAGAAAAACTCCTGCACCAAAAGCAACAAAATCAGACAATTTAGGTACCGAACCACCAGTCAAAAAGGCACGCGCCGCACCAGCAAAAAAACCTTTGACAAAAAAAACCGGAACTACTAGAGCAAAGTAAGTTCAGTAAACACATAATTATCATATTAGAAAGACAGGATGAAATTAGAAGTGTGTGTGTGTGTGTGTGTGTTATTTTCTTTTAGCAATTATATAAACCACTCAATAGAAGAAGAAGAAGAATGTAAAAGGATCGTAGAGAATCTTGCAAAAAAAAACAAAACAAAAATAACTGAAAAATACAATTAAAAGAAATTTGATACTAATATTTTAATACATCCATTAAATCGTTTACATTCACTATATAATTATGCACGATTCTGATTCTGATCCTGATTCCCTTCATAATTCTAATTACCATTATAATTACCATTACCATTATTATTATTATTATTGCAATTATCATTGCCTTTATTTATTTATTTATTGTCATTTACAAGAAAATCAACACCGGTAAAGAAACATAATAAAGCATTTGTGGACATGTTAAGAGTTTACAGACCAAACAAGTTGACACACTCAAAAAATGCACCAAATAAAAACAACAACGGCAACAACAACAAAACAAAAATTCAATTTCGAATTATGAATATTAGGAAAAGCCAGGTTTTCAAGAAAATATTGCCCGAGAATGGTTCGAACGCTATAGAGATCAAGACGAAACGGATATGATCACACCAGAGGGAACACAACAATTCTTTGAGGATATTGGTGTATCTTTGGAAAGCGTAAGACTATCATATATAGGAATACGATATGCATACATCATAATAAACTAAAACTATCGTCAAACTCATACATTTTGGGATCAATAGACAATGCCGATTATTATTGGTTGGAAGATGCAAGCCATTAGGATGGGTAAGTTTCTGATCTTAATTATGTATATTAAAATAAAATAAAAAGTAAATCAAATCAAATCAAATCAAGTCAAGTTAAATTCAATGAAAATAGTGATTGATAACTATAATTATAATAATCATAATAATACGAGATATTATTTAATTAGGCTTCTTTAGTTTGACTGAATGGATGAATGGATTACGTGAATTAAGGTGAGGGAAAATAATATTGTCATTGAATTTAAGCTAAACAGGAATTGTATACATATATATATATTGTGGGGGTTGGTTTCTTTAGAGTCGATTCTATCAACAAGTTCAAAGACATATTACCCAATCTACAAAATATGGTGCAAATAGACAATGAATTTAAGAAGCTATACCTGTTCTCTTTTGGATTTGCAAAGACGGCTGGTCAAAAAAGCATGGATGTAGAAGTAAGTTGGAAATCAAGAGAAAATGAAATGTGTAGGGCTTACTAATAAGATGCATGTAATATACTTGGTTCCTTTTTGTTATTATTTTCAGACAGCAACAGCTTTGTGGCAGATCCTTTTACAAGATAAATATCCGCACATCTCGTCATTCCTTGAATTTCTTCAAGTAAAGTATAACATGATAGGATCTTTGTGTCTTTGTTTTTTTTTACATAGATTAATATTTAATCTTGTGGTTGCTTAATAGGAAGTTAAGCCAGTTAAAGTGATTAACAAAGGTAAGATTTAAGCAATGTGTCAAGGTGTTTGCTAATAAAGAACACTGCATTTTGTCTCCTTTTCTTATTTTCATACTAGATCAATGGTCAAATATTTTAGAGTTTGTCAAGACTGTCCCTGTAGACCTTTCAACCTATGACGACAGTTCTTCATGTAAGAAAATAATAGTCATCACCTCAACTTTATTATATACTCATCTTCACTCTCTCACCAACAGGGCCTGTTCTCTTGGATGATTATGTGGCATGGAAGCGGGGGAAGTAATTCATCATAATGTACCCAATATAATATAATATAATATAATATAATATAATATAATATAGTATAATATAATATAATATAATACAGTATAAAATAAAGCCACTAGACAACAATAAGCCAAAGAAGAAGATAAAGGCAGAGTTTACATAGCTCGTTTACCTAATTAATAATAGACCAAGAAATAAAGCAAGTCAAACAGAATAAAAACAGAGGGAGCTAATATATATATATATACATATGTGTGCGTGTGTTTGTATAAGATGATGAATGAGGGATGGAGATCATTGTGACGAGCCATTGGACTGGGTTTCAATAATCTTACAAAAAAGAGGAGAAAGTGGATGTGGTTTGATAGACAGACGCCATGGATTCCCTGCATCATCGTCTACACGCGTCCCCTCATTCTGACGACGAAGCCGAATACTTGGACGAGCAAGGTACCTAGAGGCTGCCCAAATAGCAACACCAAAAGAGAGAGATATTCACCGACTACCACTGTTGCTAGAACAAGAAAAACTATTACAAGAACTATGGATTCAAAATGAAAAGTCGAATCTGTTCATTCAGGTGAGTTTCAAAGGAGGATTCTACAAAGCAAGCCAATTGCTGAATATTTTTCTTCCTTCTTTACTATATATATATATTCTTTGCAGAGAGGATTGATATTGATTGGATTTCTTGTTTCTACGATGTAAGTCTTTCTTTATCTATTCATCTATATATCTATCTATTGTGTATATATATATAAGATACGCACACCAAGTTTTACTAACAAACTTGCACGCATTACTATATATGTGTGTATACATACAAATAAGCTATGTTGCGTTCTCATTTGAGATCCTCTATTCTCAGTCGGGTTTGCCTTTGATTCCAATTCCAACCTCTATTCCTCAAACATCAACCATATTTTTTCCTCGTGCAGCAGCAGTACTGAGCATTCTCTCGCTTTATGCATCGATCTATACTCTCCTTACTACCTGTCGACTGTCGGTTCTTGAAGCTCTCTGGAAAACACCTGCCCACCGCGGTCTCGGCTCTCTTGACCTAAAAGGTGCAGCCGTAACATCCGCCCTGGCCTTAACAAGTCCACTTTTAGCTTTGCTAGGACAGACATCATGGGTCGAGCTTGGTTTCTGGACAATTCCTCTCCTTGTTCTCCTCTTAGACTTTTCGGCCTACCATATGATGTGTCAAGTTGAAGCTAATTTTGGGGATCTCGAAAAGGCCCGGTACAAGTTTAAGGCGGTCTGATGGCAAAGACGATTTTTACTGTAAAGAGAGGGAGAGAGATGATCTATTTTGACCATTATTTGTTCTTTTTTTTTGATTCTTATCTTGAATGAGTTGGCTATTATTATGTTTTTGTCTTTTGTAAAGAGGCAGAGGAACAATCATACGGAGGGACAAAGAAGACGGATTGCTTGTCAACCATATACATACATACATACATATGTACATACATATATACATATATACATACATATACATATACATATATTATTTATGTCTAGTCAAGAAAGGAGGATTAAAAATATTGGAATGTACAGGAGAGGGATAAAAAGAAGGGCTATTTTTTTTCTTTTTTGGTTAATTGTTGTTGGAAAAATACAAGGCATTCTTCTATTCTTCCTCTTCCTCGGTTGAGGTCGAATTTGTCTTGTGGACCATCATGAGGGCCAGTAAAACGGGCAGGTGAATGATACTGCCGAAAAACAATTGTCGGCTGGTCTTCTCGTTACTAATCACCCGCAAAATAAATATATATGTTTATCAGTAGGTTATTATTTGCATTTTGTATTTTGCATTTTGTATTAAACTTGCCTGTTGCGCCAGAATTTGACGGCTCCCCAGATAAGAGCAGCATTAACAATTGTAGAATCGACAGCAAACAACCAAGTAGTTATGTCAAGAAGAGGAAGACTGAGAGAGAGAGGAATCATGGCCAGACTGTAGCGCAGAGAGACACGTGCATTGAGCTTGGGATCAGTCACAGACATCATACGGTATCCAGCCTTGGAATAGTCTGCTCTGAGGTTCCATGCAAGCGCATTAAAGTGAGGAAATTGCCAGGCATACAAAATGCCACCCAATACCCATGCTCCGGGTTCCAATCCGTTTGTAACAGCTGCCCAGCCCATCATTGGTGGAATAGCTCCCACAACTGCACCTGCCCAGGTGTTTGCAATTGATGCACGCTTCATGGGTGTGTATACAGCTGTATAGAGAAGCACATTTGCAGCCCCCAGTGCCGCTGTCAAAGGGTTCACCATAGTTGCCAACAATGCTACGCCGGTCGTACCAGTTAATACACCAAAACTGAATGCATGGAAAGACGACAGCTGTCGGCGACCCAGTACTCGATTACGGGTTCGGAGCATCTGGGCATCATATGGAACCTCAATCCACTGGTTGATTGCATTCGCTGATGAAATGCACAATCCTGTTCCAATCGTGGTGTATAATAAATTTGCCACTGTTGCCGCACCAGGTGCCATTGCATATCCACACATTGTCGTCAGTGCTACAAGGCCAGCCAGCTTGGCCTTAACTAGCTCTTTGTAGAGTCCAGGTACTTCTGCCAGCGCAGGTGGAGTGATTGGCTTAAACTTGGTCACCTTGTTGGACTCGTCAGGGGTTGTGGTCGTATATGGTGCCAAAAGTCGTGGGTGGCGATGATGTGGCAACACCATACTGTGAGCAATACGGATCTGTCGCGTCTGCGTCTGCAACACAAGCGATAGCCGAGAGTTGGCACGTAGAAGAGCCATATGATGTTGTTAATCGCGTTGATTCGTCGAACAAAAAAAAAGCTTCTTGTACATTTTTCCCTTTTTTGTTTTTGTTTACAGATTTGCTGAAGATCCAAGGAATTGGAAGTCCGGATCCAAATGGGTTCCTTGGTTTCAAAGGAATTAAATTATGGTATTTAATTTTATAGATGGGGTATAGAAAGGAGTATATATATATACACGTTTGTGTATGTGTGTAATCGACTGGTAATGACATGTAGGCAATGCTACGAAGTAAATAGAGAAAACAACAAGTAAATATTAAGATGTTATGTATATCATCATTATTTTTTAGAAAGCCGGTAGTGTTGTGTTTAGTGTAGTCAATAATTACAGTGAAGTACAAATAAGCTTAATTAATTCACAGCTATACACTCTCCGGAAATTATTGGTGCAAGAATAAAAATAAATTTGGTGCAAAAATAAAGATAAAATTTGGTGCAATTTCCTACCATTTCTCTGCTTAATTCATCTTTTTTGGTGCATTTGGTGCATTTGGTGCATTCCATTTTTGCGCCAAATTTATTTTTATTTTTGCACCAATAGTTTCCGGAAAGAGTGTATATGTATATATGTCTTTAAATAAGTGCTTGTATTTGTATCCTTGGATACGTGTCCTAATTTTTTAATTAATTGGGGGTACTCAGCCAGATTGATAGATCAAATTCTTGTGTGAATCTTAGCCAGTGATATCAATTTGTAGTTGAAGACACCAAAAGACAAAAATACAAAATTCGTACAAAATTCATAGATTTTTATAGCATTTATAGAGTAAGCTTTTGCACGTTCTGATTTCTTCTTTGAACCAATACGCACCTAGACTCTCGAAGAAGCCAAGTGTTTTTTCTTTGTCTTAAGATCTGGCAATACATTGTCAACCTTGTGTATAGATTTATTGGATTTAAGGTTTTGCTCGAGCTTCTTCAGGGCAGCTGTCTGCTCCAATTTTACATTAACTTCCTTCTCAATTACTTATGAACAGTAACCTTATGGAGACAACGTTTCTATCTAACCGTACTAATTAATTTTGGCTACCTGTCCGGGTCCCGGTGTCTTTCTCTAATACTTCGCGGCAAAATGATGTGTCCTGGAAAAACGCAATATATTTATTGCACATATTAGCTTACTACTCTTTCACCACATTTTGAGTTAATTCATCTCTTTCCAGGCACATAACTTTCATTCCTTTAAGGGTCAAAGTCTGTATTTGGGCAACTTAAAAATAAAATACTGTCTCATACGAAGAACAAATCCTGTATATTCAATTAATAACTGTTTGTACCTTAGATTTATAATTGACAATAAAGAAATAATAATTAGTCACAAATGCACTATATCAATAGGCAGTTATACAAAAAGTTATGGGTTGTTGTCATTAGAGTGTGACGCAATCTTGTTGAATATGTTACTATTTATTGGCCTTTTTACGCGTATGATGTCTTTGTCTTTCTTTTACCTACTTATATTCTCAGAGTCTGACAACACCAGTCGGTAAGTAACCCCCACCGTCTCTTTTTTGAAAAGCACAAAAGAGAGTCTTTATACGAATATTATGCGTCCTTAGGGAACAAATAGAATTACTTCGTGCCGGTAGAATCAAATTGTCGTCTCCCATCAGGAAATGCTATCCCCTTAAAAGTAGCGATGATCTATGAATAAGAAAGATAAAAACAATATCGTATTGCATATAAAAAAGTAAGGATTCAGCTAATCAGAGAATCGTACGTTTTTCGATCAAATTCTGATCGAAATTTGATCTTTCTGAGTACCCCCCATATAAATCGAATAGCAAGCTTAATTAAACTAATTTGTTTTTTACTTACCATTAGTTCTCTGGACTGCATCTACCTGTTCTCTGCGAACATCAAAAAATCAGTAACCAAATATTTGGGAACAGAAGCACATCTCTCTTCTATCCCTTTGTTTTCAAGTGGAAAAACAAATGATATCGATCCCATATTTTTTAAATGGTACATGCAATTAACTAATGTAATATCTTACTACTATTGAATCATCTTTACATACTAAAATCTGACTATTTAGTTTAAATTTGAAGACAATAGCGGCAAATGGATGGAGTTGCAAAAGGCTACTATAGCTATATTGGGTGAAGCAATAACAAAATATGACAAAGTAGTGGTTCAAATCGCCAATTTGCTCCATACAGTGTTTGTATCTATTTTTTGTCATTGCTTTAGGTTACTATCACACGAATACTTATCCTCTCTTATTTTGTAGAACACCGCGCTTGCTAATTAATTCCAATAAATCAAATTTTGAGGACACGCATATCCATAACTTTGTTTCTTATATCATCAAACTGCTTTTTGGAATCGAGGACATCTTGAATCATCAATGGTAAATATTAAACTTGCAACTATATGTCTATTAAGTTATATGGTTTTCTTGTAGGGCAAACGGTAGACTAAACCAAGTTGATCAAAATGGAAAATTTAAACCTAATTATATTGCATACGTGAAGACTCGGAGCATCCGACATAATCTTACCATTGCCGAGGTTAAACCCACTGACGCAAGTTCGGGAAAGCCCCTAAGATATATAAAGGTGGGGCACGACGTATCCAGGGTGGGAGCCGACATTTTCTGCTAAGGTATATTTTCTTAAAGTAGTATGATAGGCGGGTATTTTATTACTTTGTATATATCTCAAATAATGCATAAAAATAGTATGAAGCTGTAAGTATAAAATAATATACTGAATATGATGCCTTTACACTTAGTTAAAGCTATTATTCTACCTTGTATCTGAGTAGTTTTATTACGATATGTATTAATTCTTAGGGACCAGATATAATTATTTGATGCTGGACAGCACGCCATAATTTGTGGTCCAGTAAAATCAAAACATCGTCTCCCACCAGAAAATGTCGTCCCCCTAGGATTAGCGCTCTCGGTATCTCTACTTGTCCCATTATTGAGATACTAACTTATAAAGCAATTCCAAATACCTCGCTATCAATATTAATATCAAAAAAATTCATTTCTTGTTCGTGCCTTCCCGCACTATCATAAGAGAAAAAGGGGAGAAGACGAGTTTTAGACATTTTGCAATATTTTTTCCCCTCTGTTATAGAAGGGAAATAGCTTATTATCCGCAAAAGTAAAAGATCAAAAAAGTAAAATTTATGTAAAGAACCTCTCTCTCTAAAAATACCTTTTAAATTGCCTTTTTTTTCTGGTCGTAATGCTTGTTCGTATACATGCCCCACTGACAATTTATTCGCTGCCTTTATTTTCTGTGGCTCTTATTCTATTTAGGTCTACTTTAATTATGGCTCTTTATGGGGCACAGCCGCTTGTAAATTACGTGATCTAGCCAGACCTAGCCTAGCTTTTTTTTTGAGCTTTTGATTTTTTTTTCAGCCTGCAAGAATTATATAAACTATTCCAAAATATATTTTTAAATTCATATGGTTAACTTTTAATTAAAGTCCATTGCTGAAAGCAGGATTTCCATATATGGTCTCCTTCTACCAAGTACCACACAAAGCCATCTTAATAGCGGTAGACAGATGCTTTTGGCTCGAGAAAGAGTTTTATTTATTCTTTTTTGTTAAAAAAAATAAATAAATATGATTGGGTGAACTTGAACAGTATTTGTTTAAAAAGTTACCCCATTTTTTGAAGAACAAATTCTTGGATAATTTACAAAAGCAAAATATAAAAGCTTTGTATACAATAACTTTTTGATGAATTATCCAATTTTTTTTAAGTTTTGTGATAATGCTTGACTTTTTGTTTTTCTTTAAAAAAAATTAACAGTAGACAGATGAAGTGTGATATGATCGGCTAGATTAGAATCCTTCTTATTCAAATCTTATTTTTGAATTTGCATCTGTCTATCGCTATTGCTTGTATCTGTTCCTAGTAAAATCCTTGTTGTCTAATGGTTGGTTTACATTGTATGAGTGTGTAGTTTCTCTGAGCCATGTACAACAGATCGCCGACAGTTTCCCTCCTAATAAAATATAATCTTTAACCTGAGCCATGTACAACATAAGGACCACTGAGAACAAGGCTGAGATTCAAGACAAAATAATCGAAAAAAAAAGATATAAAAAGGTATTGACAGTCGATTGTATTTATCTCCCACTTCTTAAAGAAACCCGAAGCTTCAACCAATTGACAGTACATAGAAACTCTTTTTTGTTTATATTCAACATGAAGTCGACCTTTCTGTTTATATTATTGACGGCCAGTTGTGCTTTGGCTGATAAGATCCTTCTTGGATACTTTCCAAACTGTAAGTCTTTATTGTTTAATTATTAATTATCATTATCATAATCATTTTAAAGAATTACAATCTCTTATTTACGCACATATTTGTTTTCTTACTTTTAGGGCTGGGATCATCGTATCCAGGTAAGTTTCTGTCAATTGACTCTATACATATTTTTTAAAATAAAAACTAATTCATATATGATTTTTCTTTAGTCTCCAAAATCAACCTTTCGAAATACACTCACATCAACTATGCATTTGCTGAGATGGCCAAAGGCGATGTACCTGAATGGCCAGACAAGAGTGTGGTTGACGTACAGCTCCCACAACTTGTCAAGGCTGCCCACGCAAAGAAAACAAAGGTTCTTATATCAATTGGTGGCTGGTCCGGATCTCGTACCTTTAGTACAATGGTCTCCAGCTCATCTCGCCGCAAGAAGTTTATCAATTGGCAAATTAGCCAAATTAAAAAGTAAGAAAGCATGGTAAAATGATTAATGAATATTGTGTTTAATGATCTCTAACTCACAAAATAGGTACAATATTGATGGAATTGATATAGGTGGGTAATTTGGTCTTTTTATCTTTATATAGCACTAATGCATAATGTATAAAATAGGAAAAAAACCATTAATTTTTGAAAACTAATTTGCTTCGTTTGCCCTTTTTTTGTTTCTTTTTTATATTCGGGGGTCAAATCAGATTGGGAATATCCCGGTACTCAAGGACAGGGATGTAATGTAGTCAACCTAAATTCAGACACATCAAACTTCCTCAAGCTCCTCAAAGAATTGCGCACAAGCTTGGATACAACATTTGGTGCAAAGAAAAAAGAAATTACTATTGCAACACACGTAAACACATTTGTAAATGCAGCAGGAAATATGAAGAATGTATCTGCATTTGCAAAGGTATTGGACAGAATCAACATCATGACTTACGATATCAATGGAGCATGGGGTGCCAACACAGGTACCTAATCATATAATCAACTATCAGTTTTTTCTTTCTTTCAATTCACTCAGCTTCATTATATACTAGGTCCAAATGCTCCCTTCAATTACCAGCCTGGCGAAGGATCAATTAGTTTTGTCTCTTCAATCCAAACCTGGTTGGATGCTGGTGTTCCTGCCAATAAACTTGTTGCTGGTATAGCCTTTTATGGCCGGGCCACTAGTAAGTAATTATAAACTCTCATTTGAGACATACTATTGGCAACATCAAGCTAATAATATACTATGTGTTCGTTTGTAATTTAGCTGCCAAACAAAATATGCTTATAACAAAGTATCAATATCAGCCTCAGATCACTGGAAAGCCAGCTCAAGGAGACTCTCTTGATGGCCCTTGGAAAGATCTTTCCTGTCCTGCAGATTCTGGGGACAGAACTGGAATCTGGCGCTATGAAAAGATTCGATCTCAAGGACTCTTGTCGTCCCCAACAAAGGCAGTGTCGCCATGGGTACGCACATGGGACAGCGTTAGTCAGACCCCTTGGTTATTCAATCCCAAGACAAATACATATCTCACCTATGACGACCCTGCATCAATTGCTGTCAAGGTCAACCATACTCTGTGCAAGAAATTGGGAGGATTGATGGTGTGGTCTGTGGAACAAGATTCTAGCAATGGTGAATTGCTTAATGCAGCATATTCTGTCCGTACTAGTAAGTCTTGCAGTAATTTAAAGCAAGGTTTATGATACTGATATCTTTTTTACAATAGAATCCAAACCAAGCGTGTGTCCCTATTGAATGTTATACTGTATTTTAGTTAGCTAATTTGTACATGTGTGTATCCTGTACTATTTACTTTTATTATATTATATTATATTAAAATACAAAGAAAATATTTATCTTAGTTAGACAAACACAATATACTATATATTTTATATTTTACGACAATTGCAGTGATATTCGCACATGTTGAGGTATTCTTATAAGATACGATACCAAGGCTGACTAGTATATATGTATATAACCAAAGGGTTAGGGAAAGTAAAGGTGCAAAAATATATCTACTTGCACAAACAAGACTGAGATTTGTTATAATAAGCATAATAAATTAGTCAGGACTTCACTCTGACAGTTAAAGAGACCCAGGCAACTGAACGTTATGGGTACAAAATGGAATTGAGTGGGGAAGGAATAATCTGTCGTACGAGTAATGTACAGTGGCCAATAGGAGCAGTTTGTAAATGGGCATTTTTTTTTGGCTTTCTAGTGCAAAGTGAGGTTTCGTTGGTTGGCGGATTGAAAGCTTACTTTCTTTCTTTCTCTCCTCTCCTCTCTTCTACTGCTACCACTAGTATTATTATTATTATTTTTGGTTTGAAATGGAGACAAGTTTTGGTGTGTCGACAGCTAGAAAAGGGCCACAATTTGAAAAATATAAGCGATACACTGATACATGGTTGATGGTACACCCGCCTATCCGTGGAAACAGAGCCAATCGACGGTTCTCTTCTTCGAGTGGCCAAAGTGGACTGTCGACCCTCACATCAAGCAGTAGCTTCCACCGAAAGGCTCTTTCTCTTGATACTGTCCCCTTATTAAATACAACCCCTACCACCTTCTTTGAAAAAGCTACCTGCACCATCGCCACAGACTACTCTTTACCTCAGGAAATATCCATGACGACACCCTCAGTCAAGCAACAATCATGTAAAGTTAAAATAAATAAATATAAATAAATATATAATCTTTTTTTCATTATATATATCGAAAATTGGACTTTTTTTTTTGTTCTTTTGGTTCTTGGCTCTTCCTCCTCTCATCTCACATTTGCGATCTTCTACACTCTCTCTACAATCAGCTACTAGTCTTCAGCAACCCACACTACCCAAAAGAAGATCCGGCACCGGTAACGAGAACGAGGGCTATGTAATGACCGTAAGGACGCCTGGAAATCAACAGCGACGCAGCATGACTCCACACATACTGGTACCCATCTCACAAGGACTTGTAATGTGTGTACGTGTTGAACGCGATTACTCCAAAGGAGATGGAATCACTAAATTCCAAACAGTTTTTCCTCCAGAACTCGAAGGACGAGTATGATCAACCCTTAGCCATCTAAAAAAATATGAACAAATGACTCTAACCTAATCAATAGATACAACATGACAAACTATTACACACAGTAGAGACTCTGAATGCTATATTACTACAAGCAGAGACATTAACCTTTCGACATGTTTTTGATAATATAATGGAATGTTTGACGATCTATACCTGGCCACTGCTTTTTCCTTCAAAATATCAAAAAGTAAAATGAAAGAAATTATGCATTTGAACAAAGAAAAAAAAAAAGGAAACTATCCTTTCTAATAATGTACATTCATATCAACTATTTTTTGGATGTTTTTTTTAGGCACTCGACCATCTTCGACAGTTTGTTGAAACGCAAAATAAAGAAGTATATAATCCCCTTGGCATGGAGATCACTAGTCCTGTCCGTGTAGCTTTTCTATATGTAGGTATTACCCAAAAGTTGTAATTACTAAGCTTAACTTCCAATTATATATTAGCTTGAGATCAAGATATTCGAGAGGAACGAAGCCTCATGAAACTAAAAAGAAGACGAAGAACATATTCCATTTACACCTTGTCGTAATCCATGCCATTCCCTATTTTACTTTATTTTTATTCTATTTGCCTCGAATTACCCCCAATCTTCAAATTACCCTCTTTATACTGCATCTATTTCTAGCTTCCCTTTATCCTCTATCTCTCTCCCTTTTTTAACCTCTGTTCCTATAGTGTGTCTTACTATCTTGTTGTTGTTTTTTAAAAGAGAAAAAGGAACAAAACTATTTCACCAAAACGTAATTTCTACATTTTATTGAAACCTAAACTAATCATATAGGGATCATTTTTCATTCAAATAATAATAATAAACCCGTTAAGCTTGTTTTTTTTTCCAATTCCTAAAACGTCAAAAATCATTACCTACACACCCTATTGCACAGTTATTTATGATTAAAGTACCCTAAATTTGCAACAGCCGTTCAAGATAATATACGAAGATCACCAGAAAGAAAAAGAGAACGACCCTGAGTTTGCTTATATTCACATTGATAATGCACAATAATAATATCATGAGAATGACTTAATCAGATACCTAGGAGTTTTATGATTTATTTTAAATGAAATATGAAGCCTTATATATATATATTCTTGGTTATGCTAATTGCCAAAAAAAAAAGTGTATAATAAACTAAATTGTATCTGATTTTACCAAGCCTATACATATGCATTTCTTTTATATATATATATATTTAAAAAAAGTTAAGGAACAGCCCTAATGAATATAAACGTCACGTTTACTCAAAGTAGACCAAGATCATTACTTGGCTTTCAATGAGTAACGACATACAAGAGATTCAGCATGATCTGCAATTGCGTTATCCAGGCCGATCAAAGGAGATCTCTATTCTATTGGGACTTATGGGAAACGTAGGGCATAACTACAAGGCTGAATTAAAACGCATCGTCTCACAGTACCAAATCGATCTTGAATTATGAAATACATTTACATGCACATAAACATGAATATATAAGCCAAGCGATGCCGTAGTACCTAGTGTGTTTATATATGGCCACCCTTCGTCTGGAAAAACTAGCGTCGTTAAAGCTGTCATGGAACGAACTTTAAGACGCTCTTCATGGGCACATGTGAATTGTGTCGAACGTCACACACCACGCATGTTGTTTGAACATGCTTTGAATCAATGGTGCGATTGGACACCAGCTTGGGAAAACAAATTTATGAATGTTTGCAAGGCAGATACCGCTCTTCAGTTTGTAAAGGCAATTCAAGAAGGTGTCATGGTTGGGAACAAAAAGAGACAGCTGGGCATTGATAGCACTTTGTATTTGGTAAATATATATTTGATATTTGTCGACTAAGGGCTCTTATCTAATCTTTTTGTTTTGTTTCTGTCTATATATGTATAAGGTATTGGATAGAGCAGAGAGATTGAGAGACATGCCTCCAACTTTATTACCAGTGCTATTAAGATTATCAGAAATGGTAAACCTACATTGTTTAATCTCAAATACAGGGCTGATGAAATGAAGGGGACATTAATACTAATACTATTATTCTTCTTTATCGGGACGTAGACGCAACGCAACATTTGTGTTATTCTCATAAGCACAGTTGTGTTTGAGAAGTTCCGTGTAAAAGGCGGGAGTTATGAACCCCTCTTTATCCGCTTTTCAGATTATTCCAAACAGGATACTCTTCAGATAATTCTACTGGACTTTTTGGCTTCTGAACGGCGAATTGCCATCAATCCAAATGAGAGTGAGGAGGAGGAAAATGGTCATGGTCATGGAGATGAAAAGGGAGAACTAAAGATTGTGGAATTGGATGACGATTTCTTTATGAGCTTTGCTGAGATCATTTATTCTATCTTCAACCACAATTGCAAGGATCTTAATGAGCTTCGGTATTTTTCTGCTCTCCTGTTTCCTCTATACCTTCAGCCTGTTCAGCAGGGGCGCGGTAAGCTTAAATAGACCGATAGCTAGAAATGTCATAAGAAAAAGGGGAATGCAATTATTAGCTCACTAGGCTTTTGTATAGTCGAAGTACATGAAAAAGCCAAGTTGTTCAAGTTTGCACAGCCTTATTTTGCCGAAGCAACCGGGAAACTTTATTTGAGAGAGATATCAAGTGCAGAGTGGATCAAAGAAACTAACGAGTTGGAAGAACACGAACCAACCGACAAACCCAACCATACGTTCTTAGCACAGACTCAAGCCCATGAAAAATGTAGGTCGATATGAGAAAAATCAAAATCAAAGCAATATCGACAAGATGTTTAGTTTTGTTATTTCGGATAAAGCTGGTTTCGATCTACCGTATTATACAAAGTTCCTCTTACTTGCGTCTTACCTGGCTTCCTACAATCCGGCCCGCTTTGATGTCCGGTACTTTGCAAAGATGGGAGAAGAACGGAGGAAGAAGAAAGGAGGAGGAACCCATAAATCAAGGGCAGGGCAACCGGGGGGTGGAAAGGTAGGTAGTTGGACTTGATATATGCTTATATATACGAGGGGGTACCTGGAAGGAGACAAAGGAGGACAGGGACCTCGTCTGTGCGTACCTTGTGCCGCAAATACTCATCTGGCGGTGAATATGTTAGATGAGGCCGCAGCTCCTGGGTCCAAAAGCATTTCCGATAGAACGCATGCTTGCCATATTTTATAGCATTATTGATGAACCGTTGGAAGACACAGTTGATATTCAACTCCAGGTAAAAAAAAATCCTAGAAGCTGTATTAAAACTTGATTCGGGTGCTAATATATTGACTATACTCCAGATCACTAGCTTAACAACTCTTCGTCTCTTGGTTCGTTCCACCAATATGGACCGATTGGATTCTGCCAAGTATAAATGCAATGTTAGTTTTGAGTTTATCAGGGCAGTTGCCAAGAGTGTCCGTTTTGAGATTGAGAAATATCTTTATGATTTCTGCTAGAAATAACAATAATAAATTTCCATACAATTTGACATATTCACTTCTTTAACAATTTTTGAACTCTTCTATACCTCTCCGCCTTTCCGCCTCTTTTTTTCTCTTTCTCTCTTTCTCTTTCTCTTTATGCTTTCTTTCTTCTTTATTTTCAACTCAGGATCTTTGACGACCCCATTTTAAGATTACAGTCAACCTGTTGTGTCCGTAGTGACGCAACAAAACGATAGTCGGACAATATAATGAGTGTTGGTAGCCGGACTGGGCAGATTGATAGTGGCAATGGGGGGAACTCCTCAAGTGTTCGATTCCCTTCTTCTTTTACAATTTACCCTCTTTGACGCGAGATTCCTCTCTTACCACTACTTTTTTCCCCTCGGCTGAAAGATAATAGAATACCTTATTCCTAAAAATGGCCGATTACTGGCAAGTATTCCCGGGCTAATTTCTGTATTAACCTCGTCAACTCATTCATTCAACCTGAATCTGCTTAAATTCTATCATTTTTTTTTGGATATTTCTCTTTCCTATCCTGCCTTTTTTTTTGTCTCTTTAGCCCCGTCTACGCCCCTTTCTTCGGTTCCATGGGCTGTACAGCTGCTATCGTATTTAGCTGTGAGTAGTTCTCTATTTTATAAATTTTATTCTATCAAAAAGAAAAAAAAGTGTACGTTATGTAGACGCGCATTGCTCGGATGAGTTGTCGTTTTGTTTTGAAACGCTCCAGGGGTTTATATATATATATATATATTACTTTGTTATATTATATTATAATTATGTATAAAAGTATACATTCATATACGCACATATTAATGAGCTATTAAAGGTCTCGGAGCTGCTTACGGTACTGCCAAGTCTGGTGTCGGTCTTTCTGCCATGGGTGTCTTGCGGCCCGACTTGGTCTTGAAGTGTATCGTCCCTGTTGTCATGGCTGGTATCTTGGGTATTTATGGTGTTGTCGTCGCTGTCTTGCTTTCCGGTGGCTGTAAGTACTTTGAATGCGTATAAATATATATGCACCCACCTAATATAAATATTTACTTCTTTATTTTATTTTATTTTATTTTATTTTATTTTAAAATATTATAGTGGCCATGAAGCAAACTCTTTTCAGTGGATTTATTCAGTTTGGTGCTGGTTTGTCCGTTGGATTGAGTTGTCTTGCGGCTGGTATTGCCATTGGCATCACAGGTGACGCTGGTGTCCGTGCCACAGCTCAACAGCCTAGAATGTTTGTTGGCATGGTAAATATTGATTTATTGATACTTACATTTATATTTATGCCTATGCCTATGTTTATGTTTATATTTATATTTATGTTTATATTTATTTGTAAAATGAATGATGTCCTAATCTAATCTAATGTAAATTTTGTAGATTTTGATTCTCATTTTCGCCGAAGTCCTTGGTCTGTATGGTCTGATTGTTGCTTTGATTTTGAACACCAAGGCCGCCGGTGGAGAAAGCGTGTGCCTTTAAAATATTTTGGCTAGACTGGTTGTATTGATCCATTAAACAAAATAAATATATAAATCTAAAAAGAGAACAATTTTGAATATGTACAATAAAATATACATGTAAAACGAGAATTGAAAATAATAATAAAAATAAAAATAATAAAAAGAGAGTTCATATGCAAGGTACTTCTTGGTTCATGTCTGCCTGCCTGTAGACGCCACCGTTGTCTGCAGCAACCAACTTGGTTTAAGTTAATGTCTATTTTTGAAGAAAAATTGTGGGTACTGTAAGGGGGAGGGGGATTACTTCCACCCCCTTTCTATCTTTCTATCTTTCTATCTTTCTTTGCTTTTGCACGTCAAAAAAAATTCCTTTGGTCGGCACACGACTGGTACAGATTTACTCTTTTTTTTTTCCTTCTCTTAATATTTCATTTCATTTGATTTTGATAATTACTATTGTTGTTATTCTTTGTTCTTCTCTTACATTAACCCGCCTTTCTTTCTCTCTTTCTCTTTCGCTCTCTCTTTCTCTTTCTCTTTCTCTTTCTATTTCTACCTCTCTACCTCTATATCTATATCTTCCACGTATACACATTCTACCTATCAATATTTCATATCGTCTTCTCCAGATGCCACCTCACAAATCCCCACTCGAATATCCCACTCGCTCCTTTGTCACTTCCCGCATAAATGGCTATTGTCCCCCTGTGGCGACTCATCCGGCCGGACGAAAGAAGTTGACGGATGTCTTGCCCTCAATCCAAGGACAGAAAGGTAAGCAGCAACTATAATATAATACAATATACTCAAACTAACTCATATGTATGTCAGCAGGAGTGGCAAACGGCAGGAGTCGAAATACGTTTTGCCTGCCTAGTGATGACGAGGAAGATGTGGATGAAAATGAAAGTTCAGACGATGAAAGGGAGGTTCGGCCTAAGCACCCCCTAGGACCCTCAAATCGGTCTGCACCCGTCAAGACAGGTCGGGCCGCACAGCCACTTCCAAGCGATGATGAGGATGAGGATGATAGTGAAGGTATGTTGTATTGTGTTTTCTATCCTTCCACATTTTACTAACTAGTTAATATTGGCGTCCTATAGATTCAGACCAAGACAACCAAGGCTTACTCAAAGGACACCCGTCTTTGTGGTCAAATTCTCAGCGCCAGATGCGGGCCAATCCGACTACCATGCGTGCATCTCATCCTGTGTTTGACCACCAGAAAGCTTTTAGAGCCAGACATGGTCAGGAACAGTACAATAGTTCAAACAGCTCTTCTTCTCTTCCTCGTCACAATACATCTGCTCCAGTATCAGCCTCTACATCAGCTGAAGACCTTGCACTGCACAACTACCTCCATAACCAAGAGAGTGATGACGAGGTTCTAGGACAATCACGGCGCAGTGGCCAAGAGACCCATTTGCAGCAATTGCAGCATACTCAGCGTTACCAACAGTCGCAATTGTCTCAGTTTCAACAGCAGCATCAGTCGCATGCGCCTACCAACAAGGCTGCACAGCGTGGCCAATCCAGCGTGCAGCCTCAGCGCGTCACGATGTCCGGCATGGATCTCCTGAAGCAGCTCGAACAAGAGCGAGCTGAAGCCAAGCGCCAGAAACCAAAAATGAGTTCTTCGACTGCCAAGATTGAAGGACTCTTGGCCAAATTACCCGAACCTGGTCTCCATAATATCTCATTTCAGCAAATGCATGTCCAGACCCCCCTTCCAAAACCCAAGAAGTCACGGTCTCCTCAAGCATGGACAGGAACATATGAGCCTCAAAGATCCACTATGCCTGCTGTCCATCGTACTGTGCCTACCTATATGGCCCAGTCTGTATATGGGTACCCTCCCCCTGTATCTACCCCTCAGAGATCCGGAAATTCTGGCAAGATGGCTCACCAAGACACATTGCGGCCAAGCAGCAGTGCAGGCGATCTGCAACCACTACAAAGACGCTGATCTTATTTATACGCTTATATATATACACATATATTTCTTATACTATATCAAACAATCTTGATTTATTCTTCTCTCTTTCTTCATCTCTCCTTATTTAGCTATTCTGCGCTGCAGAAATTTACGTCTCATTAACTCAATGACATTCTATCTTTCATTTCTCTTATCCTAATAAATAAACCAATAAAAAAATTATGTTTTATTAATAATACCTTCAAAATTCCAATTTTTGATCTGGGAAATTCACTGGATCAGAAAATACAGACCAGCCTTTTTTTTTTTTTTTTTTTTTTACTTTTCCGCTACACAGTCTCCGCAATGAACGTTGTGTTTATACTCAATCATATACTGAAGGCACGTATCTCTTTCTTCTTCCCTTTCTTTTAAAGCCACTCAATTGCCATGTCTATAAAAGACCACGGCAAGGATACTTCTTTATCTAATGAAGACATTGCAAGTAGTATGTTTCAAATTTGGTGAAACGATCAACCTTGATTTTGTACTCAAAAAATCTTCTTCTTTTCACCTTTCATAGTCGTTTCTGCTTCAACTTTCGGACACGGCGATGACCGATCAAATCAAGGATCAAGTTTTACTGCTTATTTTAATGTTGTCTGCGTGGTAGCTGGTACAGGAACTCTTGGACTTCCATTTGCCCTTCGCCAAGGCGGTTGGATAGGTAAAGATAAATGAAGTTATTGCAATTACATATATATTTGTTCTATCTTTCTTGTTGATCTAATGCTTAATTTCAATTTCACAGGTCTCCTTATTCTCTTTCTCAGTTGGATCTTCAGTGTTTGTAAGCTTCTCTTTAAAAAAAAACAAATCGGCTGTTTCACAATCGATCTCACTCATAACTTCTGTAGACACCGGCGTCATCTTGATCCGATCCCTTTATTCTAAGAATAAGCGCCTGACTTCATACCAAGAAGTAGCAGAAGCTTCCTTTGGTGCCATAGGTGGCTGGGTGGCCTTCTTTTTCACCGCAGTCACGCTTGTAGGTGTACCTGTACTATATCTCCTTCTTGCCGGCCAGAATCTCCATTCGGTCCTTCAAGGAACATCCGGGGAACTCACTTTCCCTATCTGGGTTATTATATGCGCTGTTCTGGTAACACTCCCGTTCGTTTGTTTCAAATCGCTCAAAGAAATCGGATTTCTCTCCACATTTGGTGTCCTTTCTACCACCGTTGTTATCTTCATCGTCCTTGCTGTTGCTGTCCGAGAAAAAGGCACACAAGGAGCAAAGCACCACGATGCCGTGATCTGGGATCAATTTCCTATTGCACTTAGTTCAATTGCCTTTAGTTTTGGTAAACAATTAAACTCAATTTATCATATTAATGTTATATTGATTTACTCATTTATTTAATTATTAATTACCGTAATGTAATCTAATTATTTATGATGATTCGTCTACTAAAGGAGGAAACCCAGTCTATGCTCACGTTGAAGCTGGTATGCGCCGTCCTCAAGATTGGACCAAGGTAGTGACAGCTGGCCTGACTACTTGCGTGGTCTTGTATTTCCTGACAGCAGTTCCTGGATACTATGTATACGGAGTCGATGCCCTGTCTCCAATTTATGACAACCTCCCTGAAGGTGGGGCCAAGATTGCTTCGGTTATCATCATCACAGTTCATGTTCTCCTAGCCACGCCGATTCTCCTAACCTCGTTTGCCCTGGATCTGGAAAAGATGTTTCAGATATCAACCGGAAAGTTCTCTACAAAGGTTGAATTAGTCCTTCGTTCGGCCATGCGTCTAGCTCTGATGGTTATCATTACTGTCATTGCCATATATGTCCCATTTTTCGGTGACTTTATGTCTTTACTTGGTGCTTTCTCAAATTGCGCCTTGATCTTTATTTTCCCCGTAATATTCTACTTTAAATTGACCGGATTCCGCGGCAAGGCTTGGTGGGAATACATCCTGGCTTTCTTCACAGTCTTGCTCGGGGTGGTTGGTTTGATTTTCGGTACCATTTCCGCATGTCAGGCTCTTAACAAAGACTTCAAGGGTCAGGCCTGAGCTGCATTTTCTGTCAACTCACACATTTTTCTTACCTTTATTCTTATTCTTCTTCCTTGGCATACTCGTATTTCTTCATATATAAACCTAATTTCGAAACACTCTATTGTACTACTTTGTAGCTTATTAACTTTTATTAATGTCAATAATAATAATAAACATATTTATCATGTATTATACTTTAAATAACGCATCCAAATACACATAAACATTCACCCTTTCTTTCTCAGTTTTCTGTCTTGCATTCACTTTTTTTCTGCCCAAAAGGAGTAGAGTCGTCACGCATACTGTGGGTGTGGCTTAAATGAGCGGAGTGCTGGAATGGAGAGAACTCCTGTTGCCTTTTTGCTTGCATACCACACCACAAGTCTTTTTTTTTCTTTTTTGTTCCTTTCTTGCCTTATTCCACTTCCGCGTCATGCCTTTGAGCAGGTCAGAAGGTAAGTCCAATTAGAGTACAAATAAGCTCCTGTTACTTATTAGACTTGGCCGTTCATTAAGAGCATCGCCAAAGACGGCAAGATCATCAACTAGATGTATCAGTACACCACAGTAGTAGAGATAACAGACGGCATTGTGGGAGTCACAAGAAAATTGTCCACGACGATGTTGGGTCAAGGCAAGTATATTACGCAATTTCGGATGTATAATGCACTGTATTAGTGCACGCATATAGAAACTTGGGGTGAAATTAACATTGCGCAGACGAATCAGCCGTCGTCACTCTCATACAAGCAGCAAGTCCAAACTGAATGACAAGAAGAAGGAGCACCATAGCAAACGGCACGGGTCACGACACAGCTATTACTCAACTGGATCGATCCCAGCTACAGACGAGGATATTGGTGGCGATGAAGAGGATCGAAAAGATTACTGTAAAGGAGGGTATCATCCAGTGCATGTAGGTGAAGTATACAAAGACGGCCGATACGTAGTTATACGCAAACTAGGCTGGGGTCACTTTTCGACAGTGTGGCTAGTAAGAGACTTGAGGTATTAAAACAATTCAAAACAATAATAATTATAATCAGGTCGCAAAAACAAAAAAAAACAATACAAAAAAAAAGATAATTGACTTTGGTATATAGAACTGGCAATCATTTTGCTATGAAGGTAGTCAAGTCGGCTGAACATTACACCGAAACGGCTTTGGATGAAATCAAATTACTAGAGCGTGTAGCCGCTGCTGACCCTAATGCAGTTGGCTCAGATTTTGTAACGGCCATTGTGGATCATTTTAGGGTGACAGGTCCAAATGGAACGCACATATGCATGACTTTTGAGGTTTTGGGCGAAAACTTATTGTCGTTGATCAAGCGCTACCACAATGGAGGTATTCCAGTCCACATCGTCAAGCAAATAGCTAAACAGATGTTGCTCGGCCTGGATTATCTCCATCGTCTGTGCGGCATCATTCACACCGATCTTAAACCAGAAAACGTGCTTATGTATCTTGACAATGCGGAAGAGCTTGTACGCCAGTCAGAGTCCAGCTCTGCTGGGCTCGATATTAGCCCTGCCCGTTCTCAGACGACACCCGAAGCCGACAGTCACAGTAGAGGAAGAAGTCCAGTCCGGAAACGGCACGGAAATCACGTAAAGATGGTTCAGTCGCAACCACTTTCATCCGGAGCAGAGGAAGATGTTCGGGGTCGTCGACCAAGGAACGGCAGTAAGCGTACCCGTTCAAGGTACTACTTGCGCTGTTAGACGTGCGAGACACAGGGAGACTGACGAGGCCGTAGATCTCCAGAATATCCCAAATCACGGTGGAAAAAAGGGCGGGAAGACATGAAAATTAAAATCGCAGATCTCGGAAATGCGTGTTGGGTTACCCACCATTTTACCGAAGATATTCAGACACGCCAATATAGATCACCAGAGGTTATTATAGGAGCTCCTTGGGACGCTGGGGCAGATATCTGGAGTTTGGCCTGCTTGGTAAGTTGAAAATCTAAAGATATATTATCTTTTTGTGGCTTGATTTTGAATTTGAACCAGATATTAATATCGTTATCATTACTTTAAATGTTTAAAATTAGATCTTCGAATTGCTTACAGGAAATTACCTTTTCGATCCTCGAAAGGGATCAAGATTTACTAGGGATGATGGTAAGATTATTACAACGCAAATGAAGTAAACCCAAAAAGAAAAAAAAAGAACAAGGACAAGAAAATTTAGATAAAGAGGGAGGTGCACAGGAAGATCATTTGCCATATAAGGGAATTTGTTTATGTCTACGACCGTCTATTATATTTGTCTTGCTATTGATGGAAGCACTCATGTTATTTGCAGATCACCTCGCACAAATGATCGAATTAATTGGGCCAATGCGTCGTACCTTTATTCAATCTGGAAAGGACTCCAATCAATATTTCAATAGCAAGGGCCAGCTCCGACACATCAGCCACCTCAAATACTGGCCACTTAAAGATGTACTTCACGATAAATATCAGTTCAACCGTTTAGAGGCTGAAGAGATCGCTAGTTTTTTGGGACCCATGCTAGAATATGAGAATAGGGCAAGGGCCTGTGATTTGCTTGACCATCCTTGGATCAACGGGGTCGATCCAATTCTTGAAGGCGAACGCGAAGATAAGGCTAACTGGAAAACCGAACGTCCATGGAAAGAATGGGAACAACACAAAAAACAAAAACGACGTTAGAATATTATATGCTCACATTTATATATATATATATTTTTTTACACACCTTCTCTCTATCATATATATATATACACAACTCATACAGCAAGCTCCGAAACCAAGCTTTTTCAAAACTTACCGAGTATTTCTTCCCCGTACAATCCCTCTTGCTTTGACGTAGTTTGTATTTTTAGCTTTACACTAAACAAGATCCCCCTTTATAAACTATGGGGTCTCTGGTCGGCCAAGACCTAATTGTCTCTTCTCTTTTCTTTCCTTAATCTGATCACAATTCCTCATCACTTCATGGGGGTCATTAACTCTCATCATGCCCAAGACACAATCGCACTAGATTTTGGTAGTCAGCCACTACAACATAAGAAAGACAGTTACCTATCAGTCAAGGATAAAATCTTTGAATCCCGTAGATTCCCTTTATTTTTGCGTAATGATCGCCGGCACCGCTCATATGCCCAGCCATTACCTTCAACCCGACGCTGGTTCTATCGGTTGTTTTTAATAGTTGTGGCATTCTTGTTTATATTTGGTTACTTGCCATTCTTTCATCTGATTAGCAGTAATGGTCCAATAGTAGAATATGATGGATCCGTTATCTCTGATGCACTACCACAACATCCACTTGCTGTACCTACTGTACCTGTTCCTCGGGACCAGATCATCCTTTACCGCATTATCGGCAACGATCTTCCTCCACGCCACAAAGAAGGCCAGACGCTCTCAAATCTCCGCTTTATTCTTGAACATGAGCCTACTTTTCCTAACACTCGCAAGCTATTCATATTAAATCGGATTGCTGACCCAACCAATGAAGAAATGATCATTCAACTTCTAAGTAGCCATCAAATGGACTATGTTCGCCTCCCTTTTGATCCAGCTGAATACGAGAGTTTAGACTTCCGTCTCGAGGATTTCCCTGAAACGGACTTTCTCCACTCAGACTGGTACAGACGCTTCTCAAAGGTATCAAAGCTACGTACTCTGGACTACACTTATCACGACAAAAATGTGTATGCAATGAACAACGTAAGAATATTAGATATCATCATAAAATATTATATTTAATAGAGAGAAAGAGAAAAGCTTATTTATCTAAATATATATGTATGTATATATAGAACGGTGGTCGTAATGCGGCTCTCCAACATGGACGCGCTTTACCGAATGTCCGCTGGATAATGCCATTTGATGGCAACTGTTTTCTAAGTAAGAGTGGATTTGAAGAAATTTCTAGCCAGCTAGAAAGATATGGAGAAGAAATCAAATATTTTGTGGTCCCAATGGCCCGACTTTTGAACAACACGGTATTGCTGGAAACTGAAGAAGAGAAGCCAAAAGCACCAGAAGAGCCACAGATCATCTTTCGCTTTGATGCAACAGAAGAATACAACATGAACATGCGCTATGGTAGGCGGAGTAAGGTAAAAAAAATAAAAAATTATTGATGATTTGATTATAGACCAAAATTGCTCTGTGTTTATATTATTATTCTTTCTTTGTTTTGATGGACTAAAAGAAAAGTGTATGATGTTTAGTTGGAATTGCTCTGGAGGCTAGGAGCCTTGGAGAATCGCCGTCTCAACCGCCCGACTGTTCCTTGGGAACCTGTGGAACGCCCTTATAGCAAAGACAAAGGGAGCTATTTGACAATCGGTTGGGTGTTTCGACTATTCTCTGGAAACCAGCAACAGGAGGAAAACAAGAAAGAAGCCTCCTCTATTCGGGCGTTCAATCGCTTACTCGCTATCCAGCTCTCCTTAGATACTCTAGACGAGTCCCTAGCCCGTCGCTCCTTCAGACCTGAAAATTTGTTTTTGTACAATGAACGGGAGATGACCATGATTCGATATGCTTACTGGAGTAAAGATCCAGCTGTGTCTGCTGCAATGAGCATTCTCGAAGAACGTGCAGAAAGCATATTAGAGTATACACAAACACGCATGGTGACTTCCGAACCGGTTAAAATTCCAGAGGAAGTCCAGCTGGAGTTTGAAGAGTACGACAGCACCACACCTCCTTTGCCTGAAAACACAGCAGAGAACCTTGGGTCTCTGTCGCAAAATGTGACGATTATGACCCTGGCCAACTATTTTCTTGGCAATGAGGCGTACGGAAAATGTGCGGCAAATATGATTCGCGTCAATTTTCTAAATGAATATGCGTTGGACCAACAAGACGAGTACAGCTCCGCGAGAGTCATCCCAGACAATACCCATTTGTTAGACTTCTTATCAGATCAGGGCTATTCATTCCCTAGCATGAGCCGAGTGTCCAGGGCATTGACAAAGCGAGTAACGATGCCTATCTTAAACACTTCGGATCTAACCAAGACAGACATGTCATCTATGCTCGACTCAATAAGACTATTAAGTCGTATGCAAGCCTTGACACACAAGGAATATCTGGATCTACAGGCGATTATGGCTGAGTTCCTTGAATATCTTGTCACTTCACCCACTGGAATTCACTTGGCTCAAATGAATGACTATCGCGGAGTGCTATATGATCTGCAGGTTACAGCTCTCGCGGCTTTTACGGATGATGTGCGGTTGTTTTTGCGAGTGGCTAATAGGTGTAGGATGCGAATCGGGCGACAATTTAATGAAGATGGTTCGCAACCCCTTCAAAAGAGTTCAACCCATGCTCGATTTGTGTCTCCTTTGGAAAGTGAATCCGGCTCGGCCGAAACCAGTCAGCGAGTTCAGTTGCATTATGAGACTATGAATTTGCAATATTGGACATTACTGGCACGTGGCATCCAGAATTCAGGTGTTGGCAAAGACATCTGGCATTATACATCCAAGGCTGGTGGAAGTATTTCACATGCCGTAGTAGCCCACCTAAAGCGACAGGCTGTAGTTTTGCCGCAGTTATCTTCTGCTGATGGAGTATTTATGCAGTCCCGATTGCGACCTTTGGCTTATATGGCTCAGGCTGCGTTTGGGTTTAGTGCACGAATCAATGGACCTCAGCAACATATTGAAAAGTCTGAAGATTGGCGCTGGTTAGAACGCTATGTCTCAACATTTGGTACCCAGTGGGCAGAAGAAGTTCCTGAAATGACATTAAACTCGACCGATGACCAGAGTATAGTTCACCATATTATGGCCCTTATATCAGAAGACCAACACAAGGGAAGACTTGGAGTACCTCCCTTTTGGATGCTTAGTATTGCCTAATTTTTCTCCTTCATGATGTATATTCATTCATCTCATTTCTTGTATGCTTTTTTTTTCGCCCCTTGTTGTGCAATTCTCATTCATCTATCCCTTTTAATGTTTATGATAACATTCAATCAATTAAAAAAAATTAATCCTCTCACCTCTTGCGAGGGGGAGGGGTAGGGCTCTCTGATTTATTCTTTTAATTTTTTTTGTGTTTATTTATTGCTTTATTGTTTCTACATGCGTCCGACAACCTTGTAGCCTCTGGGGGGTTTGGCAGCCTTAATATCCTCAGGGGTTGGGATAGAGGCAACGTGCTCAACCTTGACAAGTTCTTTCAACTTAAGGATAAGACCGGCAGTACTAGGGTTGACAGGTTGGTAGGTGGTCTGGTGGAGGCGTACGAGGCCAAGAGTCAATGTAGCAGCGCGAAAGTCATCAGAGAGGCCGATTGTCGAACGCTTGAGAGTGACCTTGAAGTAATTGGCGGTGGGTGCGCTCGTAGTGAACAATCGTCGCTGCATTGTAGAATGAGTGTGTTGATGGAGGTAAAGGGTCGAAAAGAACTGGTGGCTTGTTCCATCCCTGAAGCTCTTGTGATTGACACCCCGCCGTGAAGAAGTTGGCGGACTGCATTTTCACTAAATGGTTTAAATATATATATATAGATTTATTGCATTTATTTATTTATTTATTCGATTGTTTTTATGGAGACGAGAAAGAAAAAAAGACAAGGCGCATAGGGCAGGGTGGGGGTTATAGTTTAAAAGAAGTAATATGAAGTTATGTGTTTAGCAGCATCCACCTGTCTGCTTGGGCTGAACAGCTGCTCCTTGGCCCACCTTGACAGTCTGCTTTGTCTGTTGTTGCTGCATAGTAGAGCCCATTCTATCCTTGATCTGTTTGGCCATGGTCAAGAAAGCTTGTTCAACATTTGTAGCGCTCTTGGCAGATGTCTCCAAGAAGGGAATCGACAAAGAATCCGAAAATTCCTGTAAATTTTGGTTATTTTTCTCTTCTTTTTCTTCATCTTCTCTCTCTCTCTTAATTAACTTGATACCCCCCCCCCCTCCTTTGTGAAATTGATAAACTCCAAGATCTTGTACAAGAGTGTATTTCTATACCTTTGCTTGCTCTGTCTCGACCACTTTTTTGTCTGTCAAGTCACTCTTGTTTCCAACCAATAACTTGTTTACACCTTCTGCTGCGTAACGATCAATTTCCTGTAACCATTGCTTGACGTTGTTAAAGGTGTCTTGGTCAGTTACATCATAGACAACAATGATGCCATGTGCTCCTCTGTAGTACGACGATGTAATTGTGCGGAAACGTTCCTGGCCTGCTGTATCCCACTTTATTTCAAGAAAGTAAAAATAATACAAATAATGGTTTAACTTGCTTATACGTTATCAGACCTTATACAGCATTACTTACAATCTGAAGCTTAACAGTTTTGCCTTCCAGCTCAATGGTTCTAATTTTCTGTACAGCACACGTCAGCTCGATTGATAACAGATATACCCCCTCTTTTTTTTTTAAAAAAAAAGTAAATAAATAAAATGTATATATAAATGCCTACAAAGTCTACACCGATGGTGGAAATATAGCTCTCGGTATAGGTATCATCAGCGAAACGGAGCAAAAGGCAGGATTTTCCAACACCAGAGTCGCCAATCAACAAGAGCTTGAACAAATAATCGCTTTTAAAGGATAAATTTCAAACAATAGGAATTAGCAAATTAATCAATAAAGTACATTATTCGTTGAATGTCTTCATCCAAGTCGCGAAGAATAGAGTGGAGGTAGGGTTTTTTTTCACTAGTTTGCTTGTAAAGGAGGTATAGTTGATGGCTTGGGGATATAAACTTACTATTCGGGGTTCATGATTATGGATTAAAGTAAATAGGAAAGAACAAAAAGGGAGAAGGAAGAAAGAACGTAATACACTATCACTAGCACCACTAGCAGAACCTACACACCCACTCACCTGCGCACAAGCCCACCCTTTAGGAAGCGTCGTCATCAAGCTTGAATTCGGATATTAAATTGCTATCATTGAGCGAATTAAAGAGCGATGTGTGTGTGTGCGTTTTTGTAGTATTGGGCTAGGATGAGCTGATAAATCAATAGGAACCCTCCAGGACATCACCGCAGGACGGGATGCAATGTCACATAAAGCTGTATCCTTGACCACAGTCAACTGTAACATATTACCGAGTCCTTTTTGTGTGGCATATATGGTTCACAGCCATCACACAAATGTGGTGCAAATTATGCACTAAAAAAAAAACAAACTTATCTACTGATAAAACACATGAGTAGCAGCTGCGATTGTGTATTTAAAGCACAACTGTAGTTTCTCAGCAGTATGATTTATTGATTTATTTGTAAATCCTTTATCCTTTTAAGAGGTTCCTTTTGTTTTTGGTTTGACGTCTTCATAGATGTATTGAATAATACAACTCGCGCAACTTTAGAAAACAGCTGGATATTTTTGCCACGCTTATTTTATCGGCTTATATATTAATATTACTATTGTTATGCTATTAGCCTTTTTAAAATAAGTATAATCGTTGGAAAGTGGAGTTAGCTTTGACTATGACTTGCACTAAAAGAAGGAATGGTTAAATTTAGATTTGTGTATGGATAAAATGCGGTTATATGTAACCCAACAATAGCATATTCAAGGATCCAGGTCTTCTAACTTGTGTATCATCTAAACCTAAAATATGTACTTATCATAATAGATCGCACATACGTACATATAAAAGTATATATATATATTATTTTATTTCAAGCTGTTATTGCCAGTTAATATGCCATTTCTCAAGTCAAAATAATTGCACTGGCTAATTGATTGATTGAGTGTAAAAATGGCTTACGATGATTTCATAATTATTTACAACAAATTTCTGCAAATAATATATAGATATATACATAAAGAACCAATTATATCTCAACAATAATTATATAGAATCCTGTGATAAAAAGAAATTAAGGGGGGGGGATAAAATAACGTATTTTTTGTTAATAATGTGTACCCAGATGCCCTTTGCTTACTGGTCGACTTGTTTAAGATTGCTTAAAGACATAAGGCTTTTTATTATTATTGAGAGCAGCTCTACATCTAGTAGTCTTCAAGTAATGATACTAATATAGCGTATCTTGCGTGTACTTTAGGTTAGATCCTTTATTTATAGGAACGATGAGTAAATGATTTTACTCATAATAAACTAGTGCTTTTCAGACTTGCAAAAATATTCTTGCTTGTAACAGGGAATATTTTCCCCTAAGATTGTGTGTGGTAATGTCAAAACATTCTGCAAATCATAACTGGTATCAGGTTTTATGCAAGTTATAATTATAGAGTATTTGGCAAATAAACTAATGACGAGGCTTGAACTAATCATTGTTAAAAGAGCATTCGCCCGTTTATATATATATATATGTGGAGAGAGCCGCGTAGATGTTGGAGTTGATTGTCTTTAACTATATACAAGTATATTAAAGAACAATCAAAGACCATCAAAAAGTGAGAGATTCAGATATTTTGCCAAGCCAGTTTATTAACTGATCTCCTTATATATATGTTGTTTTAATTGTGCATAATATTGCAGCTTATTTGAAGCATTTGTATCGTGCCATATCATTATCACTCATTACGGGCAAGTAGAAATAGGCATAATAAAACAGTCGTTATTCTTGTGATATTTGGTAATTTCAATTACAGGGGAATTATTTGCGTGCATTTGACTGAAATAGACTCTACCAAGATTCCAGCTGTAGCTGTAATGAGTTTATCTGCATTGGAAAACATGATTAATAGATTCAAAACAACGACAACAACAACAACAAACAAACAAACAAACTCTTGCATCTAATAACTAATGAATGGCTTAATAAGCCTGAGTAGAAGGTTTTAAAGGTACTCAAGGATAAAGATGCCAATTATTGGCTTTAGGCGCAAAACAAAGGTAAGAAATTAGAATGTCCACGCCAATTATTGGGACATATAAGAGTGTTATTTTGACCTCCCTTCTTAAATATCAAAGCTTTATCTTTTTTAAAATATATATAGATAGACATTGAGATATTACATAAAGAGCTGTGCAATATATATATATATACCTTGTATGACCTTTTTTCCAACCCGCGTCTATTAGTCAATGAAGGTATACAAATTGGGTAGAAAGATGCTTTTTTTTAAGTCTTTATATAATAATACCATTTATTCAAGTAGAAATAAATAAATAAATAAAGATATCTCGTTATCCTTCCTATCATTTTTTCATTAATCTCTCGACAAAGTACACAGAGAATTTTAGAGGCATTAAATTATCTCTTTAACCTTGTTATTTAATCAATGTAGCCACCATAGCAATGTGGTTACTAGCCTTTGTACAAAACAATCTTGACAAATAATTAAGGATCTACTGATTAATTAGTAAGGTACAAATCGTACTTTCTCTTATATTTATCATGTCTTTCTGATATTATATGATACTATGATAGCTATTTTTATTTATATGGAGCTCGTATAGATGAGCAATTATCGTATATTTTACAGTTTGCTTTTAAAAAATAGCTGTTCAATATTACAAATTCGATCTGACTTCAGATATGTGGTATTATTACGTACAGACATTCACGAATTAAGTGAAAATCTTTTTTAGCAATCTATTCCGTATTCCTTTTGGCTTGGGTAAAGGCTCGTTTAAAAGCGTGTATACATCTGCTGAATTTCGCTCCCCTTGCTTGATTGATTGTTCAAGTTGGCAAAATGTTTCTTCATCGATATAGTATGTCTTCAGTAACATATCTATCAATTGTTACGTTCTTCCGTTCGTTCTATACGTGCTTGTTGGGTTTCTTCGAAGTATTGAATAGAGCCCAATCTCTCTAAAGAAATATTTTTATTTGGGTATATGTGTGGTATACACACCACGATTAAATGAAGAGCAGACTCCACAACCAAAAACTTGTTCCTCCTTACTAATGAACCTGACAAGTTAACAATCTCTAGAACTTCTATGCACCAGGCACACGTATACTACACGCTCATACAGGGTAAACCAAGCATTATACAGCAGTGATTTTAATGACAGTGATTTTAATAGTAATAGATATAAACAATATTCTTTTTTAGGCGGGCAATTTCTTATTAAATTTTATAATAAAGTTTGCACAAACCTCCCTAATAATGAATGCTCTTCTTTGCCAAAGCTCTCTGACTAATCTTAGTGGGAAGTTATTACCACAGTATTTTATTTTCATAGGAATAATCCTCTTGGAAAATTGCTTTATCAAAACGCTTGTATATTAATCACAGACTGAATAATATAATTTGGCAACCATGTAAATCACCAGTAGATAGCTGTGTGTAAAATAAAAGATAGGGAGAAAAAGAGTTCTATATTTTATTATGATTATATTCCTTTAAAGCTAAATACCACATACAAGCTATCTATAAAGACTATCCGTATATATATATATATAGTTTTGATTTTGTTCGTTCATTTATGCATTCATTCGCAACGGCGACTTTTAGCAAAACGATAGGAGTCATACTCCATAGATCGATATTTGCGAGAAGATTTGCAAGAAGAAGTGTGAGAACTTCTTGTAGAAGAGCCGTTATAGCCTTTAGATAGGATTATCCGGAAATCCTTGCGTTCCATTACCGTCTTATAGATTGAGCTAGCAATCTGTGCAGAATGTGTAATCGAGTTTCTCTTTTTTAAAGGTACGTTTTTCTGTAAGTAAAATACCTGTTCAGAGAGTTTTGGAAGCAAGGAGTTAGTAAAGCGTACAGCAGTAAATAAATCATCATCTATCTGTGCAGCGCGTCGGACGCGTTGAAACCTTTCTGTGTATTGTAAGACAGACTCATCATCTCCCATCCTCATGGTGATAAGCTCCTTTGTGAGTTCCACACGAAGTTGAAAATCGTTTTCCCAAAAGGTAGTAATCAAATCATCTTTGACTGTTGACCAAGATAATCTGGCGGGATTGGGGTAGTACTCCTTGAGCCATAGATGTTGCTCTGAGGACAGTATATTTGGGAGGAGATAATGCCAATTACTATCGAATTTTATGTCGTGGGCCCGGGTAATCTCTTCAAATTGATCCAGGCACTCCTTGGAAGTAGCAAAGACCTCGTAGTTATAGTTCCACTCACGACCAATCCACTGGAACATGAGAAGATTATCAAGGATAGAGCTGGAAATGTAAGAGACTTTTTGGGTATCGTTAATCTGTTGAGCCTGGAGCAGGGATAGGTTGGTCTTCATGGTGATCAGATCTTCAACAGTGGAAGAGATGTATTTTCTCAGTAGATCCTTGCTTTCTTCGGTTGCCTCGGCACTTGTCTTTGAGAGAGTATTGTACAAATGTCCGAGTTTCTCTTCCATTTCATTGATGGACGCCTTAGTTCTTTGGTTGAGGAACAGGGTGGCAGACATTGAAGGAGTTTTTTTTTTTGGTGAATTAATAAAGAGGGGAGGTAAAAAGAAAATAATGATGATCTACTGTGGAAACTGATAAAAAATATCTAGAAGGAAACTCAAGGAAGTGGAGTAAAACTTCCTCTTTTTATTATGAAAGTTAAAAAAGAATAAGTGACTAGGGTTTTTGCTCTCATAAATCAAAATCTTCATTTGAATTTTTCCACTTTTTGTGTTCCCATTATATAATTTTTTCCCTTTTAGATCTAACTTTATTATTATTATTTTTAAAAGGAAGCAAAAAATCCTATTTACACAAATCCTTCCCCTTCTCCTACTATGTAGGCACACAACTCATTTATATTACGATTTCTTTTTTACACTTGTGAATGAGATAAAATGTATATCAACACCACATATATCGGTACACTAGTAATAAAAATGAAAGACTTGTACGATATATTACATAATCATATAATAAAGCATATTGAAGCATCTATAAACAGGAACCATGCCAAAATAAAAATATATGTACCTTTACATGTACGTAAGAGTTAAGTAAGGAATACAACAAAACATAGTACCGGCACACTAAATAGATAGTATTAAGTATACTAGCAAGTATCATATAAAATATGGTATAGAGAACATGTATTGCACAATATAATCACAAAATTCGTGGTACTTGACACGATATCTGCATAAAAAATTCAATACAAATACCAAAAGCTCATCACATCTTATCTTCTATTTCATCCTGAAATTACAAAATTTCAATAATAGAAGGATCGCACAAAATATGTGTGAGTTTAATTGTAGTAATATATTCATTAAATAAAACCTTAAACCTTACATATTTCAAACCCTTGAAGTCAAACCATACCTTTTCTTTATTTTTTTTTCTTTAGAATCATTAATCAGAGAGACAAAACATGTAGGGGGTTTCACCAACTCTCGGTACTTGATTGTTGGTATAGCGGTGGTCTAATTAAAACAATTATTGGCTAATATTGTTCCAAAAGAATTAAATAAACTCAGAATTAAAGTATATCTACTGAAGCCCCCTAATCTATAGCTGATATTATATTAAATTAGGGTACTCAACTAAATTTTCCATAGAATCTTTGAATAATCTTTACACTCAGTACAGTATATTATTGGACAAACACTTGTATACCCGCCATAGAAAAAAAATTGTGCTTAATTGCGAAGGAATACTATTGGCTAATATCCAAATTTAAATTTCTTCAAAGATTCTGGCTGAGTACCCCTTTTGGTGTCCTGAGCTACAAAACAATATCATTGGCTAATGTCCAAATTTGGACCCCTATCTCGAATTCAATTGAGTACCCCTAATATATGTATGTGTAAATAGCTTTATTTTGGAGAGGAAGAAAAGTTGTAGAGTTTGAGCCAACATATCATACACACAAACTGTTTAATATTAAAACAATGCATACTTACAGAAAAGATGTCTGACTGACAAAAAGAAGTGCCGCATAAACACAATCGTAGGCTTGAATAGACATTACAAATATTCATTATGAAGACATATTTAATACGCGACAATTATAATGGTATATCTTTGCTTATACGATGATTATATAAAGAATACACCAACAACAAGGGTGAAGACTTCAGTCAAAAGTGCCCAGATTTATAACTTGAGAATATGTTATAAATGGTAAAGAGATCAAGGATTCTATTATATTGTTATATCATCACAAACAAAACACGATACAAATAGCAATAGATTGTCTTATTCTCTAATTATTTGCCAATAAACCAAAGTATCGTTGCATTCTTGCCCATGCTTTGCTTTCATTCTAATATGTAACAAAATAAGAATAAAAAACGCTTTAAAAAATTTGTTCAATATGTATTGTTCTTCTCTGTTTAAAATAAGAAAGGATTTTGTAAAGTGTCTTTCTTCAGTTTTTACAATTCATCTATTCCCTCTTTGCTTTTATTTTATTTTATTAGTTTCTTTCCTTGTTCTCTAAACTATTTAAGCCTGTAACACACCAAAGCATGGCAAGTTTTAATGGCGCATTCAGTTGGTGCAAACAGAAATAGTAGAAAAACTCTTTCTAATATGATAACCTCTTTGTAATGATAATTTTTATGTATAATAGTAATAATTATAATTATAAATATCATTGTCGAACCATCTAAGAAAACACGTCTGTTGTTTGCGAGTTAGGCTCCTTAAAGTATGGTTTTTAGTAAAGTATGATAAATACTAGTATCTTGTTGATTTATAGTTACTTATCTTCTTTAATGTTAGACAATCAATTAGCAGTAGCAGTCTCATATATGTGTGTCTGTTTGTGTTTGTCTGTGGGGTAATGATGCCAATCTTGGCAATAAAGAATAATGATCAACATATCTGTTGCATACATACATACATACATATATAAATATGTGTGTGTGTTTTTTTATAGAAAATTATAACTTTATTTTATAGATATGTTAGACAAGATAATGAATTATTATTTTTTATTGTTTGCTTCTTGTTTTTGTGGGATTTCTTTATTCTTAATAGGATAGTCATTGGAGAGTCATTTCTTATATATATACTTTATTGCTTTATTGTTATTTTACCTGAATGAACAAGTCCAAAGAAAGAACCTATTGGTCTGCGCGAATCGGCGTACTCAAGTAAATATTACATACGTTTTCTCTTTTTTTTTTCTCTCTTTTTATTAGAACAACAGTAAATGATAATATTTATATTATACCGACTTTGATACACCATAAAAACACCAAACAAAGAAGGGCCTTTTGATAATCGTCAGCTCCTGGTTTTCTTGGTGAGGTTTTGTTCTCTGGGTGAAGAATGGTTTGTGCGTGTTTGTGTGTTTAAATATATATATATGTGTGTGTGTGTGTGTGTTTCGAGTTTCCACATTTGATTGGCTTATACCTCAATACTAAAATAATAAAAAAAAAATCCACATTTTTCGGTTCAATTTTTATTTTTCCATATTCAACAGGAAATTAACAACACTTTGTTCAAAGATCATTTTTAAAAAGGGGACAAATGCAACCCATGATAAGTGACGATCCTCAACCCACATTTCACTTGTGGGTCTCGACTCCACCACTAGAGCCAGTTCCAACTTCACTTAACAAAGTACCCACTGTCATGTTATCGTTTTCTACTACGTGGGCTGACATGAAGACAGCTTTCTTGAATGCAGTTAGTTTACCATCGTCAACACAGTTTCGGCTCTGGACGCGATCAGAAGAAGCCGATGATTCTAGCAACCCGCTCATTGATCCTTCAGATCTCTTAATTCATGAGAAACGCCTAGATCTATCTTTCGAGGATGATATTGTCGCGGCCTCAGTGCTTCCTAGTGGAAATTATGTTATGGAAATCAGGGGAGCTTCTGGCCAATATCCAACAGAGAGTGAATTAAAGACTGAATTTGCTATTAGTTCACCTGATCTACTCAATGACGACGTTCCCCTTGTGTCAGACACGTCTTCTGTCTCAACAACCTCGAGTGTATTTGCTAGTGGATTTAATAACTTGGTTACCGCTTCTGATTCCCCAGGAATTTCCTCGGTGTCAACATTTGGAACAAATGGAGGAACTGAGTCAAATAATGGGTTTGGCCCATGGATGTCTTCAAGCTCGGTTTCAAAAACAAAAGGTGTCTGCGGCCTGTCAAACTTGGGCAACACCTGTTTCATGAATTCTGCGATCCAGTGCTTGAGCAATACACCTCAGCTTACGAAATGGTTCTTGTGTAAGTAAACCAAATGCATATATAAAAAATTACTGGTTATTGATAATATAGATCAGTATGCTAATATCGTATTAATAGCCGGAAAGTACAAAAATGAACTCAACCGAGACAATCCCCTGGGAATGCATGGTGAAGTCGCAGAGGCTTATGGAGAATTAGTCGAGAAGATTTGGAGTGGTATGGGATCAAGTACAGCGCCTAGAGATTTCAAGGTATAATAATAATATATATATAGGTCTCAGCATGTGTGTGTGTATAATGTACGTGTACTGACCAACTAAAATACCCAGGCTACTATTGGTCGGTTTAATCCAACTTTTACTGGGTACCAACAACACGACACTCAAGAACTTTTAGCTTTTTTGCTTGATGGGCTTCATGAAGATTTGAACAGGATTCTTAAGAAACCTTATATTGAATTACCAGACTTTAAGGATATGTCAGATCAAGAAATTGCCCAATGTAATTGGAACTACCACAAGGCTAGAAATGACTCCATAATTGTCGATATATTCCAAGGACAGTTCAAAAGTCGATTGACATGCAACGCTTGTAACAAGGTGTGTTATTCATCTAATTATATATATACCCAAAGACTTTATTTATTTATATTAATTTTTAGGTTTCTGTCACATTCGACCCCTACATGTATCTGTCTCTGCCTATTCCGGTCGATAATAGTCGCAGTATCGAGATCATATATGTCCCTTATGACCCACACACAAAAATTTGCCGTGTCACAATAAAATTAAAGAAAGAAGCGAGCATAAAATATCTAAAAGATCAAGTAGCCAAGAGAGTTGGTGTCAAGGACCCTTCAACTGTAAGTTGGAAGTCTTGTTTTTATTTCTTAAACCAAAAAAAAAATCATATAATGTATTCTTATTTTGCCTTAATGTGTCTTTAGCTATTGGTCACCGAAGTTTATAATGAGAAGATTTACAAAATTATCCTCGGTTATGAACCTACCTCTAGTATCGGAGACAATGACTCCATCTACATCTATCAACTCCCTGGACCTGTACCGTCAATGCCTAGACCTAGAAAGCGTGGTTACAACTATCATAACACATTTTCATCATCATCATCCTCTTCGGCATCTTCTTCCTCCGACAGCTCTGAATCTGATGGAAGTGGTCCAGAAGACGATGAAGACGATGACAACTCCTTAATAGTTTTCCCCGTGTACTGTGTCTCTGACTCGGGTGAAAGGAGTGGTTACCACAACACATCGCAGTTTGGTGGACCACTGATTCTTGGAATCAAGAAAAGCGATGCAAAATCACCGGATGACATTTATCGCTTGATATTACACCATCTTGAACGATACATGCTCAAGGATATTCCAGAGGAAACGTGTATAGATGAGAAAGAAGAAGAGGATATTTCTCCGGAAGGAGACAAGATTTTGGACCAGATTGAAACCGATAATACCAAAGATCCATTGTTTGACAATACTATGGAAATCGACACACTTCCTACGAGCAACGATACGAACGATATTTCTGGGGCAAGTGAAAATCAGAAAGATCTATCATCATCATCAAAAGACCTTTTTACGATGAAGCTATTCTCAGAAAGCAAATATGACCGCAACTCTGGTGGAGATCTTTTGCCTATTTCAATGAGTTCATGGTCTCATGCTAACATGGTAAATCTGAGAAAGAGAGCTCAAAAAGAGGCAGCAGAAAAAGAGAAGCGCGAAACCAGAGAAAAGAATGCGCTGGAAAAGTCTAGTGATACACCCATTGCTAGTCCTTTAATGTCTAGGGATAATTCAATGCCTGAGGATGGTGACGACGGTGACGATGATGAAATTGTAGAAGACGTCTCACTTACATGGCCTGGAAATAATCTATCGCCTGGTATAATTGTCCACGAAAAACCTATTACCTTTAAACGAAAGGCAACGTTTGAGTCAAGCAAGAAGCGCGGTCTATTGAACAGCACGGTGATCCGACAGGGCGAGGGTATTGTTGCTTCATGGCCTATCAAGACTGCCCAAAGATATTTTGGAACTTCGTCATCCTCATCATCTTATTACAGTGGAAATAATAGCCGAGTAAATGTCAAGGCGTGGGAGGACATTGAAGTTCTTGCTGACCCGGAAGATGAGTCCGTTGCCAAGGTGGAAAAGAAGAAGTTGACCCTAAACTCTTGCTTGGATGAATTTACAAAGGAAGAAGAACTCAGTGAGGAAGATTTGTGGTACTGCCCACAGTGTAAAGCTCATCAGAGAGCAACAAAGAAATTTGATTTATGGCGTCTTCCCGAGATCATGGTCATACACCTCAAGCGGTTCAGCCAGACAAGAACCTGGCGAGACAAGATTGACGAACTGATTGACTTTCCTACTGAGGGTCTGGACCTGACAGAGAGAGTTTTGGGAGTAGAAGCGAGTAAGACTGTTGCAGCAGAAGATCGGTTAATATATGACCTTTATGCAGTAGACAATCACTTTGGTGGAATGGGTGGTGGTCATTGTAAGTTTAAAGAAGAGCGGAGGGGAGCTTACGAAGAAAAAGAAGAAAATGATTATAGTAATTTACATTTCTAACTTTTTTTTAAAAAAAAAACATACATCATTTATATTATAGATACTGCTTATGCTCAGAACTGTATTGATGAAGAGTGGTACTATTTTGATGACTCGCATGTCACAAAGGTAGACGTCAATGAAGCCAAGGTAAAGCGTTTATGATTTTGTGTAGAACAAGAACCCTGAACAAAAAGCAAGTTAAACTAATCATTTGTCTTTTTTTTTCTTAGACAAATGCAGCATATTTGTTGTTCTACAAGCGTCGGCGACAAGTTAATAACTTGGGCCAAGATAAAGATGAGGAGAAGGAGGTTGAAGAAGAAGAAGAAAAAGCAGAAGAAAAAGAAGTAGAAAAAGAAAAAGACACTTTAAAAGAAGCATTAGTATTATAGAATCAAGAGGCAAGACAGCTTGAACTGACACGGTGGCCCAGTGCCATCTATTTCATCTTAAACATTTAATTGAGTAAAGCACACAAGACAAAGAAAAAGTATTTCTATTATAATTTGAATTATATATATATATATAAACAGTTGCACTGCGTTGAAATCAATCCATTTGGTGTGTACAGACCGAAGATATTATTTAAAGATGAAACAAAGACCAGTATGAATTTAGTCAATTGAATTAATTTACATGTTTTTATATATATGTTATATGTAGTTAAAGAAGAATTCTTGTAATTGACAAGTTTTATGATACTTATTTATACTTGGTTATTTATTTTTGGATATAATTACGGGTGTATCACTAGATAGCATTATTAAGCTGTGCTGAAAAGTAAGTTTTACTATAAGAAAATAGAGAACAAACTAGGTAGCCTCAGGTACAAATCTTAAGAACTTTCCTCTTTTTTTTTCCTACCCAGACAGCTCAAGTGATACGTGACATCATCAGTCTACTTTTAAATGACATCATCATCATTGTGAATGATCAAAGTAAGAAAGAGTTCATATTAAAGAAAAGAAAGAAAGAAGAAAAAAAAAGTCCTGTGCTTTGCTGTATTGTGCTGTGCTGTACTGTACTTTATTTTTCAACTTTCTTTTTTTAGCTTATTTTATTTTATTTTATTTTGTTGGATTTATTATTTCTCCTTTACCCTACATCTACACGTTTAATTATTTGAACTGTTGCCTGTTTGCTTTACCCAAACGATAAAACCTCCTCGTCCTACCTCTTTAAATGATGGATTTGGTCTGCAATCAGACATGCAACCAGCAACAACGTTTCCTCCGGACCTAAAAAAGCAACGACGCCGCCGAAGAAGGAGACGTCCTAGAAACAGGAATAGACAGCCTCAGGAACCTGCTCAGGAGGATGTTACCGACACTTCCTCCACACAAGCACAACAAATAAGACTAAGCCTTCATGACTTGACAAGGTTAGAATATACATACATACGTATACACCTATACTGTATTTTATTTTTTGCATTTTGCATTTGCTTTGGTATTAACATACATACATATACACTTTATATATTACTACGTTAGCGAGGCTTCTGCCTTGGAAAAACAGCTTAATGAGCTTCAGACACAGCTTAAACTTAATTATGCTGCTATTCCAAACAAGGATCAAGGCCGAAGGGTTCATTCGATAGCAACTGAACAAATTTCTGCAACAGAGGAAGAGACTGATTACGTACGCAAAAGGTAAGATCTATCTAAATGGAATCAATCCATCAATATACAATAATACAAATGAAAAAAAAATACTCGATATTGACAATTGACAACTTAAAATTTCATATATATATATATAATATGCAATTTATATTTCCTTCTACATTGATGTTAATGTCTATTTCTCTCTTTCTTTATTAGCCTAAAGGAATTATACCGACAGATACTAACTATAGATTTGATGTATGCTACATCCCACCACATTGACGATAAACTTTGGCGATACATTATATATGCTTCCATTGAAGAAATCCGCAGTAAACTTCGAAAGGTAAAGATTTTATATATAAAAGCCAATCTGACTACATTATATTATGGCTTGTTTTCTTTTTGGTTTTTGGTTTTTGGCTTATATAAACGCAATTACTTTTGTTATGTTTATGCTTATGTTCCTTTTTTGTTTAGCTTAATTTAGAAGAAGATAACCCAACAAGACAAACCCTTACAAAATCACTCTTACATCGTATTGATTCTGGTTTCAAATTTTACCGTGAAATCAATGCAAAGATCAAGACATCACATCATATTGACACAAAGACTATTGGAGTTGGTAAGTAACATAATAATAACGGAGGAAAGGAAATAAAGGGCTCGATTCAATTCTATTTGATTTGATTCTCTTTTTCATCTCTTTTCCTTTCCTTTTGTGCCGCGTGTTTAAAATACAAAATAGTAATAAGAGGAAGAAATATTGTCTAAATTAAAATTGTATCTAACATTTCTTTCAAAAACATATATGTATAAACATCAAATGTTTGTCTTATATTAGATTTATTTAAACAGGGCGCAAACGCAGCGGCTGATGAACAAGTTGCCATCTTACTACAATCAAACTATATCTGCATGGGTGACCTTGCTCGCTACCGTGCTTCGCAAGCTTCTCCAAGAAACAAAAAGGCCGCCGAAGAAAGTTGGGCATTAGCAAGAAGTTGCTACCACAAGGCTGCGGATGTTTACAGATTTACTGGAAAACCTTATTCACAGCTTGCTTTGATTTCTCTTTCGAGTGGAAGTGCAATTGATGTTGTTTGGTATTATTGTATGAGGTAAGTAGAACAAGAGACTATGTAAAAAAAAGAGGGGGGGTGGAGGTTCAGTTTTACCTGCTTGTTTGCTTCTCAATATGCGTGTATGTTTATTAATATGCATGTAATTAACTAAATGTATTGAAAATTATATTCTATTTTGCTCATTATTATATATGTATACATAGTTTGGCTATGAAGTTTCCTTCAAGTGTTGGCCGAGACAACCTTTATTCATTCTATTCAAAGATCAGATTCTCTAATACCAAAAGTCCCGTTAAAGACGACAAAGGCCAGGCAATCAAGATGATTTCTACTTTTGTAGAATCATTTCTACAAGTTCACAAGGAGTTTATGTTTGCAAAGAACGAAAGGTAAAGTCATCAACGAATAAGATATATACATACATAGATACATAAATACATATTTAATAATAATAAAATGATGATTAAACAATATATAAAATTTGTTACTATCAAATTGTGGTTCAAATTGTGTGTGTGTATGTGTCTTTTTTTATGGTTATATATGTATTTATATATATACATACAGCTCTGAAACATTTGCGGTCTCGGCGGTTGAAGTGTCCGATTTACTTGATCAAGCTGTTCGTTGTATTATACAAGCCTCCTGTGAAGAAACGGCCGATTCACTGCTACCAAAACAAATGTCTTCTGCAGTTCACATTCTCAAGAGTACGCTTATGCGTACTTTAACCATTACATTTATTACTGTGTGGAATTTTGGAGAGAGAATGAAGGAAAAAGGTAATACATGATCATTATTATGCTAAACAAAAAATGAAAAAGAAAAGAGAGAAAAGTTGTGTGATAGTTAACCTTACTTGAATTTTTGTATTTACTTTTACTTACATACATACATATATATACTTATATACTTGTATAAAACAAAGCTAATTTTTCCCAGAGACCGCGATTACAAGCAGCCCAGGTGTACTTGCTTACTTATGGGTTCAGACTTTTGGCCAACCTTTGCAAGTCTACACAAAGTTCTGTTGAAGAAATCAAAGACCGGCTGGATGAAGAAAAGCACTCGCAGCTCAAAGAATTGCTTCATAGCACCCTTCTTCCAAGTGTTTCTATATGGTGTACTTATGTTTTTTCTAATTTGAGCAGTATTTCTCAATACTGTACTGGTGCAGGAGCTACTCCTAGAGGTACACCAACAGGAAGTCCTAAGCAGTTGGATACATGGAAAAAAGAACTTGTGAATGTGAGTACACACATACATATATATATATATATATATAATGTTTGTATTGAGTGTAGTTAGTTGAAGGTTCCTTTACAATACAATGTTATTAATATGTTTATTTGTTCGTTTAGTCAATGCAAGCCCTTTTGTCATTTTTGATAAGCCACGTGGACTTTCCAGATCCAGTTCTTCATGTTTTGCCAATCACATATCCCTTGTCAGAAGATCTTTTGCTATTAGGTGTTTCGCCCTTGGCTTCGTTCCACTCTACTGTCGATTACTTCAAAGAGCAATCCTACGACGGTGCAGAACAGAATGGCACTGAAGCCAGGAAACAAATCAGATGGGGGCGTATACGAGAGATGGTAAAGAAGGTAGCAGATTCTCCGGTAAGTGATTTTTTTTAAAAGAAAAGAACAAGAGAAAACAACTAAACTAATTAAACAATGCTGAATGATGCGGTACATACAGTCTTTTGATTTTGTACAATACAACCAAGCAGAACTTAATTACAGTGTGATTGATGAGAATGCCAAAGTAAGTCTTTTTTTTTATATATATAATTGTATGTCTTGTACTTTATTGACAAATAATATTGTGTAATTAGCGCCAGCAAAAGAATAGGTTTATGAAAGCACTGGCCACCCAGCGCCTCATCGAGCAGGTCTCTTCTCTCGAAAAGAATGTGAATCGGATGTCACTCTCGACTTCTAGAGACACGAATACCCCAAAGAAGGAAACACCAAAGCTTGAGGTCTACACAGTTGTAGTAGACGTGACTGCCTTTTTGGATGGATTGAACAAGATCAAACGTTGGTCTAGTCAGACATTGAATGCCAATAGTCGTTCACAGAGATCTGTCCTTGAAGTCATAGTTCCTCTTGAAGGTAAATAAGAAAAAAAAAGTAAAGATATAAAAGTAGATTCATGGGTATATACTATGTATGTATTAATGAGTGCTTTAAACAATATTAACCATCGTTTTACTTATACATGTGTCCAATTAAAAACAAAAAACAAAACAAAAATAGTTATTGATTCATTGGATGTTCACAAAAAGGGAATTTCCCATACAAACCTTCAGGCGCGCGAATCGATTCGATACCTAGATCAGAAGTTGTTAGAGACTCACCGCAATGATTCTATGGACCTTGTGGCCTCTTCATTGAGAACGCAAAAGATATCTGAGCAATTGAGTTCATGGAGTGAGGCAGAAAAGTTCTGGATTGGAGAGGAGTCACGGCAGTCGTTGAGTGGGGCAAATCTGACAGATATTGACGACCTTGATGATGAAAATCTCAAGACCGAGGACGAAAAAGACGAAGACGAAGGAGAGGATGGAAAGAGAGCCAAGACACTTGATTCTGACCATAATCATGATTCTGACTCTGAGTCTGAGTCTGACTCTGATTCAAGTTCTGGAGAAGAACTGTTCAAGAGACGTCGTTTTGATGAAGACGAAGAATTGGAAAGTGAGAGTGAGGCCGGAGAAGAAACAGATGAAGAAGACGAAGAAAATGAAGACGATCGAGAAGGAGGAGGAGAGGAAGACGAAGAAGACGAAGAAGACGAGCCTCCTCTGATCTGCAGTGACGTTCCAAAAGCATATCGACCAATTATCAGCTGCTTGCTGTATTATTATGCCAAGCGCCGTGAAGAAAATCTATCACAATCACAATCACAATCTTCGACATCCAGAAAACCTGAACGGCTGGTTCTTGTGACAAACGACGAGAATTTGGCATGGTGGGCTGAGTTGTTTGGAGATCCAGTAACTGGACGGCGGTTGTATATCAAGACAGTAGATGAATGGGATAGAACGGTGGGTACTATGGACTTTGAAAAAGTCTATGCACATTCATGGAAAAAGCGATAAGAAGTACATATTGACATATATATATATAATACACTTCTTTACTTTTGTTCACTTTCTTAATCCCAATACATATATAATACAAAATAATATAATATATATTTTCGACACATAAGAAACCAGAAGACAAAGAAGAAGACAAAGATAATAATAATGTATGTCATACTACTATTACTTTATTATTATTATTGTTATTGTTATTATTATCATTCTGGTTTTATTTTATTGTTGGTGATGTTTTTTTTTTTGTTTAAACGGCCTTGGTGGCCTTGGCAACAGCAGCACCAACAGCGTAACGGCGCTGGCTCTTGAACTTCTGGACCTTGAAACGGTCAAAGTCGGTGAGACCAGCACGGACCTTGCGGACAGCGAGCTTCTGGGCCCAGGCAGACTTCTCCCAGGTGGCAACGGTCTGGTTCTTCTCCAAGTACTTCTTGAGGACGGTCTGACCAGCACCGCGGGGAAGATCCTTGACGACGAAACGGGTCAAGGTCATGCGGCGGAAGGGGAAAGCCTGACGGCTGACACCGGTGGTGGGGCCATCAATGAGGGCACGGTTGTGGTCAACAATGTCAACGATGACAGCGAGCTTTCCGCTATCGGTACCGTAGTTGATGAGGACAACACGGCCAACCTCGACTTGACGCTTGAAAGAGCCTTGCTAAATAAATTAAATAAATAAAGTGTACACACAAAGTACAAGTGATGAGTTTAATGTTAGTTGGTTGTTTTTTTTTGGAGGGATTTTTTCTTTTTGTTATGATGTTGATGATTAATAGATTGAAAAAGACAATCCATTTGGGAAGTAAGAGCACGCATTTGTTGTATATTCCACAATGTTTTTGTTTTCCAGAAGAAGAAAAACACACTCCATTGTGATTTGCTCTGCTCTTTTATGTTTAGTTGTATCCGTTTGATGGTTCTTTTGAAAATTCCGATTTGATGTACGTTGTTGCTGTTGGTGATGTGTAAAAGGTTATTCAGGTGTATTGTAATGTTGTAAGCAAAATCTTTCTTTGATGCGTTTAGATGTCTTGGTGTGTTCCAAAGTAAGGTAGGTTTCTCTTTCGTCTTTGTACACATATCCACATAACCACATGTATACATATACATATACATATACATATACTTGGTGTGGTAAAGAAAAAAAATGTGCCGAAAGTTCGAGTAATTTTGTGTGTTTCTGTTTTTGTGTGTGTAAAGGTTGTCCTCAAAATTTCGCTTTCATCCATCCATCCCTATATTTCTGTATTTTTTTTCTTATCCAAATCAATCCCATCCAGTCTTTTTTGTTGCTGTTGTTGTGTGTTCAATTTCCATCTGTCGTATATACGTGCGTGCCCATTACTTCCATTCATCTGATAATAAAGTGTATATATATATATATGTGTATATGTGTTTTACAGGTACGTACAACCATGGTTACTATGATGATTATTAGAGAAAGAGAACGGGTTGGAGCTCGAATAAAGGTAAATTTAGTCATTGCGGAGATCAAAATCAATTAAAGGGGTTGCCGGGCTGTGACTATGAATTTGGCACACACATACACCACACACATACCCTATCACTTATACTTTTGTATTTTTACACTTCTTTAAGAGATCAAAGATGGTTTTTGCATTTATATATCTCTATGCTCTATATACTTAATAAATAAGCAAAAAACCCTAGTTTATAGTATAGTATACTGCTACAATTATCAGGATTGAGGAACATTTTAGCATCTAGTTATTATTATTATATTGTAGTTTTTGTGTTTAACAAAATATTTTCTTTAAAAGAGAAAGTGTACAAGAAAGAAGCTACTTTAAAATTATGTTGAATGAAAAGTAAATATAATACGATGTGCTGCTCTGCTCTATGCTGTGCTGTGATACACTATGCTATGCTATAGGATAGATTACGGCTGGTATCAACAATTTTCTAAAATAAATCTAATCTTTTTAAACCAAGGTTCAAAAGTTTTTTTTATGATGATTAATGCAAAGTAGTCTACTCCACTCCACTCCACTCCACTCCACTCCACTCCGCCCCTCGTGCAGTACCAAAAAGTAATAAAAAAAAATAGCTTGTCAAATGGAATGTATACTGAGTGTATATCTGATGGTAACCAAAGATTGGAGGATTTATATATCACTATTATCCTTATTATCCTTCTTGTTGGTTTTTGTCTTACATGGCATACCTTCCGGAACATCTTCTCCCGGTCTTACAATAACTTCCAATTTTGAAATAACACGGGTATAATAATGTCAGTGGTCGTGCCCACTATGTCGCAATTGATTTGAGGATATGCCGGAATATCACAAGACAGCAGCAACGACAAGAGCAACAAAGGGAAATATTTTTGATTTCATAAACGATATTCAAACTGTAACAGGCGCATGCTTTCCAAATAAATTATTGGATTGGCACATCTAGATTTTATATATATATATATATATACAAAAATAATAGTTGCTTTATAGAAAAGAAGGCTGGCTATGTAATATTCTTTACTTTGAAAGACCATGACAGGTTTACATTTGGGAATTTTGAAAATGGTAATATGAGGCGAGGGTTGCGGACTTGTCTTTTAACCTATTTTTTCTTTCTCAAGAGATGGCTGGGAACACCAAGGACAGTGCTTGGATGTACCAAATTCATTGATAAAAATGATAAAAATATTATAGTCAACTGTGTTGCTGTTGCTGTTGCTGTTGCTGTTGAATTAATGAATAAATGAAGATTTTGGTAAATTCTTTATGGCGGACAAAAAATAAAGAAACTGTATCAATTACAGGAAGTAAAGTATCAACAACAACAACAGCAGCAAAAATAAGAAGAATAAGAAATAAAATTACAAAGAAGACCCTTCCAAACCTTTGTCTAGATTTCTTCTCGCTTTTTTCCCTTGGTGATATGTAATACAATATTTATATATATATTTGTGTGTGTGAGAGAGAGAAGGAGAAAAAGAAAAAGGGAGAACATGTTGTGCGTGTGTGTGTGTGTGTGTGTTTAAGATGTGCTACATCGCAAAATGTTAACAAGCTGTGAGACAAGTGTCCAAGACTGCATGGGCACACATCATACAGAATACACAACATAGTGGGGTTACAATTACTAGCCAAATTGTCAGATATACGATTCCGATTATCGGGCCTTACCCGGCCCATGGACTCTATGGCCCACGACATGTTTCGCGACCCTACCTTCGACGATCCCCATGCCATGGCCTTTCTCGATTGTTTGCAAAAATCGGTTTCCGACACTGCATCACATATCACTCAGCTACTCAGTGACAACGTTTGTAAAGAGTTCTACTTGCCTACAACACCTATTGTAGGCCAACCTTACACGGAATCTGGAACTCTTTTGGACACTTTCAAGGCTCTTGCGCAAACCAATCTTACCATAGACACGGGAAATGCTACTAGTGTCCAATTCCTAACAAAAAAGGGGCGAACGACCTGTATCGAAGCCAAATTATGCCAACGAACAGTCTTTTAGCTCAACATTCAGTTTACACAAACCCCGTTGATTAGGCATCAAGATGGGTTTTCATACCCTTCTTCTACAAGTACAACAAAGTGATCGAGCAGGAGATTATCTGTCTCCTGTGTGAAAGGGCTATTGAGGAGGTGTACTCCCCTGGGTTCCAGTCTCGCATATTCACCATACCGAAAAAGAGAATACAGGGGATATTTGCCCTGTCCCGAACCTTTCATATATAGTCTTCCTCAAAATAATACACCTAGTTTTTAAATGAGCCAAGCAACAATGTATACGAATGCCGGCTTATTGCGCCAGCCTGGTAATTATTTCGTCGAGTCAACAAACTTTCTGGCTGCATATCCAACGAGGTAACCAACAAAATACATTTACTGGGGTCCTTCATCAATAATGGTTCCCACGACCCCATCTCCAACTATCTTGACTTTGACATCGGTACACAGAAAATTACCCCTCGCCATTCCGACGCCCAAGGTACGCGATATATGGCAGGATGTTCAACGTCTTTTTTTTTTTTTTTTGCACCGACCTATCACCCACTTTTTGACTCGCGTCTTCTTTTATTGGAAAGGCACAAGCCAAGACCTTGGCCGTCCTACCGGCCCGTCTCCAGACACACCTGCTGTTACGACTACGCAGCCATGAATTGCATGTAGGACATTAGTGGTCAGACACGGTGAGATTGCTCCCTCTTACGCGTATAGAGCTCGAATTGTGGATCAGCACAGTTAACCCAATGAAAAGATGGCCTATCTTCCCATACCTGAGATTTACACCCCCCTTGGTCAAGGTGTATACGGATGCTTCGGGTTCCGGTCGAGGAGAACGTTTACAACCAGACTACTTTTGTCCGTTAAATGAACCCTACTAGAACGCTCATACCATATCAGCATATATATATATTAGAGCTACTGGCGATATTTATAGCTATCAAACATATAAATAGAGAAATTGGTCGTGGAATTTGTATTTCACTCAATTGTGGTGTGTGTACCGCACTGTTCATTTTCATACTTTTGGTAAATATAATCAGTCATTCAAGAAGCACAATTGGGTTGAGGTGTAAGAGAGAGAAAAAGGACAATCAAATAGAGTACAATAGACTTCTTGTTATAATTTCTTTCTTTTTTTTTTCATTGTTAGTATTACGTGATTACTAGACACCAGTCGCGTGGCGATATTCACAACGACATTTGCGATTTAAATCATAATCATAATCGCAATATTAAGAATAGTGGTAGTAATGGATTTCCAATATGCCTTCTCCTTTCTTTTTGGATTTTAAACTAGACAAAGACATGTAACAATAATAAGTTTTGTCTCCCCCTTTTGCTCCCTTTATTCTTTATGGACTGTACTGGATCCTTTTAAATAAAGAAATAGGCTTTTTATTTTGTATGAATATATATGTATATTACTTATTTACACGTTTGGGCTACCATCAACCCCCTTTTGTCTCTTATAGTCAATATGTAAACAATAACCATAATATTGTAAGCGACTTTGTTCAGACATTGAACTTGTTTTGATTTAATTATTAGTTGGGCATATTAATTTTTTATTGTCTATATTCCTTTGGAGCCAATACACTCATACACATTAATGACTATGTACAAAGGAGAAATAAACTCTTTTTTTTTTACCAAAAGTAGACTTTTATGAATTCCTGTCGAATTGGCTCGATTATCAAACAAAGAACATAATTATCCATTATTGATCTAAACATCAAAATCAAGCATCAACAGCACTAATATTTGGCACTAATCCCAATATCGATCGGCATTTGATTTATTTTAACAACAATCACAACTCAAGATATCATTAGTGTTAATAAGTATCCAAGGTATTAAAGCTAATTTTTTTTTTAAAAAAAGAGATAAGAATCAAGATAGAATATATAGCTCAAAATTAACGTTTTCCTTTTATACTATGAAACTAATTATTTTCCGGTGCTTGAATATCCAACTATTTTATTCGTAAAAATAAAATTCTCTTAAATAAAATCATTAAAAAGGAAAAGAAAATAGATTAATTGATTGATTTGTTAATAGCTCTAGAGTTTTAACTTAAGAAAAAGTTGGCACTTGAAGAATATGAGTTTTTTTTTAAATATATATATATATAATTTCCTTTATATTCTTTTAGATATCTAATAGGCGAATCAAAGAATGGAGAAACGGAAGACAGGACAAAGTGGCAACTTTCTTTATTATTGTTGACATTAGACTTGGCACATTAAATTATTTCTATAAATTAGATATGATATTATGCTATACAAGTCTGAGGGTCCTGTTGAATAGGTAATCAAGCGATAATAACTGAGTGGGATATAAAGAGACCTGTGCATTAATTGAACTGGAACACACAAAGGAAGAGAACATGGTCGCACGAGCATTACCATTGCTATTAGTATTACTATTATATATTGAATCTCATTATGAATTATCTGTCTAGAACAATTATTTATACGTATATACATAAAATAAGAAAAATGAATGACAGAATGAATTAATGAATGATTCAGGACTGAGGTTACAAAGATACACAGAGAGCAATAAATCTGATCACCAATTTTTATTTTTATTTTTTAATATATATATATAAATATATTATCTCTGTCCAGTCCTATTGATAGTCATATTGATAGTCATATAGTCATAGTCTGGTTTTGGATCTCGACAAAGATACACTAAGGAATAAACAAGAGAAACTTAACGTTATTTTCTTAATAGTAAAATAAAGAGGCTTTCCCTTTATGACTATCTATAATTAGTAATTAGTAATTATATATATGCTTATAAGATGTCAAGTAAAGTAGTGTAATGTAAAGTAGTGTAAAGATAGGGAATTAAATAAGTCTTTCTTTGATTTGTCTGTTCATATCTCTCATCTTTATATAGTTATTTTAGCTTCAAGAAAACCAGGAAGGAAACGTAAATTGGACGGTACATATACCATATATATACAGACTGTGTACCCAATTAGCGGACTACAACATTTTTATTTTTATTTTTATTTTTATATGTAATTTCTATTTAACATATAGTCCCCTTGATTATTTATTAGTGAGAAAAGACCATCAATAATTATTTCATTTCGATAACAATGGCCATTTCTTTATACAGCTCTGTAGTAAGTCAATATATATATATATATAATTTCAAGACCCTTGAGTATCTATGATAGTTAACATTAAATAGACATATAAGACATGGCTCTATTTCTTCTTTGTCTTTAGATTACCGCGCGGGTTAGGGCGGCTGTAATAGTATTTTTGTTTTATTTTTATATTGTACGTGTTGAGTCCCTTTATTACCCCTATTAGAGAAATCAAGAAGCGGCATTGATTAGATATTTGACGTGCGATACGATTTCAGATGAGTTTCACAACAGCAACAAGCTTATATATCATATCAATCTTTATATATATATATATATTTTGTATGATGCATTTGATTTCTATACAATAAACTATTTATTTTATTTTAATTTTTATTTTATTTTTCTTGCTGATGGTGAATTTATTTATCTAATTATTATTATAATAATAAGGCTGTGCTGCCAAAACTGACTTATCTATAGGTTGGACAGACGATGGATATTAGACAAGACAAGGCAATAGAAAAATAAGAGAAAAAAAGGGGGAGTGGGGTAACTCGAGTGCTTATGATATTTTCTATTTTTTATTGCTTTAAAGAATGCATCATTTTTCTTGAGAAAATGGAGTTCTATTACTGCCAAGACAGACAAGTAAGAATGTTTTTGCTGTATTATTTTATATTCTTATTTATTGCTATGGTTACAGTTTTATTTTATTTTGTATTGTATTGTATTATATTTTTATTATAGAAATAAAATATAAAAATAACAGCACCATCACCATCACTACCACCACCACCAACAACAACAACAACAACAACAACAACAACAATCAGAGAAAGATCTCCGAATATTTTTTATTTATTGAAACTCCGCCACAAAGTAAAAATATAAAAGTAAAAATAAATATTAGACTTTCTCTTTCTTGTTTCTACATACTTTTTTTTTATCAACAAAATAAATGCAAATAAAGGGTCTTGTTGTTTTGGTTGCTACTCTAATCGGCTGTTCACTTGTCCCAACCTTGACTGCACTTCCAATCACTTCAAAGCTACCCAACCCAGATAGACAACCTGACGATGTATACAATGTGAATGTGGACCAGTTTGCCCAGCTAGTCTCGACCCATCTTCAGTTTGACCATCTGGACTCCATCGTATCAGCAACCTACAAAGAAATTGCCTCACAGTTCCAGCACCACATCGAGATCACAACGCAGTCTACAGACCCATCATCTTTAAAGCCCATCAGGACAATCAGACTATCATCAATAGAAAACGATCAATATGCTTTCCAGCAGCCAGCAGCGTCTTCTGGACCAGATGTGATGGATCTTGAGATCTTAAAGGCCCAGATGTTCGGAGCTATCCAGGCCCATACCGAGGGTGATCTACCTGTGGCATGGGATCGCTTGGCAGATAAACTCGGCCGACCTGCCCTAGAGTCCTTTGTCCGCCAATTGATCTCATCCCATTGTGGGACAGCCAACATCAATCACCCAAAAAGACAATCTTTCTCCGATCTCGTCGTTCTTTCCGAGTGCCTCGCCCAAAACTCTGTCCTACTTTCCTCAAGACTCGACCAATATATCTCTGACAATCTGTTGGATATCTTTGAAGCACTGGATTCTAAAGTCCTACCAGATATGCTGTCCCACACAACCAGAGATCTCAAGGATGTCCTGGACTACTTTAACACCGCATTTCTCCAAGACGATGACCAAGAGCTGGTCTTGCAGGTCAAGCCATGGGTCAAGGGTGCCCTTAACAACAGCAACCAGCCAACATCTCTCACCGACCGTCTGATGGCCCTCAATGTCTATCCTACAAATGGAGAAGAAGATCATCCAATCGTCATCTTTTCCCACTACGCCTCTTTGGCCAAAGTTTAAAAAAAAAGATGATATTTATATACATTTTATACAAATAGAGGTGGATTATTTATATTTATATCCCCACAATAGACCCAAAAGATAATCCAGAAAAAGGCAACCAAAAGAAAGACCAAAGAGATTGGATGAAACAGATGAATGGGTTTGGTTTGATTATTAGGATCGTTATTTGTAATACATTCACAATCCCTCTTCTACACCCCCTCTCCCCCCCCTGTAACTCCTCTTCCTCCTCCTCTTCTTCTTCTTTATTATTATTTTGTTCATCCCCATAACTTGAAAAGAAAAATCGAATCCCTCACAAATTGTACATTGTTCCCCTTTTCATTCATTTATTCATTTATTCATTCATTCATTCATTCATGCATTCATTCTTTGACATTCATTTCTTCTTTTAAATAAATAAATTATATATATATATTATTTATTTGATTCAAAATATTTTGCAAAAACTAAACCTTTTAAATATTTTATTTTTTTGGGTTATAAAATAAATAAAACAATATAGTATATATTCACTTGATCCCTTGTTGCTTTCTCTCTTAAAGATTCAAGCATATTATATTGTATTGAACTGAAAATAGGTGAATACCAAAAAAGAAGGAGTGTTTTCTATCAATAGAAGAAAAGAAAAATTATACAGTAGTTGTCTATTCATATCATAATGCAAGGCAAGGCAAGGCAAGTCAAGGCAAGTCAAGGTAATCTAATTTTAAATAAATAAAACAAATACTGAGTGGTTATTGATTTTGAAACAAATGACTGATAATATTGCATGTGCCATTTTATCATTTTTTTCTTATTATTTATAACAAAAATTATTATTAATTTTATTTTATACTTACTTATGCAAGCACAATACTAAATCTTGATAATTATAGATTCATATAAATAATTCTTATCTACACTTTGGATTAGAAATGTCTTATCTCATAATTTAAATATATAAGCCAATAATAATCAACCTATAAAAAATCAACAGATCAAGTATTACATAAAATTTATATTTTTCAGATAAACGATAGCCAATGATTTGTTTATATTAAACCCCCGAACTCAATATAATCAAACGAAAAACAAACTATCACTTAATATACAAATCACAGAAAAACATTTCTGAAACATATATAGTAAACAATACCAATAGCTTTTAATTAATTTTCATTTTTATTGATTGATTGGGAAAGGGAGGTAGTAGCAAGCTACTCCTCCCTCAAGCAAAAATTGCGGCCTCGAGACACCCGAAGGTGTTCGCAGAGAATCCGACCATCGCAGTGCAATGACAGTCAGATCCCCTGTGCGTCCAGACTCATTGATCACCAGACACACGACCCAGGTAAGTATGAGTTGTTCAGGATGAAGAAAGAGCCTCTATTTATACCTTTTGCATTCTTTCTTTTTTTTTTTTAATTCAATTTTTAAGTCCGATTATAAAAAAGTCACAGGCGTCACAAAAATTTATTTCTGTTGTGACTATTTTCTATCTCTTTCTCTCTTTATTATTTTATGACTCCGGTTCTTATTATCCAATACAATTTAGCCACGCCTTTTTTATTTATTTATTTTTCTTTGTATAGTACATATTATACACTATGCGTATTATCTCTCCCCCCCCAATTTATATTTATATATATATATTATTGTTATTGTAAAAATAAAAAATTAAAAAGTCAAATCAATACGGTCAATATGGAAAAGAAGTATGAAACCTTGGACTAAACAATTTTTTGTCTGTTTACGGCAAATAAGGGATATGGCAAGTTCAATTAATTAATTGATTAATTAGATGATTTTATCTAGGTAGAATCTTGATAATAACAGTAACAATAGTGTTTGGCTATTCAAATCTTTGTTATATGTATTTATAAAAGAGGTGTGGGACAAGTTCCTAGAGATTGGTAACTTGTCAATTTTTTTTTTTTTTTTTAGTAATTAAAATACCCGTCGGCTGTGAATTTCTGTTACTGGTGCTTGTTACTTTCTTTCTTTTTTGTACCTTCCCCAATAGTAAATCCATAAAAGCAAACCATACAGTGCCTGACAATTAATAAGAGAAAGGCAGAGCTAAATGCCAAATACATTGTGCTTGGGAATATAATCATCATTCTATCTAATTATTAAAATAAAAATAAATAAATAAATTCAAAGTTTATATTATATTATATTATTCTTATGTCATTACAAGAGCAATTTTACAACACAAGTATAGCACAATATATATTTATATTTATATCGAATTACGTAGAGTGTTTTGTAATGGACAGTAAAGAAGAAGAAGAAGGATATTTTGGGTTAAAAGAGAGAAAAGGACTATTCTTAAAGACTTGTGTCATAATGATGAAAATAATTACCTGCTTTTTATTTGATTTTGGCATTTATCTCACACACACTATAGAAACATAATATACAATTCCAATTCTAATATTTGATTTGATGTAATATTATATAGTAGCAATTCATGCAAAAAACAAAAAAGTTACTTGCTTTTTTTTGTGACTTTTACCACTAACCCTCTTCTGTAGTTTGACTCTAATATATTTTTATATATTATATGAAAAGAATAAAAAGGAATCTCAATTAAAGAATATTTGTTTTTTTATTACCTTTCTTCTCTCTTAATTTCTAACATGAACAACGCTACTCACAACCACTCTTCCAACACTGAACATCCTCCTGCCAGTAAGTCGCAAGATTTATTTGATTATAGATTCATTGATAGGATGTTTATTGAATTGTTGTGAATCTTGTTAGTGAAAGTTGGCGGTATGCGTGTCAAGAACCCCGATCCTCATCGTACGGCATTAAAGGACGAGAATGCTACCTCTGAAGATCTCACTGAAGAAGAAGAAGATGCCCAGCGTCAGATTGAACAGGAACAGCAAAAGGCTAACCAGATGCGCCAGACTTCTGAGATGCTTGCCGAAGAGGCCAAGCGTAACAAGAACATTTCCAAGAACCCAGGAACAAACCTCCACCAGGGTCCCAAGGGCGATTACCAGCCAAGAAGCATGAACCACTAAAATAATAATTATTATTTATATTATATATTTATATATTTTTTTTTCTTCTTGTACATAATGTAAACATTCTAAATGAAATCAATCAATAAATCAAAACCATGCTTTGTTTGGTCCAATATTGAACCAAATCAAATCAAATTGTACCTTATTTATATATAATTTTTATTTTAGAAAAAAAAAAGTGCAAAAATAATGATAAGCATAATAAATTATTAGCTGTGCATTTGTGCATTTGTGTGTTTGTGCGTACTTGCAGGTGTGCATTTTGTCCATCTCTCTTTCTTTCAGTTTGCTTCTTTTTTTTTGTAGCACCGAAATTTGAATTTTGTATATTTATACAAACCCCACGATTCAAATCAACTCCTTCCTCTTTTGAAATTTCTATTTTATTTTATTTTTTGTTTTTTATTTTTTTGTTTTCTTTTCTTTCTTTCTTTTTTATCTTAACGTCTTACCTTCCTTCCTTTTAACCCGAAGAAATTCTCAAAATAATAAGCAAACAAAAGACAAAGTTGCTGGAAATACACCAAGAATATATTCATAGAAATCATATTCAATGTCTTCCAAAACTTCAACACTCACACGCTCCCTGCCGCCAAAGACAATCAAGTCATCCGAACGAGAAAGACGCCAGAACGATGAACTCGCAGAAACCAAAAAGGCACTTCAATTATCAGAGGTATATTAAATCATCATTCTTTATTCTTTGCTAACAAATGATGATGTAGGCAAAAAACAGTGCATGTAATGTTCGACTAGCCAAGTGGAAAAAAATTGCCCTTGATGCTGAACGTAGTAGTTCATTAAAAATGACTGGTAAATTCAATTCAATTCAATTATATACATACCATACGGAGCCACTGGCTGAGTTTGCTGTGGTTTTGTCGTGTAAAGCCCAAACGTTATCTAACACACCTTTTTTTTTTTCGTCAGATTATGAAAACAAACTAAAGAAGGATTATGAGGCACAACTAGAGGAAATCGAAGCCCAATTCAGCGCACGATCTAAAGAAGCTGCGGAAACGATTGAACGCCTTGAAGACACAAACAAGAAGCTCAAAAAGGAGATTGCATTACTGAAGATGAAAGGTAAGACACGCAATAATCAATTTGCTATTAGAAATCTATATCCATACATGCATGCATGCATCTCTATGTATGCACTAGGGTTATTTGTTTATATTTCAATTACTAATACTAATACTAACATTCACAATCCCAATTCAAATTCCAATAGATAATAAAAAGATACTTCCTCCTACTCCTCCGGCTTCTGCTACCAGTGCTGCTAGTGTTGCTGCTGAGCCTTCTCGGGTTATCTTTCGTCGGGCAACAGTACAAACCGATCAAGTAAGCTTTTATTTTTTATAAGAAAAAATAAAAGAGTGTGGGATTCTCACCATTATAGACCAATTAACATTTTATCTTATTAGTCACTTCAAACAGTTCCTCCTCCTGTGCATGTGAGCCGGGCAAAATCCAATGCATTGGTATTCAGTATAAATGTAAGTCTTAAAAATAATCGTAATTATCAATAAGTAAGTAGGTAGGTGTATTGACTATTTGTATATCTCATAAAATAGGATACGGTTCGAGCTATCGAAGACGAGTTGCGATCACACCGTCGTAGACCGACTGATGAAACAAACTCTAAATTGTGCGACAAGGACGAAACGCTTGTACCAACCAGGTCGCAATCGCCAATCAGCAACACTGTCCTACCCGAGCCTATCAACCACAACCACAACCACAACCACAACAACTACTCCAGCTCCAGCTCCAGCTCCAGCTCCAACTCCCATGTACCGAGCCAGCGCCATCTGCGCAACCTTGGCCACGAGGCAGTTGTCCCACGTTCCAACATCGATCTCGGCCGCAACAGCTACTCTTCTTCCAACACCACCAACACATCCGTCTACTCTACCACTTCTACCATCAACTCTACCGCCAGCCCTCCTAATCGCAGCAGTCATGGCAGCTATGCTAGCTATGGCGCCAATAGCACTAATGGCAGCACATCCACCAGATCATCCGTCTCTTCAGCTTCAGCTTCATATTCATACTCTAGACCTCCCCGTTCTCGTACCCTAGAGCATCTCAGCCGGACTCTGCCTGAGGTATTCAGAAAGCGCGGCAGCCAACCCATCACATCATCGTCTCTTCGTCCTACCAGCACCACTGCCTCGACTCCCTCCCAATCTCCATCCACACGCCATTCGTACAACAACGAACTCTACACTTCTCCCGGCACCCCTCAATTCGGCCACTCTCCCTCCACAAGCAGCAGCTTCAGCAGCAGTTACGCTTCCTCGGAAACCTCGGCAGACTTTGGCCAGCAGAAATATCACATCAACGTCCACCCCCATTGCGACCCACGTTGGCTCTATGGTGATACTCTCACAGACGATCCTGTGTCCATTTCACCCGACGACAACTATGACTATTATTACAAGAATGGATACCAAGAAGAAAATGATGATGATGACCTCAAATCTTCCCAACCATTGTCCCACCAACTACGGGATTCCATTCTCGATACACTCCTTTCACAAGGCAATTACAAATAATCCATTTCTATTAACAAATACCAACACCCCCCAAAAAAAAGCAAACAAAAAAAAAGAGAACCCAATATATTATCTCTCTTTTATTATTACTTATTACTTACTTACTTACTTATTATTTATATTATCATTACACCCCTTGTTATTACCATTTTAGTTATTTTTCCTTTCCTTTCCTTTCCTTTCCTTTACTTCCGTTCTTCCGTTCCTTCATTTACTTCCGTTCCTCCCTTCCTTCCCATTTTTTATTTTATTTTTAAAAAAAAAAAACAATCCAAAACAATCCAAAATATTATATTATATTATTATTATTTTTTTCTTTTTAAATCTATTGTATATTATTCCTTTTTTTTTTTTTGTTCATTTTATATACTCATGCTTATAATATTATCCACCTTTCTTTTTTCTTTCTTTTTTTTTTTGGTTTCCCCCAGAAAATTTAAAAAAATTAAAAAATTAAAAAATTAAAATTAGAAAATGAAGGATATTCATATTCATATTCATATTTTCGATTTTTTTTTTCTTTTTCTATTTCTATTATTTACAAAATACCTTTACCACTCAACCACCCCTTTCCTTTCCTATATATTATTTAATTTATTTATTACCATTATTATTATTATTACAACAATATCTTACTTTTATTTACTTTGTGCCTGTAATAATAAATAAATAAATAAATAAATAAATAATCTACACAGCAACCATAAGTACAGTTTAGATATTTTGGGATTCTTATGTTTTGAAAAATTATGTTTTAAAAACCGATATTCACGTCACAATTTTTTTTTTAAATATTTTTTTCAGAGCCTTTGACAATTAAATTAATGGCTGATTTTTTTTTCATAGTAACCCCCTCTTTCTAAATCAGTTTTGACGGTGCCATAATGGTTGCTTAGTAAGTAAGCCACTCTTATGTGTATATATATATACTGCTATAATTATTTTTGAGGGTGTATAAAGTACACTATTATATCACTTGTTATTCTCGAAATACGCAAACAACAACAGCAGCAACAACGGTACCAATGTGGATTCGATAATTTCCTCAGGACAACACCAATTAGCTTTGTCTAGCACCTACAGACAGTCACCCAAAACAAAACAAAACAAAGCAAAACAAAAAAGAAAAGAAAAGAAAAGAAAAAGCAACAACAACAGATAAATATACGAAAGAAAAAAAAACATAAAGACAATCTAGATCATCAGAACATCAGAACATCATCATCATCGTCGGCTAAGCCTCCATTATCGACATTTCTACAAAATGAATTAAATTAAAAGAAGATTTGCATAATTATAGTTATCACAAAAGACAACAGTAATATTAACATGGCTTTATTTTTTTTTCTTGTAGCAACGTCCCCTCTGCCAACCAGGTCCTCGTCCCCGAGACTCTCTTGAAGAAGAACCAGTCTTGTGCCAAGGCCGCCGCTGCCCTCGTTGCCAAGAAGGCCGAGGCCAAGAAGGCTCGCATTGCCAAGAGACGTGATCTCTTCAAGCGTGCTGCTACCTACCACGCCGAGAACAAGGCTGCCGAGAGACGCGAGGTCTTCCTCCGTCGCCAGGCCAAGAAGAACGGTGACTTCTACGTCCCTGCTCAGCCCAAGCTTGTGTTCGTTGTCCGTATCCGCGGTATCAACAACATTGCTCCCAAGCCCCGCAAGGTTCTCCAGTTGCTCCGTCTCTTGCAGATCAACAACGGTGTGTTTGTCAAGTTGAACAAGGCCACCTCTGAGATGCTCCAGTTGGTCCAGCCCTACGTCGCCTACGGTTACCCCAACCAGAAGACCATCCGTGAGTTGATCTACAAGCGTGGATATGCCAAGTCTGACAAGCAGAGAATCCCCATCCACGATAACTCTGTTATCGAGAAGGGTCTCGGCAAGTTCAACATCGTCTGCGTCGAGGATCTCATCAACGAGATTGCCACCGTCGGTCCCCACTTCAAGGAGGCCTCCAACTTCTTGTGGCCCTTCAAGCTCTCCAACCCCAACAAGTTGTGGCACGCTCGCAAGTTCTTGCACTTTGTCGAGGGTGGTGATGCCGGTGACCGCGAGAACTTTATCAACAAGCTCGTCCAGTCCATGAACTAAAATAAATAAATAAGTAATAAAATAATAAAATAATCTTGATTTATTTTTTTGGGTGGCATCTTGTTTTCCGTCAAAACAAAAGCAAAGCAAAGCAAAGCAAAAAATAAAAAATAAAAATAAAAATAAAAATCGTTAATAGAGATAGTGGGGTCTTGGGTATATAATGCTGTGTTGTGTAAACCCAAGGCAGTAAAGATGTGTGTTTATGTAGGTTGTCGGTTGAATACTTACATTTTTCTTTGATCTTTCATTCTTATAATGGAAAGTCGAATGTGGGGTTAAATACCCAGTACCATATAAACAGTCTTTGTATTTTGTATTTTTTATTTTTATTACTTTACTTTACTTTTCATGTGATTTAGTTGGACATCTGAAATTCGCTTACCCACAAATTTTATTTTTACTAACCGACTTCAAAGTCCAACGCATCAAATCCCCCCCTCCCCCTCGTACTCATCCTTCATCCTTCGTCCTTCTACTCCACCTTTTTCTTTCTCTTTTCTTCTTTAACTTTTCCCCCCTCCTTCTCTTTCTTACATTTATCATGTCAAGCACTGCTACAAACAGTCACGCCCACGACGATGACTCTGACTTTGATGATATGCTGGACGGTAAAACTCTATACATTCTCTATTATATATAAATATAGTATTCAAGAATAACTCTAAATAAATAAACAAACAAATAAATATTTATTTATTTACCTATTTACTTGTAGATGTTCTTGACGACTTCAACGGCCTGTCTACAAAGGAAGTTCCCACAAAACCAGCAGCCAAGGGTGACCAAAAGTCAACAAAGACAACAGTAGAAGATGAGGATCCCACAGAAGACAGTTTGGAATCCATGTTTGACAATGACGAGTTTTCTCGCCAACTTGCTGCCGGGATGGAAGAACTGATGGGACAGATTGGCAATGGGGCTGCTGGAATTGGCGGTGGCGGTAATAGTAACAGTAGTAATAGTAGTAGTAGTGGTCAGGATGCTGAAATGAAACAAGTGTTTGAACAAGTCTGGAAATCACTTGATTCTGAATTCTTGCTTCCAACTGGCTCTGGTAGCTCGAAAACACCAACCACAGAGTCATCACCATCAAAAAACCCTAATACCACCACAACCACAGCCACATCAAATACAACAAACAAAGACCGGGGAACCGGATCAAGTGACACAGGAACACAGACACCTTCTGCCCAATCTTTCCAAGACACCATTGCTCAGACCATGAACAAATTGAAAGATAGTTCAAAACAAGTTGACGTGAGTTTTTTTTTTTTTATATATTTCTGGTACTTATATATGTATTGTTTCTGTGGGAATTGGTCTTTTTCTTTTCTTTTTCTTTTCTTTAGTCATCGATTGCTGAAGAAACAGACGATGCTTTTATGGCCGAACTTATGAAGCAAATGGAATCTCTTTCTGATACCGGAGAGTTTGAAAATGTTCTTGAAGGCATGATGCAGCAACTGATGTCCAAAGAAATGCTGTACGAACCTATCAGAGATCTTGCCAAAAAGGTAATATATTTATTTATATATGGGAGGGTATAGAAGAGCAAAGTGTAATATAAATGACCAACAAATATATATATATATGAAACTAATGATGTTTTTTTTTTAAAAATAAAATAAAAAAAAAGTACCCTTCGTGGCTTGAAGAGAACAAGACCAAATTGAACAAGACAGATTATGAAAAATATTCTTCACAATACCTTGTATGTCAACAAATCGTTGCAAAGTATGAAGCTCCTGGATTTGATGAAAAGAACGAGAGCCAATCAAAGGAAATCATGGATCTTATGCAAAAAGTAAGCAAAAAAATAAGTAAAAATAAAAACAAAAATAAATAATCTTTTAACCTATCTCCTGTTATATGTACATATAGATGCAAGATTTTGGTCAGCCTCCGCCAGCACTACTCGAGGAAATGGCACCTGGAGCAAACTTTGGCAATCCCGGTGAAATGCCAGATGTAAAGGACCTTGAAAACTGCACAATAATGTAAAAGAATGAAATAAGAACAATAATAAAACAAAAACAAAAGAAATTATCAAATATATATCTTTAAGCTTTTAGGTTTGACTTGTAAATATTTGGCTATGGTGCGAATAAACAAGCAATTTTTTTTTAAAGAGAAAATTCGATCAATAGAGAGATAGATAGATAGATACAATCGTCAAAGCTTTATAATCTTATCGTGTTCCATTAATTCTTGGCGATCATCTCCCAAGAAGCCGATTTGATTATAAATCATTGGATCCAGGTGCCATTAGTGGGTGTCTATATTCCTGTGTTGAAGAAGAACACCTAAACAAAGTGTTGATTGAATAGAATTTTTTTTTGCAGTCCAAAAAAAAACAGTTGTATCTAAAGAAACGTTTATGTGCTTATATATATATATAATTATCTATTTGAAACAATATTCTATTATTCTCTCGAGATATCTCTACCCAAGACAGTCTTCTTTAACCAGTCAGTAATCACTAATGCACGATTGCGGCTAGAAAACAGATTGGAAATATAGGCAGAACGCCAGAATGCATAGGTGGCTGTAAAGTAATAAGAGTAACAAGAATAAGAGTAGTTTTTAATATCAATAAACACACGCTTCTCATCCCACTTGACCCCCTCCCTCATCAACCAGCCAGCCAGCCAGCCAGCCAGCCAACCAGCCAACCAGCCGGCCAGCCATGCAATCGATCAATTGATTGATTGATTTATTAATCCATGTTTTTTTTTACTTACCAACACCACCCGAAGATACATTGCCTTGTCCAAAAGGCAGATCTGCAATAGCCTTGTCAGATCCAATGTAGCTATACACACAAAAATATAAATTAATAGATAATTCTCAATAAAAATCCAACTACCCCCCTCCTCCTCCTCCCTGTTCATATATATATATAAATATATATATATTTGTTACCATAATGATCCTTGATGAGAGTACTTGAAAGGCTTGATGTCTTTTACTTTACGTAACTTGCGTTCCTTGGCCACCTTTTCTGCGTCGGTGCTGGCCAACCCGACCTCGTTCTGGAGCAATTCCTGCATGGCCAGCTGATGGAACAGCCGAGCAAGATACTTGCCCTGCTGGGCAGCGACCTGGGCAGTCGGCGCGTACTTTGTTGCGGTTGCATCTCCGAGCGCAAAGATTTCCTCGGTTCCCTTGAGTCGCAGCCAGTCGTCGACCTCCAGCCCACGGCGGATGGTCTGGGTCTCGGGAAGTCTTGCGATCAGGTTCTTGATCAGTGGGCGGGTGGTGTTTCCGGTTGCCCAGACCAACAACCCATACGGAATCGTGTCTGGAGTTCCGTCGGGTTTCTGGACCACGATATCCTTTTCCCGGACCTCCTTGACCATCGTCTTGGTATGGATGGTAATGTTCTGTTCTTTGAAGGTCGATTCGGTGTACTCGATCAATTGTTTGGAGAACGCAGGCAGAAGATTGAGAAGGGCTTCGACCAACGTGATTTTGATCTTGCCAGCAAGTTCTACCAAAATAATAATAGTAATTATAATATTATTATTATATATTATAGAAAGTTAGATATAATACATATGCATATATATTTCTTTTACCTGGGTACCAGGATGAAAGATCATCTACCAAAAAGTCATGTAGCTCGGCAGCATACTCTACGCCAGTTGGGCCACCCCCAACCACGACCATGTGCAACAGACGATCGATTTCTTCAGGACTCTGCCCAGGAAAGGCAGCAGTTTCGATGCAGTCCATAAGCTTGGAACGGATCTTTTGGGCATCCCAGACTTCTTTTAGAAAACAACCGTACTGCTCGACACCCTTGATACCAAACGTCTGGTTTTGCGCACCCACTCCGATAACCAAGTAATCGTATGCCAAAGTACTGACTGAATTTTCTCCTTTTACATCAGAATTGTCTACAACAAAAATATTATTTTATTTATTTGTTTGTCTGTAGTATTTATATTGATCTGCTTTTTTTCTTTAATTTTTTTTTTACCAGTAATTGTGATGGTCTTTGTGTCAGTGTCAATGTCTGTGCACTCGGCTTCATACACACGCACCTCTCGAGACTTGTGGCGTGTGATAAACCTTACGGGCTCAATGAGAGAACGGACATCAATGGTACCAACTGTACAACTTGGCAAAAGTGGGGTGAATAGAAAGTAGTTTCGAGGTGATACCACAACCTGCCAAATAAATATAAATATAAAAAATAAAAGTAAAAGTACATAAAGAGCTTATATATATATATATGATTTTCGTACCACATTGTAATGATCGGTGTCGATTGCTTTCAAAAAAGAAGTAGATGCCCAACCGCTACCAAGAACCACAATTGTCTTTTTAGATGGATCGATCTCTGCCTGGAAAACAGGGTTGCGTTGTTCCCACATGGCTAAACAAGAAAATATATATATATAAATAAATACAATATAGAGTTGCTTGATAAGAGCCAAAACTAAAAATACTAATACTAATTATATACATATGTTATATCTTACGAACCATATCCACTATATCCAATACCAGCTAAAAGACCCCACTGAACCACAGTCTTTGCAGTCTTCCATTTGGAAGCCTTTGGAGCTGCGATGACCTGAGTAGATCCTGGAGTAGCAGTGCTGGATGCTCTAGCCACAACACAAAGTACTGGCTTAGAAAGACCAATTCGACGCACTTTTTTTTTGTTTTCATTTATATATTCATTTAGTTTCATCAGAGAAATGAAGAAGCAGAAAGAAGGATCAGTATTCAGCTTATACATATTTAAAGACATGTTTCATTTTCATTTTCACTTTATTATTGATGGCATTGATATTTTACACAATATTCTCGGTGCAGATTGCATTTGCGCGTGTATCGAGAAAGATATATAGAGAAATAAGAGCAAGAGGTAGAATATTACTACTACCAATAAGAAGAAGAAGAGGATTACAAGGTTCTTGTGTGGCATCTTTATATAATTATTTAGAAAAAAAAAAGTGAATGACAAACAGATACACAAAAATGCGGAGAAACCCATATGATAATCAGGCACAGAAACCCAACCTGCGGAGTACAATCAGCTGAAATCAGACAAGGCCGGTCCGAGACATCTATATATACAAAAAAAAAAAAAGATGATAAGAGCAATTGTCCGGCCCGGAAAATCATTTCTGATATCAATTGACTATACAATACTTTGCTATCAAATTCCTCCCCCCCCCCTTTTTTTTTTCTTTTCTTTTTGTCAAGGCATCTTGACTTAATATACCTATGTGTATATAAGGTGGATTTATTTGTCTTTAACAGCAACAAAAAAAAAGGGTATCTTGAATATTCTTATAAAGAGATAAAGGTATGGTTTCAAGGACTCGTGTTTGCTTTGGTTTCATGTTGGTTTTATAATTACAGCTGATAGACCATTATGCTTTGTAGTATTGTACCCAAATGAAAAACAAAAAAAAAATACACACTACAAGCACCCTCTTATGTATATATTTCTTATTTGGATGTTATCCAATTTGATCAATTTGATCAATTTGATCAATTCACCTTTTCTCTTTTTGTTCAAAATACTGTGAAGGATTAATGATATCATGTATTAGATAAAATATCCTTTGGTATAAATCTATAGGCTCCTTTTTTTTTGTATTTTACACACTCTTTACAATTAATCTTATGCTGTTCTTGTACGCCATTTGTAGTTTTCAAAGCAGCATATAAAATAATAATAGTAATTATTTTATTTATTTATTTATTTTTTTTAAAAAAAAACATACACACACACACACACAAAATTAAACTTGTTCCCAAACTTTCTCCTTCTTTGCTTTAATATATAATATTCTTTTATTTTATTTTCAAGTTTTCTATATAAATAATAAATAAGAATAAAACAAGCAAACAAAGCAAAACAACCATAGGAGTCCATGTCCTCACCAACTTCTTATATATTTGACTTTCCAGCACGGAGCATAGAGGCAAGAAGACCTCGGGCCTTGACCCAAATCCAAGCACAGCTGTTGACCCAAGCCCAGGCCCAGGCTCAAGCCCAAGCCCATGTGCATGCCCAAGCCCAGACACGTTCTGCATCTCGCCGAGCAAAAACATCCCAGGAATTACTAGAGAATTTCATGGAACGATACGCAAATGGCCTACCATCCTACCCATCCTACCTAAAAGGCACAGTCTATGAACAATTGATCCAAGAACAGTATATGATCTACTGCGAGAAGCGGTCCGGAAACCAAGAAGAAACCCGTAGCCATTCCCAACAACAAACTAACTCACTTCCAAAGGCAGTGGCTCATTATTGTAGACCGACAATACTTCCTCCTCCTCCTCCTCCACCACCACCACCACCGCATTCACAAGCTCAGAACGAACAGCAAATCATGCAACAATTACGATACCAAAATCTAAGAATACATCACCAACAGATACACTACTACCAACAACAGAGGCAGCAACCGCCACCACCACCAACACCATCAATACAACCGCTTCGAACGCCAACAACAGTGTCACAGCCTGCTCAGGACTCTCTCACAGAACGCCTGATTGCTAATGATTTACATCTTCCGTCTGCCTGGAATCCCGATGAGAGAGGTGAATTTGTCGAAATGAGTGAAGATCATCTACAGCTTTCTTATGAAGGTAATATATACACACACATTAAAGCATAATATTAATTTTATAAAAAAAAATCAAATCAAATTCGCGTTCGAAACTGCGTACATACTGTATTTAATACCTATATATATATATATATATATGTGCGTGTATGTTTTTTGTTTTTGTGGTAGAAATGATATGGGTTATTTTCTTATAGCTTTGCTTAGTTTGTTTATTAATTGATACTAGAATACAATTACTAATATACTTGTAACCAAAAAGGAATCGGAGAAAAAGACTCGGATATTGCAGCAGTACGTGCAAATTATCCAATGCGATACCAGTGTGGAATATACTACTTTGAAGTCGAGATTATATCCAAAGGAGTCGATGGTCACATTGGTATTGGTTTCTGTTGGCCGTCAAGCAAACTCAATAGACTTCCAGGTAAATATAATAAAAGAAAGATGTATATATATTCATTCATTCATTCATTCATTCAATACTACTCCAATTTTCTTTTTCTTTTTCTTATTCTTTTTGTTTAATTACTTATGATTAGGTTGGGAAGTTCATTCTTGGGGATACCACGGTGACGATGGACACATCTTTTCTGGACCGGAGACAAGCAAAAATTATGGCCCAACATTTGGCACAGGAGATATTATTGGTTGTGGTGTCGATTTCCGAGACATGACAGCATTTTACACCAAGAATGGTGTTCATCTTGGAACAGCATTCAAAAACATTACTGGAAACATTCTCTACCCATTCGTCGGCTTCAAAACAAAAGGCGAAAGGATCCGAGCAAACTTTGGAAACCAACCTTACAAGTACGACATACATCAGTACATTGAGAGCGAAAGAATACAGATGCAGGAAATAGTATATAGGACCACACCTGTTCGTCCACATCCACATCCAAATCCCAATCTTAATCTTAATTTAAATATGAGTTCAAGTCAAAAAAAGGATAAGCATTCAATAGCAACAACAGCGGCAGCAACAGCAGCAGCAACAACACCAACACCATCACCAACGCCAGCACAAACACAAACACAAACACAAACACCAACAATGATAAATGATCCACCTGCTATAGAAGAGGCAAAATCAAAGGACGTGATGAATGCATTGATACTTGACTATCTAGGATATTATGGCTACTACAATACATCACAGGCCCTTAGATCGACCTCAGTCAAACATTTGGGTCCGTTGATTGGAGAGACACCGATGTTGGTAAACAAGGTAGAATCTCCAGATGCACGTAATAGACATGGCAAGTATCTATTAGTATTACCAGTAAAGAATATCTGTATATATGTATTTGTGGGGTGATCAATACCAAAAAGATCAAAAAAAATCACAATCGTAATAATGATATAGATCAAAATACTATAAAGAAACAAAGAACTAAAAAAAAAAGCTAAACCAAATATATATATATATATATATATATTCATATCATTTGATATTCTGTAGATATACGTAAAGCACTTGTGGATGGAGATATTGAACAAGTGATCAAGAAATGTGAGACCCTTTATCCTGGAGTATTTGTAAAGAACCCTCAGATATTGTTTCGGCTACGGTGTCAGATGTTTGTCGAAATGGTCAGGGTAGCTCAAGGAGGATCTGGAGTAGGCCATGAATCAAGCAAGACGACTAATGAAGATCTAAAAGACACACCGCCTACAAAGCGTAAAGTTTCTGAAGCCGGTCTTGATGACACTGATAAAGATAATGACGACGACGACGACGATAATATTGATGATACTGGTGATGATACTGACGATACTGGTGACAATGACAATGATTGTAATAACGGCGCCGAGTTGACTCAGCCTGATGGAAAACGACGGAAAAAGAAACACCCGAGTGGGAGTGAAACAGAAGTAGAACCTGTTGTTAATGTGGCGCCAAAAGGAACAGAATGTTTTGCCTGCGAAAACACTCTTGAAAAAGCAATGGTTTATGGCGAGAAACTCAAGAAGCTTTATGGAGATCTAGCAGAAGATGATCCCGAGAGAAAAAAGACATTGAGGGTAAAGGTCACCAACAAGAAGAAGAAGAAGAAGAAGAAGAAGAAGAAAGAGATATGTGTGCGCTTGAATAATTTATCGTTCTTTCCTTCTTTTGTTCTTCTGTATGTCTATAACCCTATCCTTATGTTTGTTTCTTGTATCTTTTGTGGGAACTGCCAACAAAACAAAAACCAAAAAAAAGGCTGTATTTTCTGTACTTGCTTACACAAATCCAGTTGAAGAAAAGACGATTGGATACTTGTTCAGCCAAACCCACAAAGAGAACCTTGCATCAGATTTGAATGCTGTGATACTTTGTAAGTTTATGTTTTAGGCTGTAGAGTTAAAATACGTGTAGCGTCTAGTGCGTCTACTGGGTTGTTGTAGCTTTGGTTATCAGAAACCAAAATGATTATTTTTCTTTTCTTCTGTTCTTCTTTGTGTAGTGCATCAGAATTACCACGAAGTACCTTCACTAGAAAGGCTTTATTCACAACTTTCGACAACGATTCATGAACTGACATTGGAAGGGAATGGAAAGGCAGCGATGGTGAGACCGCATCAGGATTGTCTGTGATATACATACATGATATGGCATGTACACTCTTCTCTCTCTCACTCACTCGCACAAACACACACACACACACACAATACACCCTACATCCTAACATTCCCTTATCCGTACAGATTAAAGCCCTTTATACTTCTTTTCTAAAGTAACATTATAAATCATAATCATCATTATTGAAATATATATATATATATATACATATACATATATAAAAGGTAAAAAAAATAAAAAATAAAAATAAAATGATTAACCACCGATCATTAGAGTGATTATATGCCTTTATCTTTATCTTTATCTTTATCAACTGGGGGATGTCAAGTGACAATAGAAAGCCAAATGTTAAATCTAAGAAAACAAAATGTAAATAAAGGAGGTGTAAGTTCCACAAGTATCTTGACGGCTAGTACCTTGACTTTTGTAGATTACAAGCATACATGTGCCTGTATGAAATATAAAATGAAAAACACGTGCTGTTAAGATAAACTAAGCTTTGTCTCTACAGACACAACCCTTTACACAATTATGTATATAAGTAAATGCATGAGCTGTTATAGTAGAAAGACTGTTAATAATTCAATACAGCAGTAATAAAACTACTAAAAAACAAAATGGAACAAAATGGAATAATTTACCTTTGGGCTTCTTGGATTTTTGTATACAAATCTCAAATATAGCTAATCATAAATTAGTGTTTTTTTCTTTTCTTTTGTGAACACAAAAAAAAGAAGTAAAAATCCGAGAATCTGGATCTACAATAACTAGTTGAGATATATGCTTTGATCTATATGTATATAACCCTTTGCCTAGAATTGTAATTTCTGAAAAGACCTGGCTCCTGATAGGTTCCTAAAGATGTCGAATGCACACAATATTTACGGTGAAGAATGTGCTGATGTGTGCATTTATTCTATCTTTTTTTTTCTTGGGGGGGAAAGATAAGTCAAGTAAAGACAAATTTAAAGAAATAGATAATTCCGGGCACCCCCTTTTAGTATCATTATTATTGCTCTTGCTCTTGCTATTATCATACACCTACCACCCCTATATCCACACCCCTTGACAGTGTTGATGGCAAACATATATGCAGGGTTAGTCAAACAGCCAATGATTTCTCTCTTTTGGCTGTAACCAAACGTAGACTATTAACAGCTTTTACTTGGATCATGATTAAAAGTAAAGATAATAATAAAATAGCAAAAAAGGTGGCAGTGGCTGTTTGGTATTGGTGTAAATATGCAGGACACAGACAGCAATGCAATTTTATGTGATCTAAAGAGTGTGCATGAAACATGTTATATATATATATATAAAAGATTAATAGAAACATCAATATTATTATTATTATTAATATTTGCAATTAAATCGTACAAAGTTACGATCTCTAACTGTGCATCTTTTATTATATTTAGGCAAACTACACACCATAAAAAGCCCAAAGAATCAAATTATTGATCCAAAGGAGGTTACTCTGCTTTATTTTTGTGTTTATTTATTTATTCTTACGGCTACAATAACGGTCCAAGGCAAATATGCGCGTCTGTGGGAGAAGGCTGGAGAGTGTTTGTAGGCTTGATCAACGACTAAAGTATCAATGTAAAGAAAGACAGGCACACATAAATATGCGAGATCATTTACCTATATACCTATATATGCATTGAATTTACATGGAATTGAAAATAATAATAGAGTGTGAGTGTGAAGATCGATATGATTTTGATCAACCTCTTTTGACTACCCTATCTACTTGCAATCACTAGTTATTAAGATTCCCTTTTTATGCTGTAAATTAACAATAGTAAAATAGTCGATCAATAAACGTGGTTCAAGACCTGTTTACAACCCTGTCAATATCTTAATAAACAAGGGTCATGTAGCTGATAGAAAAGCAGAAATCTATTGGGATTATATTAGATTATGATCCCCAGACTAGATTACTTGTTAAAATTTAATTTAATTTAATTTAATTTAATTTAATTTAATTTAATATATATATATATATTTATAAAATAAATTGACAAACCACCACATATTATCTATATGTAAAAAGATAAAATAAATTCAATTTGGTTCAATTATTTAAGCAAGAATGTTTGATACACAAAACAATAACTTATTTACACTGTGAATTATCACTTTGTTTATATATATATATATATTTCTGGCAAGAGTCAATTGAATTCAATTGAAGTTTTGATCCAAATAGCTAATCTATAACAGTATCAAAAAAGAAGCTAAAGATCATCTTGACCCTTGATTGTCTTTAAATCATCACTCCCCACCTTTCAACCTTTACCTTTTATTGTTTTACCTTCCACCCTCTCTCTCTATGTTTCTTATATTTATCTATTTGAACCAGGCTAATAATAATAGATAATAAGACAGAAATCCAAATTTATCTATCTTGTTTTATTTTTTTTTTAAAAAAAGAAAGTAGCTAGTTATATTTTAAAAGTGATCTCGTTGTATTAAAACATGCAAATTCAAAAGAATGCAAACAATGATAGTAATGATAGTAGTATTAGCACCATCAGGAGCACCAGTAACAGTAACAGTACCATTATCATTATCATTATCATTATGATTACTAGTACGAACAGCAGTAACAACAACAACAACAATAGGGATAGTAATGAACACTTTTATATACATAATTTATTCTATTGGTGGTGTAGTTTCACAAATTGTACCTTTATTTTCTTTTTTAAAAAAATGATTTTATTGTTTGTGCAATACTTCTTTATCATTTCCTTCCTTCCTTTTCTTTTCTTTATTATTATAATTATTTAATAATAGAATATAATATAATGAAGGTGTAAATAGAGGAAAGAAAGGATAAAAGACGAATAAATATTTGGATATGTTATATATATATAAATTTGTGTTAAAGAAGAAGAGAAAGGTGGTGATTGAGAAAACAAAAGGACTAGCATAATAATAATGTCAATACAATTGAAACAAGTCAAATGAAAATAAAAATAAAAAGTAAGCTGTCCACATTTGAATCTTCAAAGATAAATGAGACACCAGAAATAGAAAGAAAAGACAACACAGAGGATTAATACATCAGAGAAATAAAGGTAAAAACAAATATGGGAAATCCAAATAAATAAATATATATATATATATATATATATATAATGTATATACATATATAGAAAGAGAAAGAGGTAGAGAAAGAGGTAGAGGTAGGGAGGTTGGCAAAAAATAAAAAAAAATAAAAGTAAAATAAAAAGGGCAGAAGAAAATATTGCATAGAAAAATAAAATAAAATAAAATAAAATATATATAAAGCATAAGAATCTCATCAAATAGAAAAAATAATAAATAAATAAATAAAAAAAAACCTCCCCCATCTGTGAATCTCATCAGTGTTATTACTCGTCTTTGTAACTAACAAATAATAATAATAATAATAATAATAATAATAAAAATAAAGAGAAAAAAAAAAAGGCTCCCAAACTCCATCTCTTTCAAATGTCCCAAGGATATATACATACACATACACATACACATATATACTTCTTTTTCCTTTTTAGGGAATATTCCTCTTTGCCTGTAGGTTCAACCAAAAGCCAAAAGAATAAGAGAGAGAGAGAAGAAATAAGGGAGGAGAAAGATATAATATATAATATTATAATGATGATAATGATAATGATGGTAATAGTAATCACAGTTCATTCCCAAAAGAAGGGTTGGGCATAGGCATTGTCTGGTAGTGGCCAAATGAATCGGCTGGTTGGACTTGAGATGTTATATACGACAGCTGATCTTGCCGATAGTTTAGCATATCTAGAGTATTTACAGAGGTCGCAGGAGGCGATTGCATAAAATGTCCTTTGTCTACACGCCCCGTGATAGATTGAGTATCGCCTTCAGTACCATATGAGACGATCCCAGGCAAATCTGAACAGTGCTGAGACTGACTGTACGATGAAGATGGGTATACTGCATAGGTGTTATGATGACTTAGGAGCATCGAGCTGTGTGGGGTGTGGGATGTGATGGACTGAGCAAGAGGATGGACAGGCTGCTGCTCTAGAAGTGATCGAATTGAATAGCCAGGCGACATGGTTGCTGCAGGCTGTACTGTGTGTTGCTGCAACTGTGATTCATAAGGGGTTTGATAAGAAGAAGACGACGTAGAAGGACAGCCGAGAAACTCAGGATTGTTATTGTTGTTACTCGAGTTGTTATGTGTGTGAGTATGGTTGTTGGAATTGTGGTTTGGATTGCTTGGATTGTTGGTCTGGTCGTAGAGGTAGTGGCTTCCTGTGTTGGGATCGCAGTTATTAAAATACGGTCGATCGAGTGGCGATGCGGCTGATGGAAGACCAGAGTAGTAATAAGGTGCGGATTCATATCCAGATTCAGCAGAGGGAGGCCCAGGCGAAGATGAAAATTCACAGTCTTCTCGGATAGATGGGGCCGTATAAGCAGCCGATTCATGGCCGAAACTGTTGCGAGCATAGACCTCGCGAGGACTGGATGTTCTGGACGCAAACATAGTAACACTGTGTCCACTTGTTCTTCGAGTCACACAAAACGGACATTGACGGACGAACCTAGCAACCAGTTCTTTAGGGATCCAGGAATACCGTTTACGAACCTACATTTGACATTGACAAGCAAAATAGAATAAATAAATAAATAAATAAATAAATTAATTAATTAATTAATTAAATATAATATAATATAATTTTAAAGAATGGATAAATTTTTAATTGAAATGAAGTAAAGTAAAGTGAAATGAAATGATATGATATGAAATACTCATACATATACAGGTACATGTACAAACAGGTACATGTACAGACAGGTACAGGTACATATATACATATATATATTGCTTACCAATGCAGATGTCTTGTCTCGACCACCATGGTGTGCTTCTCGATGTGCTTTGACAAGGATCTCATAAATATCTTCCTTGACAGCAACCGGCTTGTTGTCATGGCACACAAGATCAGTCGTCCCAGGGTGAAGTGAAAACATCTTTTTTACCCAGAACCGAAATTGAGCCGTCGAAATTGCCGTATTTCTTGGATCGTTGAGAACCTGCTGAATAAGACTATATCGGTGGTGGTCGACCAGAGCCTTGTCCCGTTTCTTGGGGCTCAGGTTGTTGAGGTAATCGGCGATAATTGCCCCAAATTCCTTGATAGTCGGCAGCTGGTCTTCGTCGTCTAGAGAATCTTCCAAGGAGCCATGGTAAGTGTACAGGCGATTGTCATCGAATCGGTATCCAGAATAAGGATGGTGGTGAAAAGCATGAGGCGAACAATAGTGTGATGGAGCAGCAGAGGTAGTCATAGTGTATATATATATATATATCTATATCTATATATATATTTATATGTATGTACGTGTGTATTTATATATTTATATTTATATATATATATATATATATATAAATATAATTATGTATGTATTTATGTATATATATATATATATATGTGTGTGTGTGAGAGAGAGAAAGAGAGAGATGGTGTATGTATTTATGTGTATATATAGGTGTATATTTGTACAGTTATGGAGATATATAAAAGAAGAAGAAGAAGAAGAAGAAGAAGTATAAATAGAAGAAGTAGATAGATAACAATAAGAATAAAATAAAAATTAAAAAATAAAAAGAAATAATTGAGGTAAATAGACAAATAAATAGAAAAATAAAATAAAAAAAAAAGGGAAAAACAAGAGAAAGATTATAATAATCAGAACAAAAAAAAAGCTTAGAGAATATAGAAACAAAAGAAGGAGTTTTTTTTTATTTATTTTTTTAGTTGTTATATATTGATATTAAAATAGGCGCGAAAAGGATCGTTTTGGTGACCTAAGATATGCAGTAGTAAACTGCTGCAACCAATTCTCTAGGAATGGTGATATGACTGAAGTTAGAGTTGGCAAAGAAATAAAGACACATAGCCATATTTATTCATGCATTCAAAAACAAAAAACAAAAAAGTTCATGCAGCCGCACGGCCCCATTGTCTATAGATGTTACTTACGGATCGGATATACTACAGAGTAAAATGTATGTATATTTATATAAAAGAGGGGCAAAAGATAAAAGGGATAAGTGGAGGGAAGGGGTGGGTTTGAAGAGGAGAAGGAGAAAGAGCTAGTGGTGATGATGATGGAGGTGATGGAGTGGGGGAGAAAAAGAAGTGTTGCCTAGAGACTGAGTACATTGGACGGCCAAGTGAGGAGCAAAAAACCAAAAAAAAAGAAAAAAGAAACAAGGCTTTACTTGTTTTCAATCTATTTTCATTACTAGTATTCTTAATATTCTAGGTATGAATCAGAATTATACAATACAATGAAAACCAGGCATTTCTTACCGTCCAGAATTTAGTATTTATTTATAATACGATATTATATTAAATTCATTGTGGGTAATAGACTCAATAAACTCACCTTTATTACCGTTGATCACATAGTAAAGTACCTATAAGATACACCAGTAAGTATCATTTCGGCAATTATTCTAACAATACATGAGACTTTCATAAATACTTGCACAAATCGTACATTATACATTATGTATACATCATATATACATCATATATACGCTATATACATTATGTATATATGTACATACATATATATATATATATCGGTATACATCTTTACAAATACTAAACGTTATATGTATTTCAATCTGGCCTGTTTTGAAAATTTGCCATCGTAATTTACTAAATAAAGAAAGTATTTCTACATGTATATATTTATACACACCACACACCACACAGTACATAGTACACAGTACACAACACAAACTATATATATATATATATAAATATATTTTGTAACTGATATTATTATATTCCAATTGCACATATTCATAAGGGTCAACCATAATTAATTTCACTCCAAAATAAATTCCCCTGTTTTATTGTATTGTATTATATCTTATTGTATTTTGGAAATTTTGTTTTCTTGTTGCTAGGAGAAGACATAAGCAAAAAAAAAAAGACAATTCAGGAGACGGTTGCCAAGCATAAAGACTTTAGTATAATATTGGTGCTTATAAATGTATGATTGTAGCCACTATGATACATACATATCGTTTTTTTTGTTGGGTTTTCTTAGGAGTTGATTGGTGTAGCCAAATTGTAGACAATTGCACCCTGGCCTAGTAATAATAATAATAATAGTGTTAATATTAATATTAATGTTAACGTTAATGATAGTATAACCATTAAAAATGTTAGAGAATAGTAGAAAATATAAAATAAAATAAAATAAAATAAAATACCCTATTGGACCAATATGCACAACAATAAAGATACACATCTCAGAAACTTACTGTAATCAATACCAGGTTCACGCTCATAAGCTGGTGGAAACAGTCTCCTCTTCTCTGCATAATAAGTGTCTCGCTTGTCACCCTCTCTGGCAGCGTTGTAGGTCAAATAGACTGCCACACGAGGCTTGTCAGTGGTATTGTCACCACTACGATGGGCCAAATAAGCCCCAAAGATCAACACAGAGCCCTTGTTATATGTATAAAAGTATATAAATTGATAAGAATCCATTCAGTAAATCAAAAAAAAAGAGTTTGGTTAATTTTACTCACAGGTCTACAATGTACAGGGATCCAGGTCTGCTTGTCGCACCATGTTCTAGCAATTGAACCGTCATAGACCTCCTGAGGAAGAATACCTTTCTCAAAAGAGTTCTTATGGGACCCAGGAACAACCTCAAGACAACCATTGGCAGCTACGGTGGGATCAATAGTGAACATCACCGTCATATGGGAAGCCTGTCCGAACTGTATAAAAGCTGGAGCATCTTGATGAGGAGGGAATCCTGACACAATTAAATTACAAAAGTTAAATTAAATTAAATTAAATTAAATTAAATTGAATTGTATATAGTTAGAGTAGACACCAATCTACTGAGATACTCACCACCTCCACCTGGTAGCTTGTAATTCACCTTTTCCTTGAAAAGCAAGTAATCTTCACCATGAAGCTTCTTGAGGATAGTAAACAGACGTTCGCTCTTCACATAGTCACACATTCCCTGATGGAATGGAGTGAAATTCTCGGTACGGCAGAGTTGATCCTTCCCAGACACAGTGTTGCGCTCATAGTACTGCATCCATTTACCCTTCTCCTGGCCCCAGCCCTGAAACTGATTGCAGTATCCAGTCAGAGTGGCATGTTCGTCGGCAGAAAAAAAGTCTTCGATCAAGATAAAGCCATCATCCTTGTAGCTCTGGATCTGTTCTTTAGTCAGATCGTAAGGTATGACGTTGGGCTTAACAGTCATTATTAATCAAGATAGATAAGAAAACAAAAATAAAGAGGCTGTGGTTTGTATCTTTCTTTGGTTTCTTGAGAAAGTCTTTTATGTGTTCGATTGAGTGAGTGAGTGATTGATATTTATACTTCACTTATCCATGTGTAATGGTCTCTGATTGTCTTAATCTCCCACTAAAGATGATTCACAACCTTATCTTATTTATACTCCCCCAACCCTTTTTTTCTTTTCTTTTCTTTCTGTTAATTGACACGGGTTTTATTATGCTAAAGGCTCTATATCATTAACGTAATCTATACATACGCAGAAAGATAGAAAGAGTAACAATTCACACACACACATATATATACACAGAATCTCATGTTGCAGAACACCACGTCGCACATGTATCTTGAAGGCGTTAGATGTAGTACGCATTAGATGGTTTATTCCCAGGATTGGATATCGGGACTACAAGAGCCCTGTCACAGCTTTGTCAAAGTTCAAAGTGGAGCTTTGATGTTGTAGTCCGTGGGTACGGACAATAGGTTTTTTTTTTATTCTTTTTCTTCTTATCAATTTGTGTGGCCACCTATATTGCTTGAATGATCATTATCATTATTATCATTAGTATATTTTTCTAAAGCTTATTTGACCTTTTTTTTCTCTTTTTCTTTTTTAGTGTAAGGATTTTTCTCCAATTATAAATAAATATAAATATAAATATAAATATATATATATATATCTCATACATTTACCCTGCTTAAAGAAGAAGCAAAGCAATACCAATTTTTTTTTATATTATGGATAAAAGTACCTTTGGCTCTGTAATTGATGCCGTCTTTAAGGTCCTGATAGACGGAAGTAAAAAAGATTATATTGGAGAAAAGATTTCTCAGCTTGAGCATAGTCTCCAAGCTGCAAATGGCGCACTTGAATCAAGCAAGTAATTCCAAGAATATTATACAAACATACATATATATGCAAATACTAAATATTCACATTGATATCTGTATCTATTAGATGCTGATGATGAGACTGTGCTGGCTGCATTACTGCACGATATTGGCCAGTTTGTAACCTCTCCTGATCACAAAGAAATGCTTTTTGATGCAGCTGCTCTTACTGATCTTGATCCTGCTGCTGCTGCTGCTGCTGCTGCTGAATCTTCTGCCTCTGTTTCTGGGTCTACTACTGCTATTAACTTGAATACCCCAAATAAGAAGAAAATCAGCGTGGGCGTCACTGGCCACGAACGGATTGGTGCAGAGTACCTCCGAAGTCTCGGTTTTTCGGAGAAAGTTGCTGTCTTGGTCGAGGCTCATGTGCCTGTGAAGCGGTACCTCACCGGCAAATATCCAGAGTACTACGATGGATTGAGTGGTGCAAGCAAACTGTCACTGAAGTACCAGGTAAGATATTAAATGCAACCGAGAAAATAATAATAATATATAAAAATGTATTCTCCTGTTGTACTTTCAATACTAGCCGAAAATATTAATTACAAATATATAATTACAAAAAGGGGGGACCATACACGGCTAAAGAGGTTGCACTGTTTGAAAAAGATCCATTATTTGAATTAAAGGTCCAAGTGCGCCAGTGGGATGATGCTGCCAAGGTTGTTGACCTCAAGGTTCCTGGTCTGGAATACTACAGACCAATGGCAATTCGACATCTTGAGGAACAGGCCAGCAATCGATGTTCAGTTGTGGTTTGATATCAAGACCATCATTATTATTGTCATTTCTTTTGTTACTAATTAAATATTATTGCCTTTAGGATATACACAAAAACATTAATAAAATAAAAGTTGAGATTAAGGATAATAATCCAAACCAAGGACATTCTTTCATTTCATTCACCCATGAGTATAGTGTCTTGTTTAAAAGAAGCTGTTTCAAGAATTTCTATTTTCTACACAGCATTATTCATATAGATATCAAACACATCAAATAAACTACCCCTCCAATCTCATCCCCCCTCTGCCACCACAACCACAATCTCCAAAATAGGATACAAATATAATGCAACTGATTAACAGTAACAATTCCATAAAATAAAAAAAATAAAAAAATGACTAATTGTTACTTGTCCAAAAGAAACAATTTGCTCATTCTAATAGATAATAGATAACAGTCTGCTATTCTTATAATGATTCACGTCCCAAACCAGATCTAGTTTGACTATCCCATTTTTACCCTTAAAGAACTAATGTATATAGTGGTAATAATAATCTATAATGGTATGCATTACAACCAAATGCATAATGAATTATATACTTGCTTACTTTCTTGTTTGTTTGTTTGATTGCTTTGGATATTACACATGTATTTCGGTATATTGTGCTTATGTTGATATCTTTGTCCCTGTATTAATTTATCAGCACAACTCAGGTCCTTTCATTTCCATGACGCGAATTTCATTAGAAAAGGTGCAAGCAAACAAAGATAAGCACACATCTTTGTGAGATCCGAGCAGGATGACTCACAGCATTAGATGTGACAAAAAAAAACATATTTTGAAATATCCAAAAACAGACCATTTCTCCATTTCCTTCTTGTTGATATTCTTGTGAGATGAATATTATTTTATTTTATATATATATATATATAAAAGAAGTAAAATAATAATCATAATAATCATAGCCCGATTTTGATACCCGATCTTTCTTTTGGGGGGTGGAGAAAAAGAGGGGGAGTGAAGAAACAAAAAAAAAAAAAGGGAAAGGGAAAGAAAGGTGTCATTCAAACACTCTCCCCCCAAACTCTACACCATCCCTACCCTACCCACAAAAGGAAAATAATTAAGGTAAAATAAAGATGCGAAATTATGCTTTGGTGTTTTATTTTATCATTCATCTGTATCCATAGCAGAACTAGCAGTAGTAGTGTCTGTATCCACCTCATTCTGCAGGGTTGACACATCTTTCTTTAGAGGCGCCTCAAAGCTTACATCACAATCCATTTCAGAAGTTGCCTCAAACGCACATGCTTGCGCATCAGGATTCTGATCCGGATTAGCTTCAATAGAAGAGCTAGGAGTAGAAGTAGTGGAAGCAGTAGAAGCAGTAGAAGCAGTAGAAGCATCAGCAGCAGTAGTTGCCACCACTACCACCACATCACCTGTACCTTTTTCATGCTCATTCGTGTTCATTGGAATACAATCTTCCTTCTCCTTCTCCTTATCCTCCTTTGGCGCGTTAACCTCAAAATCTTTGTCGGGCACAGCTGTTTTGTCTGTGTCTGTGTCTGTGCCTGATGAGATTTCTTCTCCGAATTGGCCGTCCTCTTCCATGCGTTCTCCTTCTTCCGCCACTAGATTATCTTTCTTGGTACCTTCTTCTTCTTCCTCTCCCTCTTCCTCTTTGTCCTTTTCTAATAAATCTTCTTCCATTGCTTTTTCCTGTTCTTGTTCATCGTCCTGCTCATGTCTTTCTTCATTTTCAAATCCAATTGGCTCCAGATCTAGTCCAGAAGGCATATCCTGGGCCGGGAATACAGAATCGGCCTTGCCATCTTCTTTATTGTCTGTGTCATTTTCTGAGAACTCTTCCCAAGTCGAAGTTACCAAAAGAACCTAATTTATTCCCATTATTAAATTTCTTTGTTAGTTTAAATTTCATATGCATTTATACTATTTCCCTCCACCCAAACTTATATATAAATATATCTTACCTTTTCAATTGCTCTCAAGTATTTTATAAACATTTTGTAATGTCTCCGAGGTTCAATCAAGAGCTCACACAAACGTTGAATAGTAAATGGTGCTCTAAATAGTGTAGATATGGCTGAGTTTCGATCATTATCACAACCACTTCTTTTCTCTTTCTCTCGCTCTTTTGAATATATATATATATATATTTATGCATATGCATATGCGTGTTTACAAGTTTTCTTCTTTACCCCAAGTGATGATCAATGCTGTGAACAATGGAAGTTTTTAGAGTTTCAATGTTTGACTTGCTCTCTGATCCAGTTGTTCTTTCCATGATTTCGCAATACTACAGGACCCACTGTAGTATCAACAGCCTTGTCATTGTCACCTTCATCTTGTTTCTCTTTCTCTTCCATTTATATACATCTCTATATTTATTCTTCGTTTATTTACCTTGAGAATTGCCTGCTTGATTATCTCTTTTAATTCAGTCCAGGGAACTGTTAATGTATTCGTTTTGGCAGTCTGTTGGATGTTCAAATGGGCTTCAATATTGTTGAGATGATCTCCAATTTCGACCAAATCAGACCCATTTGTATCTTCCTTTGGTTTTGTGGGCAATTCTTCTGGTCCAATCATTCTTTCGTCATCTATCGAGTCATCGCTTGCAGTAGCAGTAGGAGTAGCGGTCGTAGTAGTTGTAGCTGTAGTAGTCGTATCTTGGGTTTGGTTCTGAGTTTTTTGATCAGCAGTTATTACATCTGCTGCTGTCGGTGTTGTTGATGTTGTTACTTCGGACATGATGTATCAAAGAAGATGCATCCGTACCTAATCAATTCAATCCAAACTACTAAAATAAATTTTTAAAAAAAAAGGAACCAAAAAAAAAAGCTTAAGTGCGTCATTGATACGTGTGACGTCCTTTTTTTCCTTTTTTTTTTTAAAAAAATGGTTTCGCTTTTGAAAGACTAAAAACCCACATTTTGTTAAGCTTTTTTTTTACCCTTTTTTTTCTTATACACTTTATTATATTATATTATATATTGTATTATATATTGTATTGTATTGTATTTTATTATATATATATAAAAGATACAAGCATACAAACATACATACATACATACATACATACATACACACACATAAACGCATAAACGCATAAATACATACACATACACACACCGAAAAGGAATAATATTAATAGCTAAAGATGTCAGACGTAGCAGTATCTCAAGTGTTAGAGGCACTATCTGCTCTTTATTCCTCCAGCAATTCTCAAGCCAAAAAGGAAGCCAGTCGATGGTTAGAAGATTTTCAGAAGCAGGTACCATGACCAAACAATAAATAAAATACGACAAGCACAAAAGCACAAAAGCACAAAAGCAAACATACACACACATATATATATATAAGAAAAAGAAAGAAAGAAAGAAAGAAAGAGTAATACCTACTGCGCCAAAGACGACAATATACATATACACACACATCGATACATGCATCTATAAAAACAGTAATAAGAAAGGAATCTCTTATGTACCTTACATACATCACACAACCATAAATACAAACACAAACAAACATACAAACCTATCATGCCACTCTTTTTAGCCAGAGGCATGGACTGTAGCAAACTACCTCTTGACAATGGAAAACTCCAACACAGAAACCCGTTTATTTGCTGCTCAGACACTCAGACAAAAGGTTAAGATTATATTATATTACATTACATTTAACCTTTATACATCCATACCTCTAGCCATTCAATTAAGAAAAGAAAAGAAAAACAAATATCTATACACGTTTATTAATTAATACGAATTAACATTGAATTGCGGGTTTTCTTATTCTTTTTTTTTTTTTGTTAAATCTCAAACCATTTCAGATTACATACGATCTGCGTGAACTCAATCCTGAAGCTCGCCGTTCATTGCGCGATTCTCTTGTGCAACTCTTGTGGGTTTCGGCCACAGGCTCCAAAGCTATAATGGTGCAGCTCTGTTTGGCAGTAGCAGACTTGGCCATTCAGTTTATGGAGTGGAACACAGTTGTACAGGATCTTATTGCCAAGTTTGGCAAAACACCTGAAAGTGCAACTTGTCTACTGGAGTTCCTTAAGGTGCTTGCAGAGGAAATGACGAGCAACAAGAGAATCCCACTTTCAGTAAGTACCGTATATATAAATATATACATATACACACATAAAATACATATGTATATTTTTGATAAATTAAAACGCTTTACATACATATATATATACTGGCTGAATAATTTCATTTCTTTTTTAAATAATCATAAATAAATAAAAATAATTTCATTTCTTTTTATCTTGAAAAAAAAAGGATAAAGATGCTCAGGCAAGAAGCGCACTTCTCATCGAGGGAAATGTCCCAACAGTGATGCGCTTGTTGGAAATGTATATTCAATCAAGTGGTAAGAGAAATGAAACAAGGAAAAATAAAATAGAGAGAGAGAGAATCAAAGTATATATATATGTGTGTGTATGTGTGTGGGGGGAGGTATTTATGTAAATGGAATTAAAAGATTCCTATTTTGTTCCGTTAGCTGGTAATCTCAAAATCCAGGAAGAGGTATTCCAGTGCCTTTCGAGTTGGTTGCGTACAGGAGATGTGGATATAAGATTGCTGGAGACTAGCCCTCTTTTGGCTGCCGCATTCGAGGGACTGTCAAATGAAGAACTGTTTGATGTTTCTGTGGATGTGGTGTGCGAGATTATTTACGAAACAAAGGACGTTACCGAGTACAGATCTCTCATCGAACGGATCTACCCCTTGTTTGGTACCTTGATTCAGCAGCTCCGAGAAGCAAAGGCAGACGAAGACTCTGACAAGGTGCGCGGCTATTGTCGCATGTTCGTCGAGGCTGGCGAGGCCTACGTGCTGCTGATTGCCCAGCACCCCGAGTCGTTTGGAGTCTTGCTGCAGGGTATTAGTGAGTGTACAGCATACGAAGACCTCGACATTGTGCCAATGACATTTAAGTTCTGGTACGAATTAACCAACACCCTGAGCACCGAATCCTACAAGCCTGCCATCCCGGCCCTGGTGGGCTACTACGATTCCCTGGTCGACAGCATCATCAGACACCTGCACTACTCCGACGACGTCGAGGAGATGTCGGCCAAGGATCGAGATGACTTTAGAGACTTTAGACACCAGATGGGAGATACTCTCAAGGACTGTTGTAGAATAATGACCCCTCAAAAGTGCCTGTTGAAGCCGCTGACCTTGCTCACACGTTTGCTCACCCAGGCAGAAACACCACCAACCTGGCAGCAGATCGAAGCCCCGATCTTTTCGCTGCGTTCGATGGGATCTGAAGTCCCGAGTGACGAAAACGAGGTGATGCCCCAGATTATGGAATTCCTATCCAAACTACCAGATCATCCCAAGATCCGCTATGCGGCCACCTTGGTTATCTCCAGATACTCTTTCTGGACCCGTCTTCATCCAGAATACGTAACATACCAGCTCAACTACATTTCTGCTGGATTTGAAAACCAGGAAGTAGCAGCAGCTAGTGCACTTGCATTAAAGCATCTTTGCAAGGATTGTAGTGAGGTAAAGAAAAGAAAAGTTTGATTTGATGGCTTGAATATTTTTTTTTTCAATTTACTAATGCTATGCATATATTCAAATAACAATGATTCATAGTTGCTTATTGACTTTGTTGGACAACTCCATCCTTTCTACATCAACATCGTACGAACCTTGCCATTCAACGACATAATTGAAGTGACTGAAGCCGTGTCACATGTAATTTCTGTCATTCCTGCATCAGAGATCCTAAATGCACTCAAGTCTTTCTGCTTGCCTATTGCCCAAGACTTGCATAGCATTGTTGCCAAAAACAAGAACACCATCACTCAAAATGAAATTGCAAAGGCTGGGGGTAAAGTAGTAAATACAAGCATTACAAAGAAACATAAAAGAAAATGACAATAATATTGATTGATTTACTTGTATATCTATTTATTACCTCCTCCTCCTCAAACAACAACAACAAAAGACTTATTGGAACAGATTGCCATCTTCTTTGAGATTATTCGCCCAGAAGATATACCTGTGGGTGCACCCCATCCTTGTGTGGCCTTCTTAAATGAACTTTGGCCTGTATTTGACATGTGCCTGAGCAACTTTGGAAGCGAGCCAATCATTGCCGAGCCCTTGTGTAGATGCTTTAGAAACTGTATCCAGTCCTACAAACTTCATTTTGCACCTCTGTTGCCTTTGCTGATGGAAAGATTGGTCGGTGGATTTGACAGCAGTAGACTGGGTGTGTATCTCTGGGTGGCCCACAAACTTGTCAGAGAATATGCTATTGAGGGAACCGAAAGTGTCACCGTGTGCTTCCAGCTTCTCGAAAGTCTCAGTGCAACGGTCTTTACTACATTGAACGAAAAGAAATTTGAAGAAATTCCTGATGGTGAGTGTACTATTTTATTAATATTACTACTACTATTATCATTATTTAGATACCTAAAAAAAACATAAATGAAATGAATCGTTGTTTTCTAATTGAATTTTTATATATTACTTAGTCGTGGAAGAATACTTTAGACTTACGAGTGCTTTCTTGGATTGTGCACCAACCTTGTTTGTACAAAGCCAATTGATTTCGCCAGTTTTCCAAGCTGGACTTGCAGGACTGTCTTTGGAAGAAGTGAGAGCCTTGACAGCCATTATATCCTTTTACCGCCACCTCTTGTCCATCGACCTGACAACCAGCGAACTCGAAAAGCCCGACACTCCCCTGACAGCATCTACCTTGACCTTAAACACCGAACGGATCATCAGTCTGTTCAGAGAGTTCGGAGGTGATTTTGTTCGTCTCTTGTTCGATGGAATGATCCATCACTACAGCTGGGAAATGATTCCTGATGTTGCGGCCACAATGAAGTCCTTGGCACAACTGATGCCTGTAGAGAGTGCACAGTGGATGGTGGCTGTTGTCAATGGGTTCCCTGAGCAGCACATGTCTGCCTCTGAACGAACCGAATTCTTGCAGGACTGGACAAGGCAAGTATACATGTCATAGATACATAGATATATGTATTTGTTTAGGATGCCTCTTATATATATATATAACCAATGAATTGAGTTGCTAACATATTCTTTAATTTCTTTAGAGCTATCCAAGAGAAGCAGTGGGTAAAAGTTAGACGTGTCTTGTCAGACTTTGTATCTCAGTATAGAAGACGCAATACAAACCGAAAGTAAAGTAAAAGATATAAAAAATACAAATACAAACAATTACACACACAAAAAAAGGATTCTCCAGACTGTTCAATATAATAATAAAAGCACATGTTAATGCTCGCAACACTTTGATAAAAGATATGTTTCTCTTATGCTATAAAAAAGTAATAAGAAAAAACAAGACTCAAAGATCTCATACTTCTCAATAATATAATAGTCAATACTAACTTTCATAATATAGAAGTTATGATTGATGTTAAGTTAGAAGAAAAGTAAAGCTTTGTAAATATCAAAGAAGTATCCTGTTTTAATAATGTGCTTTTATTACTTTTATTTTGTACTCCTTCTGTATATGAATATTAAACGACCGTGACATAATTTAACGCGGAGAAACATTGTCTGAGACTATTTATAAAAGATGTGTTTTTTATTTGCTAACTCGAGTCGATTATTTGCAATTTTAAATGCGTGTATCTATAGCAGAATACTTTATTAGAGTAGCTGACTAGTAAAAGTTTTATTTTTAGGAAAATCTTTTGAGGTGTATAGTGTCAACAGTCGGATTACTGGCTTCCACTGTCAAGTAATACTAATTTTTTCTCCCTCCGAGTTTTTGTCGGTATTATTTATTGATTAAGTCGCCGCGATGTACTATGCGGTTATCGAAAATATATTATGCAGTTGATTAAATAAATTAAATCAAAGAAAGGGGAAGTGAATAGTGAGGGAGATACAGTTTGCATCGATTGGGAGTCCAAGCAATTGAACAACTAACGACAATTTTTGAGAATTTAAAGTAAATTACAATACAGTCATTGCTCAATTTAGTGATGGCAATGTTACTTTACTTCTTCCAACCACATCATCAAATTGAGAATTGACTGTATAGAATGGAATACTTATAATATTTTGTGTAATACCGAAATATATATTACTTTCATACAAGGTCAAGTTACATTGGTTACTTTATTTTACAGAAAGAACTCTAATTCTAGGTATAATGATAATGTTAGTGATAATTATAATGAAAAAGTATGAAATTTGTGTCTAATTTGCTGTCATCTTAATCCCTCTTATTTCACACGGCTGTCTGGAATCGAATTTAGACCACTCTCAGCAGATAAGAAATTCATGTCTGCAAAGTCTGCCGCAAGGCTTTGGACATCACTGGTTTGGTTAATTACAAATAATACCAAGCCTGTCAATAAAGACGCAATCATGAAAATAATATCTGACCATCGCCGAAAATAATCAAACTCAATGTGGCCAAGTGATGATGACACCAAATAACTCAAATAGAAAATAAAATAAAATAAAATCCGTATCATTCATCTGTTTTTGATTGTGTACCAAAGCAAGGCTCTCGAATACTTACCGGTAATCATAAGGAAGACTTGTTTGCATCATCAGCACAGAGCTAAGGAAGTATAGACCCATCATATGTGCCACACAAAGTAACAATGTACTGGTAGATATAGACATTTTGTTTGACCAGGAGCGCATAATCTAAACACACACACACACACATATATATATATATATAGTTAAATATTTGGAAGTTAAATACTAATATATGCTTTACATATATGCATTTTATATATTTACCCTCGTCAAGATCTGTAAGAATCCTCGCACAGAACCAAAAACAATTATACCAGCAAACCAGAAACTAAGCTGCTGGGACCAAAAACTTATGTCAAGCTTTGATCCCTCTTTATCAAAATGGCTGATCATCAAAGATATCATATTTGTAATAGGATCATTAGATCCAACTCGTCGTGTAATAACATTGAAAGATGTCTTCAAAAAAACATATTTACATATATATATATATACAGTCCAATATTATTATCAGCGATTTAATATATTTAGGTGGTAACTTACCACTATAAGCCGATATACACAATATACCGTAAAAACACTTCCAACAAGGTTCCAACACTGCCCTTTCCAGGTTTGAGAAAACTGGCTTTTGACCTGTAGGCATAAAGCTATTTAGAAGACAATATACGTATATACGTATATATATATATATGCATTGATATTTGATTGTGTACACTAACCCTTGCTCTTGCTAGTTCCTCTAGATTTGCTTTCATACTTGTCGCTAGCCCTTCCATTTGTGATATCTCGATTTCCAGCTGATCAAGCTCTAAAAAATTTCAGATGTGTCAGGCTTGTTAATTTTGAAACAGCAAAAAAAAACCCTCTCTCCAAAAATAAAGTGGCTCGGTTTTCTCCTCTCTTCCTCCTCCTCCTCCTCCTCCTCACCACGAGTATTTGTCCGGTTCATAAGAGAAGATATCCATTGACTCATTTTACTCGATGAAGCCTTTGTCTCTGGCTGTTGTTCTTCAGACTGACTTTGGAGTTTCTTCAATTGCACACTTCTTTCTTGGATCATCTTTTTTGTTTGCTCATAGGCATGCTCTGCAATACTATAATCACGCTCGCTAACCTGCCTTTTTTTTAAAAAAAAATTCATTTCGAGTTATTTAATCATAATGTTTGTGGTATTAATCGTGGGCAAACTCACTTTGTGTAGGCTGCCCAGGTCGTATATGGTGTATTTACTACACCGAAACCAGATAGGGCAGCAATCAATGTGATACCGATTATACTGACACGGAATATGCCAATCTCCAACCAGGTGTAGCCCGATGTATCACCTGTGAGGATTAAATATTCATTTATATATTTTACACATTAAATTTCCTAAAATAATAATAATATTACCTTGAGAAATGTGTCCAATGTGTTCAAAAAGATACATATATATTATCCACACAAATGTAGTAGTATATGCTGCTGATTTTGTTCTCCAACCTATAAAGTATATATATATATATATATATATATACACAATTTTTGTCAGCTATAACTCGGGTAATACTCGCCACAAAACACTCCCCTGTGTATGTAGCTTATTATTTTAAGGCTTTTAACAATCTATTTTTTACTACCTCGGCTGTGCCTCAAGAAGGTATAAACCTGATACCAGGGTATGACAAGAATAACCAAGATCAAAAGCACATTAAGATTCCATTGCCAATAATGCCATCGTGTCCTGACTAAGAGGTTAAATGCCATTGATCCAAGCTAATTGAAATGTCTTACGTCTTTGAAAACACATTGCTAATTTCTGCAAACACAAGCAAGAAAAGAGTACATGAGCAGCTCAGGCTTATTGCAAAGATAATATGGGGTCCGATGAGATTGTTTGTGAATTGTGTAAATGTAGAAGGCGGTACATAGCCTTTGAATAAAAGACGTGTGGCGAGATTTGTGCCCAGGGTGAGTAAGATCAACTGAATCAAGAGAATGATTATGCCATCGATTAGTGACATTATAATCTGATAATATACAAGAAAGAGAGACAATTAATGCTGTACCCCTAAAGCCACTTGATATTATTATTATTATTATTATTTTATTATTATATATATATATTTAATGTGTATGTGTATCAGTGTTTGGTCAATGCGGCGGACATTAATAAAGAACATTCATTTCTTGTTTTGTCTTTACAATGTTGGATGAATTCAGTAATTTATTCCAGAATATCAAATGCTATAGTTATATATATATAGAAAAATGGATGGGTGTTGAAGAATGGAAAATATGGATGGGTTTCTATGAAGAGATATACTCGAGACTTAAAAATTGATGAATAGATCCTTGTATTGATCTTGGTCAGAGGTTGGAGCCTCAGCTTCCTCGATTTCTGGATACTTTTCAAAGTTACTTGTATCTCCTGGATGACGATAGTTGGGAATTATGGGTGCCTAATAAAATAAATATTTAGATTAATACATTCATTTCTAATTAGGTTTTTTCTTCTTCTTCTTCCAAGATCTTGTCCTGTTCTTTACCGGCACGCTTTTTTCCAGTAATCCAATCCAGTCAACACCTCGAAACCACTTGTGTCTTTTGACATCTTCAGATCCTGACTATAAAAACCAAATTATTTCAATTAACAAAAAAAAGTATAGGAAACCTAATGGAAATAATAATAATAGTGAGTACCTGTAGATTGCCCAATCGCTTGTTACGATCGCTAACAAGAAGCCGTTTGAGCAAATCTTTTGCGAGCAAATCAAAGTGTCCTGGGAAGAGAGGTTTTCCAGCAAGGATCTTTTCATAGATCCCAAAAGGACTTTCATCAAAGAACGGCGGGTATCTAATAAAATGATAATAATATTAGCACATTTAATACATAGGTATTGATTTGCACTATATACATGTATGTATATGCATGTATGTATGTATGTATGTATGTATGTATGTATGTATGTATGTATGTATGTATGTATGTATGTATGTATGTATGTATGTATGTATACATATATGTAATCAACACATTACCCTGCCAACATTTCAAAGATCAAAATTCCCAGTGCCCACCAATCGACGGCTTTGTCATGGCCTTTGCTTTGGATAATCTCAGGCGCCAAATATTCTGGTGTGCCACATAATGTCCATGTCCAAGTTCTGAGTAGTTTAACAGTTATTAGGTATATTACTCATTCACATACGATGTGTATATTTGCACTTATTTTCTAAAGTACTTACTGTTCTTCTACTATCTTTGCAAACCCAAAATCGGTAATCTTAATGTGTCCTTGATAATCTATCAAGAGATTCTCAGGCTTCAGATCACGATAGATTGTATTCTTTGAATGAAGATATTCAATTGCCAATACGATTTCAGAAGCATAGAATCGTGTCATATCGTTTGTGAAGCGACCTGCTTTGCGCAAATGAGTGAACAATTCACCGCCAACCACATATTCAAGCAACATATAAAGATTGACCGAGTCTTGGAAGACGCAGAATCTAAAGTAGAGTGTAGACATAGCATGAGCCTCCCTCCTTTTCCTCCCCTTCTTCAACCCAGCCTAGTCCCCCTTTTTTGCCACATGTAGTCTCGTGCATATAATCACTTACAGATCAACAACAAATGGAAATCGAATAGAGGCAAGAATGTTCTTTTCAGACATTATGTGCTCAACTTGCTTGAGCTTGACCACTTCTGCCTTTTTCAAGACCTTCATGGCATAGAATTTATTAGTCTCATTAAATTTTGTCAGATAAACTCTTCCAAAAGTGCCTGTGCCTATAGTTACATTAATTAATAGGTTGTTAGTATGTAGTGAACGACTTTAAGAGACCAAAATATGTACCCCCCTTTCCCCTACCTCTCTCTCTCTCATTATTATTATTATTATTATTATTATTATTATTATTATCTTAATGCTGGTCATGTACACACATTGTGTACACAACACGTAGATATTCTATGTTAACTATTCCTATTATTATTACTTTCTTTATTTTATCTTATTTTATCTTATTTACCTAATGTATCCAAAAGCTCAAAATCTTTTAGTTCAAAAGAAGGTTTGGCCACATATACTGGAGACTGGGTGTGAAAATGCTGTAGTCGGTTGATTTGATGTTGTATTCCAGCCTGGTGTGCAGCTGGCATTCGAGGCAGAGGGTTTTTGATTAATAACTGGCCAGAAGTCTCGCTCGATTTCTTTAGTGAGTACTGTAACGCACCGGCCGGCTGTGGTCGAGAGCTATTGGGATACCCCATAGGGTTAGTTGGCCGGGACTGTGGCATTGTTTCGCTGAGAATAGTTTTTTTGAGGATTGATCCAAGCTGAGGCTGTTTGCCCTTGTCAACTTTTGGTCGTTCGACGATAGGTTCCATAATGCCAGTTGTCCGGTTAGAAGGTCCTCCTGTTACTGCGGTAAGGTTTGTTGGTGGTTTGGAAAGGACAGATTCGCAACGGGTAGTTTGGAATTGTAGCGTCGGCATCGGCATTGGCAGCAACCAAGCAGGTAAGAAAGGAAGAAAAGAAGGGGCGAAGATAAGTAGAAATTCGACAGGATTGAGGACAAAGGGGAAAGGGGAGTTGTGAAGGGGTTGAAGTAAAAGAGAGAGAGAGAGAGAGAGCGAAAAAAATTGAGTATACAAGTTATACAGAAAAACTGTAGCCTGACTTACATGGAAGGTCGTACACATTCACATTCACATACATATATACATACACATATACATACACAGTATAGAAATTCGTACACGACAGATAATACAGCTAGAAACATAGAGAAAGCCGTGATGAGAAGCTTAAAAGCCACACAGTACTCCTTCTGGTTTATATGAAAAAGGCGACATTAAAAAGGAGCATGGCCAGACTTATGAGGGTTCCAATCAAGGTCTCTTTGAAATTGCATATAACGTTGAGTAGTGTGTTTGTGAAACTCAGTTTCCATGGAAAAAAAAGTGAAGGCCAACCCCCCATGTAACGAACCATCGATACTTGCTCATCACCTGGGGATCTATGATATCCCCCCCCCCTGGAGATTTACATGATAAATATTGGGACGAATACATGATTGGGAAGATCGTTAAAGTATATAAAGCATTGAAATTCAATAATAATAATAATAATAATAATAATAATAATAATAATAATAATAATAATAATAATAATAAGACTAATGCTGATACTAAATCTCCTGTTTCTTATACGGCAATTGCTATCGACTTTCTCACTTTCTTTATACATAGACATTGTTTTCGGCTCTGTTTCACATCAAATGGCATGACAAGCCATAGATAGGTAAATAGAATGGACACTGTCCTGCCCCTTGCTTTTTTTTCCAATATTTTTATAATACTCCATTGCCTTGCTTGTACTTACACTACACACTATTTTTGGCTATTGAAGAAAGAACTTCTTCTATCGGCCATTGACAAGACAAGTCGATGGCAGTCTCGACCTTTTCTTCTATTTTTGCTTTACCCAAAGCGTCATGATCGTCAAGTGGCAAAGTATCCATATATATATATTTGTCTATTTGTATGCTTGTATGTTTATATGTTTATATGCTTATTTATGTAATTGGTTACAAAAACATCATCAATAACAACACGAAACATTGTAAAGAAACAATCTCAACCTTCACTTTCGGATCAAGCCTTTATAAAATGATGGCTCAAATAAGGTGTTGTAAAAACCCCAGATATACAAAATGATTATTTTTTGATAATTAGGAGATCCTTGGAGAAAATCCGTTATGCCTGGTTGTCTTCTTTCTCTCTTTCTCTTATGAAAAATAAATAAATACATATTTACCCAAGAAGATCAGAGTGTGGCATAATCTCCATCAAATTAGATACATCTGTGAAAGCTGAAACAATTTTCTGCAAAAATCTTTACATTTGTACTATTTCAAAATAACAATCATAATAATAATAATATTGAAAGACTCAGATTATCATTAGAAAACCATCTACAGCTCTATACCATAACAACCAATTACCATTCAATTGACTGAGGTAGTTTTGCTTTAGTTCTATTCTTTCAAGGAAACTGATGTTTATGGTTCTTTTAGACGGAACCAAGCTTCCTTTGGTGACATTAGAGGTGTACTTTGCTACACAAAGTGACCAAAGCTCTCCCATATTAGAACCTTTATTGTCTTACAAGTTCTTAGCATCACTATATATATATATGTTAGCAAAATGTTGGAATATAAAGGATACTTGAACGCGGGAGCCTGCCGCAGACATTGGTCTTGAGACAATAATAAAAAAAAGTTTAAATCGCAAGTCCTACAACTCGGGCCACATCTCTGCAGTTTTATCCCTTTGTTATTGTTTGCCATTTTCATCAACCTCAAATTAGAGCAGTACTACTGAATACATTATATCTTGTGTTTAACTATTCCTCTCAAGGCATCGGCTCTAGTATTGTTACCCAAGAAAACCATCACATCATTGGCACTGATTAATATTTACAGCTAATTTATATATCCTTTTGCACGACCTCTGATGACGATCTGTGGATTACTAGATTCACACGGTATTTGCATTCGGTTAATATAAAACTAGTTAGACAACGATTGGATAAATTAAGAATCTTAGGACAGGCTACAAGTGTGACACATAACTAGGAGCTACAGAGATATTTGGATCAAGATTATCATCATCTTCTTTGACAAGAATAATGCGTGTACAATGATAACACGTAGAATCACCTCATAATATTACCATTACTTTAAGATAATATATATATATATATATATATATATGATATCTTTGCTGCGGAAAATTCAATTATTTCGCTTTTTATCTGAGTATTATAAGGTATGTAACTAATCTCTAATTGAGTAACCGAGGTTTTCTTTTTATCCATTGTTTCTGTAAAGAAGTATATGCTGTTACAAAGTAATGATAATCCAAGGGTACTATGAACCATATATATATTAATATTTAAGCAGAAACATATGCTTTTGAAATCGTTATAGGCAATGCTTCTGAGAATATAAAAGCAATATTAATTTTTAGATACACTTTTAATAAAAAATTATGTATATAACGGTTTATTCAACAGAAATATTTTTACATGCTTAAAAAAATGCATATCGTCTTTGAAAGTCTGGGACTTGCAGGGAGAAATAGGAACAGTCATATGTGACTTGTAATCACCCCCGTATGAAATGAACAATGCTTTCAAGCTTTACCTGATTCTGTCTCATCCATCAATACCATGAACGCCCTCCGTACCATTGCCAAGCCTTCTCATCAGTCTGTCAAGGGTAGGAGTGAGATCTGTAGAGAAGACGTCAATGAATATAAAAACGGCTAAACCAATATTGTTTCTTGTAATAAGCCCTTGTAACCCAGCGTGCTTTCCACGCCGGCCAGACCTGTTTTACCGGCAAGACTATCACAGCTACTTCCAAGGATTTTGACGAACTTGTGACCAAGGCCAACCATCCTGTTATAGTTGACTTTTACGCCGAGTAAGAATTTATTTTTAGTTCAGTTATATGAGTCAAAGTATCCCGTAAACAATATACTCCGTGCGCAGCCAATATATCCATGAGTATATCATTCTTTTTGACTGACAGTTATATATATAATTTTATTTAGCTGGTGTGGTCCCTGCAAAATGTTGGGTCCCATTCTTACAAAGGTTGTTGCCGAGAACCCCGCAGTTACTTTGGTCAAGATTGATGTTGACGAAAACACTGATATTGCATCCAAGTACAGAGTAAGTATTAACGTTAACAGGGTTGGCTGTATAAATATAATTTTGCTAATTATTCTTCTAGATTGCTGCCCTCCCAACTGTTATGGCATTCAATGGAGACAAGGTTGTAGATCAGTTCGTAGGTATGCGCGGAAAGCCTCAGCTGGAGGAGTTTGTCAAGAAGCATTCTGAACTTGCTTAAAAAATATGTACAATACAATACATGCATTATCCTAGTATTGTCACAACCACAATTAGTTTCCAAAATATTTACATATATAGACGAACAAATATATCTTTTATTATTATTTCAAGAATTATATATAAAAAAAGACAGATAGATGTAGATATATATATAAGGAAGGGGAATGCAATTCTATTTGAATGGTTATTTACACAATAATTATGAATACAAAAAAGTGATATCGAGACAGATCACTTAAAATCTGCTTGTCTGGTTTTTCTTAAACCCAAACATCTTCTTGGTATCTGGCTTCTTTTCTCAAATGCTCTACAAATTGAGCGGCTCCTTCTTCATCATGGTTACCAAAACGTTTGGCAAGTTCAAGAATAGCCTGATGAACATCTTTGGCCATATGCTTGCCATCGCCGCAAACGTACAAATAAGCCTCTTGATTGACCAAAAGGTCCCAAATAAGCTCGGCATTTTCTTCCAACCGATTTTGAACATAGATCTTTTTGCTAGTCTCTCTGGAGAATGCAGTAATCAAGCGTGAATCACCCCCAAGAGTCTTGAACAGGCCATCCCACTCGTCACTGTACAAGAAATCTTCGTCAGACCGACGACAACCAAAGAACAAAAGTGTGGTACCAACGTCGCATCCTTGTTCCTTTTGTTGGACACGCTCACGCACAAATCCACGGAAAGGAGCAACACCAGTACCAGGGCCAATCATGATCACAGGTTTTGCAGCATCATCCGGAAGCTTGAACCCAGAGCGACGAACATGGATAGGAATCTTGACAGCTTTGGTTTCGGGATCACGGTAGAGACCCAAGGGACCACTTGCATAATATTTAGGAAGATGTGTTGCAGCAACTTCATTGTTTAGTAAACAATGGGCAGCCCAAAGATAGTTAGTGTTGACGCCATACACTGATCGATCTGGTGTTCCTTTAGGCTTATACTCCAGGGTAACAATAGTTGCGCTAATATTGTCGGGGCTTTCTGTGGACGAGGAAGATATAGAATAGTAGCGTGGCTGAAGACGATTGAAACATTCGACTAAAACTTCGGGAGGAACAGCACCGAAAGTCAGCGTTTCAGATTCTGCTAGAGTGTATTCGAGTACATCTGCGAGACTACGGGCGGAATCCAATACAACTCGGGCATACTCTTCTTTGTTGCTCACTAGCTTGTTGAGCATAAGTTTGGCCTGAGGAGTAGGGGCGTAAGGAGCAAGTCCAGCCAGGACCTGACGAGAAGGACACTGGTTAATATCAACATAATGTCTAAGCATTGCAATGTAAGTTGTAGGCGAAGGGAAAGGAGACTGTTTGGCTGCATGAATATCTCTGGCTTTGATCGATATGGCTTTGTTTAGCTTGTTCTTTAATCCAAAGAGTCTGGAGGTTTTCTCGACTGCGTCTTCACTGTTTGTTGGCCAGATTCCAAGATGATCACCAGTTTCATAAACAAAGTTGGATCCAGAGATGTCAATTTCCAGGTGGAGACAGTGCCGGTTAGAGTCGTGAATCAGATCCTTGGAAGTAAATGGGGCAAGAAATGGGTTTTTAATGTCAAAGGTAGTTTGATCCCGGTTTCCGAGTTGCCCGTGGTATATATATTCAGGTTCGATTTCTTCTTCTTCCACAATGTATTCGCTCATAATAGAATTGTCTGATGATTCAGAGGCACCGACAGCCTCCTTGATCAAAGGGCAAGCGTGTGTCTCCCACTCGACATAGTGATCCTCTAAAGCATTATCGTCATCGCCTTCACCACGCTCTCCGATACGAGTGGCACCAAGACCTGTCAACTTTTTATCCAAAGCTCGGGAAGCCTCATTAAAGAAGTTATAGGTGCTGTTGCCAAGTCCAAACATCATATAGTGGAGGTTCTTTAGTGGTTTGTCATCCGGAAGACCAGTAAACGTGGGGTAGCTTGAATGCAGGAGATCCCAGAAGGGGAGGGTGCTGTCTGTGGGTTCTCCTTCACCGTATGTAGCTACTACAAATATAGCCAGGCTGTCTTCTGGGAGCTTATCCAAGCACTTCATGTCGCATTGCTCCAGGTCAACCACAAGTGAATCGATACCGTAACGTTTCTTGCACTCTTTGCCTAATCGCTTGGCATATTCTTCTGCATTTCCTGTTTGAGATCCGTAAAAAATGACAACTTTGCGGTCCTATAAATACATAGATTAATATTAAATTAATATAAAGTTCTTATTGTTTAAAACTCTATCTACGCTCCACGTTTTATTAATTTATAAACGTACCTGATTCTCCATTGCGTCCACGAAGTCCAAACCAGATAGTCCAATATCATTGCTTTGCAGGGGTGGATCGACAGACTTTTTGCTTTGCTTTGTTGATCCAAAAAAGTGACTCTTCGCAAGCCAGAGAGCAATTGTGCTCAGACTGGCTAGGCTGACGAGAGCGAGCAAATGTTGGTTATTCAATGAGGCTGATCCGCTTTTCATACTTGAAATTAATAGAATTAAATATGTAAAGAGAGAGAGAAAACCAAAAAAAAATGAAAAAGAAGTAGAACACGAGAAAGCTGTCATTTTTATACGATTGTTTAAATTACCAGCAATTTTTTTGATGCAGCCAAGGGATGTTTCGGGTATGTACGGTTAAGATTAGCCGTCTTATTTTAATGCCAGGAACAACATAGATCCGATACAGAATGTGCAATATAGCAAATGAAGTTAAAACACGGTTCTTAAAAAAAAATCCAACAAACAAATGGCTGATCCGAATACCCATTTGAAGTAGTGAAAGCTCAGCATGATTAAAAAGTAATAGTAATGAAAATGAAAATGTCAAACAAGCAGAGACAGTTATTGGGTTATTGGTTACAGAAAAAAAAACCGACCTTCTTATTTTAAGATATTTTTTTAACTCATTTAAAATGAAACTATTCAAATAGGCAATAATTTTCACCTTTCTTGAAAAGGAAAAAAAGGAAACTCTATTCCAACTCTATAGAACATGTAGATATGCAAAAAAAAACAGCGAACTGTCAAAAAGACAAGCACATAATTTTTAAAGCTTAAAATGATAACAATCTACCATGATTCCTGATGGGTTCCAAAGAAAATTAGATATCGAGACAATTGATGTATAAATTCTATAATCGAATGCAACGAATCAAAAGTGGATACAATAATTATTTTTTATCTTTTTACAAGTTAAAGTAACAGACTCAATATCAAAATCGTCTCTATCACTATAATCGTAAAAAATATCCATGTCTTTATCTTACATACACATTGAAAGAGTTGTTTCTGTAAGTTTGATTTTGATAATCATAGTAAGAAAACATTTGTATTATAGCAGAAACCAATTTTGTACTTCTTCCAAAACGTGGTATACTATCGAACCTATGATGTAGCTATTATTTTAGACACCTTTAATTGTGTTCTGAAAAACAATACTACACTATAGCTGGTAAAAAAAAAGTGAGATAATAATGGTGTAATCTTAAAGGCCTCCCAAAAATAACTTGTTTGAGCATAATTGAAAACTTATGTGTAGAAGCCATGGAAACCAAATCATGGTAGCTTCGAGTCACGTGCCAAGGTGATCTGCGGGGTCAGAAGCTTCAAAGGTAGGAGAGAAAGAGAGAACCCAAGAGGGTGGCTGTGGAGTTAGGCAGACACACAAAGGGACTGGATCACCAAGCTTATTTATGCATACAAATCAACCATCTAAAGAAAAGGCGGCGCACACAATGGAGAACGATCGTGTACATCAGTACAGTCCTCCAGTTGCAGTCTCAGCTTCTACTGCATCTCAATATCGTCACTTTTCTTCTACTGGACCTTTGGCTGCAGGAGGCATTCCGGGACCCCAAGATCTCTTGAACATCAAAGTCGACTTGGAAAACCTCTTGCCTGAAGCGGATGCGAGATTGCGTTTTTTAAGAAAGGATTCGAAATATCTTGAAAGAATTACGAAAATCCGTGATGATAAAAGTAAACTTTGAGGGTTATTTCTAGATGACCGTAATTGAAGGTTGTAGACTAATCTACAACTTTGTATAGATACTCATCCTCAAAGAACATCCCCACCAGGAGCAAACGAAAATAATGTAGGCAATTCAGTGGGAAAACAAGATCAAGCAGCGAATGGTAAGATGGGCTTACCTGTAAGCCAACAATACTATGGCAGTTGTACATTTATAATATTTATATATCTATCTATCTATATATATGGCATACTTCACTTTAGGCAAACATGTAAACTCAAATTCTCCAAAGTCAAAAATCCGTTCTGAGAGAGAAGCGTAGGTCATTGAGTTTAATACAAGTGTAGAGACTGGCTAAAAGAATAAGACTTGGACAGTGCATTGGCTCACTTGCGACGACATCATCGGCGGGATGAATCCAATCGAGCAAAAGAAAACCATGGGAAATGTAAATATCTTGCTACTCATTATCCCAACAATTTCTCTTACATAAAACACTTCTTGCAACAGCACAGCGTCCTGACTCATCTCATGCATTTGGAAAATCTCAAAGAAATAAAGGATCACGCTCTAGATCCCGAAGCATGTCTCCTCTCTCTATGCCTAATTTCCCCAGACCTTCAAAGCAACCACCGAAACCTCATCAAGTAAGTATCTGCTCCTATCAATCTTATGGTTTAGCAAGTAATTTTTGGATTATATTAAATTCATCGCAAAATATGTCTGCCTTTTCTTTCTAATGATATTATTTTGTAGGGCTCAAAGGCTAAAAAGAGAAAGCCAGATTCATATAAATCAGCTAATCAACGTGCTCCTCCACCACCTCCAGAGAGTCGAGTAAAAGAAGATCTTGGATTTGTGGTAGTTAAACCAAAGGATCAAGTGCCTGTTGCCAACTTTTGGGCTGCTGTAGAACCATGCTTTCGTCCATTGGCAGAAGAGGATCGGAACTTTTTATTGGAACAAGTAAGGATACTTACTCTATGTTTGTTAAAACATCTTTTACACTTTATTTTATCTTATTTGCAAAACAAAAAACAAAAAAAAACAAAACGGTATTGTAGGCTAATCACACAATATAAATAGAGTGACAACACTACGCCTTATATTATCCCAACTTTGGGCCGTCCATATAGCGAACTGTGGGCCGAAGAGGATCATAACCTTGTACCTGCCCTAAGTAGATCGCACTCCCCAGCCTTGGGCTCCTCAACAGCAAGCTCTCGCCAGGGTTCGCACGACCACCTAGCAAATGAGACTGGTGCACCCCCAGAACGACTCAAGTACCTCGTCTCCAAACACTCTCTTACTGATGATCATTTGAATACCCAAGATCTGAGCTGTGGTAGTCTAACGGAGCGACTGTTGAGCAGTTTAATCCGAGAAGATATCGTAGATCCTTCTGAAGCCCCGTTTCAACAGGACGCAGATGATGATTTTACGGGAGTGAGCACGGGCGAGAAAGATATAGAAATGCCAGGAAAGACCGTTTTAGAAATTCTGCCTTACCCACCACCAGAGATCGTGGATTTCGAAGAGAGACTGAGGCGAGAGTTACGATATGCTGGACTACTAGGAGAGGATGATGTAAGGTTTACTTTTGAGCCTGTGTATGTGACCCTTATCTGACAAATTTAAATTACTATTCGGAAAATGTACTCAGGTTGATTGGAATTCAAGAGAAGACGATGAAATATGTGCTGAATTGCGCAAGTCCTCTCGTGAATTGAAAGAACAAGTGGCTATGAATACATCCCGAAAAAAGAAACTTCTTGATATTGTGGATCGTCAACTTCAATACGAACAATACCGGCATGTACTGGACACTCTTGACACTCAAGTGGAGCAATGCTACATCAAACGATTCGTAAGTAAAAGAAATAAAGGAAGAAAGAGAAAAGAGAAAAGAGAAAAGAGAGGCCCATTTGCATATTGGAAATATTAATTATTATTATTTTTTATTGTTATTATCATTAAATTATAAACAGAGAACTCAAAAGTCTAAGAAGCGGAAAATGGCTTCCTCATCAAGACCATCTTGTCTATCCGAAAATGCGGTATACGCCATGGAAAAACGGCGAACTTGGATTAATGCTCTTGGTGGTATTTTCAAGGACAAGAACCTTATTATGCCTACCAAATCTATTTATGAAGAGACCGAACAAGGATAGTCAATGTACATTTCTTTATCATTCTTGTTATTATTCTTCACTGTACATGTATTTCATTTATTATTCATCTTCTCCTCTTTTATATTGCAAGGCCTCCTATCCATTTTATTTCTATTATTATTATTTTATATTTATTGATACTACACACAAATAACTTTCTTCTGTAGAGTGGATGTTTGTCATCAGAGATAAGTGCTATTCATTTGTAACCAAAAGGTCAGAAACCTTTATCTTCAGAAGAAAAGGAATTTACCAGTGGCTACTTCATATTCGCCTTTTTATCGCTCATCATTTGACAATCAACTACTCTTAAATATTTTCCTCATCAAATCCATCACAATCCTTACGGCCTCAGATTGAAAACTACATTTTGGGCTCCCATGATCATTGCGATCTCGAGCCAGAAGAATTCTCATCAATGACAGATTGCATCTAATTTTAATATTGTTATTAAAATTTATTGTTTAAACCAAAATATAAATTCTTACGTGTATGATGAGGAAGTAAAAGAGATTGAAAATGGGTAATTTCCAACTTTAGATTACGGTGTTGCTGATTGACTATCAGATGTCTGTTCAAATGGTCACTCATATTTACTCAAGGTAAGCCAAGAGCATCAGAAATTATTCCTCAACTGTGTGTTGCTATTTTTTTTTCTTCACAAGTCAATCAAGTAACTTCAACATAGTCCAAGAGTCGGTATAACCCACGAGCACATTGAATTACGCGCTTCGTGAGTCTATATATACACATTTATATTTATATTGGTACTGTACTGTACTGTACTGTATTTTTTTTTTCTGTTTACAAAAAAAAAATAAAAAAAATTACCAAATACTGGCGCCGATTTAACAAAGAGAAAATATATAAAAGAAAAATCTTTAGCACGAGAGCACTGGGAACTTTTTAAACTTTACTCAGACAGTAGGAGCTTATACACTGACCAATTAATGGCTATATAAAAGTCGGCACTTCGAATTAAAGAAACTCAAAATAATTTTATTGGTTGTAATATGCTTTAAATTTTTTTTAAAAAATACATAGCGGAGTGCGCTACGATACATATGATAGCTGTCCATCTATACTTTTTACTCTAAAGTTATTTTCGAATGCAATACAATTTTTAATGTCTTTGAACTTCTTCCAACAAACAAGACCCCATATTAGATAAAAGTAGGTGTATAATTTATAAGTTTATTATTTTTAAGTGAATGATGCAAGATTTCTAAGAGAAAACAAATCTACTTATATTTATTCCTTTTTCTCCTTGATGACCTTGGTTGGTGGAGAGATCCAGGTTCTAGTGACGAACTTGAGAATTTCATCAAGAATAATAACAGGGAAAGAGATCCAGAGAACAGCCTTCCATTCATCCAAGTTGAGGGGGACAATTACAAAGAGGTTGGTGAAGAAAGGAACGTAGAGGATCATGAAGTGAAGGGCCATTGAAAGAACAATGGAAGCAACCAGATAAGGGTTGGCCCACAATGGAAGTGTAAACAACGATTCGTTCTCACTCAAGCTACAGAACCAAAAAAAAATAACATCAATAATCAATACTTACATAATCCCCTCCTTTAATTCATGTATGTCTATTACCTGTTCATAGCATTGAACATTTCAATAACAACCAAAACTGACAAACTCATGGTAGTAGCCTTCATCGAAAACGTGTTGTTGAACATTTCGCAGCCAATCTCAGGGAAAAGTTCAGCACAGCTGTGGAAGTTTGACTAAAGCATAAAGTAATAAGCAAACTAATCATAAATCACAAATAATCCACAAGACTTACAAGCTGATGGTAAGAGATCTGGGGACCGCCTTGGTAGAACATAAACCACCAAGCATAACCAAAGACAGTAGCAACACCAACATAAACACCAACAACCATGTAACGGAAGAAGAGCCAGCCATCAATAAGAGGTTCATGACCACTACGAGGAGGGCGGCGCATGATATCATTATCGGGAGGATTGAAACCAAGGGCAGTAGCAGGAAGGCCATCAGTGACAAGGTTAACCCACAGGAGCTGGACAGGGATCAAGGCCTCGGGAAGGCCAAGCAATACAGTGAGGAAAATTGAAACAACTTCACCAATGTTTGAGGAAATCAGATAACGGATAAATTGTTTGGTGTTGTTGTAAATACTGCGACCTTCTTCGACAGCCTTTTCAATAGTAGCAAAGTTGTCATCAGCAAGAACCATGTCAGCAGCGAGCTTTGCAACATCAGTACCGCTACCCATAGCAACACCAATATCAGCCTTCTTGAGAGCAGGAGCATCGTTAACACCATCACCAGTCATGGCGACAATTTCACCAAGAGATTGCAAGATTTCAACAAGCTGCTGCTTGTGGGCGGGTTCAGTGCGAGAGAAGAGGTTGGCACGCTTGACAGCCTCCCGCTTTTCGGTCTGGCTGAGAGCATCGAATTCACGACCAGTATAACTCTTGCCTTGGAGATTCTCATCTTCACCAAAGACACCAATCTTACGGCAAATGGCTTCAGCAGTATTCTTGTTGTCACCAGTGATCACAATAACGCGGATACCAGCAGTCTTACACTTTTCGATCGAGAGTCTGACTTCGGGGCGGGGGGGATCCATCATACCAACAAGACCGAGGAAAGTCATGTTGTTTTCATATTTTACAAACGAGGACTGTTCACGCAAATCAAAGGAGTTTGGCTGAATGTTATCGACCTTGGCCATACCGATACAACGCAGGGACAATGATGTACCATATTCAAGAATCTTCTTGTTCAGGACCTCGCGCAAAGCAGGGGTCATGGGGAGGGGAGCAACAGCATCAGCAACAGCTACATAAGCACAGCGATCCAAGATAGATTCGGGGGCACCCTTTACATACAAAGTGTTGTCTGTGCCATCAGAGACAGCAACCGACATGGACTTGCGATCGCGGGTGAATTCAAGAGTAGCCACACGAGTGAACTGGCTGGCAAAGTAATCGTTACAGGCAGTGACACGCTGCTTCTTGGACAGAGAGGAAAGGCCTTGGTTGACAAGAGCATTGTCGGTGCCAAACTTCTCAACAAGGACTTGAAGAGCAGCCTCGGTGGGTTCGCCAATGTTCTGGTGAGCGTCAGTGGTTTCATCGTAAGCGATTCTAGAGTCGTTGCAGAGAGAGCAGACCAAAGCAAGTTCGCGAGCAATAGGGTCGGTAGCCAAGACAGAGGTCAAGGCCTTGTTGGCTTCGTTAACAATGGTTCCGATGGGTGCATAGCTGGTTCCGGAAACCTGGAGTTCATCAAGTCTTCCAGTGCTGTTTCCGACTGTCAGAACACGAGATACACTCATTTGATTAGTGGTTAGGGTGCCGGTTTTGTCGGAGCAGATGACGCTTGTACAGCCAAGAGTTTCAACACTGGGGAGACTACGAACGATTGCGCCACGCTTGGCCATCTTCTTGGTACCAAGAGCAAGACAGGCAGTAATAACAGCAGCCAAACCTTCGGGAATAGCAGCCACAGCCAAAGCTACGGCGATCTTAAAGTAGTAGACAGCACCTTGCATCCAGCCCTTGTGAGATGGATCGTTAAAGTGACGGATGTTGACGAGCCAGACGAGGACGCAAATGACAGTGATAACCTTGGCAAGAGTGTCTCCAAATTCATCGAGCTTGCGCTTAAGAGGAGTCTTTTCAGAGATTTGGGATGAGATAGAGTGGTGGATGTCACCAATGGCAGTGGCAGATCCGGTTTGGACGACGATGGCGCGTGCTTTACCGAGGACACAGGTGGTGCCAGAGAAGACCATGTTGATCTGATCTTGCTTGACGGCGCCTGCATCTCTTATAGCTTCGGTCTCCTTGTTAACACTCACAGACTCTCCAGTAAGTAAAGCCTGGTCAATACGCAAAACTGTTGACTGGATCGACAATACACGAGCATCTGCTGGTACTTTATCACCCACTGCAATATCAATAATATCTCCCGGTACTAATTCCTCAGCTCTCACACGACGCAACTGTCCATCACGGACTACCTTGGCTTCATCGGGAGAGTATTCTTTGAGAGCGTCAATGGCCTTTTCAGCGCTAGATTCTTGGAGAACACCAACGGTGGCATTGGCAATCAAGATCAACAAGATCACCATCGGTTCCACAAATGCAGTTGATGCTGCTCCTTCTTCATGCTCTTCGAATAAGGCGAGTATAAATGAGATGACGGCGGCTGAAAGCAGGATCAGTACAAGCTGATCCTGGAATTGTTCGAGGATCAGCTTCCACAAGGGTGTTGATTCTTCTTCGGGTAGTTCTAGAGATAAGACAATAAGCGATCGTTCGCGCAGTTTTTAGAATTACCATTTTTTCCGTATTTCTTTTGTTGTTCAATTGCCTGTGCATTAGTCAACCCCTCTTGAGGGGTGACTTGGAAGAAAGCACAGACTTCTTCCGGTGTCTTTACGAATGAATTGTTCATCACTCAAAGAAACCATTGCTCCACGTTTACGCAGAGGTAATGAATATAGGCTAATAATTGAATCACCGACGTGGTCACACATTGCACCATGCCGCACCCCAACTCAAGTTTGGAGAGGTGTGCTTTGTTTCCCAGAAGGGTTTTCCTTTTCTTTAAAATGGCTTACTAGATTCTACAGTAAATTTGACAATAGAAAATCATATAATATTATGTCTTTCCTTTGTATTCTTACTCTCTTTGTTGGCATTACCTTAAAATAAACAAAACGAGAAAAGGAGAAATGACTATGTGGTGGAGCGTGATTTGTTGGTTCATTTCTCTCTCAGCTCACAATCGACTGTAATCTCTCTCTCAAACCTTTTTTTATTTATTTATTTTTCAATGGCGCCCATTAGTAACCTTACGTAACATTACGACAATTCTTTTTGAATAATTGGTATATAGTTTTATTTTTTATTTCAAAAGATAATAATATATGATGAGGCGAGTTTCAATAAATAGCACAGTTCCGCTAATTAATACACACACACACAAGTATATATATATATATATATATATATACATTATCAATGCTAGCTGTTATTGTACAAGCAATAACTAAACCCCCTCATACTATCCTTGGTACAACTTGTGCTGCAGGTGTTGTACAAATGATTTTGTGAACAATAAATGCTTAGCGAAAGAGATCAGTTAGTGGGTCAATATTCTGTCAAAAAGGATAATAAAGCATTAACGTATAGACCTAATATATATAAACACAATGAATATAAATACTAATAATCTAGACATGAATGGTCCTCAAACTCACCAGTCAAGATATATATATATATATAAAGGAAGCGATAATAAAATATGTCCCTCGTTTATATCACATTATATTCTGCAGATTCAAACATTAGTATCAGTATTTTGGTGTATGTATAGGTATGTGAGCATAAAATAAATGTACAAGTTGTTGGATCAAATCTATATATAAAGAAAAAGGTGATCCATGTATCCAGAGCTATTAGATGCTTTGGTTCTTTTGAGGCTTGTATCAATAATAATTAAAGTTACTAGACTATTATATATATTTTTAATTGCTGCGATGCCATTAATTCTAAAGTATTCAACATCTGACCAAGTATTATAGACTTTGTATATTTTCCAAAGAAAGGAGCAATAAAAAAAAAGAAGACAAACATTAAACGGCCAGTTGTCTTCCCAAGCCATTTTCGAGAATATGATTATATAAAACAAAGCGATAATATTCCTCGCTCTTTATTCTTCTTAAAGGCTCACCAATTAAATCATATATATTATTATTTTTTGGAAAAGCAGAATATGACACTATATATCATGACTGAACTTACAACCATGTAAAATACCGGGTCTATAAAGAATATATATGTCATGATGCTTTCTGCAAACTTTGGCGATCTCATGTACGTACTGTTCACACATACGCATACACATACATACACACGAGCGCACGTACACACATCAATTAAGCAGGGATAGGTCAACTAGCAAGATATTGCTGGTAATCCATTTTAATTATACTCCAATCATAAAAAAAATTCTTGGCATTTTAATACAAGAATATACTTTCAAGTACTAACATGACATTCAGATAAAAACTCGCAATACTTTGGCTAGGTTATATATCAGTAGATGTCTATAAACCCAACGAATAGGCTCTTCAGTCTATAAAAAAATTAGCTTTTGCTAATGAGATGGGTGGTTCATCTTTATCCATATTTGGTCCGTGTAACATTAATTTAGTATCCGCCAAAAATACCTCTCGAAACCATAATTTCCCCACCATGCTTTTTTGTATCTTCCGAAAGTCGACTGGGTAGAACATTGCTGAGTAATCAGGTCTACTTTACTCAATAGTCGATCTTATAGAGGATATAGAGTACATAAAATAGAGGGAGTCAGAAGTATCCCTCTAAACACGTCTGTAAAATACACAAAAAAATAACAGTATTATGTGCGTGTGTATTACGGATGCCAAGATTCTCCTTGATATGTGTCTCTCTTTAGCTTGTTTTATTTTGGAAATAAGGATATTTCTTTTCATCTTTCAATGGTACTCCTAAAAAAAATATTCTTTTTTGTTATAGGCACAGAACAAAACAGCTAGACTTCAACCTATTTCTTAATTATACGCTCCAAAATAGGGCGGTTCAATAGTCTCATAAACTTTTTTTTTATTAGATTTACACTTTTTAGTTTGAATAACGTCCAATAATATCAGATTATTTGTCTTTAAAATCTCTGAGTACCCTACTTTTAATTTTATTTTTAATTCTTGTAATTCCACTGCCATTATAAATATTAAAATATCTCTTTGTAAAATGTAATCGCTTTTTTTTTGTAAAGAAAAGGCATCAATAAGAAAAGCGTGATTCGTTTTGAGAAAATTTGGTGAATAAATTCATAAAAGTCATATGTATATGTCACCAAGTCATTGCGAATCGAAAGATCTCTTGAAAGAATATATGATAATTGGATATGGTGTTTATGTTAAATAACAATGCTTATACTGCGTAAAAATATATCTCTTTCACCGTTAATAAAATAGTTGAGATAGACATATCGTTATTAATATTAGAATTTAAAAAAATAGAACATAGAAAATATAAATGGCCAATATTACTTTTTTAATCTTTCAAACGCTTTTGCAAGCATGAGCTCTCGAATAAGTATTATCATGTCTATGGTCGTGACTAACGCAAAGTTGGTTGATCCAATACACAGTATTCATTTATCAATATTGTTCCGTTGGGTCCAGCCGACCAAAAATTACTAGTATAAATATCAATAATATATCTCTCAATAGACCTTAACTTTCACAAGTTCAACTCTTCATTCTATTTCCTAAAGTCTATTTTCATAAACCAGCATCATTACATTTTCAAAGCCTATTCGACGTTAAAATATGTTTGCAAATATATACAGCTTATATACACAGATATAGCTCATACTAATAAAACAGAATACAGCTTGAAAAAAAGCCTTAAATCCATGAAACACTGCAACAAAGATGATGTTAATGAAGGACTTTCACCTGAAGAACTTTAAGTAGCTTGGCTGACTTATGAAACCAATTATACAGAATGGACGACCGACGATTCCAAAGGAAAATCAAAAGAAGCATTGTACTCATCTGTAAGAGTATCATTTCTTGAGTATGGAATAGCCACTCGAAATAATAACGACATTCGTGCAAAAATTCAGAACTTTCGAGACAAATTCCAAGACACATACAAATTTCTTCACAACACAGGGGAGGGAATTAAAGAGACCACGTTTTCTGATGATGTATCAGAAGCAAATATTAAATCGATAATACAAGGTATATATCCATATACTAAAAATAAAGGAAGAATTAATATATGGAATACTCTGATACAAATAAAGTCAAAAAATATTCAAGTATTACTATAACTTGTATGAGGCCATGCATTCCAGGCCATCAGCCATCCCTCCTGCTGAGATGATCTCAGAGAGCAACACAGATGTCGAAACAATACTACTTTCATATGCTCCTTCTGGTGTTGGTGCGTTGAAAGAAGTAACCCCGCAAGAAGAAGAGGAAACTAGTCGGTTATTAATGGAAGAATTTAAGCCAGAACGAAAAAGCCGTATATCCATTGCATTCTCCTCTGCCACACAGAATCCAAAAAAAAAGAAGAAAAGTCCGGTGCACCATTGATGATGCATTCAATAATATAATCCGCCAGACAAGTGATATAGAGAAAGGACGAAGAGAGCAGATGTATCTTGAGAAGAAAAGGCTAGAGATTGAAAGAAAACGACTAGAGGATATAATTTAATAATATAAACATGTATTTTCAACAAAACTAAAGCAGATTAAATAAAAAAAAAAGCAATTTATTTAAAAACAATTGCCTTTATTTTATCTCGTCTAGCTCTATAAGATCTCTGTACTAAAAAATATATATTATCATTTTTTTGTACCCATGATAGGTATAGTAGCATCATTACTTTGAGTGTAATTAATGTCAATGCTATGGTGTGTTCGGGGATAAATATCTAAGTTTTTAGGTGATTTTCAAAGTTCCATGACTTTTGCTACAGGCAAGTTATTGAGAATTGCTTAAACATGTTTTATAGGGAAGACTCTTCCGAATAACTCTTGTTTAAAAGATTCTCAAAACAAGGCTTGAATAAAAAGTCATGGACCTTCAAAGTCAAGAGGTATCAATAGAAAATAGTGGAGTTTCAGCTTTTTTTTTTAATATTGAAATGAAAAAGAGAGTCACTATAGCAACAGGTACATTTCAATGTTCCTAAGAAAGATGGTTGTGTAATGTAAAATACTATTTTTTCGATTTTCTTTCTATATATATCGGGAATTGAATATTTTACTATCGGAGTTTTCTTGGGGTAAAATTGAAAAGATTTCAAAACTTTGATGTTTATACTCGAACACACCATATCATAATTTTGATTTATAAGTAGGCTGTGAAGAACATAACAGCATCTAATTCATATACCAATCTTGAAGCAACAGGTGCATGACTTATTAATATACGGATATCCTTCAGCGACTCAAAACGTGCATTACCAATAGTGATAGAATGCTCAATACGGACTCAGGCAAAAGCATGTTTCTTGTCAAAACCTTCATTGTCAGATATGATCATTGCTGAAATACAATAGAAAGAGTTTGTTGATCAATATTTGTATATAAATTGAACAAATTGCTAGTATATAAACATACCACGAATCTTTATCATTCGTGTAATATTTCCAACAAATTCACCATTATCGTAATTAAATCGAGACTGACAAGGAAGGGAGATTTTGTTCATTCTGAGCTCTTGTCTGAATCTATCACCTTCCAGCTCATTCATCAACCACCCCACTCTGCTTGGGGCACTGGGTATATGGCTTCTTGTACCCAAATAAATTTACTAACTAATAGCCTGGTACATGTCAATCTCAGGAATGTTATTAGCAACATTTTATTCAAAATATTCGCCAAGAACTCTATGTTCAATCAAGCTTTGGGTGATTCTGTCTTTGATAGACTTAAGTATAGCGGCTTCTTTCGACCCTATCAGACATGGTAATAGTGTGATATAAAATCAAGATGATAGGTTTAAAAAAAACAATAATAATCAGACTTAAGCAAAGATGTATATAAAGGTCTAGAAGTCTTTTAATCTTTTCTTTTTAATTTCTATAGATTAATTTCAGCCAATAATTTTTGTAATTTAAGCTCATACAAGTATAAGATTTCTGAGACGGTTGAGCACCCTCTATTCTGCCATATTTTTGATATGAAAAGAAAAACAAACTGTCGCATTTACCAGAGTATATATATCATCACTAAGAAAAAGGAGGCACAGAACACTCGATTTTACAGTAGTGCTAGTGATAATCCAGTAATTACGCTTTTCTTTACTCTTATCACGATATTAAACCTTGGCTGTAATACATTGGATTAATGAGCTGGGATAATTGTCCAGGCTTGAAGCGGGTTGGTGAACCGGGATAGAAGCGGTGTCAATTTTTTTGTTGCATCTGGTTCACAATACGGTTAATTACCATAGGGATATTCAAGAGGATTTTATGACCCATTTTCAATGGTTTTTTTTGGCCCAAATTGCTAAAAGTTCGCACACACTCTCTCTCTGTATTCTCAATGTCTCTTTGGTCTGCGATGTAGTCCGGCCTATCTTATTCACCAAAGTAAATCTGTCAAAAAAGCTTTGAAAATTTTAATTGATAAGGAGGCCAAGTGTTGATCTGTCTAATTGAATTCAGAGGAAAAAGTCATTAACCTAACCTAACCTAACCAAATAAATAAATAAATAAAAATAAAGATCTGATCGAGAATAATTAGTGTTGCCACGTTTAATTTACATTTTGAATGAAATACTAGTTGTATCATTAAAAGACATTGTAAGATTCGACTGTTTCCTAGATTTACATTCTGTGTGAGAAAACGCCAGAATTTAGACATATTTAATATACTTTTGGTTTTTCCAAAGCTTCAAATAATCAAAGTCTTGTATATAAGCGTTACAAGACCCAAACTTGTTATAAATATATATATACAAAAAAAGTTTTATATCAAACCGCTATATGTGTATTATATGAGTCAAAAGGCAATAGCGGTTTTTTCCAAAGAATAAAAGGAAGGAAGGAAAGCAAGAGACAAAATATAGATCCCTTGCATCTCCTCTACCCCTTTTTCTTCTTCCTTCCTTCTATTTTCCTTCTCATTGTTATATAATATGTCTTTGTATTAGAAGTGCAAAAAAACCCTATTCAAGATTTGTAAAGAGAGAGAGAGAGTTTGTTGCTAATATTAAGAAAAATGAATTCGATATTTTACCCCCAAACTTTCATCTTATTGACAGAACATCAAAAACAATAAAGATAAAGCGCTCCAATTAGGTGTTCGAGTAAAGGAGAATCAAAAGGAGACAAGTGCTGGTGGTATTATAATTACACGCTGATTTCTCTTATTTTCTCTCTCTCTTAAAAACCATCAAATATTCTCAGTTCCACATACTGTGGGTCACATACAAACTTACCCCATAATCTAATAAACTCACTATTTAAAGACTTGCATTATTTGAGTAGTTTCTTAATAGTATTTACTTGTCTCTGTCTTTGACTCTATTACTTTGTCCTTTTTTGGCTTTATATTTTATTATCATAATTATAAAACGGAATGAAATACTTTTATTTTATCCTAAGTGCTTTGTCACTAGTATATATTTCCGTCGTCCACGCCAGATCTAGTGCAATTGATGACTCATACGCACCTTCAGCTGACTCAGGTCGATTTGACATACCTGATAACATTCAAGGCGGTGATCTTGATTGCGAGACAAGAGAGACCGAACAAAATCTCCTTCTTCCGTTTGGTCGCCCTACCAAAGGAAATGGCCGGAACGCAGGTCGTGAACCTCCAGCTATCCGTGAACAGCTCGACAGCGTTGACGGTGAATCTGCCAGCGAAGCTGAAATCGAGAACCTGACTTATTACACCTACTTGGTGGCCAATGCTTACTGCCGGAACGTCGTCCTGAACAGCGACTGGAATTGTCCTCACTGCAAGGGCTACGTGGATGATGTGTCGCTGATATACACATTTAAGTCAGAAGAGTATGATATGCGAGGCTACATCTTGAGAGACGACAATAACAAGGTCATTAACATTGTCTACAGAGGTAAGTAGTATACTATTTTAGAGAAACACTGAAAAATAAACAGATAGAAAATCTTACAAGACCCTTTGGTTACCTTTTTTCTTCTTTTAAAATGCATTTATTATCTCTAGGTTCAAATTCGCTAAAAAATTTCATTTCGGTCGGTATATTTACTAGACATTGATAAATGTACTGTTTATTAACCAAAAAATCATCATCATTGTTGGATCTAGGACTTTCAAACCGACAAGATAGACTACCCGCCTGTCAGAGGAACTCAAGTTCACCGAGGTAAAGAGAGAAAAGAAACTAGTCCAGACCAGGAATTATGGAGTATAACCTACAGTTAGCTAATTGCAAGTTTTTTTTTGAATAGGCTTTTACAATTCTTATTTGGATGTCGCTGATCTGGTTGTACCAGTGGCTCAACAGGAGATCGAACTTCATCCAGACTATTCGTTTGTAGTTACAGGGTAATATAATGTTTCCAATGGTCTTTATTTTCAAAAGAAAATCAACTATTTTTTTTGGAATGCGTATATTCATTCATTCATTTATATATATATATATATTTAAAAAGACATTCACTTGGTGCAGCAGTTGCCATTTTATCAGCCTTGGATCTTTATCAAAAAGACACAAGATTTGGTCCAGATAATATGAGAATATACACCTTTGGTGAGTCATTGTAATATGTACTTTAGAAAATATAAGCCAAAAACATACATACATACATATATATATATATGAATATTAATTACGTACAATATTAACCAACAATAAAATAGGTGGTCCCCGTGTTGGTGATCCCGCATTTGCTTACTATACCATTGGTACAAATATTCCTTTGACCCGAACAGTCCATCGCTTGGATGGTGAGTTGTCCTGTCTTGTTGTCTACACCCTTTTTTTGTATTAGTCTAGTGCTAGTGCTAGTGCTAAATTGAACCTCTCCTTGTTATCTTCTCAATACGTTTGTATGCTAAAATATCTAAACTATAGTTGTACCTCATGTACCTCCTCAAAATATGGGATTCCTTCATGCTGGCCCTGAGTATTGGATTCAGCAAGACAGTGGTCGAGTTAGTAAGTGTTTTTTCTTTCTCTCTTTCTTTCTTGTTGTTGTATCCCAAAACCGATTTTAACGCTTTATTTTTATTAATAATTAAAAAAGAGGTTTGCAACACTCAAACTGAGATTGGCGAGTGCTCAAATTCAATCGTTCCTTACACGACTGGTGATGATCATATAAAGTAAGCCGACTTTTTTCTAATGAGCCTATTATATATATATATATATATTTGTGCAATATTAATCAAATATTCTTGTTTTGTTTCTTAGATACTTCAACATAGCCACAGGAACTTGCAAGTAAATAATAGTAATAATAGTATTACTATTATATATATAGAATTTTCTAGATTCTCCGTGTTTCCTTGGCATCTCATTTCAACCCAACCTACACATTTTGTTAAAGTACTATACCTCCTTCCTTCAATACATACAATACACATTACATCACACTACAATACAATATACCAAAAGTGAATAATAATCAGAATCCCTGATATATCTATATTTTTATATAAAAGGATCTTATTTTATTTTATTTTTTATTAAATTAAATCCATTCTTTAGAGAACTCTTGTTCCTTTAATATTATTATTTTTTTCTTACTCCATATATATCGGTCTTACAAGCTAAAGCTAACTTTTTAAAAGCTTTCTTTAATAGCTTTTTATAATTCTTTGTTATTGTTGGAAACTAGTCTCATAATATCACCATTTTACTCTTTTGTAGCATATTATATTGTTTAGTAAGACACGGAAGCCTAACACCTATTGGCGTTTTTTTTGAAAAAAAATTGTATGTATATGTATATGTATATGTGCATATGTGGTTGTGTGAGTGTAGATGTAGTTATAGGTACATGCACAGGTACATGCACAGGCACAGGCACATGCACAGGCACAGGCACAGGCACAGGCACAGGCACAGGCACAGGCACAGGCACAGGTGCAGGTGCAGTCGCGAGTACAGGTGTTTATACAATAAATTATGCTACTGCTTGCCATGCGCACATACGACCGTCTTCTCCTCCAGTAATGATACTTTGTGTACTGTGATTCCAACAAAGGGATCTAACGATATCGGTGTGTGCTCCCTGAGCCTTGAGGCTTTGACACAATTGGAGTTGACCAATATTTACATGGAACGTGTTTACTTCACCCCTACAAAAATAAAAAATAAAATGAAAGCAAATAATCAATCACATTAGTTAAATTCCATATATCAATTCAAAAAGGATAACATATACAAGACTTACTCATTATTACCAGTAACCAAATAAAATCTTTGTGAGGTAGGATCATAACTACAATCGATTGCATAGTCAATGGACGCAACGCTAAGGGATCGAATATCACCGTAATCAAAAATTAAATCACCCTAATAGAAAACAATAAAAAATAATAATATTTACGGTTTCGAATTAGTCAATCTCACTAAATTATATAATCCCACTTCATTACCTCGAGAGTGTAGAGGGAAAAGGTCTCTTGATGGGTCAAGTAATATAAATACTCGGCATTAGGACCAAAATATCCTGCCTTGTTGACAGATGATCCAGAATTAACGACTGACAAGAGAGCCTCCTCTTCATCAAACTCGGTTACATCATAGTGGTTGACCAGACCATCAGTTGAGCAAGAGATGAATTGTGCAGGAAAGGTTGGATGACATTGAATCTGTACAAAGTATAAGTTAAGAAAAAAAAATTAAAGTAAATCAATCCAACTTACTTCTGTCACATCATCACCATGAGATTCGACAAACCGAGAGAGAAGAGAAGCTTGTCGGCTGTCAAAGAAGCCAATTTCAGCCGATTCTATGCTAGAAACAAACTCTGTGCCCACAACAGCCATAGAATCATTGCAGTTTAAATCAAATGCAGATAGAGGTCTATTATCTATCAACCAACTTGTCAACTCTCTCGAGAGAATAAAGGACAAAGGAAAAGAAAAAAAAGAAGAAAAAAAAAGAGAAAGAGAAGATTGCTGATCTTGTTCTTCTTGTTCTTCAGTGATGCTTACATCGGAAGATCTGGACAGGTTTGTCTGCCACGCGCAAATCCCATCGTGCAAGAGTTCCATCTTCTGATGCCGAGAAGAGAAATTGTTCATTGACCTGTTTCATTTTTGAGATTCTCTTTTGATGGAATGAGAGGGTGTGAGCTAATTGAAGAGTCTGGAGGTCGTAGATCCGGATTAGGTTATCAGATGCAGAGGCAGCTGTGTATTGGGTATTCATGGCGACATCGAACACATAGTTTTCGCCTAATCCAAGGTCGATCGAGCGTACAAGTTGGAATGGTGGGAGAATGTCAAAACACGTCTGAACATCAACTGTGGTCATTGTAAAAGCAAACAAGTGATGCTATTTTTCAACTGTAATAAAAACAAATAAAATAAAATAAAAAATAAAAAAAAATTAAATATTTACAAGTCCAAAAAATATGTGTCAGTGCGAAAGTTGATCCAGTTCACGGCACAAGTCCAATAGATAATCCAGGGCATATAAGAAACAAACTCAAGGTCAAGGTCAAGGTTTATTTCTATTCCCAAGTACTAATTATAGCGTAAACACAATTATACACATCTAATCTCAATTTTTATCCATATCGTAAAGCCAAGTCCATTTCCAAGAAGGATTCCAATGCAAGAAAAATAATAATAATTTAATACAACGCAAAACCCAAGCTTGGAAATCTATTTTACTCCTTATCATCACCATCACCTAATAGTATACAACATATAGAAAATATTAAAGGAACATGGTATATAAGAACTACAAAAAATGCATCTGTCACCCAAAACTCCAGAAGACTTGTTTGGTTTTCGTTTTTTTTTCTCTTTGAACGTAATGCTCTTGGTAATTAATATAGACAAACTGATAGGATTTTACTTGAATTTGGCGTATCAAACACACATGCTTAAAACTATAGCTCACACATAAATAAAGTTCAAGGTTAATATGGAAATACGTATCTGGCATATGCAGGGATAAAGTTTTAGTTTAACCAATGTATGTATTATTACACAAAAGTGTCGATATTAGACAAATAAATATTTGACTGTAGATTGTGGTTTTTGATATATTGTAATTGTTTAATTGAAAAGAACACTCTTATTCATTCAATATAGCTCTAGATATCAATATTTTGTATGTAAAACACAGTTCACAATCCATTCCCCTTTATAAATATATATTAGAAGAGTAATTTCCAAGGAAGACAAACTACCGCAATATATAGTGCTGTTTAAAATTGACGTCATCGTCCCGGAAGACGGGAGAGGTCCGCGGCGTTGATTAAGGACGGTCTACCAACAATTAGATGAGCCTTCTCTGTTCATCCGTCTTGTTAAAGGTGAGCATGCCGACACTCGATTATCCATTTACAAATATATCCATCCATCCATCCATCCATCCATCTACCCATCGCAACAATACACTAGATGATACGACAATCACACGATTCAAAAATAAAAAACGAATTCATTACAACACAAACCAGCGACTGACGATACTATTATTTGTCACTCTTGAATAGCATCGCCATGCAGATCTTCGTCAAGACCCTCACTGGCAAGACCATCACTCTTGAGGTCGAGAGGTAAATTGCTTTTTTTTTCTCTTAAAAATTTGTCTTTTTGTACATAAAATATTTCAACAACAAAAGAAAATAGCAAGAACAATAGACTTATGCAATACAATTCTATATAAACCATAGCTCCGACTCTATCGACAATGTCAAGCAGAAGATCCAGGATAAGGAAGGTATCCCTCCGGATCAGCAGCGTTTGATTTTCGCTGGTAAGCAGCTCGAGGATGGTCGCACCCTCTCGGACTACAACATCCAGAAGGAATCTACTCTCCACTTGGTTCTCCGTCTCCGTGGTGGTATCATCGAGCCTTCCCTTAAGGCCCTTGCCTCCAAGTACAACTGCGAGAAGATGATCTGCCGCAAGTGCTATGCTCGTCTCCCTCCCCGTGCCACCAACTGCCGTAAGAGAAAGTGTGGCCACACTAACCAGCTTCGTCCCAAGAAGAAGGTAAATATTTATATATAATTAAAATTTATCCTATAATTTTTTTTTCTTCCTTCGTTTCCATGATTGATTTACTAACACAATTCCAATTTTTTTTCTTACTCTTTTAGCTTAAGTAAATTACTTGCTTTCCTTACCCTATTTGCGGTTTACACATTGCATGGCGTGCAAAGATGGTATATTTTCTGTTGACTACATCCTTCAATAAACCTTGTCTGGCCTACCATGGAAAGAAACAACAACAAACCAATTACTTGATTCGTGAGATTTCACTATAAAAACAAAATTGAGAGGGGGGTTGCAATATAGGGTTAGAAAGTGGAATAATAGAAATTTTGTTAATTGCAATCTTCTAACTTGAGTATTGCAATGACCAAAAGAGTGTTATTTGCTTGGTGGTTTTTTGTTTTTATGTTGGGGGAGAAATGGTTAAAAATATTCGATTTATTTTAACAACTAGAGACCCCTTTATTTTATTTTTATTTGTTTTTGTTTTTTAATTGTTCATGATGAACAAGCAAGTTATGAAAATTTACAGCACTTTGTATCATTGCGTTTTATCATTTGTACATTATTTGCTAAACTAGTAGGAGAGTAATTGAATCTCTTGTGCTGTGACAATATCTGTGATAGTAAACATTCTCCATTTCAATACAGTGTTTTCATTTGAGATTGAGACAAACTACGATTTTTTTTTAGATGATTCAAAATGTAATACTGTTTGCCAGCTTACGTGGTTAAATTGACCATGTACTTAAGATATATATCCACTCGGAGCTGAATAAATTACTATATAAAACAATTTTTTTCTCGATCAATTATTTCGTGGAATTAATATAATATTTAATCGCGTACACTAAACCACAATATAAGCGAAAGCAATATATAGATGTTGTCTCTAAAAAGTCTAATTCCTCAGTCAAAACTATTAAAGAAACTATTTATGAGACAGTGATTTAATTCTAACGAGAATGATAGAAAGGAAGGTTACCACCACTGAGGAGCAAGTTGACAGACATGACGTGAATATTTTCTGTCACATTCGATCAATTAGCCTTGATCTTAGCCTTTATAAAACACATTTGCAATAGTATCGATTTTATGCCCTACCCTTTGACAGACCTTATAAGCCATTTCCATGTGCCAGTAAATGTGGCAATTTAGTAAAGATCATAGATATTACTATTGAACAATTTTTTTCGAATAAAATTTTTACATAGTAATTGTATTGTCATAATTGAATACACTTTTTAAAAAAAGAGACGAGACGAGTACTGCTCCTAACTTATTGCCGTAAAAAATTGCGCTACTGATCAGATCAAACCACTTAGGGTGCACCTTTTTTATAATCGACAATTTTTATATGTAAAATTAGAAAACCATAAGGCTTTATGGGATCTTAATTTTTTTGAATTTTGTTACCGCTGAGTCGTTTGCTTTACTATTTACAAGATCTCTGCGGTGAGACTTCTTTTACTTCTCTGCAAAAAAAAAACTTTAAGCAAGATGAAGTTTCGATATTTAAGCAGGGAGGTTCAAAAAATGTCCTCATTTTATGGCCAATAATAATGCTCCCTGGGTTTTAATTTGATATTTGTGTAACGTATAGTGCATCTTTTTATAGTGTGTATTTTTTATTAATAAAACTAGAAAGCCAAAAGGCTTTCTGGGATCTTAATATTTTTGAGTTCTGTTTGCTTTAATATACTCTTAATGTTATTTAGAAACTCTCTGCGGTGAGACATCTACTACTTCTTTGCAAAAATATTTTTTTAGACAAGGTAACATCTCAGTGTTTAATCAGTGCGGCCAAAATGATGGCTTTATTTTTCAACCAATAATATAACCGACTGAGTTTAATATCCACTTATATATAGTAGAGTATGCCCTTTTTCAAAATAAATATTTTTTATTAATAAAACTAGAAAACCAAAAGGCTTTCTGGGATCTTAATATTTTTGAGTTCTGTTTGCTTTAACATGCTCTTAATGCTATTTAGAAACTCTCTGCGGTGAGACATCTACTACTTTTCTGCAAAAATATTTTTTTAAACAAGGTAACATCTCAGTGTTTAAGCAGTGCGGCCAAAATGATGGCTTCATTTTTCAACCAATAATATAACCAACTGAGTTCTTTATCAACTTACATAATGTAAAACGTTACTAAATAAGACAATCTATTTTAAAAAAAACAATTTGTTCCTGATAAAAACACAATCGACAATGCCAAAAATCAATTCTAAAATGAGAGCTTTATCTCAAAAAGCTGCTGCTAAAAGACTTTCTCACTCTCAGAGCGAAAGTGTAGAGTTAGTTAGAAAGGAAGTTGATCCTACCCCCGAGATTTCGGAATCTTCTGGCAGTGATGTCAAAAATCTCGGACTTTCTTGGACCAAAAAAGCTGAAGATGCTCTCAATGGAAAATACAGTCGCAATCGTTCATCATACTCATCTCGACATGTTCGTAGACTGAAAAAGGCAGAAAGAGAAGCAGCAAAAGGAAGTGCTAGAGTTGACTCCTTTTTTTTTGCCTATCGCAAACTCTTCTTCTGCTGAGACAGAAATTGGATTGGATGAAGAAAGTGATAGTGCAGATGAAGTCGAGTCAAAGGAAGAGTTCAAAAGCAGAGTAAAAGACGCAATCATTGACTTGTCAAAGTTCGCAGTACCTGTCATCAGTTCGACTTCAGAGCAGCAAAAACTTGGTGTAGCAGAGATGGGAAAGTGCGAAGGAGCATATCATTACTTATATGCTTTGATCAATACGGACATGAAGAAAATGGCAGCTTCTAAGTTTGCAAGCGACATTGTATACAAGCAAAAATCTACTTGGTACAGAGCCCATAAGATTCGCCAACATGCAAAGGAGTATTTGGAGACTAGACGAATCAGTCTTGGTGCACAAGGCAAGCATGCCAAACGTGTCTCTGTTCTTGATGATGAAGACATCAAGCAGCAAATACTCGAATGGTTCAGAAGTCAGCCAAGAGCTAAAAGAAGTATTGCTGGACTTTCAGTCAAAAGAAGTCATTCTGCCTAAGGCCATTGGTAGCAGCTTACTATCAGATGAGTTAGAGATCGAAGGTAGTGCAATTAAGCCGTTGTCTACAGATTGCCTAAGACGAAAGCTGATATCTTGGGGATTTCATTTTAAGCATTTAGGTAGGCAAATATAGAAAACCAGAATGCGGTTTTCTCTATAAAAATGGAATGTCACATTAATATAACTTATGTTTATTTTACAGGAAAAGTTGTATACTTTGATGGGCATGAGCGCGAGGATGTGCTTACTTATAGAAATGCATGGAGCAAACGCATCATGGAATACTATCAATACTCTGAGAAATATGACAATGTTACACCTTCTCTTGTGTCATATCCTCAATTGCCAGAAGGTGTCAAACAGCATGTATTTGTCACACATGACGAAAGTACATTCTATGCTAATGACTATCAAAAGTACGCCTGGGTGGAAGGTGGTGAAAGCTATTGTTTGCCAAAGTCTGAGGGTAGATCAATAGTGATCTCCGAGTTCCAATGCCCTTGTCATGGAACAATGAGAGGATATGTAGGAGACCAGTACAAAACTTCGCGAGTGGTATTTTATCCTGGAGCTCAATACGAAGGCTATTGGAAAAGTAGTAATATGTGTGCCCAGCTTACAGATATAATACCTCTTTTCAATGCCATACACCCAAATGCAGTAGCTGTCTTTCTTTTTGATCAAAGCAGCAATCATAAAGCCTATCCTGAAGACGCTCTTTTGGCACAAAACATGAACTTGTGTGCAATTGAAGTAAAAGACAGTGACTCAGGCCAGGGAAAATTTCGTGACAGCTCATTTTATGTCAGAAAGCAATACGACTATGCAGAACAGCAAAAAGTTTTTTTTTTCAAAAAAAGAGTAATGAAGAAAAACTTAAAGAATATGAAGTAATCGAGTCTCGGCTCCATAAAGTAAGTGATTTATATACAATCCTATCCGAATAGAAACATAATTTATACAATTACAATAAGGGATCACTTTATGCTAAAAGACGTGCCTATAAACTATTCATACTTAGAATAAAAAATACAAAAAATATTTCATTGGCCTTCGCGGCATATTACAGCAACGTTCTATGTATAGAAACGAAGCAGAGAGATACTCTAAAACGTTCTTGCAATAATGTCGCGACAGCTGATTCTAGATGTTGTGCAATCCATATTATGGAGAGACAACCAGACTTTGCCAACCAAAAATCAGCACTCGAAGAAATAGTTGAAGGCAGTGGACACAAATTTGAACTGTATCCAAAATACCACTGTGAATGTAATTGGATCGAAAGATACTGGGGAGCAGCCAAGAAAGAAGCACGACGTGAATGTGATTATTCTTTTCAATCATTGAATAGAAAAATCAATTCATTTCTGGATAGTGTTTGCCCACCAGAAGATGATGTCCCTGAAAAGATTCGAAGATACTTCCACCAAAGTTTTGCCTACATCAATGCCTACAGTCTTGGTCATGATGCTGAACATGCATTTGAAATCGTGAAACAATTCTCAAAGCTTCACAAATCTCATTGTAAGCTGAGATTAAATCAATAAATATCACATTTCTGACTTTAAAAATACTATTTTGGAATCGGTACTTAAATTCCAAAAAATGTCCTCTTCAAAAATTGTCTATTATAAAAAAGGTGTACCCTACCTGCTGCCTCATTGAAAATTTCATCTGATTTGAAGACCTAAACGATTTAAAAATATCAATGACTTAAACTATTCTGGATTAAAATGTACTGAAATATAAAACTATTACGAACGTATTGCGCAAGTCTTGTTATTCAATTGCTTGTAGTTCGATTGAAACATTTTTGCATATTCAGTTTGTCATTTTTGGAGCCCAATACGTAGCGTATTTATCCCAAAATCCCGTGCTTAGATTATTTAGTTTCTAAAAGCTTATTATTATTTGCAGCAAGTAGTATACCTTGATAATATATACTAACATCAAATAATGATTTTGGAGCAGAGACGACTCTTGCAAACTTATTAGTTTGCTTTTTTTTTTTTAAAAAAAAAGTTCCTGCAGTAGTTTCGTATAATGGTGGTTGGTCGCAATTTGATTGCTTTTTAAAATCGTTCAAGAATTTGGAATAATCAAAACTTCGAGTTGGGGTCATTCGACATCAGGGCTAGCCAGTTTTTGTACTTGTAATTTTTATGGAGTCCCAAGATTTTAGTTTTTCTATATTGCTTTTGAGACGGCAGGCTAGTTGATAGAAAGAGTAAAGAGAACTATAAAAGGGTAGGTTAAAGATTACAGTTACATTGCCATTTCTTTAAAGAAATCTATTGGACACGGCTCTTTCGCATTTATCTCACTTTGGTCAGGAAAGATAGTGTGAAGAGTTGGTTAATACGTAAGTCTCCATATATACCGCCAACCACACATCTCGGTCATTCTATTCACTCAAGTTTCCTCTCTCTCTCCCTTTCATTGCCATGGCGTGGGCCGTGGTAATGAGAATATGATAATGTCAGCTTCCCATTAAAACTCATTGTCATTGCATGGCGCATGACATTGAGTCTACTTTTTTTTTCATGTCTTCAACATGCCCTGCTCTCTCTTCTCGTTCTCGCTGCACTCTAGCATCTCTCCTAATCTTCCTCCATACTGTATCATGTTTAACGTTAGGGTTTTCTCCCTAATAGAGCCAAGAATCCTTCATATTTGTCCTATCTCTTTAGGAAGACGTAACCACGAGAAGTGCTTTCTTGGCTTCTTACCATCTCCCACTTTAGAAAATAAAATAAGATCTCAAAAACATCATATATCAAACAAAATCCAAAACAAAAGCCCAGACATCATCTTTTGCTTCGCAGCAATAAAGGGCTTCTCACCATCTGAACCCCAAAGCTCCCTACAAACAAAAAAGAGAAGAAAAGAAACATACGGAGCTACGTTTATTATTTTAACGTTGAATACGTTGTCAAATTTATCAACAAAAAATCTCTTTGAGTAATTTCATACTATCCTTTAACATAACCAATGGAAGATGTCGTTTTTATTCTCTTTACAATAATTGGGTAACGGTGTAGAGTGGATTTCATCCCTGTAAATCATTTGCGACATCATAATAAGAGATAGGTAATCAATCGAATGACAACGTTTGTTATCAATTTATATTTTATTTCCTTCAGGCTCGAATAAAAATGATCTTCCCTCTCTATTTACTTCTCTTTTGCGTATGTTTCTTACAACATTAATCGTAAAGTTTGTCTCTGTAGGTTTAGGTTCACGCCTAGTTTTGGCATTAGTATATGGTTTGTGTAATGAAATAAAAACTTTCATTATTCCGTTATGTGTTGCCCGTTAAAGTATATCTTTTGGTTTGATATGGAAGCAGTTTAATATGCCTATTAAAATCGAAATCGTACACACCTTCATATTGCGAATGTATCTTTCGCAGAAGAAATCATTTGAATTAATCAAGCAAATCACAGACATCAAGATAATACTGTACTACACGGTGATTTATCAGTGTATATGCGCTCAGATACAAACTGTGTCCTCTGATTATGAGATAATAATAACAACAATATATACATGTATATATATATAGGGAGGGATATGTATTGTGAACTTTATTTTAGTTCTAATCTATTCTACTACAGCCGGAGGTGCGCTTTGAGCAGTGGCACCATAACGGATGACAATACTCCTGATATTTTTGTAGAGCCTAGAGGCAGATACAGGTATATATGGCTCAGATGTAGGAGGAAGTAATAACTCATCTAGTTTTGCCGTAACTGCATACATGGCATCCCTTGTGTAAGGTGATAGGTAAAAACGAAGCCTTAAAAAGTGAATAAATACAACCAAGGCGAGGATTGATGTCTGGAAACTTTGAACGAAGGCAAAATTGTAAGTTTAAAACTATATATCTAGAAGAAGAAGAAACAAGGATCAAATTGACTCACACTAGTACGCCGGCGATCAATCGTCCTAGAATACCGACAACTTCGGCGTAGGCTGCAATCTGCAAAGCTTTCTCATGATATTCATCTGTGTACTGCTCAATCACCTCACGTGCATGCTTCACAGTTGGGTTGTCATTATTGGGGAAGAATACTGGTAAAAGAATGGTCCGAAGGTAAATAAACACATGGAAGATCGAGAACGCAAAATAAGGCACCAGTGTAACTATTCGAAAGAATGAAATACAAAATCAAACCAATTCAATTCAATTCAATTCAATCCAGTCCAATTCACTTTCATCGTATTAGACCTAGATGTTGTTATATTTACCTGCCATGGGTTGGTAAGAATACCAATAGAAAGCCAAGGCAAAGTATTGGACGTTCTCATCACGAAAAAACTCTTTACTGAACCATGAAGAATCCTATGTCACAGATTAAAAATAAAAGTAATATTTGCTTGTAAAGAATGTTTGCGCACCTCCCCCTTGCCGACGCCCTCCCTATCATCACACAATAAAAAAAATCAACCGCCTCCCTTCCTCATTACCATCAGCAGCAAACGGCCGAGGTCGAACTCATTAGTTTTCCAAAAGAGCACTTTACCCCTATGGATTTACTGATGACAACAGCATATGAAATCAAAACACCGATGTAGGCGCGTGTGTGGTAAATCGGATTGGCGTTGAGTGAGAGGGTTGATGAAAAATAGAGAGCAGAGTTGCAGACAAGACAAACATGACCACACCACCAATAGAAATGAGGATCCTAAAGATGTATAGTTTAGTAAAAAAATAAAATACCAATTCTTGTGAATAAGGATTGCGGTCTTTTATTTTACCTTGAATGTCGCGGCTAGTCTTGTTTGTAAAGAGAGATGGTCCGTCATCGTCAGACCAGAAAAAAGAGAGACGTTGAGCTTATTACACTTTGAAGTTTGGTACAGACAAAGCCGAAGAGGTTAGCCTCCGACAGCGGTCACATATCTCAAATAAGATGTTAAAGTTAAAAAAAAAAAAGAAAGAAACTTATAATTATCACACCATGCCGACACTTGAAATACTCAAAGAAGGACATAACTCACTTGACATTTCAGGAGCTTTGAGAAATTCCCCACAAAACTTCGAAAGTCTTTCTGATGAAGACAAAGCTGCATTAATGAACCAACTGGCATCGAGCTTTGCCAATGATCCAAAGGCAATGGATCGTTTAGCTTCCAGTGCTTTAAATAACGTAACAGCAGATGACTTTGATACAGTGGCTGTACAGCCACATCCTGGTTTTGTCTGCAAGACGCATATCGTGAATTCCAAAAATCCAAAACATCCTGTTGGAAAAGTAGTTTATATAAACATATGTCATGCTTCTGAGATTCCTGAACCTACATTGGCGAGTGAAAAAGATATTCAAATAGCATTGAATGGAGACCCTGATTCTACTTATCGTGTTCCTCTCAGTATGGGCCAGGCAAGGACTGATAAAGATAATGGTAATAAAAAAGAAAATAAGAAATAAAACGATCATACACACAGTATTGGTGATCTCAATGAAGTATTTATTTAGCAGGTCGTCTGAATCTTATAATGGACTCATGTTTTCACACACGAGCATATATTCGAGCTGAGCGGGATCTGGAATATAGGCTGTATCTGTTAGAACTGTCGATAGAATACGTAGAGGATAACGAGAATGTGGTATTAAGTCGAGGTAACTAATATTTGCTTTAATTTCATCGAAATAATATATATATATATATATATGTATATATTTTGCCTTTTTTATTAGAATTTACTATGCCCAATGTAATCTCCAAAGGACAGATACCCAAACGGATTCTACGTTTACCTAAACCATCTTTCATATCTTCTTTAACAATCGACAAAAAGAAAAGTGAGCTATATTTACCGTGGGAGTGTAAACCAAGATTTTCAGTATTTAAAGGCAACACCTTGATTGTCGTTATTCCGATGCCTACAGTAGTAAGCTTAATTTTGTGAAATATGAAGATCCAAAGAATGATAAAGTGATATTAATAAAGTTTGGTCCCTAGGATACCATGCTGTGGACACTAGACATTGAACCAAATGCTCTTATACAAACAATACAGGGAAAATCATCAACAATCACTCTTCCTCATACAGTGGATGTTACCCATGTGGATAACTCGGCCGAGTTTTATAAGAAAAGCAAGGACCTTGTTGTTCGACTTACAATTGTAGCTACAAGTAAAATCAGGCAACAATATCTTTAGCCTTTAACAAGATTTTCATTTTTTATTTAGAAATAAATTGAATAACAAGTATTTTGTGTATGTGTATGTAATTTTATTATAATTTTATTTAGATGGTGGCAACGAATGATTGGACGGCTTGTGCCCTGTTCTCGTCACCACATTTTACAAGCAAATCTGCAAGTTTTGTCAATGCGTCTTTTGCATTCTCCTTCTTCTCAATTTTCTCGGTAGTCTTAATAAACTCCTCAGCAATCTGCGCAGCTTTCTCAATGGCGTTCTCATCATCAACATTTTCTGAAAAGCCATCTACCAATGTTGCATACATGTTGCCAGTCAGGGAAGATTTGTATAAAGGTGCCATAGCCAATGTAACCAATGCCTTGTCAAGTTCGTTAGCCTTGCAGAGTGTCTCAATAGTCTTTTCAAAGTCGCCACTGCTGGGGAAGAGGCCATAACGATAGCGATCTCCTAAAAGCTTATATGCAATATCACCACGACCAACTTCACACACAGACTGGATCAGCTTGCTGGATGTGAATGGAGTTATTGGAAGACGCTTGTTGCGCCACTGTTCTACAAGCTTTGGCAACTTATCGGCCTCATCAGGCTGCTTGACATGCTGGAGCAGGTTGTTCAAGCGAGTCTCTTTGGGCATAGCATGTAGTTCTTTGGGGTTGCGAGTCTCGGAAACAAGAACGTCATAAAAAGAGTTGAATACGTTAGTATTGTGGCCAGAGTCGGGTGTATTTTCCATGCTGAGTTCTCTAGCAAGAGAGGCTTCAGCTGCTTTGACATCTTCAATGTCTAAAAATTCGGGATCGTTTTCATCCAATAGCTCAACTACACCCCCCTTTTTGTTCTTTGCCTTGAACACTTTGTATGTACATAGTAAGTAAGCTTTCAGTATGGGAATAGGATTAACTTACGAACAATGCTAGGTCTCAATGCATGGAAAGCGCATTGTTGTAAACGCAAGTTGGATGGGCGAGCCACTAAATTTTAAGTAAAAGCAAAATTTTAGCTTTATTGAATTTAATATTGATGGTCTGTGATTGAGCATACAAGGATAAGTAGCAGTTAGAAGTTTTCGGCTAAGCATTGAAAAGGAATGGTATACCTCAAAGAACTTTGAAGGGTTCAGAAAAGTAAACAAATTTTCTTAGATCGGGGATTGAACTTTGAAAGGGCAAAAATAAATTATAGCATTTTCGACAGATTACAAAGTACACACTATAGGAAAATATTGAGTGGGTATTTTTGGTAGGCCATAATCTGACTGAGTTTTATTCTCGCTATTTTTGGTGCGATGAGATTGAGCAAAGGAATACCCTTTTTCGAAGATTTGGGTTCATTTCCCAAAAAAAAAATCCAATTTTTTTTAGTAAAAAGAGGGCAATTTCAGCATTTTTATAATGACAGATGTCTTTATTTTAACATAAATATGTGTTGAATAAAAGGCGTATAAGTTGGTACAAGCTACTACTACTATTATAGTGCATATTTCTTGATAGATTTTCCGACCACTAATGCTCAAACATAATTGAGTATTAATTAAAATAGCTTGTACTTTCAATGAATTATTACTCATACACTTTTCTAGAAAGACATACATAAAATAAAGAAAAATAGTTTGATATAACAATGAAAAGAGTAAATATTTATTTAATATAATAAGAAGTATTGATATAGTAAAGATAATTAAATGAAGAAGATTTTTTTGTTACAATAACCTAGCTCTATTTTTGTTTAAAGATATTCCAAGCTGCACTTGGTCATTCTCCATTCTTTGAGCAGCTTCTTCAGATGATATATTCTGAAGCTCCACTCTTTCGTTAACTGCACCGTATAGCTCTTTTCTTTTATTAAAAAATCTCGACTCTTTTCTATCTTTTCTCCAAGAAGTACCATATCTTGCTCCAAGTTCTTGGATCAGGAAACTACCGTTGAAACCAACAGCATACTCTCTCCACACATCAGTTACAGATATTAAGTTTCTGTTCATGCAATATGCTGGAAATTGGCTTGGGGCTGGTGTGGCAGAGGTTAAAGAAATAATGAACGTGGCGGTGGAAGTAGTAGCAGTCGTAGTTGCAGTCGGTAAAGTGGAATTGAAATAGGCGCGGCCAAAAACATAAAAGTCTGTAAAATTTCGATCAAGTCTCATAACAGCCTCATTCTGAGATGCTTGCCTTGCGCCCATTGCAAGCATAGTTGCTGTTACTGATCTAAGCCCTGCTCTTATGCTGGCAACCATGTCTGGCATAACTAAATCAATTTTTCTGTTGGACACAAAAATCTCTTCATCTGATTGAATGGCTGAAAGAACTTGTTATTAAAAAATTTGGTATTCTCTAGTACTGACCATAGTACAAGTCCACAGGTAGTAGTTGGGAAACCTCTTTTTTAAAAGAACGGAATTCTGAAAATAAATGATCAAGCTCATTAATTAGGCAGTTTTCTCAAATACAATGTTCTCTTGTATATATTTACCTGTAAAAAAACCACCTGGAGATATGCGAGCAAGTTCAAAAAGTTTGGACCGGTTATGTCTTCTTATATTTCTTGATTAGCAAACTTCTGTTTCCAGGTTTCAATCTCGCAAAACATCATCATTTGAAGCTCTCTTGGGGGCTGGACGACAGCATGAGACAGAAAGAAATTTTTATTCTGCCCAGAAAATCGTGCCAATGCTTTCATAGCTTCAATTGGCAAGATCGATGTGTAACAACCCACCATACAACCAGTTTCCCTTCTGCCAACCATTATCTGTTAGTCACCAGAAATGTTCTCCTGCACAATTGTGTTCAGTGCACTCTTGCAGTTCCCTTGCGTAACCTTGGAAGTGTGAAGTCCAACAGCTTTGAAATCCTTGGCAAATGTCTTGTGCTGGGCTTTGTACTGGATTGGCGTGAATCGATCCTCGTCTTTGAAAAGAGAGATTTCATATCATTTCTCATGGGAAGAAAAATTGGGAAACGGTTCATTGTCGTAATGAAACCGAAAAAATAAATTCATGGATAACGCACAAGCAGAGCAAACATCGACTTGAAAGTGGTGGGCAGAGGAACCATATTCAATCTTTCCGTGCTGATTGGTCTTGCCAAATGTGATTGTTGCAACTAGGGCGATGCACTCAGTTACTCCCTGGTTTTCAAGATTAAGTGAAAAAGGTCAGCAAGCTGCATTCTCAAAACGGTTTGACTACGAAAAAGCATCGAATGGCTAATTAGAAAGCATAGTCTATCTCTGCATCCACGAATGTTGCTTTTGTTGAGAAAGTAATGGCTGATCTTCTCCAGTTTCTGCCTTGTGTATCCATCATTGAGCGTATTTTTTCTACGGTCTTCAAAATTTGTTCTAACAGCTTGTGAACGTTTCTTACTCGAAGTATCCAAGAAAGCACGAACAAGAGATCCTCTAGCTACACCATTAGGGTTCCACCCAAGAGCTTTTTTCTTGCTACATATATCTGAAACTGCTTTAACATAAGCTAAGATAGACTCCCGGCCTAATGGTATGGGGGAGCCGTCTTCTGCCCTCTTCAATTTACACCCTCTCTTTATAACATGATCCATTAAAAAGAAACTTAGTTTCTTATTGCTGGCAAGTTAATCATCTTCAAAGCATTTCTTATGGCACCATTGCCGTTTAGAATTTAAATAAAATAGGCTTAATAGTTTTTTCAACAAATAATATTATACATACTCTCCATTCTTCTTGCTTGGCAGCATATGCTTTTGAAGTATTCTTAGGGCAAAGCTCCATATTTTGAGCTAAAACTAATTGGCTTCTAGTGTGCATTGCTGATCTGTTATCCATCATTCTCTGAAGACTTATGTTGTTGACCATAGCATTGGTACTGTTGTTGTTTTGGCCGTTCATTTGAGACTAGATATATAAAAACAAAACAAAACAAAACAAAACATGATATATGTAAGCATATATATTATAATATTTTTAAATACTTGGCTTTCCAAGTCATTGTAAGACTCATATATATGTACTTACAGCTCTTTATAGAAAAGCTCAATTTTTTATAAAAGTGTCTTGTTTATTAATTGTAATTCACTCTTTATATATATATATTTCTTAAAAAGATTATTGTAACAGACTTGAGCTAAAAATACACCATGTAAATCTCTTATTATATTGCAATAAAAGAAGATCTTGAAAGTTGATAAGGCATTGTCAGGAGCCAATGTCTTTGTTTGTTAAAGATAAATCAATCTTAGACTTCAAATACCTTGCAAATAAAGATATCTTGGCTTTATTATTGTAAATCTTAGGGGACAGGGTGTTACACAAGCTTATAGTTTTTTTTTGTATGGAGCGGAGCTCTGGTTTATTGGTGGGACTCTTGTCCAAAAGGCTTAAGAGGCGTCACAACTTGTTTTTGGGTTTTCTATTATCTATATGTTTTTGAATTTTTTGTGTTTTGTAAGGTGTAGAGAAAAAGAAAAAAAAGGCGAGTTGGCGAGATATTTAGATAGGATATGGGCTTTGGTCAAGGTTTTCTTCAGCGTACAATCGAGAGAGCAAGGAGTTGGCTGTGGTTATAGCATTGGTAGCAATAAAAAGTGCTTGGTCAAAGACAAAGACCCAATGGTGGCGCCATACGGCCAAGAGAGCAGATCCAAAGATGGAAGCAGATTCTAGGGTGGGGTCAAGAGGAGGTGGGAAGGTAAACTTGTATAGTGCATTGTGAATGTCAGAGGTCTGAGAGGAAAAGCCAAAATGAGTGTGCCAAAAGGTTTTCCAGAGGGGGAGCTTGAGTGGGCAGGCAAAGAGAAAATGGTCCTGAGACTCATCAGTTGTACCACAGAGAGAGCAAGTGGCAGATGGAAACACGGTAGGGACACAATGATGTAAGGCTGATCTACAAGAAATCTTGCAATGAAGCAACTGAAACCAGATGTTGCGAGAGGCATAAGGAAGAACAAAAGACCAGAACTGACGCCATTCGATGGCACGTATATCCTGTTGCATATCCTTGGTAGAGAAAATGGCAACTTGACAAGAGGAACGATATCGGCGTGTGGACAGACGATTCCAAGAAAAGTTAGGAGATAGAGCAGACAAAAGTGGAGAGGGGTCAACTTCAGAGCCAATCCAAATCATCATGTCTGGGAATTGAGCCGTCAAGATACTCTGGGGAAGTCAAGCACGAATTACAAAAGTATGAAGAAAGAGGGAGTGGTTATCTAGACGAAGGAAAAATTTGCAAAGGATTCTTGGAGACCAAGGGAAGGAAGACGAGAAATGCGGAGAAAGAACTTCCAAGTTTGGGTCAATCTCATAGGCATCTCTGATCTGGAGGTGACGCCAAGAAGAAGGAAAAACAGGGAGGCCGTGTGGGACAATAGTGGCAGAAGCCAAAGGAATATCCAGACAAGTTTCCAGATTTACCACAGTAGAATCAAAGTCATGAGGTAGGAGATTGCACGCGGCAAAGAGATTAAAGAAAGGACTGGTATACGAGTGAAAGCAACTGTGTCGGAGGTCAGGGAAGACAAAAGGGAGGAGAGGGTGAACATCAGGCAGGTGATGTCAAAGAAGGTGTATCAACCAAGGCAATACCAGACCCAAAGGAGAGGAAGGGGAGCGGAACAGAGGTCGAAGCCAACGAAGCTGAAGAGCACCTTGCTGTAACTTTGGGTTCAAAACCCCTAATCCACCAAGTTTCATTGGGAGACATAAGGTGTCAAGTTTAACAGGTGGGAAGGTGCGGTGCTGAAGAAAATGGCCCATGAGAGATCGAACCTTTGTAAAAAAAGTTCCAGGAATGGAGACAACACGAAGGACGTGCCAAAGCTTTGACAAGATGAGAGAGTTTAAGACAGTAGAGCGACCATGGAAGGACAAGGCCCGGGAGAGGTGGACATGTGAAGCACGTTCTATCTTAGCCAGGACTTGTGAGCAGAAGAAATTTCTTTGAGGAATAGAGGAGATAATTGGAAAGCCAAGATAGTGAAGAGGTTCAGGGGAGCGACTGTCATGCCAATCAACAATCTGCAAACTATAAAGGGTATCCATCCAGTGAGGGTGGGGTTTGCCCAACAAAGAAAATGCTTGAGTTTTGTGAAGATTGATGTATGCATTAGAAGCAGAGGCATATGTGGTGAGGTGGTGCTGTAATCGGAACATATCTTGGATCTGTGGGAGGAAGACAAGAAGATCATCTGCGTAGGCCAGTAGCTTAATGGGCAGAGGGGAGGGTTGGTTGGGAGTACCTTGTATGTCGAATCCAGGAAAGTGTGGATCGTGTATGAGTTGGCGCAAGAGAGGCTCAAAAGCCAGGTTGAACAGAACAGGAGACAAGGGGTCACCCTGCTGGAGTCCGCGTGCTTGACTCAGAGGGCGAGAATTGAAGCCACTGATGTTAATCTTAAGGTCGGACGAGAAGAAAAGATTAGAAACACAGGTTATAATGGAAGAAGGAAAACCAAATTTGACAAGAACTTGTTCAAGGTAGTCAGGGTGAACCTGATCGTAAGCCTTTTTCTGGTCTAAGAGAAGACCAATTCTAGAGTGACCAGTAAAATTGGCATGATCCATAACCAGCTTCGTAAGTATACCATTTTCAGCAATGAAGCGACTGCGGACAAATCCTGTTTGGTATGGGGATACCAGATCTCCAGCAGCTTTGACTATGCGCGCATTGAGAAGCCAAGTAAAAACCTTGGCATCAGCGTTGATCAGAGCAATCGGTCGCCAATTTTTCAGAGACAAAAGATCGCCTTTCTTTGGTAACAGAGAGATACACGTGGTTTGCCAAGATGAAGGGAATTTGGCACCATTGAGAGCATCATTGTACACTTGGAGCAGTAATGCGGAGCAAGAAGGGTGATTGAATACAAGTTGAAGAATCTCATAAGGAAGGCCGTCTGGTCCTGGGCTGCTTGTTCTTGGAGAGTGGGACACTCCTTCTCATATGTCATCGATACAAAATTTGGCAGTCAATGAGGAACATGTATCATCAGAGAGGCAGAGGTCGTGGGGAAGGTGGTTGGGTAAATCGTCTATGGCTAATTGATCTATTGGTTCAGGTGTATACAGAACTTCATAGAAAGCAGCGGCAGCGGCAGTCATGCCATCAGGCTCAGTGTGCAAGTGGTCAGTGATAGGATGGCGTAGATTGGTGATGTTCTTTTGGGTTTGACGTTCTGCAACTGTACGCTTGAGGTAGCCTGCAGAGATCTCTTCATTCTCCTGCCAGTGTTTTCCTGCGCGCAGAGCAAGGATTTCCACTCTCTCCAGTTGTACTAGTTGTAGTTATCTTTCAATGATGGGCAATTGAAAGTTTTGAGCAGGTTGTAGTCTAAACTTGAAGATCAGTCTGTCACATTTACTTTGAAGGTAAGCCTCTAAAGTAGTGAGTGTCTGGGTGTGGCGTCTAGTGAAAGACTTGATGAAGATAGTTAGATTGTCTTTGAGTTTATCTCATTGATCTTGTGGAGACATATATGAGGGGAGTAGAGAGATGGAGGTAGAGATAAAGTCTTTGAGTTCATTGCAAAAGGTAGGGTTACAGGCAAGTCGAGGGTTGGCATGCCACAGTCCCTTCCCTGTTTGGTGGGTTGAGATGAACTTAAAAGTAACGGCTACCAGGCAATGATCAGACCAAGCCAGATATATGTAGGTCACAGACGAGGAATGTCAGCAGGGAGCGAGGTCAGGGGAGGCAAATATATAGTCTATGGAGGAGGCACTGATATTTCGATGAAAGGTTGGGGCAGGAAGTTTGCCACTCGGTGTGACACAATCCACTAAATGGTTAGAAACGAAGTTAAGCCATTCAGAAGGGGCCTGATGAGGGGTAGCAGAAGTAGTGCGATAAGTATAATTAAAGTCACCCAAGAGTATGAATGAAGATGGGAGAGGAGGAAGTAATGTGGGAGAGTCTAGAAGAGAGCGGAGGAAAGAAAAACATTCTCAGTAGGTTGCAGGAGCATATACAACACATACACAAAAAGAGGGAAAGATATTGTTAGCATGTATGACTGTAGCAGAGATACAGCGTCCACAAGGGCTAAAGAGCGGGTTTACAAAAGAAATGTGTGGAGAAAGGGAAACTAAGCCGCAATGTGGGGCCCATAAGGAGTCTTGGGCATGGAATTGAGTGTGAAAGGTCTGTTGAAGATGTTCAGTATTGGCATGGGTTTCTTGAAGGGCTAGTAAATCGATCCTGCAGGATCGAAGGTGTCTTATAAAAAAATGAGCATGTCTGTGGGTTGTTGGTTTTAACCAATCCACAGCAATTCATAGATGCTATTTTAATCATAGATTATTGGAGGGGGTGTGGGGTATCGTGCACGGAAAAATTGTTCTCGTCTATATCTGTCTCAAAGTAGTTGTCTACTTCGTCTATATTGTGATCAGTAAGATCAGGATCATCTTCAGGGATAGTTTCCCTGTCTTTCCTGTCTATCGCAGAGAAGTCAAAGTGTTCAATCGATGTGCCAATCCGCTTGGGGAGCTCAAGTTGAATGGGTCCAGTCTCAATTCCCTCTACTGGAGAATTGTTGATCTTCTTGTCCTTGGAGACAATGTTGGCATTAGCAGGATTGTGCTTAGACGCAACAGAGGAAAGGGAAGTGTCAAGAATCTCAAATCGGGTTTTTATTACTACTGATTGGCCCGCAGGCTTCTTGGTGGTTGGGACAGAAGGTCGAGTGTGGGTGGGAGGGCCATGTTGCACAGGAGTCTTCTGTTCCCGCTTATACAAGTTATCAACCTCTGCAGCATGGGGACAACGAGAGCAAAGGTGACCAACTTGGTGGCATCCATAACAGGATCGTGTTTCGCAAGGGCGATTGGGACATTTGTCAAGATCATGACCCATGGTTCAACAGTGAGAGCAGTAAGCTCCTATGTTGAGCCAAGTGGCCAGGAAGGGAGTCCTATCGTCAAACTCCATCTTGAACGTAAGAGGGAGGAGATTACCTTCCTTGTTAGGAGGACGTTCCACATAGGCATAGCCTGTGCCATCCATAAACCCAAAAAGGGTATTGACAATCATGTTGTGAACGTAGCCATATTTGGCAAGAGTGGTACGAAGTTTATTGGTTAACGTGTCATAATCTTCAGGAGCATAATGGGGGAGTTTCAACAAGTTCAGTTGAAAGAGTTTTGAAAAACTAGCAATAGCAGGGGAGGCAAATACAGTTGTTCTTATAACTAAATCCTACACAACTGGCTCGAGTGCAGACGTCTTTAGAGGTGAGGTGAAGCTCATAAAGGGTGCCAGCCTTATTGGTGGAGTTCAAGCCTATGATCTCTCCAGTGGAAAAAGGTTGGAGAAGTGCGTTGAAGAAGGGGACGAAGTCAGGGGAGGATTCCAGGGGAGTGTTGTAGTAGACCGAGAACTGACTGGTGCTTTCGCGCCAGGTGCGAGGTTTAGTCAATGGACCATTTGAGCCAAGGACTACAGTGCTGCAAAAAGCTGGGGAATTTTACATAATTGCAGAAGAGTACGATAAGGGAGTTCCATGGGTTGGAGTGTTTGTTGTAGATAGAGCTGGTGGTGTTGAGGTTGGGGTTTTATTGGTTTGTCCAGTGTTAAGGTGTTCCCCTGTAGGGGGGTCTGGTTGTATAGCAGAGGAAGCCATGACAAGCTTATAGTGAGTAGTCCGGCAGATAATTAGAGGCGTGACTACTTTTAACTTGTCTGGAAGAAATCCATCGTTTCTGTGTGTAACACCCTGTCCCCCAAAAAACAGTCACCCCCTGTCCCCATCCAGTATAATCACTTGTCTTTATTCACTAAGAAAAATCATGCAAAAGTGGAAGAACATTTGTCTGTAACTTTTCATTTTCATTTTTATTTATTTTTAAAAAATTCATAACTCTTTCAAAAAAATAGATAGAAATATGAGAGTAGGATGGTTGGTTTTGTTGATTTTTTCTGCATAAAGTGAGTATTCGTTTGTTTTGTAATATTTTTTGAATCACGTTTAAAGAGTGAATTACAAAAGTTCTGTATATTTCATTTGTGAAAGATTGAACAAAAAAACAACAATTTGAAAATATTAGTAAAAATCACTTGCAAATGCTTTATATCAATAGAAAATAATAAAAAAATGTTTCAGTAAAAGTTTTAGACCATATTATTATGTAGAAAAAATATGTATTAGCAAAAAAAATCTATCTCAAATGGCTAAAAACATGAAAAAAAGTGTATATTTTGCTTGTTTATTCAACTAAAACATAATAAATTAACTTCAAATTTTGGATATAGAGATGTACGTATTTTTTCAGCAATATGGCAAAATATCCAAGCTTTAGCGTTTGAATTAAAACAGAAATCTATTAAAAGCTATGCGTCATTTCTGTTTTATATCTTTTACAGTAAAATTCGCGTCTGTGATTGGATGAAGATCTTAATCAGATTGCTTATAAATGCACAGACTTTGTACCCCAGAAAATAAAAGCCAATTATATAGTTTTCCAATTAATTAGATACCAATTATATTTGTATCTGAGTTTTATATGTAACATTAAAATTAAATACAGACTGAGTGCAATTGTGTTTGTTAAAAAATGAAAGAAAAAATAAGAGTAAAGTATATTAAAAGATAGAAAGATAAATAAGTTATATATGTGTGAAATCAATAATATCAGAAGAACATGAGAAAGCATTTGTAAGAAAGTTAGTTATAGTAGTGGTAGTAATAGTAGTTGCAGTGGTGGAAGGTAAAAGATAAGTTTTGTTCTTTGGGAACTGACCCCAATGATTCCAACTTGTGAAAAAGCAGTCAATAATACTCCCTCTATGGATAGCATCAAAATACAGCGCATTTACCTCAGGCCAAGACCGATGTACATGAGGCTTGACTTTGATTGTTGTCCAGTAGCACCCATGTACATGGTGCAAGACCATTGGCAATGGCTTTCTTTTGAGAGGCTTCCAATCATGGAGGGGAAGGAAAGTTACAGGCAAGATGCTCCGATCGTCCGAGTACACACAAACAGGCTCATTATATGTGTCAGCTATTATCTGAGCACAGTCTGGTGCAGAGAACCACATGGAGGAAGGGCAAGGGGGGTATGTTTTTCCCAAGAGCAGGGTCAATCTCAGAACCATGGGCAATGTCTTTCGTCACTTCAGCAATATCCATTTCAAAGTTTTGCTCATAGAGTGTGACGTGGGTTACAACAGTTTCCAACATCTTCTTCTTCACTAAAGGAAACTGGTTCTCTCCACCCTCTTTCAAGTGTGCAAACACATGGAAGTTACACTAACCATCGGACTTGGGGTTGAAGGTCAATGAAACAGCAGATTGGTCAATTTGAATTGGCAAAGCAAAGTCATGCACATTTGTTTTTTTGCTTTTTTAGGCTAGGCAGAGCATACCAGTAGTCATCAGGAAGGTGATTGAGTCTTTTAATTCCAAAGAAATGTTTTTCAGCTAAAAAACATTTTTAAAAAATAAAAATAAAAGCAATGTAAAATTTAATATATCTCCAATAAAATATTATAGAAATTACCTTCTTTGAGAAGCTCTTGTTTATCAGCAATATTATTTGTTTTAGCTATTGAGAGAACGTAAACTGTGTGAGAAAGCCATATATAATAATTATTGATTCATTCATATGTTATCAAATACTCCCTTCTTTGAGAGGCTCTTGCTCTTTAGTGAATTCTTTTTCTTTTTTGATTTTTTTAATTGCTAGAAATATTAAGCATTAGATATTATATTTTAATTTTATAAAGACCAATAATACAATACATTTTTTGAGAGGCTCCTCCTCTAAACACTCCTTCACCGCATCTCTAAGCTCTTGTTTTATCATCTCTCGTATCTCGTCCTACAATAAATAGATAAATATATTTATTAGATTGTGCAATCATATATATGTACACTGTGTTCTTACTTTGCTTTTTTGAGCAAGGAGATACCTGTGCTTGTGCAAGACATAGTCCTTTGGAAGAGCACTTTTTCTTTTGATATGTTTTGATCTTCCAGGAGCTTTGACTTCACTAGCCACAGAGAAAACCATCTCAGGGTGGTCAAGATATTGTTTGGCATTTTCAATGAAGTTGTTGACCTTTGCCATCAGACCACGAACTTGCTGTTCATCTTCACAGCACCGAAAAAGTTTCTCAAGCCAAGAAACAGACTTCATCCATGGAGTGGACTCCTTGATAGTGATACTATCAGCAGCAGCAATGTCTCCAGTTGCATTTTGGCAAGATGTAACTGAGGAGAGAAGTCACCTTTCTGGAATATTGACCAAAGTCAACACATGATCTCTTGGAAGACTGTGACGACAAGGGAGACCAAATACCACTTTCACTCTACAATGGCAAGGCTCACCAGGGGTAACATCATCCAGCATTTTGGCGCGTATAGTGTATAAGACCATTCTGGAAACTGAATGAATTAATTCATGGAGATGATCATCATTATATATCCTGGCATCTGTAATGGTCACCTCATTCAGCTCATGGTCCTGGTAGTCACCTTAAAACTGAAAAAGATATATACAGATTTGCTCAAAGGAAGAGTCAAGAGTCTGAAGGACAGAAATTCTTCTTTTCAAAGCATGGTGGCCACTCTCAACACGTTGTGTTGTCACACAGTCCAAATGTCTAAATTGACTGGTGATGTAGGCAGCCCACTTCTCCTTACAAGTCATTCACTCATCCTCGAAATACTTCTCAAAGATTTTTTTCTACAATCTTTGCATGATCCTCTTCGTCTTCCTCATCCTGCTCCTTGCTCTTAAGATCTTTGCGAGAAGACAAAGACTTGAAGAGTTCAAACTTTTTGTCAAAAACCTTGCGCTTGTCACTGAAGATCATACAATTGACTATGTTTGTGCAGGTATTTCTTTCGTTTTCTGACTTCATTGTCTTCTTGGCCATCTTGGAAACGTTATTAATCATGTGCCAGCTACAGAGAAGCTTTGTGTTCATGGGAAACGCCGAATTCAATGCATTCATTAATGTCCTGCACTTGTCAGTTACAAATACTGGTCTTTCTTCGATTCCTTCGAGTACAATTGCTCTCAGAGATTCCATAAACCAGACATAGCTGGGTTCTTTTTCATCAGTCACCCAGGCATATCCTACTGGGAAGCTTTTCAATCGTTCTCAACCAAGGTTACTGACAGCTTCCACACACATCAATGACATCTTTGCACATTTGGTCTTATATATGGCATCCACAATCAAAACCTCTGGAAATTGTTGGGCTTTTTTGATCATTGTTTTATTTGTGAAAAAAATGTGTGTCGGTCTGTTCGTTTTGTTGGACTTGTAAAGAACCGTGAATCTCTTTTCTTCCATATTCTTAATTAGTGTTTTAGCAGCATAGTTCGACTAGTCATCTCCATGTGTATCACTGTACTTCAGATTGTTGATGTCGCTGATTCTGATTTTTCTCATACCAGTAATCTTGTCACTGGTAGCTTTTTGAACATCACAAGCTTTTGCGTGATTTTCCAACATTATCTTAGCAATATTGACATCTTTGGGAGTTAGGAGAGTCATTCTTCCTTGATGGGAAGAAGCCAAGTTCTCAGGGGTAATAGGGTGGTTGTGGCAATGTTCATTGTTGCCACGGGCAGGCAAAGGAAGATATCTGTTGCTATTCTTCCTTGACAGGAAGAAGACAAGTTCTCGGAGGTAATAGGGTGGTTGTGGCAATGTTCATTGTTGCCACGGGCAGGCAAAAGAAGATATCTGTTGCTATTCTTCTTATAAGAGAATCTTAAAATATATAGGTATCCAGTGAGAGAAGAGTTTGGAACCTTCTTTCTTTTATCTTCACTAATGTTACGCTTGTTGCAATAGGTGCCAGCCTTTGCACAAGCAAGATGAAGTGTGGGAAATTTTCCATCCTTAATCTTGATAGTAAAATTATTAGAAAGAGCATAGTTGTTTACAGCCTGAAGGACACTCTGTTTATCAGGGTAACCGTTTTTGGGGAATGAGAGATTTGTTTTAACTGAATACATCTTTTCAATGGGGGTAGCAAAGTTATTATTCATGTTTAATAAAATAGTACTGTGTTTATATAAGTATTTTTATTGCTTCCTGTACGCAATGTAGGCAATATACATAATTTAAAAAAGAAATTATATCCTGTTATCTGCAAATATTATTTTTTATTCTTACAACTAAATGTCAATGACTTTAAAAAGAGGGTGTTTCTATTTTTCCTGGGAAATTGAAATGCTCTAAAGATGGGGACAGGGGGTGTGCTTATAATGATGGAGCAGTATGTGCTTATAAACAATGAGGACAGGGGTGTGCTTATAAAGGATGGTGAGGGGGGGTTCTTTAAGACACTTTATAGCCAGGCCTTGGACTAGCAGTCACCTTAAATTGTGTGGTGCCATTACCCCCCATCCCCTAAGATTGCTGCTTTATTATCAGAGGACCCACTAAGAATTCATAATTCTCTTTCTAATATGTTGTAATGTAACACATAAAATAAATATAAAAATAAATATAAGCTATAACAAGGTGGACTGGTGTCCCCAGCAGAACTGTATTGAGAAAAATTAACCATACTATGAAAAGAAAGAAAAAAACCATCTCGGATAAGACACAGATCTATATCAAGAAAGGCATTCTATACTATAATATCTCTGATTTATTCTTTCATGACATTCATAGCAAATGCATAGTAAATTATAGCAGAAAGAAAGTCTAATTGTAATGTGCAAGAAGTCACACAACAAGATAATAAGATAGAATGAAATATGAAGATAAAGATAATATTTATTTGTGATAATATTTGTAGTATTTATACTAATTTATAAGATGCCACACTATCCTAAATTCTAGTTAAGTCCTTTTGCTATGGTATCTTGCTGAGCAATAGTTGTCTTTTTCTTGGCATTGCTCACCCAACTACACACCCACTGATTTTTTTTCATTTATGGTAATTTCAAGGGTGCCAAATAATTTGATTGGCTTAGAGAGTGAATCTTTAGTTTAATATATTTAAATTCAGAAGTAGTTGCACAAAACACTACCAGAGAAATTTTGTGTGTAACTAATGTCCTAAAACAGTGTTCTGTATCACTGTACAATGTTTGCCCATATATGAACATACAAGTTTTGGCAATAAATTCTGGTAAAAAAAATCACAAATTTAAAAATGCATTTTTGCAAATATAAAAAATGTTTCAATAATAGCTCAAAATAAATTTTGTTTCAAATAATTTTTGGGTTCAAAAAAATAGGTTTTTATATTCAGTTTATTTTGGATTGCAAAAAAAATTAAAAAATTAAAAAATTAAAAAATAAAAAAAACTAGACTGGGCCACGTAATCTGCAGCAGTAGCATACTAGCAAACTTATACTACTAGTTAAAACAGTAGTATGGCTGCTAGCACCAATGCCCATGAATTACGTGGTCGACATATAGTAAGCTAATAAATCTAGCTATTCCAAGAGAAAACCAGTGTCATAGATGACATGAAAACCAAGGAGCTTGAAGACTTGAGTGCCAAGAAACTTGAAGACACACGTGCCAAGAGACTCTAAAAGAGTAAAAGCAATTAGTAATCATATTTAAAATACTTTTGTTTAAAAATACTTATCTTTGATTCTGCCAAGTCATTCATAATTATAAATAGTTGAATACCTACAAGTGAGAAGAAGAAATAATTAGTATTCTATTGCTTTGTAAGCAGGGTTTATAATTATTACATCTTTACTGAATTTTTCCAGATGATGAAAAAACTAATATATAAACATGATTGGTATGACTAATAAACACATTGATATATAAAACTACTTTAATAGCATAAATACCTTTGAAGTGGGAGTACGTATAAATGATGTTGCTTTCATAGAGGCTATAAACGTATTAGAATACTATATAAATAAAAACATGTAAAAACAACCAACCTTTTGGGGCAAAGTAGAGTGAAAAAAGAAGACGTAAACATGTAAGCTTTTCTTATTCAAAACTAGTAGAAAAATTCTAATTGGTGCACTGACATTAAAAATCCGTCTTTGTACTTTTATAAATTCAACAATTTTATGCCAAGTCATTTTTCACCTTTGTCTTATTATTACAATGCAAAATAACAAAAGACAATCAAGAAATATAAGAAACCCACAACCCCCTAAAAAACCTGGCGAAGCCGTTTTCAGTATATATGTCAGAGAGCATATTTGTAATGAATGTGGAAAAGTCATGACAACAAGTTCTAGCTTAAAAAGACATCTGAAAACTTGTCAAGCAATCTCTAGTGGAAAACCTAGTTCTTCAGTTGAGAGCGTTATAAATGATTATTTGATGATGGCTTTGAACAAAGAACTACTGGCCGAACCAACAATGACTGCAGCCAATATCAACAGATACGACTACTCTTCTGGTGAGGAAAATGAAGATGATGAAGACGATGAGTATAATGAGCAGTATCAAGACAATCAAGCCTTTGACCCTTATTTTGAAAACAACCTATTGGGCTATAATGCTCTTTACAACTCGATTACTAATTGTATGTCTTCTTTTGATGATGATAATGATGTAGAGAGGGATTCTGATGACACTGACTCTGCCAATACCGCAGAAAAACTCATGAGTGGTCCTATTGCAGGATGCCACCCTTTTCCAAATTTGCAGATGATAGTACTCTGTGCTCTCATTGATGGTGACAACAATATGATTTCTCAATGAACTATGAAAAAGCTTTTGCTTGCCATGAATATGCTCATCAAGATTCAGGCTGAAACCGCAGGACAAGGAACATTCAAGCTTTCTAAGTTGAATGAACTCATGAATTACCAACGGAATAAAAAGAACAGGATTCCCACACTTCCTACTGTAGAAGTGAAAGATCCTAATTCGAATCTGCTGACTGTAATTGCCCAAATGATCCTGCCATTGACACACATCGAATTCCTCATGACCAACCCTAAGAAATGTGAACGTGTTTATTCTCTACCCAACCGAACTTCAGACCAAGCTACCTGTTTCCAACAAGGCAAGAAATGGAGAGAGAACGAATACTTACAACAGCCAATGTTTACCATCAGTAAGGTTGACCTCTGAGCTGGTGATGTGATAAAGATGAAGACTGCTGCACCAAACGAACGACCCTTGATTAAATCCTTTCACATGGCAAACAAATCTTTTTTTGCAAGAGCATATTGGATTGGAATCATTGACACAGTTTATTACCTGAAATCAGAAACAGTAGACGTTAAAGTTGAAGACTTGGACTGTATTGATACACTGGCAAAGAATGCAATTTTTTACTCTCGTATAACTACCTCTGTTACTGGTCTGGACAAAGAATATTATGATCTTTTCTATATACCTCACCACTTGAAGAAAGCTGTTCCTGGTGAAAGTAATGTTGGCACGTTTTATAAAGTAGTTATTGCTCCCATATATCTTTTTACAGATGACACTTCTGGCAATCGGTCGAAATAGTACAATCCATATGAAAGCTGGTCCATGTTTCTTGTGGCAATGTCTTATGCAGAGCGCTCTTCTACCAAGAATATTTGCTTCCTGTCTACTGTCCCAAAGAAGAAAGGTGTTAGTGATCTGTTTCTCCTGCCAACAATCGCCAAAAATCTTAAGAAACTTGAAGGTGGCATTCTTATATACTCTGCTAAACACAAGGAATATGTTTTGGTCATTGCTCCTTTGCTCTTTATTGAAGCCAACACTCCTTGTCACTCGGAACTCTGTGGCATACTTGGTCCTGCGACTTTGCACCCATGTTGTAAATGTTATTGCATGCTCCAAAGAAATGTTTCTTTGCAAATCAAGGAATATTATCTCAAGAAACATACACCAAGAACTTGGGAACATTATGTGATGGCTAATTCTACTAACAAACGTAATATAATTATGCCTGATGTTTTAGGAACTAATAAGCCTGTGACTGCAAGGGCACTTAGTTTTATTAACTATTCTACAGGATGCTTGCTTGAATTGAAAGTGTTTGACCCAGCAAAGGACACACCGGCCGAGATTCTTTATACGATTTTGCTTGGTATTGCGAAATACTTGATGAATGAATTAGTGAAGGAAATTCTCAAGATGAACCCTGAAAAACTGGAGAGATTGGCCAATAGTCTGAAGGAACATGATATCTCGACTGGACTTTCTTGCAAGTTTAACTGACTCTTAAGACACTCTGGATCTTTTCTTGGCCAAGACTTTAAGGTGCTACTGCAGATTCTTCCTGTTGCTCTACTCAGAGACTTTTCCAATGATCAGGTAATTGGAACAATTTTGCCTTGCTTTGCTGAACTTGGTCGTCTATGTTCATTAGTATTTGTTAGACAGGTTGAATCCGGATTTGAAGAATATCTTGCCCAGGTTGACAGTGCTGTGAACGCATTGACAAGACAAATGTGGATAACCCGAAGCACATGTCTTTATGTAACAAGCCAAAAGCCCACAACATGATCCATTTGATGGAAGATATTAGACGATTTGGACCTGCCCTCAACTTTGAAACAGAAAAAGGCGAATAGTTTAACAAACATATTCATGAGCATCTGATTCACACCAATTGACTAAACACCTCAAGAGATGTCTACCTCAAATTCGCAAAGCAGACAATCATGCAACACATTTTCAACAACAGCTCCTGAGTTAACAACAATAGACAGCATGAGTACCCTGGAAGTGAAATTGCAGAATGTATCAAGCACAATGATGATACAGCTTTCTGGCACTTATTCCTTGGTGGATCACGCAATTTTGCAGACAACAATGATACCAATGACGTTACAACTTTAAAGGACAATTCCTTTGCTGCTTTTGTTATCAAGAACAGCATTGGCATGACTCCCAGCATTAGACTGATCTCTGGTTCAATGGTGACTTTTCTTTGGCCCACTGCTCGCACGAGTGAGGAGATAAAAAATAACTACCTTAAAGTAGAAATGACAAGTGATCATATGTCTCTTGATTCTCTCAAGCCTCTGTATAAAATTGATTTAATGAAAGTTAATGATACAACTTACATGGTTAACTTAAGTAAATTTGGCTCATATTGGTTTTATCTGCAACATGGATTAGCATAGATTTTCTTATTATTTTTTAGTATAATTTAGTATAGCTAATAAAAGTTTTACATTTTTTCTAAAAATCACAGTTTTTTTTTCAAATTTTTGCCAAGTCATTTCTTTGTTACTCCAAACAACTCCCAAATTCTCTTAATAAACATTTCGTCTTACTTCAACTCATTTTCCGCTTCATTGAACTTTATTTTCTTCTTTATTTGGATGTTTTTTTTTTAATTCGCAATATTACACAAAAGAAAATTTTTGACACCAATCATATTGCTTAAGTACAATAAGTAACCTTATTTAGTTTCTAATATCTGTGGTGGTGAATGACTAGAATTTTAACAAAAACAGTAGTCGTTTACTTAAAGTCTAGGACTATACAGGCGTTCACATCTACTGAGGTATCTCCTAAATATGGAAATGTTTTGTCAAACCCAAATTTTCTATTGGCTTAGAGTATAAATTGAGATTAAACATGAAATGTGGTATTTCAGATATAAAACAATAGAAAAATAAAATATTTGATTATAGAGACGTATAGAAATACTTTGAGACTATATATCAGTTATCTTTATTCATAAATAAAAATTGTCCCTTTTTATAAGAAAACACAATCTGCTCTTGTCATTACGTCTTAGTTTCTTAAGGCTTTCTTCCTTTACTATATTTGGTTATTAGAGTGTATTTACTGCTTAACTAGTGTTGGTGTTACAATTATGATATCAAGTTATAAATCGTACTTCTTTAGCTCTTAACTATTCTTTTCTCCTTTATACTAGAGCTTTAGGACTTCCTACTAAATTAGCTCCATATCGATCTGACACAGTTTACCCAGCAGTATAATATAATTATCTTAACAATATTTAAGATATTATCTAAAGTACTAACTGTTATAATTATTGGACTGATTACTTAATCGTTTATATATATTTTATACTGACAAGATGATAGCTACTATGCTATCCCAATATGAATATGTTCTTATACGTGATAAATTCAACATCCGAGTGTCTGGATCATCACATTTCTTGCTAATATTGTGCTTCTGACATTCAGGGCAAGAACGAATAATCTCTTTAGTCTCTTCATATATACTAGTCTAGTGTAAGCCTTGTGAATGAAGATCATTCACTATAGCTTGACTTCCAAAGTAACCAAACGAATGTATTTATTTTAGTAAGTCATTATGCTTTTTTTCAGGAGGTAACATGTAGTTGGACAACTCTGAAGCATTTTCGACGAGTTGCATTGCAAGTACATTTAGCACTCTGTCTTTACTATATTTTTTCTTTTGAACAATAACTCTGTTTTTAGCTTATAAGTTATTTGTTCTGATTTTTCTCAATCCATCATTTTTCACCAGTATGTCACTATCCTCTAGAGAATACAAGCGGCTTAGCAAATCAGATAGTTTGTTCAACAAACCAGGAATATGAACCACCTTAAAATCAAAGTCAAGGAGTGTCTCAATCCAGCCAATCATCATCAGATTAGTGATTTTTTGAGTGTGAAGATAAATGAGTGCTCGATGATCAGTAAAAATTGTGAACTGTCGGCCCCACAGAAATGGACAGAATTTTTCAAGCGCCAAAACGACTGCATATAATTCTCTTTTAGTTGTGCTCCATCGTTGCTGCGATGGGCTTAAGGAAGTTGATACAAAGCTGATATATTTATCATGCCCTTGTTCATCTCGCTGAAACAATAAGCAAGCTGCTCCATAAAGGGATGCATCTGTGGCCACATACATTTCACGTGACATATCTGCGTAATGAAGAATTAAATCTTGATGCAATGTCTTTTAGTGCTTTAAAGCTTTTCGTCTGCTCATCTGTCCATTGACCAGACACATTCTTGGCATGACTCAAACGTGAAATAGGCTCAGCTACCTTCGAAATCATAGGAATATAATCTTTGAAGTAATTGATCAAACCCATGAATTGCTGAATCTGTTTCGCAGTTGTAGGAATAGGCCATTTGTCAACATTTGTTAACTTTCACTTATCAACCTTGGTGCCTGTCTCATTGACGACAAAACCAAGCAATCTCACTGAATGTTGAAACCAGACACACTTTTCCGAGTTCAGAATCAACTTCACGGATGACAATTTTTCAATAACTAATTTTACATCTTTGACATGCTATTCAAATGTTTCACTGACAACAATATAATCATCAACAAAATTTTGTACACAGTTAATCTTATCAAATAAAGTAGCCATGACATGTTGAAACTGTGAAGTAAGCATCTTCAAGTCAAAACAGTCTTTAATAAAGCTATACTGTTGCCCATCTAAGTGAGTGAATGTCAGTTTATGTACATTCTCAGATGCAACTTTGAAACGATGATACACATTGGATAAGTCGAGTGTGGTAAAGAATTTCTTTCTATTTAAGTTTTGAAATATTATTTGAATTTTTGGAATTGGAAAATTGAATGTGGAAGGTAAGATCTAATTTAACAATCACACATCTAAACACACTCTATGACTAACAATCTCACCAGCTTTGTTTCTCTTTAGAACAAGTAACATTGGACTGTTGACAAAAGTATTAGTCTTGGACTTGACAATAGTTCTTGTCTCAAGTCATTCTTTTACTTGTTTGTCAAGTATTGGTCTTAGAGCGTGCTGTATAAAATACTGCTGTCTGTAAGCTGTAGCGTCTTTCTTAGTAGGTAAATGAGTAATAAATTCTGATACAAAACAATATGACTCAATGGGAATATTTTTATTTTCCTCCAGTAATGCTTTAATAGAGCTCACACTACGGGAAAAAAGGGGCATTTTTTGTAATTGTGACTTCGTTTTTGGCCTATAATAATTAAAAAATCATCAAAAAATCAAAATGAAACAAAAAACTCTCTATTTTTTGAATAGCTGACAAAAAGTAAATTGACTACCTAGAATTAAATCTCAGAAGAGATAAACATTCATTTTGATTATAGATTTTACATTTTTAGCAAGTGTAGCTTGCAATTGATAGCTATTAAAAGTCAGAAGTAAAAAGAGAGGAAAATATCTAAACTTTTTGCAGAGGACAAAATATATTAAGACAATTTGAAAAAAAATATATTACAAAAAAAACACAAATTATATGTCTCTGTATTGACCAAGATTCAGTTTTTGCCCACGGTTTAGTTCCAGCCAGACAATATATTTTGTTGTTGTTGTTTTTGTTATGCTGCTTGTTGCATCTGAAACTACCAGACCAACCAACTTCTTGACATCTACCAGGTGGACTACCTTTGGCTTCATTTGTCCATTTTTTGCCACTGGCACACCATTGTATTCTTCAACAGAATAAACCTGCACTAAGGCAAGTAGCCATCTTTTTCCAGAATTCTCATGCTCAAAAAAGAGAACAACCTTACCAAAAAAAATCCTTGATGATAGGAGTATACCTCTGATGTACATTATGAAACAGGTCAACCTGGACCTGTAGACAAACGTGATGGGCCTCTCTTAGTGGGGTTTGGGCGAATGAAGAGTCAATCACACAGTCATTAACAAAAGCCTTGCGGCTTGTTGTTATGACCAGTTTAATCCTGCTACATTCAACTCCCTTCGATTCATAGAAAGCTTGAATCAGAATCGGAAGGCAAGAGATGCCTTTGAAACTTTCATCAATCAATCTACATCTCAAAGACCCCCAGAACTCAATGTCTGATTTGGCACCAACATGCTCACCTCCCTCTGTCAATGGCCAACCAGCTGAGGAGTCGTTATAAGAGAGTACCCGGGACTTTGGCTGTTCTGTGTTCTGTTTTGCCAAGCTTCTAATTTACCTCGTCCATGTCAAGCCAAGCATTATATTGTCAGCATTGGTTCCTATTGCCAACTTACTCTTTATTGCTTTTGAGTATTCCCTGATAGCTCTCTCTACACATCTTGTACTGTATTCTCTTGGAGGCCCATACTCTATTATCATTGCTGGATAATGTTGGAGAAGGTGTTGGCTGATGGTGAAGATAGTAATATCAATGTCTCCATTGGCAAACAAGGTTTCCAGGTAAGTGTTCCAAGCAATGATGTTTCTAAAAAAAAAGAGAAGCTAAGTTAGTATATGTGATAAAATAACTATATCAGCTACTATTAAAGCTTACTTTCTAATTGAGGTTTGCTCCTCTGCTGATAACTCCCAGCTCATGAGTAGGCTGCACGCCTTCACTAAGCCAAGCAGTGCATTCCAGGCAACTTGGTCGTGAACACGCTCTGCCACCAGCGTAGGAACAACGAACAAGAAAAAATCGGCCCAGTCTACAGCCCTAAAGTATCCAGACCTTGTTGACACATTGATTCATGCACCATGAAATGAAGTGGGGATTGTGCTTCTTGTCATTGCCATGGCAGCACCAATTTCCCTTTGTGCAGCAAGAGAAAGGACCAGAGAATTCTTCTCTCCATATTTACTACAAACGAGTCCTCAGACCTGCTTTGCAATACCATGGCATAAGCCATGCATCTCATCCAATGCAAAAAACAGTGGACTAGAAAAGGAAGAGAGTTTGGCAAGAGACGATTATCTATTTAACCCGGTCCTGTCAGACGAACTTGCTTCATCATAGTTTTGGAAACTTTCCTTCGTGCAGATGGTAGTTGCAAGGGAGGTGCAGAAGTACTGGCCACGCCCGGGTGTCTGCCCAACAATGTTACAAATTCTGCAACCAGACTTACTCATGTGTCCAACATGGCAGGCCAACTTTGCCAAGGCTGGGATGTCACCCGTGGTCATCAAGACGTGTACCTTTGCTCAAATTGTCTTGGTTGGTGTCTTAACCACCATTCCTGCATACTGCAACACAAAAAGATCATTAATTATTGGCTTCATATATGACCAGAAGTCAGCAGCTGCGCCTGGTCCAGGGATCATTGCAATCTAGATCATACGACTGCGTTCGTAATGGATCATTAGCAAAAGGTTCAAGATTGTAGCATGAACAATTGTCACAGAACCAGGGGTGTTGTGAGGTGCAAAACCATCAACTGACAATGAGATTGCTATGTCATTCTCCCCAGAAAAAATATGCTTCATCTGCTGATATGCCTGCCCATCAAAGACATTGGACACAGTACTATCTTGGCTTGGTTGGTGGAGGTGACAGTATTGCATATCTGCTTTTGTGGTTTCGTTTGTCAGAGCAAGAGCAAGCTGATCAGCCAAAGGTAATTGTACCATTGTCATGACTGGAACCAGTTTGTTGGCATGGTCTTGATTGTTACTGTCCTCTTTGTATCTGGCCTCACCTCAGTTAGAACATGCGGTGATGTTTGTCTCGTTGAACAGCATGCATCCCTTATGACAAATGTCATACTTCTTTTCCTCAATGCTTGAGAAACGCTTCAAGAGTTCACTGGCGTAATATGGTGTCGATGCTCTGTAAGTGAGACCATCGAGGTCAGTGTTATTGTTACTACTAGTGCTTTAAACGTTAATTGTGTTTGAAGTATTAATATTGTTAATATATAGCTTGTCTTTTTTATCATTTGTTTTTCTCAAACTCACTTAATTATCAAGCTAGGGACTGCAACTGAAGCAGGCTGGCTAGATATCAAAAATGAAGTGACTTCAGGTACTTCTTCATTGTTCATATTTTCCAGTTGATTTTTCAGGTATAGATTTCGGCAAAACTTAGCCTTTTGTCTACTACTACAAGGTTTTTTGCAAGAATGGCATTTATAGGAGAGGGTTTTTTTAATTGATGGCATTTTTAAATAGCTAAATTGAGTAACTTTGGTAAGAGTGAAGACAATTATTTTCTCAATACGCGTCTTTAAACTTAATCCATTGAAGGCAACAATGATATAGACAATTCGAATTCCTTCAAGAGACTCAAAAGGCGTAACAACACGTGGTATGTAGTTATTGCAGCTATTATAATAATAACAATAAACCCCATTAAACCAATAGAATTTCCGAAATAAATCTGATAGCAATCAGAAAAAAATTTTCTTTCTCTTTTCCTTTTTTTCATCACAAACCTATATTTCTGATTTTTTTAACATCATGAACAATACTGATTATACAGTTATCCAAGTACTTCAGGGTATGCAAGAAACACTTTGGGGTGTGCAAGAAACACTTCTTGTTTTGCAAAAAGGACAAGAAGCACTCCAAAAGAAACAAGTACTGCTCAGACTCAAGATTGCCAATATTTGTAAAGACATGAATGGTCGAGAAAGCCCAGAGCCAACAACAGTCCATAATGTAAGAAATAATAAAACGAAGTAAAGTATACAACCTAATATAAAATCACACAGAATCTTAGTGGGGCAATTCCAAGACCTGTACCAAATATCAAAGATATAACACTGGTACACATCTACAGAATGATGAGCCATGATCTTGAAGTTGAACTGGATAAGGAAAACAAGGCAATTATCAATACTTGTACACGTCTTGTCTGCAATGAACTGGCCTCCATTCCTTCTGTGCAAGCTCTAGGACCAAATCCAAACTGGAGTGCAATCTCTCAAGAAGACAAGAACTTGGCGTGCACCAGACACACGTGTCTACTCAGAAACAATGGTATAGACTTTACCAGATGCCACAAGAACTGGGTGTCTGTCACAAAAGTCAGCCAATTATAGAAAAACTGTAAGAAGCAACAATAGATTGTAAGTCTGTGTCTGGTAGATACTATAGCATAGTATATCAATTATCAATAAAATATGTAGTGAATAAAATGATATCTAGCCAGTATAATTTATATGTAATAAACTATTCTTTGTTATAACTACTAATAAAACATTTTTTATAAGATTTACTTCTATTACAACAACCAATAAAACATTTTTTATAAGATTTACTTCTGTTACAACAACCAATAAAATACTCTTTTATAAGAACCTTCATTGAAAAATATTTTTTTGAACCAATTAAAATAATTAATAATCTAAGCTCTGTAAAAATAAAACCCAATTAAGTGGATATTATTTGCAAAGTGGCCAATGATTGTAGATATAAGATTAAGCTAAAAATTATAACACCCAATAAAAGTGAATTTTAAACCAAAGCTTATATATATATGTATCAATAAAAAGTCAAGTATAAGTTTCAAAAATGTGTATCGGTAAATGAATAAAACCTTACATCTGTTGAAGGGGGGAGTTATACAGTAATCCATAAAAGGTAGGAGAGGAAAAAGTGGGTAAGTTCATTTCACCCTCCTGAGCAGCCCTCTGGGTGGCTCCCCAGGGAACCTACAGGGGCACCTCTTTTTTTCCCATAGTGTCACAAATTCTGCTCATTGCTGTGCTGTGCTAGCTGACAAATTATTAGGTTCAAACTTTTTCTCTTTATCAATATTTAGATTTTTATAAATGGCAGCATAGTCTTTTGCATTATCTGAATAGACATATTTTCTTTTGCTATCATATGCAACATTAATTAATACAATATTCATCTTTGCCAAAATATCTCTTCCAAAGAGAATATCAAAATTAAAACTCAGATTAAACTCTAATATCTCTGATGCATCACTATGAATGAAATTGGTGTGACTGTCACTAATAGTAGTGGATATGTCACTAATTTATTTTAATTAACCAATCAAATTGGTTCTAGAGTTTGATAAAAATATTAAAAAAAGGTGAAAAAGATAAAGTTGTATTTAAGAGCAAAATAACATAATAGAAATGTCTTTTTTTTACATTTATATCATATAGAGAGTATAGCAATTTGATTTATTTATTTTTTATTTGAAATCGTAAAACTTTTTTTTTATCTCATTGCCAAGATTGTTGTATTTTGACAATACCACTAATCAATGTAGCAGACCAACTATCTTTCCCACTAATTTACCAAAAGTGCGCAATTTAAATTGATTTTTTTTATATATTATTTTGCTTAAATTTTTACTTTGCATTTATTTTTTTCCTTTCATCATACACTGACCCATATTTAATTTAAGTATTTTTTAAAATCCCAATTTTTTTCAATGAAAATATACAACTTCTTTATATCTTTTTATTATTTTAACGTATAGCTAGAGCTCTGAAATAATTATGAGTAATATATATTAGCTATGTGAATAGGTGTATGTAATTTATTAGAAAGTTTAATAGTAAGTATGGAATCCATTATTTTTTCTAAGTTCTTTGATTCGATTTGGCATTGACATGCAATGTGCTTTCACTACTTTCTTTAGTATTTTTTCCATTCTTCTTGAAGAGCTCTGGCCAACGAGTGTGAATTTGTTGGCTTTACCCTTCTAGCTCTCAGCTGGCGTTCCAAGTGTGCCCAAATGTTTTCTATTGGGCTCAGATCAGGGCTGTTTGCTGGCCATGTCATCACTGGCAGATTCACCTCTTCTTTGTATTCTTTTGCCAAAATACCTTTATGGCAGGGTGCATTATCTTCTTGGAAAATGAACTTGCCATCTTTCCTTTGCTTAAGACATCGAAACCAGGACATAAAATGAAGTGGTAAGAGTCTTATGTATCTCGTCTGATTTAGCATGCCATCGACAATTACAAGTTTTCCCACTCCACCAGCCCAAATGCACCCCCAGACCATCACTAAGCCTCCTCCGCCTTTTACTCTTGGACGTACATAGCCTCTTCTATATTTCTGTGCTGGAGTGCACCAAACACGCACATTTCCTGCCCTTAAATAGACCATGAATCTGGACTCATCACTCCAGATTACCCAATTCTACTGTTGATTGCAACAATGAGCATCTCTTGCAAACTTTAAACTGTTTTTTATGTGCCTTTCCTTTAGCAAAGGCTTCTTTGCAGCAACACAAGAGCATAAACCAATCTTTTTTAAGGAATTACAAACAGCATCCCTCTTGATGGGTACATCTGAAGATTCCTGAATTTCAGCTGTAATCACGTCAAATGTTACAGTTGGGTCATTGCGCGCAATTTTTCTCAGAGCTCTCAAATCACAATCATTCAAGAGAACAGATCTCCCTTCACGTTTTTTGGTAAGGGCAGTACCCGTTTTCCTCACTCTCTCAATGGTTGTTATCACTGTCATGTAGGGTAGCTCATACTTGCGCGCAATCTTAGCCATGGGAATTCCAAAGTCATAAGCACCCACAATCTTGCCTTTTCTGTAATCTGAAAGTTTGAGACTCTTTTTATGAGATTGTTTAATGATTTTAGGAGACATGAGAAGATTTGATTGAGAAAAAGAATGAAAAAATAAATAAAAACAACAATGGGTGCTTTTTCTCAAAATTTTCTTTTTGGTAATATACATAAACTTATTCAAGGTCAGTGCAAATAAACATTATCTTGAAGTTATTTTTTAAGATGATGGTAAATCTCTATAGCTATTTTATATATCTAATTTATATGACTTGCTCTCTATTTTATTTTTATCTGTTTTAATTTGCTAAAATAAAAGTATATTTTAATTATTGAAAAAACAAAAAGATATTTTTTATTGCTTGTGAAAGGAGTAAGGCATATTCCTGTTACAATTATAGAGGCTCGTGTTGACTTTATCCTAATAAGAACAAATAAGATACCAAGTATAACTGCAAGGATAAATGCACTGATCAACTATCTGTGAAAAAAGAAACAGAAGACAGATATCAGCGTATTCTTAGAAGAACAAAAGCTCATTCAACAGCAGTTTCACATGTATACAAGGCAATGCCAACATATTATGCATGATGACGGTATTGTAGAGATGAACTGAGGAAGATTGAGTAGTCAACAAAAGTTTTACTACTCCTTGAGACTCAAGGAGTTAATTTTGAAATATCTATTTGCTTTACACAAATTCAGAGGTCAATGAGTTGCTGTTCTTCTTCTTCAAGAAGTGATGAAGACTGACCACCAAACAAAGAAGTGACAAATCATACATATTAAATTTAGTATCATGCAAGATATTTCATTAATACTTTTCGTTATTAAAAAATATGCTGACAAAGTTAAGCAGAGAAGTTCAAGAAGAACAGTTGAGGTATGTATAGATTGTTCAAATGTAAAACTTAATACACTGACTAAATTATATTTTTAAAAGTAGCCTTGATGAGACAGAAAGTAGTGTGACAGTCTCATCACCAAGAAGAAATATGCGGAGCCATCGAATTTAATTTTTTTGAACTCCCTGTTATTTCTATCTTTCAAAACAACAACAAAAATTCTCTTTACAATCTCTCTTTTTTTAATCAATGACAAATTGACTCATTTCCTCTACTTTTTTCTATTACTTTTTTGGTAATCACATTCAAACAACATGTACCACTCAAAATTCAAGACACTTTCGATATAAAATTATCACAATTGTTTTTTGATTTTTAAAAAAGACTAATGCAACTAGAAAAATACATTTTTTTGCAGTTTTTTTTTCAAGCAGCTACTATATAATACACTCTCAACTTCCTTTCACAAAATACAGCCAGTGTAAGTTATAGTCTTATTAAAGTGATATTTTATAGGGTATGCTAAATAATCTGGCTAGCTATCAATGAGTAGGTGCATCTAGTTACTTGTTGCTTGTGCTGCAGCATGGTAGCTACCAGACAATCTTTGAATACAAACAAATTATAAGGGTAAGCTTACTAGACTATGTGTTTTTACTTTGTATATTAACTTGTTTTTGTAGACTTTGTCTTAAATCACAATTACTTGATGCTGTTAATGAATATACTTGAGGTAATTACAAAAAAATACTTTTAAGTATATATATTCACAGTATTCTTTACTTTAGCTTTACACAACACTGGAATAGAATTGCTTGAACATTCTTTTAATAGAGAAGCATCAACAATTATAATTAATAAAGAAGAGTTCTGCCATTTATAGCTGATATATCTAAAGATATGTATTACTTGCATAAGTAATATATGAGCTAGTATATGTGCAAAATATATTGCTAGTATTATTATTAAGCTTGTACACAGATGTACATCATTATATGCCATGTGAAAGACATAGTATATCATATATTATATTATATACTCCAACAAAAGAATGTTTGGACCTCTCCCAAAAATCGCAAGAAAAAGTGATATTTTTTAAAGTTAAAATCTTAATTTCTCTTTATTCTACTAATCAAACCCACAATGGAAATCTCATCTTCATCAAAAACCAAGCATGGTTCTTATTATAAAGCTGATGACTTGAAATATGATGGCATCATATACTTGCATTTGACTGAAATCAGTTCAACCAAGATCTCAGCCATAGTTCAGATAAAGCTGTCAACTGTGAAGAAGATTATTAAGAGATTCCAGAAGGCAGGCTCACCCTTGTCTGGAAAGAGCTCTGGCCGATCTAAAATAGTAAACAAGAGGACAGAAAGGCACCTTGTGCAGATTGTTTGTACGGACCCATTCGCCAACTATGATCAGCTGAGGTTGGCATTGAGAGAGATAGAGATTTTTGTCTGCAGAGCTACAGTAATCAGCTCCCTCAGGAATCTTGGCTTTGGTTCTTATATTGCAGCTCATAAGCCAGCTTTGACAGAAAGACACAAGAAGACATGATTGCAATGGGCGAAGGATCATGTCAATTGGACAGATGACTAATAGAGTAGCATAGTTTGGTCTGATGAGTCTAGATTCACAGTTGAGAGTAACAATGGATGTGCTAGAGTGATTAGAAAAGTTAACAAAAGGTATTCAGAAGATCATATTATTCAAGGAACGAAGTTGGCGTAAAGTTAGTGTCATGATCTGAAGCTGTTTCTGGACTGGTGGTTTTGGACCCTTGGCATTACTTGAAGGCAATGTAAACCAAGAAGTATATGTCGACACTCTGTCTCAGAAATTTGTATCTTGGGTTAAAAATCTGTCAGAGAAATATCAGAAGGACTTCAAGCTCCAAGAAAATGGTACTAGCTGCCATACTGGGGCCTATGCAGAGTGGTGGAAAGAGACCTATAAAATTAAAAACTTTGAGTACTGGCCTGCTCAAAGTCCAGATCTAAATCTAATAGAGCATGTTTGGTGGGCTCTTGAGATCAAATTGAGTAAAGTACGAGCCAGCATACTAAATGTCAATGAGTTGAAGATTGCAATTCAATGAGAGTGGGAGAACATAGACCTCAAACTTGCTTCACAGTTGGTGGGAAGTATGTCCTCCCAATGCCAGGCAGTAATTGACGCCAAAGGTGGTCATACTCACTATTTAACCTTTTTTTTTGACAATTCGATAATAAACATGTATATATTTTTGTATTCGAAGTTTGAAGCTCTTAACTATACTCATTGACGAGTGGTTGCATGTTGAATATAAATCATATTTTTTGGCATGAGAAATTTACTCACAGAGGTCCAAACATTCTTTTGGGGAGTGTATAGTCCATTGTATAGTCTATAGTATAATACACCATATAGTACATAGTATAGTATATCATATAGTATATTGTACAGCCTATTGTATATTTCTATTATATATTTCCATTGTATATTCTACTGCGCAGCAAGTGTATGAATAAAAATAAAATCTACTAATTTTGCCACCAATTTTTCCATATATGAATTTATTACCAAGCTTTTATTACCAATTTTTCTATATATGGGTTTACTACTATGCTTTTACTACCAATCTGTTTGAAACTAAGTCAATCAAGCATGCTGTCTTACTATTCAGTAAATTAGTGGCAATACCTCTATGAGTAATGGCAAGCATAGCTCATTTATCACCAATTTCTTCTGCTTTAGCATAATGTGACTAGCCACCAGATTTCATGCAAATTAGTAGTATTACCACACCAATTTTACTCATAGTGCATGCTTAAATGTAATGTTATTTATATATTTAAAATTTAATGGATCAGTTTTTCTTAATCTCTTTGTACTACTATTCTTAGACAGAAAATTAAAGGACCCAATTGAAGAATTTATTTTTGCTATTTGTAAATTATTATTTAAACATTTCAAATTTATAAATGTGAGAGAACTGCCTGTATGGATCATCCCAATTAACTTCTGATTCTCTATTACGATTAGAGTTACAAGATTAAACGCATCATTAGCTTTAATTCTTCTCAACTCTGTCAAGTAGATATTTACATTCCAATGATATTTCCTCCATGTCTTCATCAATTCTGTTCTGAATCGTCTTGAGCGTCTGCTCAAACTTATCCTTTGCAGAAGACTGAGATACCATGAGAATTGGCTCATTGTTTTTGCTCTTGCAGACATGACCATGGTAGTAGTTTTCATTATAATGTCAGCAGAGATTGCAACTGTTGGAACTACTGGATTTGTTTTTGCAGTTGATCAAGATAAAACACTAGCTGGACTCATGGGTAGGATTCTTTTCATGGTGTGAGCAGAATAATATCTTCTTATGCTTGGTTATCTTGTTGGAGTGGTGAAGCTTCTTTCTGGAATGTTCCTCATTATTCTTCTCAGGTTGCCCACAGGAACTAAGAATCAATTGGGTCGTCTTAGAATAGACTCTGTTATTATCTGCAAGAATGTATCTACTAATCTGCGTGACCTGCTCTACAGTCCAATCACGTTTGGACTCCCCATTGTAACCAGAGTGGGCCATGATAACTCTTACCAGTGTTTGCACTGATAAGATCAGCAAGGCAAGAAAGCGATTAGCAATGTAAGCATTGTCTTTGGGTAAACCAGCATTGTAAACTGCACAGGGAAACTTCTTCAAGTAATCGCCAATGGACTCAGTGTTTTTCATCATCATTGTAAAGACCTGGTTTGTAAATTGTCGAGACACCAAGCTGGAACCATGTCTTTTGTTGAAGCATGATTTTGCTGCCTTTCCATCAATACACTTTTTAAAATCCATCTCTACCCATCCATCATCAGTGTAAGACAGACAAAGTGGCAAGAAATTCTTCTAAATTCTCTTGATGTCCAAGGAAGAAGACTTGATTACATTCTTGAGGGTACGTAGAAAATGTCCAACTGATTCAAATACCTCTTCATTTGAAAAGGGCTTAATAGTACTAGAGGCCAATTGAAATTTGGGAAGATCTCTTCTGCTGAGTGTCAACTCTTCTTCACGGTCAGCTCTCTCTGTGTTTGTATTAGGAGAGGCAAGCATCACACTGCACTTTTCAAGGTTAGTGACTGCCAATCTTGTGTGCTCACTCCTGCAGAGTGCATCTCAGCTGCTTGCTCATTGTTTGCTACATGAGCAGTACTGAAGACCTCGATGCAGTTGCTACTTCTCTACCAATGGAAGGAGAATCAGAACCAGAAATGAAACCAAAACCAGAGGCAGCGTCCGGAAAGAAAATGGGCTCACTCAAGTCAGAGAATAGTTCATCCGCAGACATGGGGGATAAGGTAGCCTTCTCAGGAATAGGGGTCAAATCAGCAGGAGAGTTCATTGTATTTCACAAAAAAAAATGTTGTGGGGAGAAATAAAACAAATACAATATAGACAAAAGAATTTGGGGAGAACTTGCGTAGGTTGTTTATTTCAAAAGAAAAGTAAATAATAATTAAATTTGATTGTTTTTTTACATGGAACTATCTACTGATATTTATATATTTTTCTAATTTGTAATTCAGTATGTACTTAAGTAATCCTTATCATGATGAGTCACCTTCCAAGAGTATTGTTCTTCTGGAAAGATCTGCAAAAACCAATTGATACGATACTTCCCCAGTCAGATCAGTCCAAGAGTTTTGATAAAGAAGAGCAATTATGATATTGATAATATTTTAGTATTCTTACCCAGATACTTGGGTAATGTTTCATAATATTAAATAGTTGTAGTTGTAGTATCTCAATTAAGTATTTGTATAATAAAAAAATATAATAATGCCATATATATAATGTATATATATTTGTATATCTCATATCATGTTGATAATAATAAATAATCAATTATATGTACAATGATCTGTGTATTAGATAATATCATAAAGGCAGATTCATTTGACTGGAATAGCTGAGGATATTATTTTATCCTTCAGTCTTACTCTCAGATTCAGCAGTAATCAATACTCATTTACAACAGTAAGATTCCTTTTTTTCAGCCAATGATATTTATTTCGGAGTTTTTCATACAGTTGTATAATGTATCATGTTACATAAACAATTCTAAGTTACCATTTATAGAATTGGAGTTTGCAATTTAAAAAATGTCCTCTTTTCAAAAATTGTCTATTATAAAAAAGATGCATCCTACTAGTACTCACTTGAACAAAAAATTAATAGAAATAAAAAGGGCGTGAAAGGAAAATAGTAGCCTTTCACACTACAACAAGAAAAAGGGTCACTATTGGGGTTACTTTAGAGGCTTTTTTTTGTTTGGACCCCTGTTTTGACCCTTTACTTTTATGGAGCAAAATGTATCTCCGCTCTCTTAAGTATGTAGAGTTTTATTTACATACTGATAAACTTTTTGATAGGTTACAGTTGTCTTTTTATTGGTACTTATATATGAGAGCATTTTTAGACTTCACTTTGATTGGGCATTATGCTTCATCCAAAGTATATGCTTTTAATTTATTGGTCATTTAACTAACTCTATTTCCATAATTGGCTCTTATTTATATATATTTTTATTTATCCGTAGTTTTAATTGGGTCATAAACATATTTGTATCAATAAATATTATAAAAAAGAATTTTATTGGTTTTCATAACAAAAACAGTTCATCATATATAAATTTTACTGGCTAGATATTATTTTATTTATTATATACTTTGATAAAATGTACTATTCTATAGTATGTACCAGATATACTTACAAGCTACTGTTGCCTTTTATGGTTTCTTCATAATTGACTAGATTTAACAAAAATAACCAGTGCTTACAACATCTGATAAAGTCTATCCCACTTTGATTGAATAGGCACGCATGTTTGATATACATCAAGTCCTTGTCTTCTTGAAAGAAAAATATCCAATTTGAATTTGATTCTATAGCTTGTAAAGAAGAAAGAATGGTCAAGTCAACAGTGTTAAGATATATATAAGTGTTAACAGTTTCTTTGTTTTTCTTGCTTAGTTAAAACCAAAGATTCTGGCTCATTATTCTAAAGTTTTGTTACAAAATTATATTTTTAATGCTAGGAATAGGTCTTAGAATTAGGGCGCCAGATATTTATATAGTTTTATATTAGTTTATATGTTTTTTTTATTTCCATGTTCCTTACATCTTAGCATAAGATTTTTTTAACATGCTTGTTCATTTATGTCATTAAGTATTTTGACAATCTCCAGTTATAAGATTGTTTGTTTCTTTTGAAGTGCTTTGTAATCTCTCTGAAAAGCAAGAAGTATATCTTGCATACTTTGAAGCAAATGATTTACATCATCATCTGCATTATTAATAATAATAAAAAATCTAACATCAGGGTTTGTTATGAAAAAAAGAAAGAATGAAAAAAAAATCTTCAAGTCGTCATTAGCGTCATATATTTTGTACAAATGTATTGGCTACTCTTTGATATGAAATATCAATATAGTAATTTTACAATGATGACTTGAAGTTTCCTATTTTAAATTTTTAGCGTGTCTTTGAATTGTCTTAACAGATTTTATTCAAGTAACAAAAGTTTAGATATTTTCTTCTCTTTCTACTTCTGACTTTTAATAGTACTCAATTGCAATCTATATTTCCCATAAATGTAATATCTGTAGTTAAAATGAATGTCTCTCTCTACTGAGATCTAATTTTAGGTAGTCAATTTACTTTTTATCAACCGTTTCAAAAAACAGAGATTTTCTTGTTTCAACTTAGATTTTTGGTGATTTCTTGATTATTATATATCATAAATGAAGGCACAAATTGAAAAAACCGCCCCTATTTGTCGTAGTGTCACTAAAAAATGCTAAGTGCGTGACATCTGTTATTATTTTTTTTGGCAACTTAGCAATTTTTTTTATGGTTTTTTACTTAGCATTTTTTTTTACAATACAACAAATTTTACAATGTTTGCATAATCACAGTCTTTGCAAGTACTTTATTGTATATGTAGGTCAGCTATAGTACGAAGTACTGGGCACTTGACATTACAATAAATATAAGAGAGAAAAAACATAAAATAAAGGAATACAAAGCTGTTTTCAAGAAATGTCTTATTACAACAAGTTTTTTAGCTGCTAGCATTTATAAATACAAAAGTTGTTGGTCAATTCTGAATATTCTTAGCCAATAAAATCTCTCACTTTTATTTTTTGCATTTGTTTCGTCACAAAATATCTTTTTTTTTCTTTCTCTCTGTCCCAAAACTTCTTTTTTTCTTTTTTTCTGTCACAAAAGTGTTTTCTTTATTTTTCTCAGTCGCAAAAACAATATTTTTGTGCAAAATTCACCTAAAACAGTTTAGAGTCATTTTTTCTTCTGCTTTTCTTATTTTTATTTATTTATTTACAAGTAATTAGCAAATCGAAATACATATTTTTGTTTGTGCAATCGTCTGAAATTCAAGACCTCTACATATTTTCTTATTTTTGAACTTAAATCTTATTATAGCCAATTAGCACTCTTTATTTAAAATTTAGAAAAAAATTACTATAAACAGATCAAAAGTCTTTGGGTGTGATATTTATATTGAGATAGCTTAGCAGCTATCATCTTGTCAGCATAAAATATATATAAATGATAAAGGAATTAGGCCAAGAATTTTTACAGTTAGTACTGTAAATAATATCTAAAAGATTATTAAGATAATTATATCATATTGCCAGATAAAATATGTCACAGCAATATAGAACTAATTTAGTATAGTGTATTTTCTTAATAATCGCAAATTTCAAGATTTGTATCAATTTTTTATTTCAAATGGCAATATATGAAAATGGCATTAAATGTCTGCCAGTTTTTTAAAAAATTCTAAATATTGAACTTTATGCAGTCACAACTTCATATATTCACAACAAAAGATCTTTTAAACACCGGGTAATACATAATATTACTATTTTAGGGGATTGATTCTTATCGTCTGTCATTATAAATGGAAAATATAGTGTCAATATTTCTCTTTCTCTGCTATTAAATTCAAATACTGCATTTTTTCAAGACCTAAAAAGTGCTGTCGCAAATGAAAAAACTAAACACGTTTTCTGTTTACTTTGTAGAGAAACTGTTTCTTAACAAAATAAATAGAAAAGGTATTTAGTTTTGTCATTTTTGACAACACTTTTTAGGTCTTGAAAAAAACAATTAGAGTACATTTTTTTGTCAATTATAGAAAAAATACACTATAGGAAGTCATAAAGCTCTAGTGTAAAAAAGAAAAGAATAGCTAAGAGCTAAAGAAGTATGATTTATGACTTGATGTTATTATTGTAACACTGACACTAGTTAAGTAGTAAATATGTGAATGCACTGGTTAGCCTTTTCATTACACTAGTTGAGATTCAATAAGAACTAACCAGGTGTTCAATAAAGGTGTAATTATAAGGGTTTTTAAGATAGAAACAATTATATAGAATTTGAGAATCAAGGTGTAAGATGGTCTTTATTCCATATTATTTGCCTTTGCTTTTATATTGTTTCTATCCTATTTTTTATATCATTGTTTTATCATTTTCTAAGGTTTGCTAAGTCTCTTAGTTCTCTACTAATGTCTTTAGTTCTACACTAATTATCTTTATTTTTGCTGCTATGATTTTATTCTTTTGTAATTTCAAAATCCGTTGCAGTAACAAATACACTCTAATAACCAAATACAGTAAAGAAAAAAAGTCTTAAGAAACTAAGACGTAATGACAAGAGCAGATTGTGTTTTCTTATAAAAAGAGACACTTTTTATTTATAAATAAAAGATAACTTATATACAGTCTCAAAGTATTTCTATATGTCTCTATTATCAAATTTATTATTTTCTATTGTTTCTTACTTGAAATATCACACATGATAAAGAAGTATTAAAATATGTATCATCATTTTTAGACTATTCAAAATTGGGTTGAAAGATTAAATATTTCCCTTTAAAATTTAGTTTATTTATAAATAATAATTGAGTAAATTTGAATCAATTCAAAATAGGATGTGCAAAATATCAAAAATTAAAACCCCATTTGAATGATTTTTATAAATTTATTCAAAAATGAACTAGTAGTCACCCTCTCTAATATCTCTAATAAATAATATTGATTTGATGGTAACATTTTAAGATATGGATTTTGATATTAAATATCATAAATCAATATAATTTAACATCCAATTTCTCATAGGGACTGCTAATTTTTAAAAGCCTGCTAAAAAATGTCTGAGTTTTATTTGAGTCTCAAGAATCAGATACTGTCATTCTAGTTAAAAATTAAATAAACTTTCTTTTTATAAAAAAACTAATTTATAAAAATCTTTATAGAATCAAAGGTTGTGCTTATTTAGTTATATTATGCTTCTATTTTCTGAAGAAAAGACATTACTAAACGTTTAAAGTCACTGGTTATATTAAGTCTATATCTAACAGCTGCTATTGGTAAGTATAGACAATGTACTGGAAGAATGCAATCATATTTCAGAGTGGTTAAAGGCTCATTCCATAACTCAATATTTTCTGTCATCAATGGTTGGTAACTTTCTGAAGTATAACTTGTATACCACTCTATAAAAGCAAATATATAAACAACATCTTTGTTATTGATGTTCAAGATATGTTGAAAGAAATAGAGAATGTAGTCAGAGATTACTGAAATATCTTTGCCTTTACATTCAAGAAATAAGGCTTGGAAATAGGAACCAGAGGAATATTCTTGTCTAAGAAATGATATGCGTTTGATATTTCAATTCAATCGTTTACAAAGATTTGGTCTGAATGGTTGTCTGAGTAATGGGCAAAAAGATTATAACTGTTATACACGTGGCAGTAAAATTTCAGTAATTAATTATAATGTTCCTTGCACATTACAATCATCTTATCAAGCTTTATTAGAAATGTTGCTGGTGATAAAAGCTCTCATCCTGAGAATAACTTGCAAGGTTTGAAGAAAACTTAACAAACTGAGATAAATTGAAAGCACTGCTATCAGATTGCAAAGACAAATGATATTAACTGTTGGAAATGTTATGTAGGAAAGTAATAAGAAATTCATCAAGACTAGTTGAAAAGGCTCTGATATAGCTGCTGATGTATGCTCTTTCAAGAAATTGCTTTATCATTGTTGACTCAAATCTACCCTTCTGATCTGTCTCAAAGTTTTTCAGCAAACCATTATAATGCTCAAAACTAAGCAGCCAAAACGCATAAACAGGGCCAAAATCATTGATACACTTGCTAAGATGAAGATGCAAGTGCATGTTTGGAGTAATTGCTTGTTTTTTATAAAAGTCTGACATTTCGTGCAAAATTCTTGAAGATACTTATAAGCTTCTGCAGTTTCTTTAACAGTTATGAACGGTTTAGTTAGCAAATGACATGCTTTTACAAAAAGCATCCAATTGACAAGATGAATGGCAGGAATTACACATTGCCTTATTTTCTGCCGGTTCAAATTTAAAATTAACTTTTTGAGGCTTTTTTTTGTCAGAGGCTTTGCAAGTAGCTTTTTGAAAAAGTTAATTTTCTATTGGGGATTTTTTTATTCCTTCTCTTTTTCTTCTCTTCTCTTTCTCTTTTTTTTAATACAAATTAAACACTAATCTGAACATGTCCAACTTGTGGTGATCCAGACACTCGGATGTTGGATTTATCACATATAAGAACATATTCATATTGGGATAGCATAGTAGTTATCATCTTTTCAGTATAAAATATATATAAACGATTAAGTAATCAGCTCAATAATTATTACAGTTAGTACTGTAGATAATATCTTAAAGATTGTTAAGATAATTATATCATACTGCTAGATAAACTGTGTCAGATCAATATGGAGCTAATTTAGTAGGAAGTCCTAAAGCTCTAGTATAAAAGAGAAAAGAATAGCTAAGAGCTAAAGAAGTACGTTTTATGACTTGATGTCATAATTGTAACACTGACACTAGTTAAGCAGTAAATATTCTAATAACCAAATATAGTAAAGGAAGAAAGCTTTAAGAAACTAAGATGTAATAACAAGAGCAGATTGTGTTTTCTTATAAAAAGGGACACTTTTTATTTATGAATAAAGACAACTTATATACAGTCTCAAAGTATTTCTATACGTCTCTATTATCAAATATTTTATTTTTCTATTGTTTCATATCTGAAATATCACACAACCAAGTTATTTACGATATTTCAAGTATTCAAAATGTTTTAATAAACACGTCTTTGAAGAGGATTAAGATGCTTCTTTTTAAAGTAGTTGTATCTGTAAAATCTAGTAAATGGAGACGTTATCTTGACAAAATCAATACTCTTTGTTCAACAAAACGGAATAAAAAAAGATGTTTTGATTCAAAAGATTATATTTTTGGAGAAACACATCAGTGTCATTATACAGGCATATATATATCAGAGCAAGATTCATGCCCTGCACAAAAATAATCAAAGATATGTGGATGTAATAGAGCTTTGAAAATAAATCAGTTCAAAAATCTCCTACTACTGTTATGTTCTGTATGACAAGGGACCATAACAATCATGTTTCTGGAGACAGATCAGAGATTAAAACTTGGTCCTTGTCTTTTGAAGCTATTAAATTAATTGAAGATCAACTGAGAAGTGGAAACAGCTGTAGAACCACAAGAATATCTGTTCTTTGACAGATTGACAGCTGGGGTATTAGTGTTAGAAAGTCAAATTACCAAGAGATATACAATAGAATGAAGAAGGTATATTAAAAAAATAAAAGGAAGTTTGTATTTAACAGTTTTGGTAAAATAAAATAAAATAGATGACAAATTTATTGTATATGTTCAACTCTAATGAGAAGACATCTATTGCTATCTGGATGAATAAGAAACTGCCAGAAAGAAATTATTGCATTTTTATTGAAGACTTTTATGTTAACAACAATGAAAGCAATCTTTTTGTCTTTGGCTTTCAATTGTCTAGCCAAGTAAGAGTCATAAGATTAGCTACATCATTCTGTCTTGACACTACTCATGGCATATCAGTAAGAAGTGGAGAGGTCATGTACTTTTTAGTAACTCAACACATCATAACTAGAAAAGAGGTTCCTGTTGCTTACATAGTTATAAATGTCTAGACAGTAAGACTGATGAGTCAATGACTTATGCATATTTGGGAAAGAAGCTACTTCCGTCCTTTGAATATCACTATTGACTGTAGTATTCCCAAAGTTAATGCAATTACATCTGTATTTTCTTATGTTGCAATTCACTATTGTGAATTTCATATTCTTTGTGCTTGGCAAACAAACCTCAACAACAAAGTAAGAATTGATGTGTCATTTACATCAGTCCAGCTGACAGCATATAAGCAGGAGTTAAAGAACAAGCTGGAGTATATCTTGATGGAGTGAAATAAATAAGCATTTTTGACAAGAATCTTTGACTTCAAATGTGATATATCCAACCAGTTACACTTCTTGAGATACTTCGAAACACAATAGACTGAAAGCAAAGTATTGCTTAAAAGATGGAGATGCCCTTATGTCAATGACTCACGTAGAAGATATTTGACAAATAACTATATTGAGTCATGACATAACTGGCTCAAGACTATCTACTTTGTTCATGCTAGAATCAGAAGATTGAATCGTCTCTTGTTTGTTCTTACAAACAATATAAAGTATTTCTACAAACAAGAAGTAGATTGTATTCACTTAAACAATGGAAAGATGGGGCCAGTAGAAAACGAACTTGCAAAAAATGAATTTGCTGCATCTAAGATAGAAGATGACATACTCCCTTCTAAAATGATCAGTCTATTAAAGGTCTTTGCCAGCGTACTTTATGTATTACATGAAAATGCTAGGGTTGGTTTAATGGACAGATACAGATTTTTTCACTATTAATATGATAATGATGTAACAATAAAAGTACCAATTGGGTAGTCATCTGATCAAGCCTTATAATTAAACTGAACCAAAGACATATAATAAACCGAGTTGGTTCAATTCGCAGAGAGGTGATAAAGTAATACAAAGAGTAAAAGATACTAAGTTCGGCTTCTAAAATGATAAGAGCTGTTCTTGTTAACAGCTTTATGAATGCTTTCAATCCATAATTATTTTTCTCCTACAGATTCTCTTTGTTTTCTTACTAAGATAAAATAAAAAATGAGTCACTCATGCTTGAGTCTATAGGAACCAATATTTCTAAAAAATATAGAACTCTAGGAACCTCTTCATGATGACATTTGTAGTCATTTATACATTTTCTACTTTTCCAGAACTAGTGAGATGGTATATTAGTATTAAAGTATTTATTACTAAAATGACATACAAAGAAGTCTTTAAATTATTTTATACTAATAGTCAGTATGTCTCCAGTTATTTTAGAAGCCAAATTTGGTATCTTTTACTTTTTTTATTACTTTATCACCTCTCTGCAAATTGAGCCAACTCGGTTTATTATATGTCTTTGGTTCAGTTTAATTATAAGGCTTGATCAGATGACTACCCAATTGGTACTTTTATTGTTATATCATTACCATATTAATAGTGAAAAAATCTATATCTGTTCATTAAACCAACCCTAGCATTTTCACGTAATACACAGAGTATACTGGCAAACATCTTAAATGTGATTAATACTAGTATGAATGACTCTGATGGTGAGTAGCAAATGATGTCTTTTACAAATGATATAATATGATATTTTATCACTGATATAAATTATTTAATCAAATGTTGTTTGTGTCCCAGATACATCTCTTGACAAGTGCTTTGCAAACATGTATTTCTTCCCAAAAGATACTATAAGATTAATGTCTTATATATAATTCAAAGAGATATCAATCACTTGATAATGCATAGACCAGCAGTGTTAGTCAAAGAAGAAGAAGAAGTTGTGCTTGTTGACAAATAAGACAGTAGAGAAGATGTTGTAAGTGCTCAAAATGATATTAGTAAGTCTATTACAGATCTTATTACCCACACCACTTTATTTCATTACCAAAGACTAGATCTTGAACACATGCAAACAATTTTCTAATATTGATATGTCTGAGATAAATGATATGACTTGTTGTTTTAAAGAATTGTTAGATAGAATAGATAATATCAAAGATATGAATACTCAACGTCAATAAAAAAAACATTACACATGAATTATTTTGTATTTTGTAAAGAAGTGTTTTTTTTTTCATAAACAATCACTGTTATTTTAAAAAAAAAAAAAAAAAACAAAAGAAAAAGTGGTCACTTGTTCCCTCAGATCTTTTTGTCTCAGAATTGAACCGGCAGAAAATAAGGCATTCTGGAATTATGTGCTTCAAAACAAATGGGGAATATATTATGCATCACAACTTCAACTTGTCAGCCTTCATAAATGAGAACGCATCACCAATTTTCTTTGTAATACGAGCATACCCAGAAGGTATAACAACTCCATTGACAAGTTCTTGCATGATCAAAAAATCCTTGTCATTGATCAGCTTGGAATCACGCCAAATGTTGATCGTCTGCTTTGCAGTTTCAAGATAGAGATTGTGCATTGGATCAATAATAGTACACCAAACTGGATCAAAGTAGGGCAATAAGTGAAGCTGAGACTACCAGGTTCCATTCTCTCTCTTCAAAATTGTTCTTGCATTGTTGTTTCGTGCTGTTTTCCATCTGAGAGCATCTCTGAGATTTGTTGCTTTTGTATGCTTTACCTACGTCTTGTGATCAAATCCAGAATAATTGAGCTTAGTGGTTTTTTTTTGAAAGTTTTAAATTGGCATTGACATTGGTGACAGGCGCACGTACTCATATAACCAGTAAATCCAGACGTTTTTCTGGCAGCAGGAATATCGCAAGCAACACACATCAAGGCAGCACGAACAGTTAGCTGGGTATTTCTATAGTCTGTCATTGATACATCAGAATACAAGTCTATCAATTTGGTAATAAAGGGCTCTAAGTAGTAGCTTATTCTATCTGTGCCTGCTTCTTTTGGTCCTAGCATCATGCCAACAAGAATGATGTTTTCTGGTTTGAGATTTTTACTTTGCAGGAGATTGTTAATAGACAAGTAAATCGCACCGCTCGAGTGGGTTTGGTCATCAAAAGGTTGAAACTAATCGATATTTAATGTCAGAATCAGAGATTGGAAATCATTGACAAACGTTGCATCATTGCTGTCTTGCAGTTCATTCCATATTATACCATCATAAATATCAAGTTTTATATTTTTTATTGTTGGGTGATTTCTTTAAAGATTAATCTTTTGCTCAAAATCTCACTTATAAAAATGTTACTGTAATGTGTGCTTAAGTGAGTTGTATGAATATATCATTACTGGAGAAGAACAGCTGGCAGTTGAGAATTTGTATAACGGATTGTTACGGGTATTTGATTCAGAAAAGATTTTAAAATTGTAGTTCTTTATAGTTGTGCTCAGGGGATATATTAAATGGCATTTTGAACATGCCATGTACACTGTCATTCATTTTGTTGCTTTGTCAAAACCAGTAATATGTCTTAGGCTGTTAATTTTAAAAGAGAGAGAACCAGCCAGATTGCAAATGGAGAGAAGATTGTTGCAGAACTCAATGAGAATATATCTATTATTATTTATCAAAAAGATCAGGTGAAATATGACAATGAAAATAGTTACAAAACAAATATAGATGGGCATGCTATTTACTGAAAACTCACAAACTATGAAGACAAATGATAAGTTAGATTCAAAATCCAGCTTTGCAACAAAAAGAAATATTGATATCATAATATTTCATACCTCTAGAAGTTCTAGAACTCTCAGTGTCAACATCCAAAGTCTTGTCTTGTTCAAAATCAAAACTTATAGTTTCTTTTTCAATTTCATTGCTATCAATTACAAGTGATTCAAGGTTAGTATCTTCAGAAAAAAATATTGACTCTTCTTAATGTGCCAATATGAAAGCTGATGGTATATATTTATTATTAACAAGTTAAAATAATACATTAGTATCATATATAAGAATAAAGAGTATTAGATTTCAATAATCTTTTTTAAAAAAATATATTATTTTATTATCTTATTCATCATTACTATGATCAGAATTTACATTGTCTTCATTATCATTATCAAAGATAAAGTCTTTTTCCATATCAATATCTTCATTTTGCATGTCCATATAATATATTTATTAATATAAAATCTATATACGTAATCTTAGTTTTATTGATTTTTTTTTATTTACATGTTGTGTTGGCTGCAGAAACTAGCAGACCATATTCTTTATTATGTTGTCTTGCATTTTGTTTTCTTTGGCACTTTCCAGAAGGGCTGAATACTATGCATTCAGGACATTAACAGAAAACATAATCGTTTTTAATTCGATTGTTAGACATGGTGAATATGTGAAATAATAAAAAGATATAGATTTTGAAATGCTTTTACTGAGGTTTTTATATAGTGAAAAAAAAACTTATAAATAAATACAATACTGCTCCATGTCATGATTATACTTTGCCAAGTATTTTTTCAAGATACCTACTGCACACTTCGTTATAGCTACCTTCACACTTTGCTAAGTCATTATCCAAGACATTTATTATATACTTCATTAAAGTCATACTCTTTTTGCTTTTTCTTTTTTAAAAAAAAATTATATTCGAAACGATAAGGATTATCCATTAAGACAAAAATTCTGAAAAAGTAATGTTCACATCTCACAGCATGTAAGTTAAAAAATTGCTCTTTTTGCTCTTTTACATTGAGGGAAAGAATCATGCAAAAATACTACCACAGCAAATATGAAATTACATAAATTCTTGACACATCATCAAAATAATATTACCTCAAATATTTCATACAAAGAATTGCTCCTCCATTTACATTTATTATATAAAAATAAAAAATGTAGTTTATTTTATTTTATCTAAAAAAGGTGTATTATATAGAAAATATTTATTTTTCTTTAAGTATAGTATATTTTTCTTATAATTAACAAAAAAATTGTACTCCAATCGGTTTTTGCAAGACCTAAAAATTGTTGTTCCAAATAACAAAACTAAATATTTTTTCTGTTTACTTTGTAGAGAAACTGTTTCTCTACAAAGTAAACAGAAAACGTGTTTAGTTTTGTCATTTGCAACAGCACTTTTTAGGTCCTGAAAAAACGTAGTATTTGAATTTAATAGCAGAGAAATAGAAATATTAATACTAGATTTTCCATTTATAATGACAGACAATGAGAATCAATCCCCTAATATAGTAATACTATGTATCATGTTGTATTTAAACAATCTTTCGTCATGAGTATATAAAGTTGTGATTGCATAGAGTTCAATATTTAGGATTTTTTAAAAAAATTGGCAGACATTTAATGTCATTTTCATTTATCGGCATTTGAAATAAAAAATTAATACAAATCTTTAAATTTGCAATTATTAAAAGCATCTGCAGCGGTTACATTAAAATTAATTTTTGCGACTGTTTTAATGTAAATTCCGAAATGTTCTTAAAAAATCGTCTGCAGCAGTTACATTACAGACAACATTATAGATAATGTAGTCAATTTTTAGGGTCAGGAACATTACATGTAGTGTTACATTATAAATGAATATTAAATCTTTTAAATTTTTCTTTTACTCTTCCACAAAAGAAATATAAAAAAAAGTTATAATGAGCAACCTTCCCAACATCATTAACCTTGAAGCTGACACTTCTGGCAAAAGTAATGTTGCAATTGCAATGTATATGCCTATAATACTAATATTAAGAGTTATGATTATATAATTTTGGCTATAAATATTGTTCATGTATATGTAGAAGACCCAAGAAAAAACTTCACTATTGCTGAAGATGAACAGCTCTGTCGTTCATATCTTTGCATTGCCTTGGATGCAATTTAAGATGTTGAACAAAAGGGGGATGCTTTTTGGGAAAAAATAACTAACCATTACCATGAGTATGCTCCTGAGGGCGGCATTCTGCATAATGAACGTTCTTTGCCTGCTTGCTGGCAAATTATAAACAAGGGTGTGAACAAGTATGTTGGTATCTTGTTGGCTATAGTGTGCTCAAATTCCAGTGGCACTAATGATGAATGGAATGTAAGCTATTGAAATGTAGATAATACATATTATGCTGTTCACAGTAGTTAAATAAAAGTTTAGAAGACAAAAACGAAGTTCAACCTTTATCACTACTTCCGAATCTTGGCTAGACACCTGAAATGGAAGCCAAGTGCTCCAACCAAAAAGAAGAGAAGAAATTCCAAAGTGGCAGCTTCTGCCCCTAACCCAATTGGTGAGGGTATAGACGAAGAGGAGTTTCCAGCTTGCCCAGCTGGAAGAAAGTTTGTCAAGGAGCAAGAGGCGACTAAAAGAAAGTGGGAGAAGAACATTGAGAGGTTAATTGCGTTGCATTCAGAAAGTATTGCAAAGGGTGATAAGTGCAAGAAGCTCCTAAAAAAAGACTATGAAGTCTAACGTCTTGGTGGCAAAGGCCATAAGAGAGAAAAATGTCATCCTTCAAAGGGCTCAGGACATAAAGATTCTGTTGATTGATACTTCTTTGATTGCAGATTCTGTCAGCCATCAGATGATGTTGGACTTGAAGAAGAAGGTTCAGGAAAGAGGTATAGGGAATACTCCCATCAGCAATGATGACAGTATGAGCAGCAATCTCTTTGATATTAGCAGCAAAGGAGATGATTGTGATGGCAATTAGTTTGCAAAAAGCAAAAGCAAAAATAATAAATATATTTGATTTTTATTTTTATTTTATTTTATTAATGAATCTCCTTTTCTTTGCCACAAGCTTTCTACGAGATCGTGTCTCAACTGAAAGTGTTGCTCACAGTTTTGAATTGCCATATATCTTTGGATGAAACTTGTGAAGCTTCTATCTGGAAGCACTATCTCTGATCTGGGCATCAAGGACGTCATTCCATTCAAGGATGTATCCACCTCATATCTTTCTCTCACAACTTCTCTTTCTACTCCATTACCTTCACCAACATATTCTTTCTCTCCTCTACCATTCTCTACAATCATATTGTGCAAGATTATACAAGTAGTCATAATGTCATGCAGAGTTTCCTGACTCCGCATTCTTGCTGGCCCAGCAACTATTGCAAAACGTGTCTGCAATACACCAAATGCACGCTCTACATCCGTTCTGACTGCCTCTTGTGTCTTTGCAAAGTTCTTAAAGAAGATAAGTGCTTAGTGAATATAATAAATAATAATACAATATGCATGCAAGTACCTTGTGCCTTGCAGACTGAGGGTCCTTAAAGCTTTTAACAAAAGCAGCATAGGTTGGGTATATGCCATCCATCAAGTAATATCCCTGGCTATAAGTATTGTTATTGATGGTGAAGTTAACTTCAGTGCCTTTTTCTATTGGTTATATTCTCAAAAAGATGAGACCGGTCCAAGACATTGATATCATTCAAGAATCCAGGCAAGCCAAAGAAAGCATGCCAGATCCAGAGGTCATATGAAGGAACAGCTTCCAAAACAATGATAGGAGTCTTCTTCTTTCCAACGTATTGCCCATGCTAAGCAGTGGGACAGTTCTTTCACTCCCAGTTCATGCAATCGAGGGAACCTAGCATTCTGGGAAACCCTCTTGATTCCCCTTCTTGAAGAAGTTGTTTTACATTCTCTTCATTTGGCACTCTCAAGTACTCATCGCCAAAAACAGATACAACTGCAGCACAGAAACGCTTCAGACACTCAAGAGCGGTTGACTCTGCCATTCTGAACGATTCGTTCATAGAATTGGCAGGAAGACCATATGCTAGCTGGCAGATAGCTACAGTTACCTTCTGGATAGGAGAGAATCCGGGTCTACAAGCAGCATCTAACTTTTGTTCAAAGTAGCTGTCATGGTCTTTGACAGCCTCCAGAACTCGCATAAACAATGATCTGTTCATTCTAAAACGCCTACGTAATTGTTTGTCAATGTAGGTTGTACTTTCATAAAAATAATCTTTGAACAGCTGATCGTGGACTCACTGTCTATCACAGAAGATCATAGTACAGCACTTCTTTGGGATTTTTTTTTAATATCATCGTCAGAGTAGTTGTGGGTAAGCTCGTCCAATAAGAAGCTGCTGACAGTTATATGTATCTCTTTGTCACATTCTTCTTCTTCAAAAAATGCAGTAATAAGAACATTGTTCATTTTTATTGGTGTATGTAAAAGTGTAGAAGTAAAAAGAAAGTGGTAGTGAAGAAAGAAATAAAAAAACAGTAATAAAAAAATAATAACTGGTCGTGTAACATTTATAATGTTCTTTAATAATGTAACTACAATTTGGCAATCTGTTTTTAACTGGTATTCAATCTCTGATGTGACTGAATTACACTATATATAATGTTTTCGATAATGTAACTGTTACAAATGCTCTAAGAAATTACACTATATATAATACTTTTAATATAAATATTTTTTGAGTGTAATTTACAATGATATTAAAGACATGTAAAATGCAGAAGGGAAAATGATTCTGGTGTAATTTTACAGCTAAAAAAACAGATTAGAAATTACAACTAAAAATAAAATATAATTTTTATTTTTATTTTTATTTTGAAAATTTAACAACACTTAGAAAACTATATTAAATTGTCAACCTGGCAGTCTTTTGCAGTGTTCCCATCTGACTCTTCTGGGTCAAGTTTGCAACATTAGCCAACAGCATTCTTGTCAGCTGCCACTTGACTGAGCATACTGTTCTGGCAATATTTATGGACAACATTTAGCCTCAGCTCTGGCAACTGGTGGAACCCACTCTTATCAAATATGAGAATTGAGAGTCTGTGTATATCACTGCTATGAAACGCAAGGATTACCATGGCAAGTATGTACCATCACTAGCCTTTGTCCCTCTTTCTTGATTTGAGCATCAACCAATAGACTGTTTGGCAGCCATTTCCTTTTCTTGTTCTCAATTAAATGGGCTACCAGACAACGTCCCTTGCTTCTGCAGACCGGATGGAAAACTCATTTGTTGTTTTTGTAAGGATGCATATCACAACAAGAATTGCCAAGGCACTTCACGGTCTGCTGCTGTCTCAATCCTCTGACTGATAAGCCCCATGGCTGTATGCCCTCTTTGTCTTCTAGAACATTAGTGTCTTATGTTATACAAGATCATACTCTCTCTGCTTTGGTTGACACAGGCACTGGAAAAATAAGGACAATTAACATATTGTCCAGGTAGTTGGATCATAGTGGATATGTCAGGATTTTTTTTTCATCTCAGCAGTTTTTTTTCATCATGTTGGGGTGTAGTTTTGATGTATTCTATTGGCTTAAATAAAAATAAAATAAAAATAAAATAAAAATACGTTTTGGTTTACTATAAAACCGTATCAAATGAAATATTTGTAGCACTCTTGTTTCCTTTTTTATTTTATAATTCAAAATACATACACTATGTTTCCTTCTATTCAAATGCACAACACTGATTGTCACTGCAGCAGATGCAATAATAATAATCAAGGAGTTTCCTGAGTATTGAAACGTACTGCTCAGCGTCATAATAAAAGAGCTAGATTTGAAGGTACTGAGATATTCAAGAGTTGTATAATTTATTCAGTGCTGTTATCTGTCTACCGAGTAATAATCGCTTTTATTTTTATTTTTTATTATTTTAAAAAACATAGCTGAAAAGAGAAGCATAGAAGTAGATACTGAAAGTAAGACATTTTTTATTTGAAATGCAGAAGAAAAACTAATAATAAACTATTATATTCCATATTTGTAGTAATCCTGACGTATCAATCCGATTCTGTGGAAGCAATGGACGGTCAGGTCAACTCACCTATTTTGGATGCTGTCTCAATGTTTGACAATGACGTCTTTGTTGGTAATGACTACAATAGTGATGAGTCTGACACGACCAATGACAATGACAGTGATGACAATGGCGAAGAAGACACTGCCAAGATTTATGTTGAAGAGTTTAACAATGAGGGTCAGTTTTAAATACATAAAAAAAAAAACTAAAAAAAAAATGTGTGTTAATTTTTTTTTAAAAAAAAAGACCCTTTTGCTGCTTCTGGTATGCCCGAGAATCCAGTGCACAGATTTATTGCTACTTTTACAGTACTGTTTGCATCTAGTTACGTGGTCAATAAGGATTCTGTTGTCTTGATTGAGTTCATCAACAAGCTCTTGAAGATTTATGGACAAGATTTCCAACTTCCCAAAAGTCTGGCTGGGCTACATAAAATGACTGGCTTTTCGTCTATCACCAAAGGCGTCAAGCGATTTGTGTCATGTCCAAACTGCCATTGCATCTATGAAAAAAACATGTCTGTACCTCCCCATTGTGTTTTCACAAATGTTGGTGCACGCTCTCCTTGTGGTTGTAAGTTGATGAAAGAGTCAACTTCAGGTGCACTGGTATCAAAGCGAGCATTCTTGTACCAGTCCCTTAAGCAAGCTTTGTCTGTTCTTTTCCTTCGTCCTGGTTTTGAAGAGCAAATCCGTCACTGGAACACGAAGCTTAAGATTGTCAATACTATGTGCGACATATACGATGGAGCAATGTGGAAAGAGCTGAAGGATGCAAGTGGTGTCTTGTTTGTTGCTTGTCCTTGCTCATTGATGTTGACACTCAACATAGACTGGTTCCAGCCATTTGATGGAGTTAGTTACTCTTCTGGTGCAATTTACTTGGTTGTAAATAATCTGCCTCGAGAGGTATGGTTCAAGCCTGAGAACACAATTCTGGTTGGTTTGATGCCTGGTCCCAAGGAGCCAATATGCGAGGAGATAAATAACTATCTCAAGCCTATGGTAGACGAGATGAAACAGTTGTATGTTGGAATGCGAGTCCCAACCTATGAGTGCCCTTCTGGTGCTAATGTCCATGCTGCCTTGCTGATGGTTGCGTGTGACATCCCTGCTGCCAGGAAAACAAGTGGATTTACAGCCCACAATAGTGCATATGCGTGCTACAAGTATACAACCCAGTTCCCCAGATTGCCCAACACAAATCAGGTGGACTTCAGTGGATTCGATTATTCGCTTTGGAATATTTGTAGTGGTGTAAAGAACAGGTTGCATGCTGAGGAGTGGAAGAGTGCGAGTACACTCTCAGAAAGGCACCAGCTGGAGGTCGAATATGGTGTTCGATGGTCGCAGTTGCAACGCCTTGGATACTTTGATCTAGTACGTGGAACGATCATTGATCCCATGCATAATTTATTTCTGGGGACGCCAAAGAGAATGATGGACCGGTGGGTCGATAAGAAAACGATTGGAGCCGAAGAGTTTGCTGCCATGGAAAAAATCGCAGAGACAATGGTCCTTCCGAGGGATTATACAAAGCTGACATTGAAGATTGGAAAAGGCTTTCCTTACATGAAAGCCAACGACTGGAAATCCTGGGTACTGGTGTATTCTCCTGTTCTGCTGCATGGTGTTCTACCATTTGAAATGTACAACAACTGGATGAATTTTGTCTGTGCATGCCGCTATCTTATCAAGCCAAGCATCACATTTGATGAAGTGAACAGCGCCCACGACTATCTGGAAATGTTTTGTAAAAAGGCTACCGAACTCTACACTCCCACTATTCTCACCTGCAACATGCACCTGCACCTCTATCTTCGCGAGACCATTCATGATTTTGGACCTGTGTACAGTTACTGGCTCTTTGGGTTTGAGAGATACAATGGCCTGTTGAAGCATATCAAGACAAACAGAAAAGATAGTTTTGAGGCAACATATATGAGAAGTTTTGTTCAAAATGCATTCAAGGGTGACTATGTCAATGCTGTTCTGAAAAGTTCTAGCCACGTCCCCTTTTTCAACATTCTCTCAAAGCTTTCTCCAAAATTCACACCTACCACTACAGTCATTACCCTCTCCTCCTGTCCATTCTGATTGCAATAATTTTTACTAGCATCGTCTAACCCACATCTTCCTCCAAAGAGTAACGAACCTCTCCCTCCTTTGACTTTTTCTCTTCAGCTAAAAAAATCAGCACTGATGGATGAAACCGACTATGCCCATCTGCTTCAGCACTACAAAACATCATATGATCTTCCTGATCTTGTCAGTTATCAATATGCCACGCTCACAAACTCCTTTGTTGACAATGAAATCACAAAGTTGAAGTTCATTGACTTATTTGGTCAACAGTACCATGGTAAAAACAGTTCAACTAGTTGTGGTTCTCTTGTCCACGTAATCTTTGTTGGTAGTGATGGTAGAAATACCCTAGCCTATGCTGAACAAATATAGTATCTCTTCACACACTCCTTTACACACCCTTCTAACAGCAATCTCCACCTGACTCACATGGTTCATGATCATCAACATGTATTCGCATATATCAAGTGATTTAATACTTCCTCTGATAGATCGCATGAGGATGACGGTCTTGAGTTTTGTCTCCCCACCTTCTCCCCCAATAGTTGACATTGCATTGTACCTGTGCACCGCATTTTTTTAGAGTTTGCTACAGCCAGGATTACTACAAGTAGAAATGTTAGTAAGATGTTAGTAATTGCTTTGCCAAAAAAGCTTAATGCTTAAAATAAAAAAAACCTCACTTGAATTTCCTTTTCTTATACAAAAAAAACAGAACAAATTCCCTATATATATTGATAGTATTGTGTATGTAAAAAGTAATACGTAGATAAAAAGAGAGAAACATTTTTTTATTTAGAGCCCATCTCTAAGAGCCCACTGAGGAAAATTGGGGCTAATGTTATACGGGACTGCTGAGTTGGACACACTAGTAGTGATCCTACGGATCCTTTGATTAGCACTTGACCCCATGGCCTGGATAGCATAAGTGTCAACAAGTGCAATGAAACGGTTGCACTGAAATACATTCGTTAATAATTCACTCAATATAATAATACACCAATACAAAAGTATTACTCCAAATTAATCTACCTCATTGCTTCTCCAGCCTGATTGTACAATATGAATGACATGTTTTATGTCATCCTCGTCCATTTCATCAGCAGACTCTCCATCTGACATTACTGCTTTTTGAAGAGTGTTGGCACAGTCTCTGAGCATTACAAGATCAATGGCCTCCTTATTGTCTTTGTATGCCAGTACACGGCAACACTCATTCTAGTAATAAGTTTTGTTAATTTGTTATTTTTAATTTTAATTTTCAACTACAAACTATATATATTAGCATAATACTCACATTATCTGCACGGGCTGCTCTTTGTGTAAAAGCATTTGTTTCCGCTATCTCATCATCAGACATTCTCTCACGACGGGTTCTACTAGTGAAGTTGGTGTGCAACCTCTTTTGGAGGTCACTCCGTCTCATACTAGTGGAACCAAACCTGCGCTCAAGGTTAGAAAGAAGTCTCTTGGCTATCTCCCTGTTAGGAGATTTGTTGAAAGCAACATTTGTATCTCATCTGGGCTTGAGGTTGTTGGGCAGGATATTTTCTGGCGTTCTCAAGCTAAGCTTGGGTTTCCACATAAGGTTGTGAATATGTGCCTGATAAATAAATCATGAAAAAATGAATTGATAAAATATTTTATAATACACCCGGCTTAGGGTGAAATTGACTTACTTCCAACTCCGCCATGACTTCTTTCTATGCAAGAAGACCATCCTCTATTTTCCTTTTATTTTAATTCTGTAATCTCTCTAATAAAACAAATCACAATGCCAAAGAACAATAAAGCTAAAACTACCAACTCATATTATAAGACAACAGATTTCGAAAAAGGAATGATTATTGGAAGATATAAAGAAGGACGTAGCTCCTATGAGATTTCACATGCAGAAGGCATACCCCAATCAACTGTTTATTGTATAATTAAAAAATACGAGACAAAGAAGACGTGCGCTGAGAAGGAGCATCCTAGGGCCTCTAAGAAGCTATCACCACGGGCAATTCGTTATTTGAAGTTCACCGCAAAAAAAAATAGACGTGACACATTAGCTACCATCACGCGCAGTGTTAAAGAGATGCATGACATCTCAATCAGTTAAGCAACAGTACGCAAATATCTGCACGATATGGACCTTCGCTTTTGTGTTGCTGTAGCCAAGCCTTACCTAGATGAAGCACATAAGAAGGCACGCTTGCAATAGGTTAGGGAGTGAAAAAATTGGAATGATGAATGGACATCAGTAATCTGGAGTGATGAGTCCAGATTCACCCTTTTTCAGAAAGGTGGACAGCAATATGTTTGGCGCCAACTGCATGAGAAGTATGACGATGACTGTCTGGTACCAGCAGTGCAAGGGTTGGGTGGTTCAGTATCAGTTTGGGGATGTATTTGGGCAGGAGGTGTTGGCCCACTAGTTATATTAGATGACTACATGACAAAAGAAATGTATGTCCAGACACTGAGGGTCAACTATCTCCCATTTCTTGCTGCCCTTTCTGACAAGGACACCACCACCTACCTTCTCCAAGAAGACAATGCCAAGCCACATAAGAGCAAGTTGGCGGAACAGTGGAAAAAAAGAAACGATGTAGCTATCTTACCATGGCCTGCAAAAAGTCCAGATCTCAATCCAATTGAGAATATGTGGAGCTACCTTGATAACAAGGTTAGAGATAGAAGACCCCAGCCTACCACGCTAAAAGAACTGGACGTTGCTTTGTTGGAGGAGTGGGCAGAAATCACAGCAAGTACTTGTGTGAAGTTTTGCCTGAGCATTAAAGATCGTATGATATTAGTTAGGAAGAAGCATGGAGGAGCTATTAACTATTAAACCCCCATCAATTTTTAATATAAATAAGCAACACATATTACAAAATCTTCCATTCATTTTTTGTCTTTAAGGATCATGTCTTTGAGAACTTATTTAACCTTGAAAAACAGAGGTGTACTTCTTTGATTTTAGCGGAGTTGGAAGTAAGTCAATTTCACCCTAAGCCAGGTGTATGTTACTCACATAAACTGCATTAGATTCTTTACGGGTAGGCTCATGGTTGGAGATGACAACAGGTGCAGCAAGAGTGAGTTTGGCTCTCACAGGAGCAGCAAGGGGAGCTCTGACCAAACTATCTATGGCACTGATAATGTTGATGCTGGTGGTGGCAAGAATGTTAATTCTGCCATTCATGTTGGTCAAAGTTTGCTCAACATTGCCGATCTGTCCTTTTATGGTAGACATATTAGCTCTCACAGTAGAAAGTATTTCCATAAGCTGCTGATTGGTAATCTCAACAGGACAAAGGGCAATTGCGCGTTCACGTCTTGTGTTAGTCATTGTCTACAGAATATAATAAAATGAAAGATTATAATGATTAGTTTCAGATTATATTATTATTATTGCTGTCATTCTACAATTAAATTTATTTAAATTAAATTAAAAATAAATCGTATCAAGTTTACATACTTGAATTGTTAGAACAAGTGTGTTGATTTGGGAGTATAAATATAGTAAGTAGCAAGAGAGTAAGAGTAAGGGAAAGTATATTATATGAAAGATATGGTTATTATATATATTCAAAATATATTTGATATAAGAATCTCTATTAATACTTTTTGTAATGACTGGGATGTAAATCGGTTTTCATATTGCTTTGGGACTAAATGAAATCATTTTAGTCTTTTTTTTTAAACACACTTTTTCTGTTTTTTTAAGATTTTTTTTTACTTTTTTTATTTGTTTTTTATTATTTCCCTCTTTTCTCTCTCTTTTCAATTCTTGTTATATTTGCAAATTTTTCTGGTAAGATTGTTTTTGGTTCAAAATACTTCTTTACAAAGAACAAAAGAATTAATTTTTTTGTCTGTCATAGGTATTCTCTCTGTTTCTCTCTCTTCACTCTTTACACTCGCAAGGTTTTATGGTAAGGCACTTTCTTTGTTTTAAAAGAAATATATACTTTTTTTATATATAACTAAAAAATAACAATATATTTTAATGTCATAGAAATTCACTCTTCAGCTCATTCTGATGCGCCATCATCACAACAGTCATCTGGATTAGCCAGAGTTAGTAAATATACTTTATGCCATCATTCCATACAATCATTCTGACTTTTTTCTTTCTTTAATATAGGCCACATCGCCAAAAATACTCTCTACAATCAAACACGGATATTGACACGATAATATTTTATTTTATTTTAATCGATTTCTTTTTAATATTTATCTAACTGAATATAATTTCTATTATAGATGAACATTCCTCTTACAAACGTGTCATTCCTCAAGAACTTTCATCCCATGCTACCATCATTGTCATGGTAAGCCTTTTATTTACTTCTATATATACAATAATATTATTTATACTGTATATTAATGTATATCTTCTACTAAAGACGATATTCACTGTAGAAAAAAATCTATGAGTATTTTTTGATACTTGTAACTTTCTGCCCAAAACTCGTAACTTGAAAAGGTCCAACACAGACTTACTAAGTTTAGTATGTGCTAAACCTATTTTAGTACTCGGAAGTTGATATTCAAATATAACTGTCTTACTTTTAAGCCAGAAGGCCATTTTAGATAAATATAGTATGTAAAACTGTTTATCAGTTTACAAAATTGGATAAAGTGACAAACACATCCAATAAACTACTCACAGTTTAAATCTGGACATGCATCAGTTTACAAAATTGGATAAATGACAAACACATCTTATAGAATATTCATATCTTGAATATGGACACGTATCCATTTTTATATAATATTTTACTGTAATAATAATACCAACACACTTCTTGATGAGTTTGAATAAAGATATATTTAAAAATTAAAGAGGTTATATTTGTAATGTGAAAGAAAAGAAAGAAAGAAAAAAAGAAAAGAAAAACAATAAATGGGAAAAAAAATTATTGATAATGACTTTGAGAAACCTCCACTACATATCGAACGGTCTTGTCATTTACATCATGAACAAGACCAGCCATCCCCTTGATTGACTTTACATCTACCACCTTCTTGTCACTGATTGTAGTACTTTCCCAAACTGGGAACATTCCCTCATTATTGGGCTGGATGCCACACAGATGGTCAACAATGGTGTAGAGTCTGGTTTCTCCTAAGACAGAGTAGGAGAAGAACTTGCAAACAAATCCATACCTTTTAAAAACAAATTTGGAACAAGATTAATATTATAACAACATAAAACATAGCTCATACAACTTACCCCATGGATGTTTGAGCACAACAAGATCAGTGGCTTGAACATGTCTGCTGTCAAAAGATGCCTGGACTCTGTACACTACTTGGTCCTTCCACATCTTACTGGTACAGACGACCCAGTTGGTTTCTTCAACCATTGACACAACATTTTGGCCCCAAAGATCTGCCAAAAAACAGACCAAAGTATAGTAGTTTATATCTGTTTCGCTTGCCACAGCAACAAGAGTTTTTCTGGTCGGATTTGACCAAAGCTGAGGACCAGCAACATTGTTACTTGCAGCCTCAAAGTTGCTGGTCCTCCTGTTCCTTGGTTCTCTGGTTACAACCTCACCACTAAGACAATGTCGTATCCCAGCCTTGCTAAACAGGATATTCTTCATGTTTTTCCTGTTTCTTTCCAGGACCCTATTGCAGCTTGATAAGCACCAATGGTGCGTTCAATAGGACGACAACTGTATGCCCTCAGTGTGTCCATCTCCCTTATCATATAACCGAGATGAACCAGCATGTGCTGGTTCATCACGAAAATTGTAGGTTTCATCCTTCCTTCTGCAATTTCTTTCCGAAGGAAGGAATGTCAGTGCCCAATGGCTCTATAAAGGTAATTAAAACGTTGTTTATATAAATATTACTGACTTACTCTTCCATATTGCAGATTTCTGCCTCTGTCACCTCCCACTTCTGGGCAATTGTACAAGCATCGACCAGGTCTTGAACAGCATTCCTGGTGCTGACAAGAACAAAGTTCTTGATTACTACTGCTGGTACAACAAACAGAAGGAAGTCTAGCCAGTTAACTGCCTTCTGTCTGCCAGTCATTTCCTTCAGTGATCTCCAACTACCAGTGAAGATCACTGGTATATTGGCCCTAGACTCACTTATCAATCTATTGATCTGGTCGAGCTTTACATTTAAAGTGAATGTATACACTATTGGTTGTTGTTGTTGTTGTTGTCAGATGTCACCTACTAAATGGGCTTTGTTGTTTTCAGTCCAGAAACTCACAGCAAACTTGCCACCCAATGCCTTGTACAACTGATGTCCAATCTCATGGCCAATGAGATGCATCTCGTCAAGCCCAAAGAAAGCAGGACTTGTCAATGTATCAAGATCTCTGAAAACATTAGGACCATTGACACTATATCTCTAGAAAAAAGATATTAATATTTTAATTATTTGATAATGAAGTACATATGTTTCCCTCGAACTGACGGAGACTTTCTATGGTTCTCATTGGGGCAGGCAGCTCATTGCCAATAAAACACATGGTGTGAAGTTTGGATACACCCTTGGAAAGACAGGCTCTGCACCCAAAGAAAGAATTATGGTGGGCCAGGTTCATCAAGTCTGACACGGCTGGATTATTGTCAGTTGCCATGACAAGATGAACTTTGACACTCACTTGCCCAGAATTTGTCTGAACTCTCAGACCAGAAGTTTGCAACATATGCAAATCTTCTACTATTGTTTCCAAAAAGGATGTGATATTCTTTGGGTGTTCAGGTCCAGGAATTATTGCCAGCTGCATCATGTTGTCCCTCTTATATCTAAGCATATTTAGCTAGCAATTTTATACAGGGCGTCTTATATTATATCTTTTTTTTGGATCAATGTTAAGATTGATAACGTGGACAACAGTTGCAGACATTTTTGAGTCGTTGAAAGGGTTAAATTGTTCAACAAACATTGTAACCAAAATATCATTCTGACTAACAACACCACTCTGAACTAAACGGCGGACAGCATTACTGTCAAGGATATTAGATCTCGTGGTACTAACATTATGTGAAAGACGGTTTTTGCCATATTCCATCTTGGTGCGTTTCTGGGCATTACCAAGCTTGAATCTCAATTGCTCAGAGAGAGGCACAACCTGAAAGGTCTGCACAGGAATTAAAGTGCCTCTGTCGCATTGGAATTGTTGGCTATTACAATGAGGGCACCACTCTTCCTCATCTGCATGCTGTCCAGCTTCTATGGCTTCAAAGCGGGTACAACCTTTTTTACACATGTCATGCGTGACAGGACGGACAGTATATTCTTGTCTTAGAAGCGTGTCCATCTTGTAGTAAGACATCAGTGAATTGATGACAGCTAAGATGGTAGTAAGTTTACATGCTATAAATAATTGATATTGACTATATACTTACACAATCTACATTCTGTCATATACTTATTCATCATTTTCACACATTTGTCAAAAACATTACAAGACATATTGTTCTCAACAAACATGGAGAACAACTCCAGACTAGCTGCCTCTGCCCCACTCATGGGCTCGTAATGAGAAACTCTAGGAGTCTCATCCAGTTTGCTTTCATCACTTTTACCGCTTTTATACTGGCTTGGGAAATCCACATGATCTACAGTGTTACAAATATGGAAGTAATCACAACCAGATTCTTCTGTATGTATATTTGTGTGTGGTTAATATCGTTTTTTAGAAATTAAAGAGACTAGTTTAGTGGTTTCTTCTTCTTTTCTCTGCCAAGTGGAGTCTCGATGTCTGTAGGCACGTCTTGGCCAAATTCAACATCTATGTCTATTGAACTTTCTGGGCAGTTGGTGGTTCCCTTCAACATAGACTCTCTCAGGTCGTATGACTCATTACTATACAAGTTATCGTCATATGCAAGAGCTGAGAAGCGTCTAGAAACATGGTTATTCCGTGCTTGAATGCCTTGTTGATCAAATTCAGTTAAGTTGAAGACGTCTTTGAGATAGTTCATCAATTCAACTCTGTCTTCATTGACATCATTTTCAGATGTTTGTGTAATCAAATCGTTGATATTCATTTTAAATAAAGAGGTTTTTTTTATGAAGAATTAGTTGGATGATAATATATAGTAAAAATGTTTTGAATATAAGTTAAGAGAAAAAAAAGGTCAATATAGATGTGAATTTATGTTTTAGTTTTTTATTATCTATTTAATACTGAATATGGTAAATTTATGCAATATATTACATGATTATGACTGTGGATAATAAGAAGAATTTTTTCTTGTGAAAATCGGATTTTGTTCTCTTTCCTTTTCTAAATAAAAATGACAATAATTTAAGATCTCATAACACAAGCACGCCTAGAAGCTCTTGAAGCTACTGTTGCCCAGTTACAGGCAAGGGCTGATAATCTTCGAGAGATGGGAAATAACATTCCTTTGGAAAACATTGTCCATTTACCGGTGTGGTATACACACCACAATTGAGTGAAGAACAGACCCCACAACCAAACACTGGTTTCTTCTTGCTAATGAATCTGGCAAGTTAACAATCTCCGGAACTGTTACACACCAGGCACACATACACTACATACTCATACAGTGTAAACCAACCATTACATAACAGGGATTCGAATTACAGAGATTCGAATAGTAGCAGATATAAACAATATTATTTTGTCTCTTTAACAAATAACACTCTCACAGTATCTACTATTCCCATTATTGAGATACTAACCCATAAACAATCCCAAATACCTCAACCAGCTGGAGAACAAGAGATAGGACAAGTACCCAACAACCAGACTCTTTGAGACATTGGACATCCTGGTGGAAGTGTTCCTGGCAACTCTTGGAAAATTTCGGCCACAGCAATCCAACGTGCAATGTCTATATACCTGACTGAAGGTGATGGGGCAGCTGCCTGTGTCATGTACAGATCAGCCTCAGAAATTGTTTGTAGTCTCCTCAGGGCTGCTTTTAAACTTTTCCATGATCGAGAAGAAAGTGTTTCGTTGTGGAGTGATCTTACAAAGTCGCAAAAGAAGGATTTGATTGAAAACCTTGAGATACTTGCTTCTTTTAGAAATATTTATCTCAATAGGTTTGTAGGATTATGGGGAGCCAAGTATATGGCTTCTCAAAAGTGGAGATCCGCCAGACTTTGATTACCAAGAAACTAAAATATATATTCTTTGAAGAAAACATGTATTATTTAATTATTTTATTCTAACTCTCAAGTAGTGTAATTCTTTGAAGATAACTGATTATTCTTAAGTACAAAAGATAAAAATGTGCACACAAAGATATACATAAATGTATACTATAGAAATTCTGTAGCTTAAACTGTTATTTAATAATATATGAATGAGTGCTCTCTTTACATACTTCTTTTTATATTTACTTTCGATTATTTTGATTCATAAAAACAATAAAAATAAAAACTATAAAATTCTAATATAAAACATCATGCATTTGTTGGACCAATTATAATAAAAAGCAGAGGCACTAAAAATGGTATATATCTGCTATATTTGGCACTTTTGATTAGATTAAATGCAAAAATGATCTGAAATCCTATAAAGCGTATTTGACTTAATTGTAAATCTCATAAATTGTATCTGACAAAAAAGTAAAACTAATAGGCTAAAACAGGCATGTTATTGGCTATAAAAGTTATGAGTTTGTAACTCGTTACAAGGTCGGTATTTTAAAGACTGACTTTTAAATAGCAAAAGTTATGAGTATGTAACTTGGTATGAGGTCAGAGGTATAAATCCTGTCATTTGCTACAGTGATTATCACTTTACAGATAATATCTTGGTCTGCAAAGAAATCCTTTGCCTTTGGTATGTAAATCAATTATTCTATCACGCAATTAACAAAAATTAATTCTTTTCTATTGTTTTATAGTCAAAGAAATCATAATCCCGTACTTTACTGTAAATGTTTTATTTCTTTGTCCATTTGTACTGGGTACTTCCAATGTAAGTATTAATTAGTGTATAAAATTTGCGGTATAAAACACGCACGCACTCCCATCACTAATGTTTTATCTATTCTCAAAGAGTACTGCTCTTACCCCTAAAAAAAATAACGAGCACCTTATTTTCTTCAGGTATTTGTTTTTTGTAGAAAATTTTTTATCCCAAATATAATAAGCCGGCCGAGCAAGAAGTAACTGAGGATATAGAATAGCTTTATTAGATTTGAAACCTAGAAACATTCTATTCTTTCCAATAAAAATAAAAGTATAAACCATAATCAACTAATAAGAATGGGAAACCAAATAAATAAAGAACATATTACTGGTCCATAATTTTAAAGACGTGTTTTTTTGCTGTTGATGATTGGAGGTGTTAAAGAACTGTCAGTATAGATGGTCAGTAAATGTGGGGTGTAGTACAGATAAACCATTAGAGCCATATACATGATATAATCTGTCTTTGACCTTTCTTGTTCTGTGTCAAGAATATCAAGATAAATCTATAGTTTTAAATACTTTTTTATTTATTAAGCATAATGAGTATATCAAAAGTGCTACCAAATCTTACTTGCGGAATCCCCCATCTACATATATTGTAGTGTTTGCAAGTCTCGCATATACAGTGCTAGATGACCTTAAAACCTAGTGGAAAAAATATCAACTATGCTATATCACATTATCCCAGTACCATTTGCCCATATATACTTGTCAGTATTTTCCTATTTTCTTTCAGTGTGATCTAGGCTATCTTCCAATTCACTGTAAACGAAGCCAAATTAGTCAAGCTTTAATAACACAGGAGTAAGCAAATAAGAGAGAGGATAAAAAGATGATTTTTATTATTTGATTTGGGTTATCTTATATAGTTTTTTATATGATTATTCATCTTTGATTACACTCAAGTAGTGTCTAGTAATATTACAAATTATTATAAACGGATTACACTGAAAAAGAGGCGCGGTTTTCTTATGTGTAAAACTGTAATTAATTATGTGAAAAGACCAGGTTTTACGATGTGATCAGATAGTTTTTACAAGTGTATGAAGCTGGCTTACTCATAGGTGGTAAGACCAACTTTCGAACATAGGAAAAGGTCAGAACAGCAGGATAGTAAGATGTGTTTGCATTTTCTGTATATGGGTTTTTACCACATGCACTAAAACGGCAACTCAGAATTACGTTTTGTTGTAATATATCCTACCGCTTTCCGATTAAAAGAACGATAAATGAAAGATTGATTATACAGATATGCCAGTTTTTACAGGGTTTTGTTGTATTTGAATTTATTTTATCCAATCTTAGAGACTTCTTCTTGTACTGTTTGCTTCCATACACTTCTCCGATCTTTAATTTATTTATAATAATTATTGGTTTATTTTGTTTTTATTAGAAAGAAAAGAATATTCTTAGGTTTATAGTACAGTGGTTATATTTAATATTCAGGAACGTTCTGGCTAGTGTTCTATCCTTCATACAATTTGAAATGGCCAATGTTCTGATAAAACAAGTATTCTCCAAACAATATCTCCCAGAGAAAAGCCCAGTTGTGTGTTGCTTGCTTGTAAATGGTTGTTCTATGAAATTAGAAAAGTGTTAGCTGTTTGAACAAGAAATCGTGGATATTAAGAATATATATATGTAATTATGCTTGCAATATAATAGCTTACCAGAGACAAAAAGAAAAGGCGTCATGAATGCGAACCATAGTACTCAATATACTTTATTTGGCTATAAAAATGCTGAAAAATATTATTTTTTGTGAACTGTGTGGTAGAATATTTCATTTACCTACCCGAAGCAAAAGGATTTATTTGCAGACCAAGAGAGTACATAGGAGACGCTAATATTGTCTTCAGTAAATGATATACATTAATATACAAAATAAATAATATTGTTATATGTACAAAAAAAAATTACCATGTCAATGACACTCGTATGAAATGAAAGTTCTTGATTTGTAATGTGCTCATGAGAGAAAGGTTCATCTATAATAGAAATTATGTTAAGCCGTGTGCTTATTAAAAAGAGATAGATTGAAATAAAATAAAATATTACCGTGTTCATAACCATGTTTAATAGTAGAGAGTAATTTCGGCGATATGGTCTATACAAAAGAAAGGAAAAAGTCAGAATAATTTTATAGGATGACGGCATAAAGTATATTTACTAACCTTAGCTAATCCGGATGGATATTGTGAAGGGGATGCATCAGAAGGTAACAAAACGCGAGTGTCTGTAGTAATAGAAAACAATTATTATCATTTTAGTTATATATATATATATAATATTAAAGAATAAGATATCTTACCAAAAAAATCTGTGAATATAATAAATGTTAGAAAGAGAAAAAAGAGAGAAAACTTGTAAATGAAAAAAAAAACAAAAAGAACAAAAGACCAAAGAGCCAAAAGGCCAAAAGACAGAAATCATATATTGAATTGAGTTGAAAAAAGCATGTTCAAAGCCGATTTGCACCCTGTTAATTCCAGGAAGTATTAATAGAGATACGCGTATTAAAGAAATCCTGAGTATTTGCAGCAACAACTGTAATATAATAAATGTGTTCTTGCTTTTACTTTTACCATCTTTCCATTAACTACACTTTATTCTTTTGCTTAACACCTAAATTCTTTTGTATGTTAATAACACTCTATATATACAATGAATAGATATATAAAACAAATATAATTAACAATTAACTCATGTATAACATTTTAATAGATAGCTTTCAGACCATGGTTAACAATCATCAGTCAATTGCCCCGGCCCCATCCCTGGAATATACCAAGCTTTTAAGAAGGCTCACCGCTATGGAGGAAAGCCTCAAGATCATGGATTCAAATATTGGCATTGTCATCAAGGGGAACAAAGATTCATTGGAAATACTTGATAGCATTGCCAATGCCTTTGGAGAACTTCTTGCAGTTATTGCTTCTACTACTATACCTGCTTCTGCTTCTGTCCCTTTTGCAGCTTCTTCCATTGGCTCTACTCTAGATTGGTATACAACACCTTCTGAGGCTTTTTTTGGTATCTCTTCTGCTGCTCCTTCTGTTGGTCCAGTGGTTCTTACTGGTGCAAACGCTGGTGAACTTAGTAAACAGTATCGCACTAGAGTTTTAGTAAGTGTTGAGATGTATAGTAGTTCATCAATATAATATCTCACACTAAGTATAGGCTCTTATCCCAGGAGAGTTGAAGAAACACAATTTCAAATCAAAAAAGCTGGAACTAGTTGCAGCTAATGACAGCAAGCGCAGTTGGGATGTTAATGTTGATTACAGACTTCCACCCAACAGACAGCTGATGCATGACCTTCATGCATACCTGGCTCCAAAGGTTGTTGGGACTAGTGTTTGATAGGCTGATATTAGCGATTATATATACACAAACTTTTGTGGAACGAGACGCCAAATCAAGGAATCCTATGAATTGTGCAAAAAGACAAATTCTCGGCCAAGAAAAGCAGGTTGAGAGACCAATGTATGTTAGAAGTATATTTTGATTGCAAATTAAATGTATTCATATTAATACATTTATAAACTAGCATTTTGACCGTCACGAGCTGACCTACCATACATTCAAGGCTGAAATTAATGTGAAGGTGGGTAAGAGCTGCGACGGACTCTTACAGAAAGAAGCAATGTCTGAGGGCGAATCTGAAGACGATATGCTTGGAGTCTCAAGCAACCATGCGATTTGTACAGTGCGTCCAAGTTGGAGAAGCGATGAGGTAATTTCTTTTGTTTACATTATTGTATATAGCTTTTTTTTTGTTTTTTTATGGATTTAAATGAAACAGAACTTTGATTAATCACTTATTTGTATTTAGTACAATCACTTTCTTGCGGTTGTTGATGATTTTATGCGTAATTGCATGGACTTCAATTCGCGTCAGATGTTGAAGAGGTCCTTTGGTAGAGATGCTGTTTTAGCAGTCCTGCCTAGATTGACGTCCCTTCTCCCTCACTGGGCTTTTAGAGATGAGTTTCAATAAATTTTGTTTTCTTATCCTCTACATCCTTCACATCCTCCATCTGACAATGATAAACATACCAACAAATACAAACACTATGATTATTCTTTTCTGTGTGCCTTTAAAAAAGGGAGTTATAATTTTATTATTTTTTAAATATATTGTTTTTTTGGCAAAGGAATGACCAGCATCTTTTTTACTTTTCTGCGTGTTGTGTGCTCAGCAGTTGCTACTTCTAACATAATTCTATGCACTGGCAATACACATTGGAAATCGTCAGGAGAAAATGTTGGAAAGCAGGTTTCAACGTGTTCGTACTCTCGCGATTTATCATTTTTGGGTGTGTACCATTTGATAAATGCAAAAGTATGTTGAGAATTGTGAAGAAGTTGTGTTGGGCGGCAATGGGTGCGGAGCAAGGGAGTAAGGGATGAAGAGGTGGGTGGAGGAGTGAAAGAATGGATGAAAATGTACTGTATTTGACCCGTGTATGCAATGATATGCTCACCAGTACTTCCAATGAACTTTGCTTGTACAAGAGAGCCACGACTTCCAGATTCACCTTTACCCTTGTAGACCTGCCCAAGGATGTTGATGTATTTCAACAGGGTGATTGTATTGTCAACAAAGTATGGTGATTCCAACACTTGTTGAAAGTGAACTAATTGTTCATTGTTGTACACAACTTTGTAGTATTGTAAGAGATGAACATAGTGAATGTCACTCATTGTGGTAGCGGATTTTAATGATAGAGGGAATGTGGAAGGAGGGAGAGGTTCGTTGCCTTTTACAAGTACATTTGGATCTTCAGAAGCCTCGACAAATGACTGTATGCGGAAGGTATGTTGACGGATGGATGGAATGGTGGCGGGTGTAAAGGAAGAAGTGGGTTTGGTAAGGAGAGGAAATGCAGATGTCTGGCGGGTACTCTGAAGGAAACTGTTGACAAGATCGTCTTTGTGCACATCTTCAATAAATTTCTTCATAAATGTTTCTTCAAACCCAATCTTCCTGTTTGTCTTCAAAATTTTTAACAACCCATTAAACCGCTTGAACCCAAATAGCCAATAACCGTACACTGGTCCAAAATCACGAAATGTATCTCGAAGATGGAGGTGTAGGTGCATATTACAGATGAGGATTTTGGCGTTGTACAGCTCGTCACATCTGGTGCAAAAAGTTTGAAGGAACTGATGGGCAGTGTTGACTTCATCGAACGTGATTGTTGGCTTAATCAACAGGCGGCATGCATCAACAAAGTTAATCCAGTTTTTGAATCTGTCTTTTGCAAGAACATCTTTCAACAGAACTGGTGAGTATACGAGCACCCATGACTTCCACTCATCTGCCTTCATATACGAAAACTGCTTTCCTATTTTCGAGTTCAAAGAGGTGTATTCACCAGGCACAATCATTGTTTCTGCAGTCTTCTGCATTACTGCAAAATCACCATCTTGAATGTCTTCGTCTTTGATCCAATGATTCATCAATCTTTTAGGCATTCCCAAGAATAAGTTATGCATGGGATTGATGATCGTTCCACGTACTAGATCAAGGTATCCAAGGCAATGCAACTGCGACCATCGAACACCATTTTTGACCTCCAGTCAATGCCTTTCTGAGGGGGTACTAGCACTTTCCCACTCCTCAGCATGCAACTTGTTCTCTACACCGTCATGAAGCACCCACTGAGAGAAGTCAAACCCACGAAAGTCAACATTGACACCGTTTTCCAAGCGAGGGAAATGTCTGTTGCACTTGTAACATGTGCATGTACTGTTGTGCAAGGTGAACCCACTTGTCTTTCTTGCTGCTGGGATGTCACATGCCACCATCATCAATGCGGCATGGACGCAGACACCACTAGGACACTCAAAAGTTGGGATTGCCAGTTCCTCATACAATCTTATCAGATCATCTACCATAGGCCAGAGATAATGGTTTATCTCTTCGGATTTGGGTTCCTTCGGGCCAGGCATCAATCCTACAAGAAGTGTGTTCTCTGGCTTGTATCTTTCATTGCAAGGCAGATTGTTTATTACCAGGTATATAGCACCAGTCGAGTGCGTGATGTTATTGAAAGGTTGAAACCAGTCGATGTTGAGAGTCAACATTAATGAACGCGAATCCTTTGTGAATTTCACGCCATCTTTGTCTTTGAGCTCCTTCTACATGGCACTGTCGTATATGTCACACATCGTATCCACCATCTTCAGCTCGTGATTCCAATGTCTAATTTTATCCTCGAATCCTGGACGAAGAAAAAACATTTGTAAAGTATTAATGACGGACTGGTACAAGTATGAACACTTGGCTACCAAAGCACCCGATGCTGATGTTTTTGTCAATTGGCAGTTGCAAGACGAGTGTGCACCAAGCTTTACGAAATTGCAATGAGACGGGACAGATGCACTTTCTTTGTACACCTTGTGACAATCCTGACACACAACAAATTTCTTTATGCCTTTGGTCATGGCTGAGAAACCTGTCATGCGCTGAAGACCAGGAAGGCTCAAGGGCAGTTGGAAATCCTGCTCATAAATTGTCAAAAGCTTGTTGATGAACTCGATCAAGGCAATGGCACCCTTGTCAACCACATAGCGGGAAGCGAACATCACCACAAAAGTAGCAATGAACCTGTGCACTGGGTTCTGGGGCATATCGGGAGTGGCAAAAGGGTCTATTATAAAAAAAAATTAACGCTTTTTTTTTAAAATTTTTAATACTAACTGACCTTCACTATTCAATTCATTGTTGTCAAGCTCAATAACATTGTCTTCGCTTTCGTCTTCACTGATTTCATTGCTGTTGCTTCCACTGTCATCATTGTTGCCATTGCTGATCGCATCATTAGTAACGGAAACGTCTTCAGTGTCAGACATTGAAGCTCCTTCCCAAACAGGTGAGTTTGTCTGAGTGTACGATTCTTCCAGGGCTCCGGGTTGATGGGTTAAGATAGATACATTTAGAATATAACACTTGGTTAATATCTAACAGTATCTGAATTAAATAAACCTTATATTCATCATCGACCTCCATCATATTTCTTTGGGTAGACATGTCTATTACAACACGTTATTTCATGGATTACAATACAATTAAATAAATTCAAATATTGTACCCCTTTCACATCTTATGGCATTTAGTCTTGCTCTTTTGTTATGACGTTGAGCAGTTCTTCTAGCAACAAAACTATAGCCAAGATCGTTCTGACTACATCCAGCACAATGGCACTTTTCGTTGTAGAGTTCAGGAATTGTGGACATAATGTTTATTTGTTTTTACTTTGAAGTGTTAAGAGAAAAAGGAAACAAGTACAACGTTTACTAAATTTACTATGTCTTTATAATGCATTGTTATGTCTTTATAATAATAATAAATAATATTTTCGCCTATTGTATCCAAGCCAATAGAAAACTGGAAAACAGTGTTTTCATCTTGAACACACAAAAAAAGCTGAGATGAAAAAATACCCCAGATTTTCTATTGTTATAATTTAACTTTGTACATGGTAATTCCCGTATGTTTTTCTAGTGTTACTAATTTCTAAAATTACAAACTGATGAATAATCATTGTAATTCCTGCTTCTTTTATAATAACAAGTCACTAGAACTTGTATCACAAAATTAAGCATGACAAATGTCCAAAGATATCAATTCTGACAACAAAATAATGTCTGACATCACCCCCTCCCAAAACTGTTGATAGTCCTCGATCAACCCCAGAAGAATCCACAAGGGAAAACAGTAGGGCAGAAGAAGAGTCCAAGGCTAAATCGCAGCGCATTTGGGCACGGGCAGGGGTTGGGTGATACCAGGTACGGTCAAAATCATCGGATTTTGCAATTTTTAAATGATCAGCATGAACCCAGGAAGTATAAGGGACACCTTCCATAGTTGTGAGCTTGTATATATTTTTATCTGCATTCTTGTCTATAACTATGTATGGTCCCATCCAGTTATATTCTAAGCCAAATTTGTTTTCATGTCGTAGCAATAAATGTTCACCAATTGCAAATTGGTGCGGTTTCATAATAGAATCCCATCGTTCTTTGTCTTGTTGGCTATTGGTGGCTACTCGAGCATCAGCATTAATGCGGGCTTGTTGCAGATTGCGGAGAAAAGGGATAGCACCATCAGAGACAAGAGAAGGATCATCAGGAATAGCGGTATCCATGAATGGGTGTAGAGGATCACCCGGAATACGAGGTTCACAGCCATAGGTCAGGAAGAACAGACTGAAACCAGTTGTTCGGTGTTTCCTAATTTGGCAGGCCCAGAGTGCAGTTTCCAAATACTCGTCCCAGCAATGAATAGCACCATGTACATATTTTCGTAGCATCTGTTTTAAAATACCATTTAAACGTTCACATTTTCCGTTGGTTCGAGGGTGAAATGCTGATGTTAACTTGTGGTGTAATTTAATCTTTTTAATGTAAAAGCTGAGGATGTGTGATATGAAATTGGCACTGCGGTCAGTGAGGATCTCGTTGGGACAACCAAAACGCATTACAATTTCTTCATACTGGAAATTGGCTATTGCTTTACCAGTAGCAGCAGGTACAGCACGTGCTATTGGCCAATTGGTGGCATAATCTACTGCAACGAGAATCCATTGGTTACCATTTACAGTTGTTGGGAGCTCTCCAATGAAATCTAGATGCCAGTGGAAAAATGGAGGGGGAATATCTAGGGGTTCCATGGGTGCATGGTGGATATTTCGCTCGGCATTGGACGCTAATTGACACTGGGAGCATTTTGCAAGCCATTCTTGGATCTGTGTTCGCATTCCTAACTACCACCAACGTTTCTTCATCAAGTCATAAACTGTTGTCTCACCAGCATGTCCAAACCCATTGTGGAAATTGTTTACCAGATTGGTATGCTTGGTAAACAGAGCAAAACGGATTTCTTGAAATGTGTCACCAATCTTAACCAAGTGGAAAACCTTCTGATCATGAACCACGAATTTCTTGCGTTGTCTGTGTAGCAACTCTTTTATGTCGTCTGGCCACTCATCTTCCGTGCGAGCATAGTATTTGGGCCAATCTGAAGTCTGTGATTCGGGCATGGTGTACAGATACTCTGGCTCCATAGACTCAATTGTAGATGCATCAAATTCAGGACCGTCCATTCGAGAAAGTACATCTGGGACACCGTTGTCTTTGCCAGGTTTGTATTGAATAATGGGGTTGTACAACTCGAATTCGGAAATCCATCTTATTAATTGAGGGGTTGGTTTAACTTGGCTATGGAAGTACTTGAGGGGCAGGTGGTCAGTAAAAACAGTAAATGGTTTCCCTTCAATCATACAGCGCCAGGTACGTAGTGCGTGCAGTATTCCTAAAAGTTCACGTTCTTGGGCTGGGTAGGAACATTCAGCACTGGAAAGTTGCTTGGATTCAAATGCCAGTGGTTTCAAGACTCCTTCTTCATCTTCTTGCATCAATACAGCACCAACACCAAAATCGGAAGCATCTGTCTCAATTCGGAAAGGTTTGTTCATATCTGGTGCAAGTAGTACAGGTGCAGTGCTGAGTTTTTCCTTAAGGATGTCGAAGCTGTCTTGGCAAGTGTCAGTCCATACAATTGGTCGTCGTTTAGGTCCTGTTCCTTTGGTAAGATCAGTTAATGGAGCAGCAATTCCAGTGAAACCTGGGATAAAACGGCGATAATGCTGTGCCAAACCAATAAATTGGCGCACTTCTTGAACATTAGAGGGTGGAACCCATTCTTGTATGGTCTTGACTTTATCTGGAGACAGGAGGATACCTTGAGCAGACATATTGAAACCAAGAAATATCAGTTCCTTTTTGTTAAATTCACATTTTTTAAAGTTGGCAATCAGCTTGGCTTCACAGAGATGGTTCAAGACATGTCGTACATGTTCTTCGTGTTCTGCTGAGGTTTTACTGAATATGAGAATATCGTCCAAATAGACCAAAGCGAAGTTGTCTAAACATTCTCCCAGAACTTTGTTCATCAAATGTTGGAAAGTTGGTGGGGCGTTGGTAAGACCAAAAGGAAGGACCAGGAACTCGTATTGACCATAGCGGGTGTTAAACGCTGTTTTTGGCACATCTGAATCTTGAATGCGTACTTGATGGTAGCCACTCTTAAGATCTAGGCTGGTGAAATGGTTGGCTCCACGCAATTGTTCTAGGCATTCGTCAATTCTTGGTAAAGGATAGTTATTGCAGATTGTGACTTTGTTGAGAGCATGATAGTCTACACACATGGGCATTTCGCCATTCTTTTTCTTTACAAATAATATAGGAGCACCCCATGGAGATGAGCTAGGGCGAATGAGATCAAGGTCAAGGAGTTCTTTGAGTTGCTTTTTGAGTTCGTCAAGTTCTCGGGGGCTCATCTTAAAAGGCGGTTTGTTTACAGGGTGTGCATCTTCAGTGTTTATTACATGTTGTACATCTCGACTCGGTGGTAACCCTGGCAAACCGTCTTAGAACACATTGTCAAACTCTTTCACTAGTTTCATCCATTGTTCATCGTTGGTTACTTCTTTCTCGGTCTTGATGTGCAGCAAAAAACACTCTGCCTCCTCCCTCCGAGAGAGTTTCTGGACTTGCTTTGCAGAAATAAGGTAATTAAGTTGAGGTTTCATGGGGCGGTTGCCATGGGGACGCAGGACAAACTCTTGGCCATCACGATATAAAGACCAGTTATCTCGATGCCAATCAGGAACAGGTTTAGCAGTCTGTAATCATGTGTGACTGAGAATCAAATCGAATTTAGTGAGGAAGATAAAAGCATCAACACTATCAGTATAACCATTAAGAGAAAGTGTAAGTGTGGCTTTCTGGTTAATTTTGATGCTATGCCCTCCAGCAGTTTCAACTGATTGCCCAGGAATATTCGAGACTTTTGTGGCAAGGTGTTTGATCCAGGGTAACACATAGTTTGCACTGGCTCCACTGTCAATGAGAATCAAGATTTGTTGTCCGTGAAGTGTTGCTGCATATAATGATAAATCTGTGTCCACAGCAGAGTGAAGGTCTTCCAAAAAATGTTGATTGGTGGTGAGACAAGGGTCACAATTTTCTTTGGAAATGGCTTTTTTCTCTTCATTGGTAACAATTTTGTACTGGTCAAAAGTTTCTTTATTACTTAAATGTTCTGTAGGCTCATTACTAATACTGGCCTGTGGGGAGGATTTTTCTTCCATTGTACACAATCAACCTCCCATTACGGTTGTGCTTCGCAAAAACCCTGCTTCTTAAGACTCTCCTCGTCCAACTTCTTGATTGCGGCCAGACGGTCTCTACAATATCTCTTGAAATGACCGGAGTCACCACACCAATGGCAAGTAGCATTAGTGCGTCTTGGAGGCGGGCAAGACTGGTAGTTGCTGCGACGGTTGTTGATTGCGTCCAGGTCCATGGGCTCGGGTCCACTGTACTGATATTGCTGTTGTTGGTACTGTGGCTGGTACTGCTGCTGGTATTGTTGCAGAGGTGGTACAGACGTATAATTGTTCTGGTATCCAAGTTGGAGACCACTGGCATATGCCAAGGCAATGTTACAAGCATCGTCAACATCAACAGGGCGGGCAGCAAGGACATTTCCACGGATGGACGGGTGTAGTCCACAGACAAATTTATTGAGTGCCTCTTCATTGTTCATTCCAGGCAATTCCAATTAAATGTCTTGGAAGGCATTGATATATTCAGCAACAGTCCCAGTCTGGTGTAATCATGCTAGTCGATCTCTAGAGGTCTGGAGGGAATAAACTGGGCAGAATTCTCTGGTGAGAGCTGCTTTAAATTCGATCCAAGTAGTGGGATGGTCTGTTTTGAGTTCCGTGCATCTCCACCATGTGTCAGCTCTATCGCACAAAAGATTTACTGCGAAGTTGCAGGCTTTGGTCAGGGCGAAATTGTTGTACTTGGTGTAATGCTCAACTGCGCGCAGCCAGCCATCTACTACTGCGGCAGAGTGCTCACCTCGGAAACAATCAGGCTGCTTGATTCGTTCGGCACGGGACTCCTGTTGTGCTGTGATTGCTTTCATTGCTTCTGCAACAGTGGCTGTGATTGCTTCAGCGGTTACGGTGGCAGTTTGTGGGGCCATCTCTTCTAGTTCTTTATTTTTTCCTGTTAATGTTGCGGCAAGTTTTTTTGCAAGTTTGGACCACTTTTGTTCTCGTGCAGGAGTGTTCTTGAGTCTCTGTTCTTCAGGTATATGTGGTACATGCCGGTTCTTCTTGTAGTCGTTTACTAGTTCTTTGGGTAACAAGTCCTGGACTTGTTCTTCAATCTCAAACTGGCTAAGTGTCTTTTTGTCAAAATTTTCTTGGTGTCTTTCACCAGGATTCATCAAAGGTCTTTAGGAGGAAAAATAGCTTCAGCTACCAATTGTCGTTCCCGATCTGGGTTGGTCTTCCTTTTACTATAACAAAGTCAAAAGGTCAAACCTACTGGGGATCAAGGAGTATATGTAAAATCAAAGAGAGGATAAAAGATACTTTTTATTGATATGAATTGAATTGTCTTATATAGTTTTCTAAACTAATACTGCGCATTATCCGCAGTAGTTATTATTTATATTTAATTAAAGAAATAGTCATTATACTGCAGTTAACTATCTTCAGATTTTACGGATTCATCAAAATAATGTCCGACAAAAGGAAGACCAACTCAGATCGGAAACGATATGACAAAATATCACTAAATTAAAAGAAGGACCCACCGTGATTTGAACACGGGACCTTAGGATCTGCAATCCCACGCTCTACCGCTGAGCTATAAGTCCGTAGCTGCTTGTGACGCGGTGCATTGTAATATTTATTGGCCATAGTATTAGTCCCTTTTTCAACCGATTTCAACCTTTTTAATCAGTCACAAAGTCTCAAACCCCCAATTATAATTTTATATTTTAATTTTATTTATATTAATTTTATTTCTTATTCTAAAAATTTGACTTCTCATTATTTTTATTTTTATTCTTCTCCAATTTTCTGAAGACAAATTTCTCTTCCCTTTATTCTTTCCCAAAATTAGTTTCTTCTTTTATTTCATACTTTTCTTACACACTAAATGTGATGTTTTCCTCTCAACACTACTTTACCAAAATTGTTAACTGTAGTTTTTCTATTTCTTTATAACATACTCCTTTCTGATCTTTTCCATTCTCTATAGTTATGTATTATAATTTCATTTATTTTTCTTTTATGACAAATCCTGATTACAATTATTTTATCTATCTTTTTATCACAATTATCTTCTAGACATCAGTGCAGCCTATTTTTGCTATAAATTTTATTTAAGAAGTAGTATAAATAACCCTTCAAAATCAATCAATAAACAATTGTCAAATTTTTCTGATACAAAAGTTTTCTCTAAAGACACTATCTACTTTCTCTGATCTCTCTTGTGAATTTTTCTTCCATTTATTCTTTTTCTTTGTCAAGTCTTCATGGAAGATTGACTGTTTTCTATTCTTTTTCTATTATTTTTCTTTCCCTTAAATTTTACGATTTTCATTTTGTTAAATTTTCCTTTTATTTTTCATTCTAAAATTACCTTAGAAATTCTCTTAGTTAATTTTTAATCTTTTTATTCTCTGAATACTTCCCTTAACTTAGTTTATTTTACATTAGCATGATTTATTTCCTTTTGCTAGTTATAGATATTTCTTCCCTTCTGAAATTTCTTCTATTTTTCCCTTCTAGAAGTAGTTTCTTGTATTTAATTTACATTTCATTATAATCGTTTCCCAATTCAAATAACTGTACCTCATTACAGAATTCAATCCTTATTATTACCCATACCTTGCTTTTCTTGTACACACCAAACACACAACAAAGTACCACATGCGTCACTTGCTTAGTACAAAAGGTGTTATTTGGTACTCTCAATGGAAAGAATGCAGGTTCAACCCTTAGAAGCTACACATTTATCTGGATCTGTATACTTAGTTCCCTTCCACTGCAAAAAAATGCTCAATTTCCATATGTGATAAGATGTAAAATTCTGTGTGATTTTTGAAATATATTCCAAATATTATACAACAATTCTCAGAATGATAGAAAAACTAGCTACTAAATATTAAATACCTAGATTCTATGGATAGAATGGGTCTGTGCATGGTCATAGAGTTCTGTTATATCTCATTATATCTGAAACCTTAATTGAATTCTGAGTTTTTCTTCTCTAGTAAAACGTTACATTTATTTTATGTATTGCCTATTTATTCTTGTTTCAGACTCATTCAAGAATGTGTATATTTCAACAATCTTCTGATGATAGCTCAACTATTTTCTGGTAAGTATCAATCTTATTGGATGGGTACTTCATTTACAATTTGAATTTCATTATTTGATTGATCAAAAAATATATTTCTTGTACTTTTATTTAAAAATAGTTCACGGAAAATAGTTTACAAATGAGTTTTTATTTTATTTTATTAAAAAATCTTAAAATAGATTCTCTAATAATGGGTCTTGGATAGTTGGCATTTGGTCTGGACATTTGATCCAGACATTTGACATTGGGTCTTTGTTTTGCATTCTTGGTTTTGGGTTCTTGATTTTAGGTACTGTGATTCTACTTTGGTCATTAATAATATCTCTTACCTTTTGGGATAAATAAATGGGAATACTGCAATATCTCTTTGAATATTAAGGGAAGGGGCAGAATCTTGGGATGACCAAAATCGATTTTGTCATTTTTAAAACATGTGTATACAGACCAGATTTATTCTTTGGAAATAGAGAATCATATTGCTATGGATAGCATTTACATAATTGTTGGTATACTTCAAGTATTCCTAATAGAAAGAGAAAAAAATATGATTAGTATGAGAGAATAATAATTATAAAGTCTTGCTTACCAGAAAAAGTGATTCTTTGGCATCTTTTTAATGCATGCATACAAAAGAAAGATAGAGAAAATCTAATAAATTTAAAATGATAATGAAGAAAGTATAACATTAATATAAGTGATTAGAAGATATTCTATTAAAGCTTACCATGTTTATTTCCATCATTAGCTTTTGATGGTTGTCATCATCATTGTTTTGCATCTAAAGATTAATAAGCTGATGATTAGCATCGCGCAATAAAAGTTGTTTGCTTTCTTATTCACCTTTGTAAGCCAGTGTGTTATGTTAACTCACGCAGAAAGTCCTATATAATAAAGACGATAGAAGTTTTTTAGTGTTAATAATCATGTAAAATAAAGTAAAAAAAAAAATTAAGTAATTACCATAGTGTAGAAAAAGAAGCAAAAGTAAACAGTAAAAGAGAAAGAGAGAGAACAAAAAAAAGAAAAATAAAAAACAAATTGTAAGAGTAGTGAAAAAGCTTATTCTATTCTCAGAATTTATTAGGGTCTATTATAATTTAACACATGTGTTCCTATAATTTTTTCTTTTGTTGCTGTACACCCAAAAAGTATTGGGACATATAAATACTACTTCTATTTGCCAGATTATTATATCCTCCCTCACATTGTATTAGAAACCTCACATACTATTACTGTGCTTTACCATGTATGTTTATATAATTAAAATAATATTTTATAATATTCTTCTATATATGCTTTATTTATTTATATTTATTTATTTTTTAAAAAATATGTAAATATCTGTAGCATGCCTTCCAATGCCACTAGAAAATCAGGACGCAAAGGCAAACAGAATGCCCGAGGAACACTTAGCCATGTTGCTGCCAGCCGGATTGAGCAATGTGAGATTGCTCCAAGAGTATTGCCACTTGCAGCTGGTCCAAGTGGGACAGAGGCTCCTGGAATGACTGTCAAGTCCCTAACGCAGGTTATGGCAGCCATCAACATGATGTACGATCGTACTGTCGAAGCCAACACTGGAATTCGTTTTCTGGTTGATGCTCACAACCAAGCCATTGCCCAGCAAGCTCTTGTTGCATCTTCTGTAACTCAGGGAGTAACTGCTACCAATGTGTCTACAAATAGACACACCAAAGGCGAAATATGTGCAATTGTTCTGGTATGATTTTTTCTGACTTCATGCTTTAACACACTACCTAAATAATAATATGAATAATCATATAGAATCTCATCAATGGGAGAATGTGGGCGAGAAACTTCCGTTCAGATGATTTTGAGCTTGTTGCTGAAAACAAAAGCTGCAGGTGATGGAACACAGCTGAGAGGATCGATCATCCTGACAATGTTGAGGTGATTAATTACCTCTGACAGTATATCATTGCCCAGCCTCGCACAGCTGGGTTCTGGGAGGATATGATAGTGCAGAAAATAAAAAACAATTACAAGACATGTTTTTGTGCTGTCAACGCAACCCCGAGCAAATGTCTTCCAAAAGGCGCAATAATTGTATCAACAACCATTGCATTGAGGTAAAATTACAAACAAAAAAGAAGAAATTAAATATTTTGCATTCTGTTCTAATCATTTTAAAATATATCTAGATTCACTTGCATCGTGTTGATACCTACATTAACAATTGGCTAGCAATTGACACTGAGATGGGATACAAGCCAGGTAACCCTGATGAGATGGCATACTTGCATCTTCTCAAGAAGAGTGTGATATCTGATAGTGAATCAGAAGATGAGAACGTCACTCCTATAATCCGTGTGCGGGTTTTGCAGGTTGCTCGTCCTAGTTGGAGAAGTGCTGAGGTAATTTTTTTAAAGGTGTACACTATAATATATTTCTATAAAAAGATGACTGTACAGAAATAAACTAACTAATTATACATAGCTGAATAGGCTTATTCAGTTCATTGATTTCTTGGCAGCAGAGAATGACAAGAAGATTGCAACACCACAATCAAAGCAAAGAATGCCCAGATACCTAAAAACCATTGAGGTCACTCCTGTCCCCAGTCACCTGACTGCGATCCTTCCTGTCTGGGCAATTTAAAACCAATAAAAACAAACAATTTGCTCTCTTTTTTTTCACTGGCATATTAAAAAAATTGAATAATATTATTAGAAAGAAAAGAAGGGATAATTATATATTTTAAAAGTAAAGTTTTCTAGACAAAGAAACAATAAGTTTTTTGCTGATATTTTGTAATGTCGTATGGTCAACAATTGCAACAGGAAGGAGAATTTGGTGCACTGGCAAGATGCTTTGAAAGTCAGGCAAAGAAAACGCGACATCCCATATTTCTACGCCTGCAATTTTTCTACTTGTCTCCTTGGAAGCCTTGTACCATTTTACATAAGCAAATGTATGTTGGCTACTTTGGGGTGTTCTGTGATGTGGAGTAGAAACAAGTGGACTAAATGAATGAACAAATAGGTACTGAATCTCTCCGACATACGCATACTTTGCTCCGTTTCGACCTTCTATAAACATTGCTTGTATATATGATCCTCTTCCATTTGTACCTCTACTTCCCTTGAATGTCTGGCCAAGGAGGTTGACGGATTTGAGCATTTCGATCCAGTCATTGACGAAAGCTGTATCTTGAATCACATCTTTGCAACTGGAGATGGTGGGATCATTGTAAACAGCTTGGTAATATCCTACCAAACAATCATACTCCTGTCTTGGCATCATCTCATACGCTTTTTTTTTGCAAGGGCAGCGCTGATGGTAGCAAAGGCGTGTTACCACGAATTGACAAGTTTGGATTTTCGGCAGCATCAAGAAAGTCTGGTAGAGAGAACCAATTGTACAAGGCGGTGCTAGTTGTAGAATCAGCAGGACTATAACCAGTTACCAATTTATCAAAGATGCCGGAGAAATTGAATGGACCAGATGTCTTCAAGAAATTGCAAACAAAATCGCCTTTACGGGTATCTTCAATGAATGTTTTCATGTATGTCATTTCAAAGCCGCTCCTTCTGTTGGTATTGATATTCTTTAGAACACTGTTGTATCGCTCGAAACTAAAGAGCCAGTACCCATAAACAGGCCCTAAGTCCTTGATTGTGTTGCGAAGATGAAGATGGAGATGCATGTTTGGAGATAACAGATCCTTGCTATACAGCCTTTCACAATCTTTACCAAACTTCTCAAGTGCTATGTGTGCTGACTGTATATCATCTTTGGAAACATTTGGCTTGGTAAGGAAACGGCAGGCATTCACAAAAAACATCCAATTCTCAAACTTTTGCTTTGGTAGTACGCCTTGTAGAACCACTGGAGAGTATACCAGACACCACGATTTCCACTCGTCTGCATTTATAAAGGGAAATCCCTTTGAAATCTTTGATCTTAGCATGGTGTAATCAGGCAGCAATGTCATGTTTTCAACGATTTTCTGCATGGCAACGAGTTTTTTATTGTCAATTAGACCATCTGCAACTCATTTCTCCATCATCCTCTTGGCTGTGCCTAAGAAGAGATTGTGCATTGGATCAATGATCATGCAGTGGACAACGTCAAAGTACTGGAGACGATGCAGTTCGGACCAGCAAACACCATTTTCAACTTCAAGACGATGTCTCTCAGCTTCAGTGGTTGCATTCCTCCAGACCTCAGCATCCTTACAATTATCATTCTTAGTGCGAAGGAGCCACTTTGAGAAATCAAATCCAGAATAATCGACAGAGCTCGTTCCAGCTAATCGGGAGAATTGGCGATTACATTTGTGGCATGTGTTTGTACTGATATGGGACGTGAATCCACACACTTTTTGGGCAGCAGGGATGTCGCAGGCAACCATAAACAGAGCAGCACAGATGGTGATACCATTTGGGCATTGATATGTCTGGACTCTGACTCCCTTGTACAACTTTTCTAATTCATCAACCAGAGGTCTGAGGTACAAATTTATCTCGGATGTTTTTGCTTCTTTCGGACCTGACATTAACCCAACGAGAATGACATTTTCTTTCTTGAATCTTACACTTCGAGGAAGATTGTTTACAGCCAGGTAAATTGCACCACATGAATATGTCACACCGTCGAATGGCTGGAACCAGTCAATGTTTAAGGTCAACATCAGTGAGCGGTTGCCATGAACAAAGGGAATTCCATTGGTGTCTTTCAAATCCTTCCACATCAAGCCATCGTACACATCGAACATAGTATTCTCAGCCTTCGGGCTACGGTTCCACGAGTCGATTTGGGTTTCAAAATCAGGCCGAGAAAAGAGAGCTTTGATCGAATTCTGAACAGAGTGATACATATATGTTCTTTTTGGAATGGACAACTGATTTCCCAACTTGAACAAACTATTACTGCACATTGAGTTATTCCCAAATTTATTAAAGATACAGAAGCGGGGTGTTGATTCATTGTTCTCATATATGCAGTGACATTTGCTACAAGAAACATATTTCTTTATACCGTCTGTAAAGGTATTGAATCCTGCCATGCTTTTGAGACCAGGGATGCTAACTGGGAGACGGAATGGATCTCTGAAAAGCTCGAGTATTTTGTTTATGATGGCAATGAGAAGAATGGCACCTTCATCAACAACGTACAAGGATACAAAGAGTGCAAGAACCTGTACAATAAAACAATGGATGAAACTCAATTCTGAGTTGAATTCAGGAAAGTTGTCTTTTTTAAAAAAAATTAATTTCTATTATTTTATACAGCAGAACCCAATATCCATTATGAAAGTGTGCAAACCTTCACTATCAAGCATGTCATCCTCACTGGAATCATCTTCGCAACTGTCAGAATCAAGATCAGAGTTAAACTCTTCATTCTCATAACCAAAGACAGCATCGGATTCTGAGAGAGGTAAGACTCAAATAGGCTCTTGTGTCTCCATGTCTACTTATATACTGGTGTCCATTTCTACCGGAACCATAAAAGAAGTTAGAGCAAATAAAAATAAAAATAAAAATAAAAATAAAAATATATATTTTTACCATCAAAGTTATAATCCATATCATATTCATTGTCTATGGCCACCGAGTTCTGTTCATCATTGTTGATAACTTCAGGAACATAGCTTACAGTAGTTTTGACTGATCTCTTAATAATCACTATATTACATATGTTATTAAATCGAAAATATAAATATAAATATAATTAAAACATAAAAGAAAATTCCCTACATCTATTACGAAAGATGTTCATTCCAGCATCATCTCTTCTTTTATGAAAATTAAATGTCTGTACAGACACTGTATCTGATCCTCCAAATCTTATCTTGCAAACAAAATATTTGCATTCTTTTGTTTTGTTTGATTTACGGGTTGGTGCCATTGCTTAATAATTATTAAAATAATATTATTTTTTAAACAGTAAAGAAGATAAATATATATTCAGGTACAGTTTATTTCATTCAATTTAAGTTTATTATTGTATTTTTTTATGCTACTTGGTGCTCTATGACCAATAGAATCGTTTTAAAAAAATTGCAATGCTTATTCTACAAAAAAAAATCCTGCACTACAAATTTGGGTTTTCTGTCCACCGAATTTTACATCCCATCACATATGGGAATCGGGCATTTTTTTGCAGTATCCTTTACCCTTGCTGTCATAGTGTCGCGTCATAGGCACTAATGCCTGAGTGCAGCTGTTGTCCTACTGTTCTTCCTGTCTCTGCAAGCCATTGGTTCTTTTGTTTCCTGTCCAATTGAGTTTTGATGCTGTTCTGGTCTGATCTGGTCTAGTTCTGGTGCCCATTTCTGATGCAATTTATGATGCCTGTCATGAGCTTAATAAAGCATGTTCTCTTCTTTATAAGTCTTTGTCAAAAAATTAGCAATAACTAGAAATAAGTTCCTTGTCCTTTCCTTCCTCTCTTGTAATAAGATTTCTCATATAAGTTTTGATGACAGCTATATGATCCATAAATTGCCAGCATTAAGTCACACTATGGGAAAAAAAGAGTGTCTGCCGGAGGTTCACTGGGGGGCCACTCAGGAGGTCGCTCAGATGGATGTTTTTCACCTTCTGTCTGTTATGGATTATTGTATAACCCCGCTCATTAACAAATGTGAAGTTTTATTCAGTTACCTATACACATTTTTGTAATCTATATTTGACTTTTTATTGGTACTTATATACAAAAGCCTTGGTTTATAATTCTCTTTTATTGGGTATTATAATTTACATCTTAACCTTATATCTAAAACCATTGCTCACTTTTCAATTAATATTCACTTGATTAGTTTTCATTTATATAGAGCTTGGATTATTAATAATTTTAATTAGATTAAAAGTATATTTTTCAACAAATATTTTTATAAATGAGGATTTTATTAGTTATTGGAATAGAAATAAATTTTACAAAACATGATTTATTAGTTGTCAAAACACAAAATACACTGATTGTTAAAAAAAAACGCAATTTTCTCTCAGCTGACTAAATTTCAGTCTAACATGCACTTCTTTGATTTTAAAAAAAGTATCAAGAAAAAGAAGTATACATCTAAAATTAAAATGATATATAGTAGTTTACATATACTTTCAGAATATGTTATTAGACTTGATATTTATTAATAGTTTGTTGGGCAGCCTTTTGCATCAATTACTGCCTGGCATCTTCAATGCATACTTGAAATCAAGCTATCCAAATATCTATGAGGAATTTTCTTCCATTCCTTCTCAAGAGCAGCATAAAGATATTTCAGGCTGTGCAAGCTGTATCTTTTTGACCGGACTCTTTTGCTAACATAATCCCATAGATGCTCAATGGGATTAAGATCCAGACTTTGAGGAGGCCAGTCAGCCAAAATTTTGAGCTTATGCTGCTTCTTCCAATTTACAGTAACATTGCTTGTGTGTGCCTTGGCGTTGTCTTCTTGGAGTACCAAGTCATCCCAACCAGTTTGCTGCTGGATGGCTGAGAGAGAAGGAAGATATGCCTCTTCTAATACTTCAACATGCTTCTTGCCATTGGCTTGTCCGTTTATGATTTTTAAAGCCCCGACACCCTTGCTGAAGGAGCATCCCCAAACCATAAAAGAACCACCTCCAAACTTCATGGTTGGAGAGATAAATGTAGTACGAAGACCAGCATTGTTCTTGCGGAGAACTCTCTTGCGGCCATCATGACCAAAAAGTCGGAATCGTTTCTCATCAGTCCAAATGATTTTTTCCCAATTCTTAATGCTCCAATCAAGATGAGCATTGGCCCATGGAACGCATTTCTTTTGATTCTCAATAGATATTTTGGGCTTCTTCATTATTCTACGGGAATATATGCCATGACTGCGAAGAAAATATCTTAGAGTGTTTGCTGATATGGGATTCGCAATGGCTTTTCTGATGTAAGACATTGGTTGCATTGGATCCTTTGAAATCTCACGCAGGATCTCTCTTTTATCTCTTGCGTTTAACTTCTTTGGTCTCCCTGGGTTCTTGACTCTCTCATACGACCCAGTTTCTTTGTAGTGCTTAAGCACTCTTGAGACAGTATAAGGGCTAACATTAAGCATCTTAGTAATGTCACATTGCTTGGTGCCATTTGTAATACTCTCGTGTACAATAATAGCACGAGTTACATTGTCAGTTTTTTTTCTTCCTTCAGTCCTGGGAGTAGGTGGCATATTAGTGCTTTTAGTTTTTTGATTGCTTTATTAAAATGTGAATTTAGAAGAAGAACATCGTGCAAGTTTAGAGAGGTTTTGGACTATAAATTCTTGCATTATTTTTCAACACTCAGTGTAGTTTATTGGTTGTCAAAACAAAAAATGTCTTATTATATATAAATTATACTGACTAAACATCATTTTATTTACTACAAACTCTATTGATAGGTGATATTTTATTATATGATACCTACCAGGCATAGACTTACAATCTACTGTCACTTTTTATGGTTTTTCCATAATTGGCTGACTTTGGCAACAGATGTCCAGTTCTTGTGGCATCTGGTAAAGTCTATACCACTATTTCTTAATAGACATGCATGTCTGATGCACGCCAAGTTCTTGTCTTCTTGAGATATTATAGTCCAGTTTGGATTTGATTCTAGAACTTGCACAGAAGAAAGGGAGTCCAGTTCATTGCAGACAAGACGTATACAAATTATGAGGATTGCCTTGTTTTTCTTGTCCAGTTCAACTCCAAGATCATGGCTCATTATTCTGTAGATATGCACCAGAGTTATATCTTTGATATTTGGTACTGGTCTTGGAATTGGCCCACTGAGATTCTGTATTATCTTATGTTAGCCTGTATATTTTACTTCTTTTTATTATTTCTTATGCTATGTACTATTGTCAGCTCTGGGCTTTCTTGGCCATTAATATCTTTACAAACATTGGCAATCTCCTGCCTAAGCAATGCTTGTTCATCCCAGAGTATTTCTTGACCTTTCTTGAGCATATCTTGTTTAACCTGAAGTTCTTTCTAGTCTTTTTGCAATGCAAAAAGTGTTTCTTGCATGCCCTGAAGTATCTAGAGAATTGTATAATCTGTATTATTCATTGTGTTAGAAAAATCAGAAATATGAGGTTGTGAAAAAAAAAGAGGAAGAAATTTTTTTTTCTAATTACTATCAGATTTATTTTGGTATATCTATTGGTTTAATGGGGTTTATTGTTTTTATTATAATAGCTGCAATAACTACATACCATGTGTTATTACCTTCACGAGTCCTGTGAGGGAGTTCAAATTATCTATATCATTGTCACCTTCAATAGATTAAGTATAAAGACACATATTGAGAAGATAAGTATCTCTATTCTTACCAAAGTTACCAAATACCTATTTAAAAATGTTATCAATTAAAAAAACTCTTCTTCATAAATACGGTTCTTGCAAAAAAAAACCTATAATAATATGAAAATAACTGAGAAGTGCTTAATCTTGTGCCTAAAAAATCAGTTAGAAAATATGAGAAATGCACACTTGTCTGTAACTCCTTTGCTTTTGATGTCTAGCCAGTCTGTTTCAGCTGCGATTTCAGACTTGATACTTAAGTGAGTTTGACAAAAACAAAAGTTAAAAAAAGCAAACTATGTATTAACAATATTGATGCTTCAAATAAATAGAGAAAATACGAGCACAATTAGTCATGAAAGCACTGATAGTAATAATAGCACTGACCTTGATGATCTCATGGTAAGGTATATATATATGCATATACAAATACATTCTACTAATTTGATTTTGTGTTATTTAAGTGCGATATCGAATGTGAGAGTGAAATTGAAAGTAGCACCTCTCTCTTGATTTTCAATTTTAGCCAGCCTTCTCCTGTCTAGAGCAACAATGATGCAAAGAACCTGGAGTTTATGCAAATCATCAATGACTTTGGCATTTCCTGTCAAGCTCATGAGAAGCTTGCTGCACATCTCAACAACATTCTGGGGATGCCAACCAAAATAACATACAGAGTGTGTACAGCATACCTGGGCAAGGAGCTTTTGAAGCATTTCCCTAGTGTAGAGGAAACAGTATATGACGTCTGCCAAAATGGATGTATGATGTTTAATGATGGAGAGGTTGCTTGTGAGTATTGTGGTGAAGCTTGCTACAAAAGCAACAAAACTGATAAGGACGGTATACTCATTGCCGAGAAAACCATGGTCCAGATCCCTTTGGACAGCCAAATTGCCCTTTCTTTGGCCAACAGTGGTACCAGACATGAGATGCTATAACATTACAATCACAAGCAAAAGACAGATTGCAGCAAGGCAGACATCTTTGATAGACACGCATATCAATCAATCAAATACCTTTTCTCTGGTGAAAAACGATGTTGCAATTTCTTTGTCTGTCAATGGCTTTGTACCTCATAACATTCCTAGTTCGATTACTATTCTGTATGCCACAGTTCTTAATCTTCCTCCAATGGTCGGTTATGAGAAAAGCCAGATGTTACAAATTGTGATGATCCCAGGTCCTTTCACACCACTTAACTTCTGGTCATTTTTGCAGCCAAACTTGGCAGACCTCAAGGTACTCCAAGAGGAAGGAATAGTTGTTATAACCCTAACTCTGACCATCCGAGCAAAGGTCTATGTCCTTGTTGTAACTGGTGATATTCTAGCAGTGGCAAAGCTGGCATGTCATGCTGACCATATGAGCAAAAGTGGTTGTTGAATCTGTAATGTTATGGGCCAAACTACTGACTGTGGCCAATATTTTAGATCTTTATCAGACACTACTATGCGCACTTCAGAAAGTTTCCAAAACTTTGATCAAACAAGTTTGTTCAGCAAGGGTCTTGTAGGACAATCTCCTTTTTCTTCACTGGCATCATTCACAGGCCTGCTCTTTTTTATCCTTGACAAGATGCATGGCCTTTGCCATGGAATAGGCAAGCAGGTCTGGGAACTTATTGGTGGAAAGTATGGAATTAAGCACTCTCTGTTTCTTTCTGCTAATGTACTCAAGAAAATCGGCGTGGGAATGGCAGCAACAAGAAAAACAATCCCAACAGTATTTCATGGCTCTTAGAGAAACATATACAAGTACAGTGGATACTTCAAAACTGTAGACTGAGCCGATTTCCTTCTCTTCATTGTCTCTACACTGGTGGCCGAGCATGTAAAAGATACAACTGCCAGGAAAGCATTGCTTGGACTTGTGCAAGCTTGCAACTTACTCATGAGCTAGGAGTTATCAGCAGAGGAACAAACCTCTACAAAAAGGTATGTTTAATAAGATTCAGTATTTTTTTCTTGCCACTTATAATTTTCTTCTAGAAAATTACAATTATAGAGCATGTATCTCGAATACCTTTATTGGAATGATAAAATAGAAATAACAGTGTTTACCATCGACCAGCATCTTCTACAATATTACCCTATTATGATCAGTGCCTTTGGTTCTCCTTGTGCATACAGCACAAAATCAGTGAAGTGTGCTATTGGTGCGTACTCTTGTGCCATCAAAAGCAATTCAGCAATTGGTATAAATGCTGGAAACATAATAGTCAGGCTGGCTTATACACGGCAATTGTTGACTGATTCTGATGGAAGCAAACAGAGAGGTGTTATATTACAGTACAAAGATATGTCTGCTGATTGGCCAATTACTAGCAAGGGTGAGTGTGCTGGTGCAGATTCTGATATTGAGTTCTGGAAACCTTTAGAATATGAAACAATTGATAACAGTTTTGAAAACATTTCTTGTCTTCCGATTCTTATTTGAGACTTTTATAGATCAAAGGGGATTGAATGCGGGACGATTGAACCAGCTATAATAACTTTTTTTTTAGTATTTTATTGATCTACTGTCACACTCTGTGTGCAGCTTTTAAAATGCCATCAAAGTAGACTTAATTGAACAGATAAGAGATAGAGAGACAAGGGGGAGAAAATACGAAAATATAAGAAAAAAACAGAATGAAATAGGAGAAACCAGCTATAATAACTAGTCGCAAAGCTTTTATTAATGGCTGTGTGATTGACTTCTCATTTGCCCAAAATATATTAAGAGAGGTGCATCACGTTTGTTTTCAGATGCAAGTCGATCTGTTCACAAATGTATGTTGCCAATATTCTCCCATTACAAAGGACTTCTTTGGAAAAGTAATTCTTTTCTTTGAACATAAGAATTCTGGTAAATGATGACCTCTTGTTTTGGTGCTGATATATAGCACTGTATTATACAATGGCATTTTGGTGGTGGTAAATGGCCAGCTCAAATCAAAGGTAGTCTATCCAGCAAATGTCAAGGAGTTGGTTAGTCTTGTAATATCAGATGCAACAGATAGTACAATAACAACAACAAAGTATATAGTGTGACCAGAACTTAACCGCGGCCCAAAATTAAATCTTGGTCAATATAGAGACCTATAATTTGTTTTTATTTATTGTAATACATTTCTTTTTTAAATTGTCTTGACGAATTTCATTTTTGCAGTAGAAAGTTTAGATATTTTTCTTGTCTTTTACTTCTGACTTTTAATAGTCCTCAATTTCAATCTATACAATCTAAAAATGTAAAATCTGTAGTTGAAATGTACTTTTGTCTCTTTTGTGATTTAATTCTAGGTAGTTAATTTACTTTTTATCAGTTATTTCAAAAAACGAAGATTTTTTTGTTTCATTTTAATTTTTTAGTGATTTTTTAACTATTATAGACCAAAAATGAAGTCACAATTACAAAAAACACCTCTTTTTTCCCATAGTATTTAGAAGATGATGAAGACAAAGAATATACTGATTTTACAATGTTTTAATAAAAACATTTTATGAAATATTGATTTAATATTATTTGATTTAATAATATTTAAATAATTATAAAAGATTACTAAAATAGTAATATAAAAATAAAACATAAATACGTTTTAATTCAAATATATCAAAAGAATAATATTATTCTACATCTAATAATAGGTATGAGTATCAAGTCTTGATCTGTTATTTCTTTTCTGGCATTTGTAACTAAGTCACAGAATCAATATCACTAGAGATTGCAAGTTTTAATAATAGTTTTTAGATAAAAATAAAGATAATTTTTATTAAATGTAATTCTTAACTATTTATACAAAACGATTATTCTTTTCTGATTAAAAGAATAGCTACAATAATATGTTTTAAATGGTGGTTATCCAGTAACATCTCTACAATTATATTTCTCATCTCCAACATCTAAAGCATAGACAAAAGATCAATCAACAAAGTCAAGATCTTTTATCTTAAAAAGTCAAATGTTACTAGTTGCTTATAACTTCCGATTTTAGTTACTGATGTCAACTCTGACATATTCACAATAGGGATCTTAGACACATCATATATAATTTATTTAAACGGAGATTGTGCTCTTAAAAAGGAATAATTTGTTTCAAAATCGCATTATTTTATATGATATAAAAACATTATATAAAATATTTTATATCATATAAAAAGATGATATAAAAAGTGTTGACTAATCATCTTTCAATATTTTATGTTGTTAAACTAACAATGACATAAAATTTAAAATAGAAAACAAATTATGTTTTTAAGTAAGCATATAAAGAAGTTCATATAGTCACAGCATTAGATTTTTTTCCCTTTATTTGCGCAAGCATTCTATATATACAAATATTAATTAGTATCTTTTAGCTTTAATGTTTAAAAAATTAAACAGCTATTATAATTTGAGGCCAAAAAGTAACAAACTTTGATTCACACTAATTACATGATTTTAAGTTCATGATTTTAGTAAATTAACATGACCAATAAATGCAATATCACACATTTTCATTATATATGAAAGTCTTGAATGTGAAACATGAGACTGTATAAAATTATATATAAGGTTAAATGTTTCAAAAAAATTTATATGATATGTCCAAGGTACCTAATGTCCTAGTTGGTGGTAATCATTTATAAAAAACTTATATAAGATAAAATTGTCAGAGTTGACATTGGTAACCAAAATTGGAAGTTACAAGCAACCAGTAACAGTTAACCTTTTACAATAAAAGATCTTGACTTTGCTAATTGGTCTTTTGTCTATGCTTTAGATGTTGGAGATGAGAAATATACTTGTAGAGATGTTACTGGATAACCACCATCTAAGACATATTATTGTAGTTATTCTTTTAACCAGAAAAGAACAATCATTTTATATAAATTGTCAAGTCTCAATCTGATATTTCTTTTCTGGCACTTATAACTAAGTCACAGAATTAATATCACTGGGGATCATCAAGTTTATGAATAGTTTTTAGATGAGAATAAAGATACTTTTTATTAAATATATTTCTTGACTATTTATATGAATTGATACTTGATTTCTGGCTAAAAAAATAGCTATATTAATATGTCTTAGATGCTAGTTATCCAGTAATATCTTCTATGTTGTGGTGGTTGAAGTTGAAGAAGTTTTTCAGAGGAAGAATTGAAGATTTGAGATTCGGAACGAAGATTCGTGAGAACTTATGTACGTTTTGTTTATTGAGAAAGGATTTTATATCAAAGTTTGACCCAGTTCCTACACTGAACTACTACTGCTATTTGTATTGTTTTGGATTGGGAAAATTATATGACTGGGGTCAGGTAATTGATCCTATCTAAGCCTTAATCAGAGCAATGTGATCTTGGGATAATTAATGTATGATTAATTATATAAATGTGTGTAGTCCCAATGAAGTATTAACATCGAAAGTAAATGTGTTTATGAGTTATAATTATGCTTATAATAATCCACTGATGTATCCCATATTATAGTGATATCATCATATGAAATATAATCACTATCATGCATGCTAAACCTGTGTGTTAAATAATAAAGTAATTGGTAGACACCTTTGACTGGAATAGCTGAGGCCTTATATTATTTTATTCAGACTTATTCTCAATTACAGCAGTAGTCAATACTCATTTACAACATTCTACAAGTATATTTACCATCTTAAACATCTAAAATATATACAAAAGACCAATTGGCAATGACAAGATCTTTTACTCTAAAAGTCAACCATTATTGGTTGCTTGTGAATTCCGATTTTGATTGCCAATGTCAACTCTGACAAAATAGTCAAAAATTACATTTAATAAAAATCATCTTTATTTTCATCTAAAAACTATTCTTAAAAACTTAACGATCCCCAGTGGTATTGATTCTGCGACTTAGTTACAAGTACCAGAAAAGAAATATCAGATCGAGACTTGGCAAAATAATAGAAATATACATCATTCAATAATTGACAAAGAAAAGACTGTATGCGCTCCCGGGTGGGCTCGAACCACCAACCTCCTGATTAACAGTCAGACGCGCTGCCAATTGCGCCACGGAAGCGTAGTTATGGTGGCACGTAATGTAGTTATTTACTTAGCCTTAGTCTAAAAACCAAATTCTACAAAGTTCAGACTTTCTTTTGAAAACCTCTTTTATTTTTCTTTAAAATTTTAATTTCTTTCTTCTATTTTCACAAAATCGCCTTTTTCCAAGAACCGATTTTCTGAAAATTAAAATCTTTCTTCTTTATTTTTCCCAAAATTATTTTCTACCTTTTCTTTTTATTTTATTACTGCGCACTAAATGTGACATTTCCTCTCAAATACTACTTTACTAAAATTGTTAACTGAATAGTTTTTCCCTTTATTTATAATATACTTTTTTCTGATATTTTTTTTCTTATAGTTATATATTATAACTTCATCTATTTTTTCTTTTATAACAAAATATTTCACTATGAATGAAATTGGTATGACTGCCACTAATGGTAGTGAATATGTTACTAATTTGTTTTAATTAACTAATCAAATTGGTTCTAGAGTTTGGTAAAAATATTAAAAAAAGATGAAAAAAATAAAGTTGTATTTAAGAGTAAAATAATATAATAGAAACGTTTTTTTTACATACATATCATATAGAGAGTATAACGATTTGATTTATTTATTTTTTATTTGAAATTGTAAAACTTTTTTTTTATCTCATTATCAAGATTGTTGTATTTTGACAATACCACTAATCAATGTGGCAGACCAACTATCTTTCCCACTAATTTACCGAAAGTGTGGGATTTAAATTGATTTTTTTTTAAATTTTATTTTGTTTGAATTTTTACTTTGCATTTTTTTTCTTTTCAACATAAATAAATATCATATTAAAGTTATTTTTTAAGATGATAATGAATTTCTATAGCTACTTTATATATCTAAATTACATGACTTGCTCTCTATTTTATTTTTATCTGTTTTAATTTGCTAAAATAAAAATATATTTTAATTATTAAAAAAACAAAAAGTTATTTTTTATTGCTTGTGAAAGGAGTAAGACATATTTTTGTTACAATGACAGAGGCTTGTGTTGACTTTATCTTAACAAGAACAGATAAGATACTAAGTGCAGCTGCAAGGATAAATGCACTGGTCAACTATCTGTAAAAAAAGAAACAGGAGACAGATATCAGCATATTCTTAGAAGAGCAAAAGCTCATTTAACTGCAGTTTCACATATATACAAGGCAATGCCAACTGTGGTGATTCAGACATTTGGTTGTTGGATTTATTACATCTAAGAATATATTCCTATTATTATAGTAAAACAGCTATCATTATAAGAACAAATGAATAATTTATTTATTTTACTTATAGTAAATCAATAAGACCAATAATTAATTACAGTAAGTATTGTAATTATGACAGCTCAGTAAGCACTGAGTTAATATGAGGATACTGCAATTAGATTAAATTATAAACATAGCAGTACCAGCTCTCTAATATTTAAATGAACTCAGACTTAAAAAATTAAGATATGACTGACAAAGCAGATCATGTTTTAATATAAAAAGAACAACTTTTTATTCTTTAATAAAGACAACCTATATACAGTCTCAAAGTATTCTTATATACATCTCAATCTTTTTACTGTTGATTTTATTTTATAAAACTTCACATTTTTTACTTTGAATTCTATAATATCTTCCCAGCACTCTGCTGCCAACTCTCTTCCTCATGAAGAACAAAGCCCTCTTACCAAAGTTGGTATTCCCTCTTCTGTTCTGAGTGAACAGACACATCTCACAGAAATTGGTGACATTTCTCCTCTCTTTGGATCCACTGCTCTTTCCATTGATAGTGATATTGAAATGATATACACCAGTCTTGATTCCTTGCCACCTCTTTCAGTTGTTGGTTCTGTCCCTCCTACTCCTGTGCCTACTGTCCCATCAGCCATTAATAGCAACACTAGTAGTTCCATCACTTTGGAAATGTTGTTAGCTTCTGCAAAGAAAGACCTTAGCATAAAGAAGAACAACATTTATGTGGCTTATGCTAACTATGTGGCTCTTTCAGAGGTCAACCCCATGTCAGATGCGGCCAGACATGCTTCTTTCATTAAGAGAGAAGCTCAAGAATTGTTTGAGAATGCCCAGAAGACCCTCAAGGTGCTTGAAAAAGCTAACGCCCCTCCTGCTATTCTTGAAGACAAGAAGAGCATGGTAATCCCTAGCAACTTACCTTTCTTGCAGCTCTGCACGGAAACCAGGATGAAGCAAAATCGTGGCGTGTTTGACTCTGTGTACGATTTTTGCTAAGAATTCACTATGGTCTTGGAGTCTCATTCCCTGTCCTTGGACTCATGCTGGGAGCGTCTGCTTCCCATATGCCTGAACAAGGAGGAAATATCCTGGTTTGAAGACAAACTAAAGGGAAAGGCATACAAGTAGAAGAAGGCAGAAGGGATTCTGCTGGATCACTATGATACTCCTTTCAGAAGATTTCTGAACATGGGTCACGTGTGGAAAATGATGCAGAAGAAATGTGAGTCAGTTCGTGCATTTGGAGCTAAATTTCAAACAGCTAGAAGACAAGCATCCTTGAAGGATGATATTCAGATAGTTCTTTGTTTCTGGTAGAACTTGCACCTGGAAGTCTGGGAAGGAAGCCTGATCTCATTGTCGGCCAACTATGGCACCAAACTGCCCTCCAAAGTGGAGGATATAATCTCATTAGTCAGTGTAGCTACTAGCAATTCCACGGCCCTACTCAACCAACCTGCGGAGTCTGGCACCCCTGCTAAATGGAAGTTATTTGCCAATGCCCATAGTATCTTCTCTTTGATAAGCCACAAGGGAAAGAACAGAGCTATTGCCAGAGACAACGATCCTAAGTGTTGTGGGGAGAAAATAAAGCAAAATATAATATAGATGAAAGAATTCGTGAGAACTTGTGTAGGTTGTTTATTTCAAAAGAAAAGTAAAGAATGATAAAATTCGATTGTCTTTCTACACGGAACTATCTACTGATATTTATATGTTTTTCTAATTTGTAATTCAGTGTGTGCTTAAGTAATCTTTATCACGATGAGTCATATTCCAGGAGTATTGTTCTTCTGGAAAGATCCGGAAAGACCAATTGATATGACACTTCTCCAGTCAGATCAGTCCAAGAGTTTTGGTAAAGAAGAGCATTTATGCTATTGGTAATATTTTAGTATTCCGACCCAGATACTCGGGTAATGTTTCATAATATTAGATAGTTGTAGTTGTAGTCTCTCAATTAAGTATTTGTATAATAAAAGAAATATGTAGATGAAATATAATGATGCCATATATATAATGTATATGTATTTGTATATCCCATGTCATGGTGATAATAAAAAATAATCAATTATGTGTATGATGATCTGTGTATTAGATAATATCATAAAGGGAGATCTGTTTGACTGGAATAGCTGAGGATATTATTTTATCCTTCAGTCTTACTCTCAGATTCAGCAGTAATCAATACTCATTCACAACACTAAGCACGCCAAGAAGTCTTGGAATTTTAAGAAGGCAATCAAAGATAATGTTTGCTTTTCTTGCAAAGGTGCTTGGGAGAATGGTCACACCTGTCCTGAAAGGGATAATTACTTGACAAAGGTGTCAAGAATGGCTGTGCGCTCACCTGCTGATAGATCAGTAGCTTCCTCCCCTGCTTGTGGTGGTTTCACTCCTTCTTGTGATAGTCATTTCTCTGTTTGTGGCAATTCTTCCCCTGCTTGTGGTGGTTTCACTCCTTCTTGTGATAGTCATTTCTCTGTTTGTGGCAATTCTTCCCCTGCTGGTAGTTCCTCAACGTCGTGGTCAATGGACCAAGATAACACAAGTGCTTTGGCCAAGATGGCCTTGAATTGTAAGGACAATCATAAAGACATGGTCATTAAAAAAGATTTTAAGAACGTGAGCACTAATATTACCTTTCCCATTCTGGTAAATAATTCTATTAGAACCATCGCCTTGTTGGACTGTGGCGCCACATTCAGTTCTGTGGATAAGAATTTTTGTTTACAGAATAAAATATCTATTAATTATGTAAATCACATCAACAAAGCCTTAGTGAACAATTCCAATGTTCATAAGTATTTTATTCGTTTGGCTGATAGCAATACACATATTAAAAGAATTGGCACTTGTGTGTTCAGTGTAACTTGTAATAGTAAGACTATTCAGAGAGAATTTGAAGTGATAAACTTAACTAATAGTTATGAGTATGATTTCAGTATTGGCACTGATTATATGTCCACTCTGGGTATTGATATTTATGGTTTACCTCTATCATATGATGATGCTGATTCAAGTGAAGAACGTAGAGAAGCTGATAGATGCTTCAATAACAAAAGTGATCTTCTTAAATCCCTAGAGAGAGAGAATGAATAAAAAGAAAATAATCCAGCTGTAGGTTCAGAACAGTTTAAAGACACGATAGATTATATCAGACCATTCATTAAGGACAATCAAGATATTCCAAAGGGTTTTTTTTGTACTATACCTGAAAGTGTTGTGTGTTTGGACACACCAGAAAATGCTACAGCCTTCCAAAGCCCATATCCTATTCCATATAAGATGCAAAGTGTGGTGGATGAACAGGTAAAAGAATGGCTGGACAATGGTATAATTGAAAGAGCATCTGCAAACACACAATGGAATACGCCTTTGACTGTTGTCAAGAAGACGAACAGTAAAGGAGAAATTACTGGATATCGCGTTTGTCATGATCCCAGATTAATTAATTGTCTGTTGAAGTCAATTGATGGTATGCCTTTGCCATTGATTGGTGAATTGTTTGAAGATTTAAAGAGTGTGAATATTTATTCCACTCTGGATTTGAAATCTGCATTTAATTCTTTGCATCTGAACCCAAATGACACACACAAACTTAGTTTCACATGGCGTGGTGTACAGTACAAACCTATTGGTACAGTGTTTTGTATTAAGCATGTCAGTTCACAATTTCAAAGAACTATGAGTATAGCTTTGGAAGGACTATCTTTTGTACGGTTTTTTGTGGATGACATTGTTTGCGCAAGCAAAACGTTCGAGGAACACAAGGAACACTTGAAGCAAGTAATTGAGAGATTAACAAGGGTCAATTTGAAGTTGAATCCAAAAAAATGTCATTTCTTTCAGAAAGAAATTTATTTGCTTGGTTTTCATATTTCACCTGAAGGAATTACAATGGACTGCAGAAAATTTGTTAATGTTCTTGAATTTTCTCAACCAAAGATGGGTAAAGATATCTAAAGTTATTGTAGGTTGATCAACTATTTTAGAACGTTGATTTCGAATGTATCTTCCATTATGTCGCCATTAGATTCATTGAGAAATGAAAAGTCGATTACTCATTTATAGACAAATAAGCATCAAACTGCATTTAATAACTTGAAAAAAGCACTTTTGAGTGATCTGGTGTTGTCATACCCAGATATGAACTCTCCTTTTAGTATCAGCTGTGATGCATCTCTTACTAGTATTGGTGCAGTGTTGTATCAAGTCAAGGATGACAAGAAAAAATATATTTTTTTTGTGACTAAGAGCTTATCCCAAAGTAAAAAAAAATATTCTGCGACCAAAAGAGAATTACTAGCATTAGTATTTGCACTCAAGCGTTTTCACAAGTATGTCTATGGTTCTCACTTTACCTTGTATACGGATCACAAGGCATTGACATATCTTCACACCCAACGTGTTGCAAATCTGATGATGATCGCATGGATGGATACGATTTTACAGTATGACTTTAAGATTGTTCATTTGCCTGGTGTTTCAAATGTGCTTCCTGATGCGTTGTCACGTTTGTCTGAAGAGACTGAAACATTATCAAATGAACTGGGTGGGGATAGTGTGGTTAAATCCATCATGAGAAATAGTGCTGTCACTATGGAACCGTTACCAGACATCTTGAGTGGTGAGTACTTTACTCCTCCCACAGAAAATGAAAGGAATAAGTTATTAGTTGAAGAACATTTGAAAGGTCCTTTTGGTGTAGAAGCTATACTACATGCCTTAAAGAGAAAAGGTATTTATTGGACCAACTTGAAGAGTCAAGCAAGTGATCTTATACAATCGTGTATACAGTGTCAACGTTACAATCACTGCAAAAAAATGCCTGATTCCCATATGTGATGGGATGTAAAATTCGGTGGACAGAAAACCCAAATTTGTAGTGCAGGATTTTTTTGTAGAATAAGCATTGCAATTTTTTTAAAACGATTCTATTGGTCATAGAGCACCGAGTAGCATAAAAAAATACAATAATAAACTTAAATTGAATGAAATAAACTGTACCTGAATATATATTTATCTTCTTTACTGTTTAAAAAATAATATTATTTTAATAATTATTAAGCAATGGCACCAACCCGTAAATCAAACAAAACAAAAGAATGCAAATGTTCTGTTTGCAAGACAAGATTTGGAGGATCAGATACAGTGTCTGTACAGACATTTAATTTTCATAAAAGAAGAGACGATGCTGGAATGAACATCTTTCGTAATAGATGTAGGGAATTTTCTTTTATGTTTTAATTATATCTATATTTATATTTTTGATTTAATAACATATGTAATGTAGTGATTATTAAGAGATCAGTCAAAACTACTGTAAGCTATGTTCCTGAAGTTATCAACAATGATGAACAGAACTCGGTGGCCATAGACAATGATTATGATATGGATTATGACTTTGATGGTAAAAATATATATTTTTATTTTTATTTTTATTTGCTCTAACTTCTTTTATGGTTCCGGTAGAAATGGACACCAGTATAGAAGTAGACATGGAGACACAAGAGCCTATTCGAGTCTTACCTCTCTCAGAATCCGATGCTGTCTTTGGTTATGAGAATGAAGAGTTTAACTCTGATCTTGATTCTGACAGTTGCGAAGACGATTCCAGTAAGAATGACATGCTTGATAGTGAAGGTTTGCACACTTTCATAATGGATATTGGGTTCTGCTGTATAAAATAATAGAAATTATTTTTTTTAAAAAAGACAACTTTCCTGAATTCAACTCAGAATTGAGTTTCATCCATCATTTTATCGTACAGGTCCTTGCACTCTTTGTATCCTTGTACGTTGTTGATGAAGGCGCCATTCTTCTCATTGCCATCACAAATAAAATACTCGAGCTTTTCAGAGATCCATTCCGTCTCCCAGTTAGCATCCCTGGTCTCAAAAGCATGGCAGGATTCAATACCTTTACAGACGGTATAAAGAAATATGTTTCTTGTAGCAAATGTCACTGCATATATGAGAACAATGAATCAACACCCCACTTCTGTATCTTTAATAAATTTGGGAATAACTCAATGTGCAGTAATAGTTTGTTCAAGTTGGGAAATCAGTCGTCCATTCCAAAAAGAACATATGTGTATCACTCTGTTCAGAATTCGATCAAAGCTCTCTTTTCTCGGCCTGATTTTAAAACCCAAATCGACTCGTGGAACCATAGCCCGAAGGCTGAGAATACCATGTTTGATGTGTATAATGGCTTGATGTGGAAGGATTTGAAAGACACCAATGGAATTCTCTTTGTTCATGGCAACCACTCACTGATGTTGACCTTAAACATTGACTGGTTCCAGCCATTCGACGGTGGGACATATTCATGTAGTGCAATTTACCTGACTGTAAACAATCTTCCTCAAAGTGTAAGATTCAAGAAAGAAAATGTCATTCTCGTTGGGTTAATGCCAGGTCCGAAAGAAGCAAAAACATCCGAGATAAATTTGTACCTCAGACCTCTGGTTGATGAATTAGAAAAGTTGTACAAGGGAGTCAGAGTCCAGACATATCAATGCCCAAATGGTATCACCATCTGTGCTGCTCTGTTTATGGTTGCCTGCGACATCCCTGCTGCCCAAAAAGTGTGTGGATTCACGTCCCATATCAGTACAAACACATGCCACAAATGTAATCGCCAATTCTCCCAATTAGCTGGAACGAGCTCTGTCGATTATTCTGGATTTGATTTCTCAAAGTGGCTCCTTCGCACTAAGAATGATAATTGTAAGGATGCTGAGGTCTGGAGGAATGCAACCACTGAAGCTGAGAGACATCGTCTTGAAGTTGAAAATGGTGTTTGCTGGTCCGAACTGCATCATCTCCAGTACTTTGACGTTGTCCACTGCATGATCATTGATCCAATGCACAATCTCTTCTTAGGCACAGCCAAGAGGATGATGGAGAAATGAGTTGCAGATGGTCTAATTGACAATAAAAAACTCGTTGCCATGCAGAAAATCGTTGAAAACATGACATTGCTGCCTGATTACACCATGCTAAGATCAAAGATTTCAAAGGGATTTCCCTTTATAAATGCAGACGAGTGGAAATCGTGGTGTCTGGTATACTCTCCAGTGGTTCTACAAGGCGTACTACCAAAGCAAAAGTTTGAGAATTGGATGTTTTTTGTGAATGCCTGCCGTTTCCTTACCAAGCCAAATGTTTCCAAAGATGATATACAGTCAGCACACATAGCACTTGAGAAGTTTGGTAAAGATTGTGAAAGGCTGTATAGCAAGGATCTGTTATCTCCAAACATGCATCTCCATCTTCATCTTCGCAACACAATCAAGGACTTAGGGCCTGTTTATGGGTACTGGCTCTTTAGTTTCGAGCGATACAACAGTGTTCTAAAGAATATCAATACCAACAGAAGGAGCGGCTTTGAAATGACATACATGAAAACATTCATTGAAGATACCCGTAAAGGCGATTTTGTTTGCAATTTCTTGAAGACATCTGGTCCATTCAATTTCTCCGGCATCTTTGATAAATTGGTAACTGGTTATAGTCCTGCTGATTCTACAACTAGCACCGCCTTGTACAATTGGTTCTCTCTACCAGACTTTCTTGATGCTGCTGAAAATCCGAACTTGTCAATTCGTGGTAACAAGCCTTTGCTACCATCAGCGCTGCCCTTGCAAAAAAAAGCATATGAGATGATGCCAAGACAGGAGTATGATTGTTTGGTAGGATATTACCAAGCTGTTTACAATGATCCCACCATCTCCAGTTGCAAAGATGTGATTCAAGATACAGCTTTCGTCAATGACTGGATCGAAATGCTCAAATCCGTCAACCTCCTTGGCCAGACATTCAAGGGAAGTAGAGGTACAAATGGAAGAGGATCATATATACAAGCAATGTTCATAGAAGGTCGAAACGGAGCAAAGTATGCGTATGTCGGAGAGATTCAGTACCTATTTGTTCATTCATTTAGTCCACTTGTTTCTACTCCACATCACAGAACACCCCAAAGTAGCCAACATACATTTGCTTATGTAAAATGGTACAAGGCTTCCAAGGAGACAAGTAGAAAAATTGCAGGCGTAGAAATATGGGATGTTGCGTTTTCTTTGCCTGACTTTCAAAGCATCTTGCCAGTGCACCAAATTCTCCTTCCTGTTGCAATTGTTGACCATACAACATTACAAAATATCAGCAAAAAACTTATTGTTTCTTTGTCTAGAAAACTTTACTTTTAAAATATATAATTATCCCTTCTTTTCTTTCTAATAATATTATTCAATTTTTTTAATATGCCAGTGAAAAAAAAGAGAGCAAATTGTTTGTTTTTATTGGTTTTAAATTGCCCAGACAGGAAGGATCGCAGTCAGGTGACTGGGGACAGGAGTGACCTCAATGGTTTTTAGGTATCTGGGCATTCTTTGCTTTGATTGTGGTGTTGCAATCTTCTTGTCATTCTCTGCTGCCAAGAAATCAATGAACTGAATAAGCCTATTCAGCTATGTATAATTAGTTAGTTTATTTCTGTACAGTCATCTTTTTATAGAAATATATTATAGTGTACACCTTTAAAAAAAATTACCTCAGCACTTCTCCAACTAGGACGAGCAACCTGCAAAACCCGCACACGGATTATAGGAGTGACGTTCTCATCTTCTGATTCACTATCAGATATCACACTCTTCTTGAGAAGATGCAAGTATGCCATCTCATCAGGGTTATCTGGCTTGTATCCCATCTCAGTGTCAATTGCTAGCCAATTGTTAATGTAGGTATCAACACGATGCAAGTGAATCTAGATATATTTTAAAATGATTAGAACAGAATGCAAAATATTTAATTTCTTCTTTTTTGTTTGTAATTTTACCTCAATGCAATGGTTGTTGATACAATTATTGCGCCTTTTGGAAGACATTTGCTCGGGGTTGCGTTGACAGCACAAAAACATGTCTTGTAATTGTTTTTTATTTTCTGCACTATCATATCCTCCCAGAACCCAGCTGTGCGAGGCTGGGCAATGATATACTGTCGGAGGTAATTAATCACCTCAACATTGTCAGGATGATCGATCCTCTCAGCTGTGTTCCATTGCCTGCGGCTTTCGTTTTCAGCAACAAGCTCAGGATCATTCGAACGGAAGTTTCTCACCCACATTCTCCCATTGATGAGATTCTATATGATTATTATTATTATTATTTAGGTAGTGTGTTAAAGCATGAAGTCAGAAAAAATCATACCAGAACAATTGCACATATTTCGCCTTTGGTGTGTCTATTTGTAGACACATTGGTAGCAGTTACTCCCTGAGTTACAGAAGATGCAACAAGAGCTTGCTGGGCAATGGCTTGGTTGTGAGCATCAACCAGAAAACGAATTCCAGTGTTGGCTTCGACAGTACGATCGTACATCATGTTGATGGCTGCCATAACCTGCGTTAGGGACTTGACAGTCATTCCAGGAGCCTCTGTCCCACTTGGACCAGCTGCAAGTGGCAATACTCTTGGAGCAATCTCACATTGCTCAATCCGGCTGGCAGCAACATGGCTAAGTGTTCCTCGGGCATTCTGTTTGCCTTTGCGTCCTGATTTTCTAGTGGCATTGGAAGGCATGCTACAGATATTTACATATTTTTTAAAAAATAAATAAATATAAATAAATAAAGCATATATAGAAGAATATTATGAAATATTATTTTAATTATATAAACATACATGGTAAAGCACAGTAATAGTATGTGAGGTTTCTAATACAATGTGAGGGAGGATATAATAATCTGGCAAATAGAAGTAGTATTTATATGTCCCAATACTTTTTGGGTGTACAGCAACAAAAGAAAAAATTATAGGAACACATGTGTTAAATTATAATAGACCCTAATAAATTCTGAGAATAGAATGAGCTTATTCACTACTCTTACAATTTGTTTTTTTATTTTTCTTTTTTTTTATTTTCTTTTTTTTGTTCTCTCTCTTTCTCTTATACTGTTTACTTTTGCTTCTTTTTCTACACTATGGTAAATACTTAATATTTTCTTTTTACTTTATTTTATATGATTATTAACACTAAAAAACTTCTATCGTCTTTATTATGTAGGGCTTCCTGCACGAGTTAACATAACACACTGGCTTACAAAGGTGAATAAGAAAGCAAACAACTTTTATTGCGCGATGCTAATCATCAGCTTATTAATCTTTAGATGCAAAACGATGATGATGACAACCATCAAAAGCTAATGATAGAAATAAACATGGTAAGCTTTAATAGAATATCTTCTAATCACTTATATTAACGTTATACTTTCTTCATTATCATTTTGAATTTATTAGATTTTTTCTATCTCTCTTTTGCACGCACGCATTAAAAGGATGCCAAAGAATCACTTTTTCTGGTAAGCAAGACTTTATAATTATTATTCTCTCATACTAATCATATTTTTTCCCTTTCTATTAGGAATACTTGGAGTACACCAACAATTATATAAATGCTATCCGTAGCAATATGATCCTCTATTTCCAAAGAATAAATCTGGTCTGTACACACATGTTTTGAAAATGACAAAATCGATTTTGGTCATCCCAAGATTCTGCCCCTTCCCTTAATATTCAAAGAGGTATTGCAGTATTCCCATTTATTTATCCCGAAAGGTAAGAGATATTATTAATGATCAAAGTAGAATCGCAGTACCCAAAATCAAGAACCCAAAACCAAGAATACAAAACAAAGACCCAATGTCAAATGTCTGGATCAAATGCCCAGACCAAATGCCAACTATCCAAGGCCGATTATTAGAGAACCTATTTTGAGATTTTTTTAATAAAATAAAATAAAAACCCTTTTGTAAACTATTTCCCGTGAACTATTTTTAAATAAAAGTACAAGAAGTATATTTTTTGATCAATCAAATAATGAAATTCAAATTGTAAATGGAGTACCCGTCCAATAAGATTGATACTTGCCAGAAGATAGTTGAGCTATCATCAGAAGATTGTTAAAATATACACCTTCTTGAATGAGTCCGAAACAAGAATAAATAGGCAATACACAAAATAAATGTAACATTTTACTAGAAAAAAAAACTCAGAATTTAATTAAGGTTTCGGATATAATAAGATATAACAGAACTCTATGACTGTGCACAGATCCATTCTATCCATAGAATCTAGGTGTTTAATATTTAGTAGCTAGTTTTCCTATCATTCTGAGAATTGTTGTATAATATTTGGAATGTATTTCAAAAATCACACAGAATTTTACATCCTATCACATATGGGAATTGAGCATTTTTTTGCAGTGAATATCACAAGAAAAGGATATAACCCTTTAAGACCAGTGACTGCAATACTTCCTGGTGACAGTTGGGGAGTAGACCTGGCTGGGCCATTTACAATGTCGACTAGAGGAAATGAGTACTTGTTGGTGATGATAGACATCACAAGCAAATTTTACGTATTGCATGCCATACCTGATAAAAGGGCATTTACGATTGCATTACAAGTACTGGATGTCATTAGTACATGGGGTCCGATGAGAAAGTTGCAGAGTGATTGTGGATGGGAGTTTGTGAACTCGCTGATGACATGTATAAAAGAGAATGTTAGTTTTGAACATGCGTTGATTTCGCAGTACCATCCTAGAGCTAATGGTGCGAGTGAAAGAGCTTTCCAGTCGGAAGTGAACACCATTAAAAAACAAATAGTTGGTAATGTTGCTGATTGGGATCAGAAGGTATCATCCACACAATTGTTTTTGAATAGTAAATATAATGCTAGTGTTGCAAATGAGTATTGACTACTGCTGTAATTGAGAATAAGTCTGAAGGAAATAATATAAGGCCTCAGCTATTCCAGTCAAAGGTGTCTACCGATTACTTTATTATTTAACACACAGGTTTAGCATGCATGATAGTGATTATATTTCATATGATGATATCACCATAATATGGGATACATCAGTGGATTATTATAAGCATAATTATAACTCATAAACACATTTACTTTCGATGTTAATACTTCATTGGGACTACACACATTTATATAATTAATCATACATTAATTATCCCAAGATCACGTTGCTCTGATTAAGGCTCAGATAGGATCGATTACCTGACCCCAGTCATATAATTTTCCCAATCCAAAACAATATAAATAGCAGTAGTAGTTCAGTGTAGGAACCTCGTCAAACTTTAATACAAAATCTTTCTCAATAAACAAAACCTACACAAGTTCTCACAAATCTTCGTTCCTAATTTCAAATCTTCAATTCTTCCTCTTAAAAACTTCTTCAACTTCAACCACTACAACAGCTAGGACTAAGAGTGCGCCATTCTCATTAATGTTTGGAAGGAATCCAAATGACTTTGTTGATTTTAGTAAAGAGAAGGATAGTGCAACTGCTAAACAGATTCAGAAAGAATTGCAAGAAAAAATTAAAAGAATGACTGAGATAGTCTACCCTGCCATGTTTGAACACGTAAAGCATGTCACACAAAAGCAAAAGGAACGCTTTGACATGAGTCACAAAATGATATATCTGGTTCCAGATGTTGTATCCAACATAATTGTAGATTCAAATAGAGCGCACAGACAATAAGACAAAGACATATTGAATAAGCGACCAGTATCAATTATACATTATTTCTCACACTATCATTAAATGAAGAACATACTGACAACAAGGTCACACACCTCAGTCAACATCACTAATCACTCAAACAAGAGCGTGGGTAATAACTTAACAATATATTATCTATGATATAAGAACAGACATCACATGATATACTCATATCATTATCCTAAATACATACGCAATGTCTATATAAACTCACATAGCAAATAGCAATAGAAGATCTCTTTTTCATCAATAAACAAAGTCTCACTGTACTTCTTGTCTGCACTTTGTTTTTCTTTCTTTTCTAAAAATATAACATAAATGTTAAGATAAAAGGGAAACAAGTGTTACATTTACTTTATTTGTTCAAACTTTATAATAATAATAATAATAATAATAATAATAATAATAATAATAAAATAACTTGGATGGTTATTATATCCGAGCCAATAGAAAATTACAATATGACTTTATGAACATGTACATCAAAAAACATGTTGAGATGAAAAATTGCTCTAAATATCTACATGTAATCATGAACCTTCACACAAGGGTATTCAGAGTCATTTCTCCAGTGTTCTTTATTGATGAGGCAGGTTTCAATATGCATATCAAGTTCAGATTTGGAAGA